ACGGGATTCAGTTGTGTAACCCCAGGTCATTTTCCCTCAATCAAGGGCTGTCAAAATAGGTGTAACTAAATGTGATTATAAGAAAACTGCGGCCCGAAATTTTCTTCCTAATTTCAGCGACTGCAACAATGTGTCCTCGAAGGCGACACAAATCGATTCCACTGCAACTTCTTGGAAGACCGGTAGCGGATGTTCTGTTCACATACTTAATAAGCATACATTTTTGGACCATGGCTCCCTGTAGGGACGAAGAAGGCGGTCAAAATGGCACCGGCGCCTCATGCCCACTCGATGGTCTGGACAGAAGTGATCCTCCCCCGCCGCCTGATCACAAGAACGCACACCAGAACAAGTTGCTCTGATCAAAGCGCAGTATGACAGCTGGTTTAGTCGCAATGTGGGATATTTGAAGTCGTATGATTCTCGTGGCCTACATCACCTCCCGCTGCTCTCGTGCTTGTGGGGGTATGACTACTCCTGGTACTGTGCGTGGATTGCATTAGAGCTCGCGGATGTATCATCGTTTGCCGGACGTCGCCTTGACCCCGAAGAAATGTCAGTCTTCACCTCACACGCTGCAAGAGGAGTTGTTGCAGCCTCATACGACCGGCCGATCGCTGCAGGAGCAACTGCTTTTGCCTTGTATCGCGGTTGGTCCTCATTCCGGATGCCATTCCTACCAGGGGGAGGGGGGGTATTCGTTTGGGTGCTGCAAGCAAGTCAATAGGAAAGTAACATAATAGTGACATGCTATTAAGGTTTTAACAATATGTTTTTTTATATGCCTTGCATTATTTACACATTACTAATATATACTCATTCCTAACATAGTATTAATATTAACATAATATTAATATAATATTAATATAATATTAATATAATATTAATATAATATTAATATATAATATAAGGCTAAAAAAAAACCTCTTTTTTTCCCTTATCCCTAACCTAACTACTTATTTACTCTTTACTAGCTTAATTATCTATTATAAAAGGATTTATAAAATTACAGAAATATTTAAAAATAAAATTAAGTTTAAAGTTAATAAGGTTTAAATTAAAGCTTTTAATATAAAATTATAATAATATTAGTTAATATAAAGTTGATATTAATATAATTTAAAGCCTTAATATAATTTGCTTTTAATAGTATTTTAATAATCTTTTATTAGCATTTCGCTGGAATTATAAAATTTCGATTAAATATTAAAACATAAGTGCAGTGCGTGACCCCGTCAGAAACCCCCCTCCCCCCTGGTAGGTTCTATCAGCCCAGGTTCACTAGGTTCAGTAAGCAGCTTCCACATACAAATTTAACCCTCTTAAGAAAAGCAGCTCCATATCTGTAGCCTGGACCTCAAAGGTATTGTCAGGCTGCAGGTTTTAAAACAAGCAATGGCCATACTGTGGCCTAATCCTCCCTATATCCAAATGAGTCTTTCTCTCTCAGTTCTTCAGTAGCTGACCCCTTTTGCTGCAGTGCACCCACAGGCTACTCAGCGCCGTTTCCTCTCGTCGCTAGTCTGGCATTCGGCAAGGGTGGGCGTCTACGGGACGCTTGGTCTTGCCGCCTACAAGTTCCTTGCACTGCGCTATCAGTCATATATCGTGGATTCTTTTATCAACGATGCCATGGAATGTGAACCTGGGTTGCAAATTCTGAATAACGATATTTCTAAAAACCTGGATCGATTGGACGACGAACGAGAACGGAGGCGTGGCAAAACAGAGTAGCCCGTGTTACCAGCACTCTGTGCTAGTCATAAGGCTGACGGGATAGATTATGCGGCCGTCGTGAGAACTTTCTGGTATTCATGCGAAAAAAACTAAATAGCTTATGGGCGATGTGGGGTGGTGTTCATGTAGATGGTCAACCGTGTGGGTCCTAGTAGGGCGTAGTATTCTTGTAACGAAGGACATACACTCACAGCTGTGGATTAGGCCGAACATTTCAACACTTGATGATCTGCTTCAAGTCGACTGCTCTTACTCTATTATCGTGGCTAGACACATTGAGCGAGATAAACCGAAAATTTCAAACAAGGACAACTTTGTTTGGGGTCAGACGTTTTTGAGCCTGCCCACCACGTCCTCAATTGCATTGCATGGCTTGTGGAGGAGGCAACAGGGGAGAGCCAATATGACAAACCAGGAACTCCTCCCAGCGTACCACCAAGAGAAGCAGTACACTGAAGTTTACACCGGCCAAGATCATCAGTGTGACAGCAAGGGAAAGTCAATGGGTAGAGATTACATCTGCTTGAGGTTACTCACGTTCTATCAAGCCGCACAATCCCCAGCATAGTCACAACCACTCCTCACAGTGTACTTCCCAATCACACAGGTTTTGTGTGTACTGCAATTACCCAGACAGTAAGTGAAATAAAAGCACTATTTCGCGTCAGACCAGGCCAACAAGTCCACAAAGCCTAATCTCTTTTGGGCGATTATAATTAGGCCGCTCCGTCCTCTCAACCCTGTCTCGCTGCAGCTGTCCATCGCCTGTCACCGAAGTATAAAGATGCCAGTGGAAGTGAAAGAGTATTCCGAAGTCTTATGACAAGCCCCAGATTTACCCGTGCCTAAGCTTTACACTGCCCTACTTCATGCCTGACATCTTCAAGGTTCGAGCGGCGTGCACCGTTGGCTGGACTTTTCTCAAATTAATCTAGCGTGTGGGGATAGCGCTCCGGCACGTCGAGAAAGGAAGGCAAGCTTAACTTAGAGTTCAAATAGCCTCAGGACCCGTCGCCTCCGATTTGCAGGGTACTAGATCCGCAAGGGCTAACTGCATATGCAGGCCTTCCGCATCCAAGAATAACACCTCTGAAGGAAGCCGATGCCACAAACACGATAATGACCCGTCACCTACCTACTTGGCGCTGGTGAAGTCGGCGGATACTTCCTCTATACAAGCAGAATGCAGGCTGGAGAAGATCTTCAATGTCCTAGAAGATGTGGCTGGCTTGACACGTGCCATGAAACGACAGTTCGTGCGTCGTCTTCTGGGGAAATACAGCCGCCAGCCCGTATCTCTTGGTATGTTGCTACCGTAACGGTGCGGCAGTTTCAACGTTGTGGAAATCGAAACAGTGCCAATCCAGCGCAGCGGAAAACTTGTTTGGAAGATGTGGATAGAAGAAACATGACCGGAGTCGCCAAGTCATGTGGTCTCAGAGTCTGACACCAATTACCAATTTTAGATTTCAAGACATAATTCCGGCAATCTATTGTTTTCTTCAGCAGACATGCTCCGTAAATTTCGAGAACTGTCTACAGCAATCGTATCGCAGGCTCACACGTGGTAAGATTTGACGCCCACGCCCGCCGACCCGCTAAACAAGGGACAAATGAATGTGGATACAGCCCAGCATTCGTGTTGATGTGTGTGGGGAGGCGACATTTGCCATCCGTCGGGACATGTGAAGAACCACGACTTGCCTGGGGCGGAGAGATAGTCCGAGTCGGTTGCTTTGGATTTTGGGTTTGCAGTCTAATCGTACGATAGACGCTCAGGACAAGAAATCACAGACCACACGTCGTTATCGTGTTTCGAATGGCCCTCCTTGCAGTGCGGGAAGTATATCAAGCCAAGCTGCCACAGATTTGGCCCATCTGAGTATGCCGAAAAAAGGGCTCATCAGCGCCGGGAGTCAGCTCCTTTAGCCGATAGCAGGCGCGTAAAGGTTCAGAGTCAACCAACCGGCTCCTTCTCAGCTGGCAGCTCCCCACGGCCGCCAAGCTCCCCAAGGTGGAAATGTCCCGAGCAGGGCGGGCAACTGTGATACATCAAAGATGTTGGTCAAAGTTCCAGCACGACACAAGCTTCCTCCAAGAGGAAATGGCGTCAACAAGAGTTGCCCAAGACATTCGGGCATCAGCCACCCGTCTTGGTTGACAGTGAGGAAGCACACCGCCTGCGTGGGGTGCCACTTCTTTGGCACTGTCTCCTCCCAGTAGGAGGCTCTGGGCTGGATGTCGTGCTGCACGGCAGTGTCATCTTCTCCTGATTGTGATGTATCTCAGATGCATCTCGAGTCAAAAAAGCCGCATCTCGCTTTCCTTGATCTGGCTTGTGAAGGATTTGAAGATCTCCCTGGGCGACATGCTTCCGGGCCCATGCAGACTGGCGTTCATCCGAGATTTTGTCTAGTGCTCGAGGTCATTGGTACGCTGTCAACCAAGTCTCGCATCCTCCCTTGGCACTCATCATAGAGTCGTGAATTTTTGTAGAGGCGACTGACTCCGTGAGCCCAACAATGGCGTGACTAAACCTGGTCAAGAACCCCGGAGTGGGGCCCAAATGCTATTGAAACGTTAACATTGATCCGTTCTGCTGGGTCCAGCAGCCCCGTGTGGATCCTAGACATGACTGCAACCAGATAAAAGCCCCGACCCCATGGGGAAGACTCGTCCAGCCACAGACGAGGCCTCGGCGACGGCGGCCCAATCAGAGCACGCGCGAGATCCATCCCTTGCTGACCGCAAAGGAACCAACGAAATGCCCCCTCATCTTGGCCAGCACTTGGCAAACAGCTAAGACACTTGGCAGAGCCATAGACGAAGTACTACCCTCGTCAGCCGTTGTCTCTTCTGCATACTGGCTGTGTCACGATGTGCCGAAAGCCATCAGCACACGCGCGCACACGGACAGCCTACGCGGCCACTTGCAGTCTTCCGTATTCCTCCATGTCCACCCGGATTGTCCCCAGTTTCGCAAATCTTTAACGAGATGGCGTCGCACTAGTCAGCTGGAATGCAAAGGGAGGAGGCCAGCAGTGCCCGCCGAAGTGAATGTATATAGAGGCGCTACTTCCCGTGCCTAGACCACTGAGGTGTCTTGTCCTTTCCTGAAATCCAGCTTTCTATCGACCTTAGCCTCGATCCATTGTGCAGTTCGGGAGCATTCCTCTCAAGGCCAAGCTGTATAGAGACTTGTCAAGCTTTCTTCCAAGCCTCCTTGTTCACCAGCACTAATAGCCACCCCTCGCCCGTCCGCCATGGAGACGACTCACGAGCCGGCTGACCCCGTTGCCAAGGGGATAATCCCAACGGCCAGCCAATCCATCCGTGACCTTTTCACGTGGAAGCAGCGCGTTGTCGTGGCCAACCCAGATGGCGAATCCTCCTGCGAGTGGGCGAAGCCAATCCCGCTGAAGAACCCCATCAGCCTGATGGCCCAGCTCTCTGCCAAGGACTGGGTGTTTTTCATCGTCGGCTTTTCAGCCTGGACTGCTGATGCCTTCGATTTCCACGCCCTGTCTATCCAGACTGTCAAATTGTGAGTAACCTAGCCCTCGTGCTCAAATTGTGGCTTCAAGCTAGCTCCGTTTTGGGAAATACTCCCGGGGAGCCATAGGAGCTGAGTATACGCCGTGTAACAATTGTTAATGCGCCAAGCTTTACAGGGCCAAGTACTTTGATGTCTCCAAGACAAGCATCACCGAGGCCATCACCCTCACTCTGCTGCTCCGCTCGGTCGGCGCGGCCATGTTCGGGCTGGCTGGAGACAGATGGGGGAGAAAGTGGCCCATGGTGGTCAATATGATTGTCCTCGGGTTGTTACAGGTCGCCACTATCTACTGCTCGACGTTTCAGCAGTTCCTTGCTGTTCGGTCGTTGTTCGGCCTTTTCATGGGTGGCGTCTATGGTAATGCCATTGCTATGGCATTGGAGAACAGTCCCGTGGACGCCAGAGGTCTCATGTCTGGTATCCTCCAACAAGGCTACTCTTTCGGCTATGTCTGCGCGGCTTGCGCGAACCTCGGAGTGGGCGGCGGCACGGAGACATGGAAGACCGTCTTCTGGATCGCCGCTGGGCTTTCCATTGGAGTCGGCCTGATCCGCATGTGCTTCCCGGAATCGCAGCTGTTCATTGAAGCGCGCAAGGCTGGCAAGACCGGTGGCCATGCTACGCATTTCTGGAAGGAGACCAAGGTTATGCTGGGCCAGGAGTGGAAGATGTGCATCTACTGCATTATCCTTATGACTTGGTTCAACTGTGAGTTCTAACAGCCCTCCTTCTCAGAACAATACTCGTAACGGACTTGCGAGCTGACCTTCGATGATAGATTACAGCCACACCTCCCAGGACAGCTACACTACCTTCATGATCACCGAGAAGGGCCTGGACAACTCCGGCGCCAGCCGAGCTTCCATCCTCATGAAGGCAGGTGCCTGTGTCGGCGGCACAATCCTGGGCTACGTCAGCCAGTGGTTCGGACGTCGCCGCACCATCGTCTGCGCGGCCCTCATCTCGGCCGCCCTGATCCCAGCCTGGATCCTGCCCACGACCGAGCGCTCGCTGTCGGCCTCGGGCTTCTTCATGCAGTTCTTCGTGCAGGGCGCGTGGGGCGTGATCCCCATCCACCTCAACGAGCTGTCGCCCCCGGCCTTCAGGAGCAGCTTCCCGGGCATCACCTACCAGCTGGGCAACATGATCAGCAGCCCCTCGGCCCAGATCGTGAACGCGCTCGCCGAGAGCAACTTCATCAGGAACAACGCGGGCGAGCTGGTCGAGGCCTACGGGCCCGTCATGGGCATCGCGACGGCTATCATCGCAGTCGGGATCGCAGTTACCACCGCGTTTGGCCCGGAGAAGAGGGGACGCGAATTCTCCGCCAGACCGGCTGGTATGAACATCGAGACGGAGAGCGACCTCAAGGCCAAGGACATAGAGGCCGAGGCCGCGTCTGTCCACGAGGCTGAGAGGGTGAATTCGGAGAAGAAGGAGACCAATGTTTAAAGCATAAAACAGGCCAGCTGAAAAAGAAACGAAACACACTCGCGATCGACGCTTGACCACTGCGCGGGTAGTCAGTCATACACGTCTGCATATTCGCTCTGTTAAACTAGCATGCCAGGTAGACCTGGCTGGGCTGCTACTAGCAAGGGCCACAATGCTGTAGGACGGATTGGACTAGATCTTGTGTCGCTACTTCACATTATGAGAATCTTATTGTTCGTGTGCGAGAACATGTCATCATCCATGGACTTCATTACTGCCGAAGCTTGTTGACGGCTCCAAACATGAGCTACCTGATGTGCATCCCTTAATCGCCTTTCCAGTGCCTTTGTATATCTCAGCATCTATTTATGTGCTTGCACTGCACCTAGGCGGTTTGACAGCATTTAGGCAGCCCACTCCTTGCGCACTCTGTCCGCCCTCTTGTACGGGGAGGCGCCAATGTACTGTATTCCGAACTCAGTCGTCTCGACCAGCTCATACTCGTCCGCCTTGTTCCGGTCGCCGAAGATCTTCAACGCCCGAACCACCAACTTGTAGACACCCGCAGGAGCGTACTCTCCGGTAGCGAGTCGCCCGTCCCAAGTTGATGATTGCGGCCCACGGGGCTGGTACTCCAGCGGTGTCATGTATACATCACCGATGGTGGCAAGACCGAGCGACTCGGTGGTGTTGGCGTCTGAGGACGCCGGGACAACATCGACGCGAATCACTGCTGATCCGAGGGCCAAGTTGATAAACAGCCGTGGGTAGTCTGTGCTGTTGACGTTGTACTGGGAGTCGTTGGCGTGGCCGGGAGGGGGCAGCATGAAAGTATGGTTTTCTGAGACAGGGAAATCGTTGAAGTTGAGCGAACTGCTCAGGTATGTCAAAGCAGGGTCCAAGACCGTGGCGGAGTGCAGGGACCCAGCAACACCCAAGTACGGGAGTGACAAGCTAGACGAGTCGGAACCGTTGATGGCAATGTAGCCCGAGTACACGGGCAGTCTCTCCGCATCGAGACCAGCGGGGGGTGTGGCCTTTACGGTCACAATCTTGCGCTGTCCAGCCGGCAACGTGAACGACGTCCCGCTGAGGAATTCAAGGGTCGCGTAGTCGTCCAGGAGCTCGTTGGGGAACGGGGCAGGGAAGATGGTGCCATTGCCTGGGAGAGTGTAGCCAGTGGCCGCGCCGACGTGGCTCAGCGTGTAGATGACGGAGGTCTTGCCAGTGTTTGAAACGGTGAAGTTCTGTACGGGAAGTATGTTGTCTGTATCGTTGAAGGAAAGACTGCTGACGCTAAGTAGAGATGTTGAGTATGCCGCATCGTAAGCCTGGACCAGACCCGAGCCTTGTTGCGCAGCTGGTGCCAGAACGGGGTACGTCGTCGAGCCATCGTTGAAGAGGTTGGGGTTCGATGTCGCGGACAGAGCGTTCTCAAGGGTCTTGGGGTCCTTGGTCCCCCTGACCTCCATCAAGAGAGCGTAAATACCGGCAACGAGAGGGCAAGCCATAGACGTTCCTGAGAGCACCGCGTACGAGCCCAAGGCCGTAGGGTACGTGGACAGGATCAGTCCACCAGGGGACGCAAGCTGAGGCTTGAAGTCGACCTCCCACGTCGGCCCCCAGGAGGTGTACGTGCTAAGGAAGCCTCCCGTCAAGTTGTTGGGTGTCAGAGTCAGGGACTTTTCCGCGGTGTTTGGATCAGTCATGGCGACTGTCACGTTCTGGCCGGCTGAGAGCGCAGCGATCCACTTGGCTCCCTGATCCGCCGTGACCATAGCAACAGCCTCGAGTCCTGGAACAGTGGTGCCGCTGACGGCAGTAGCGCCAGCAGGGACATTGTTGTAGACGATAACATAGCGTGCCCCCTTCGCAGCGACGTTCTGTAGCTTCTGGACGAAGGTGCAGGAGCCTCTGCGCACGAGAACGATGTACTCAGATAGGTCAGGGGAATCAGCCGGCAGAGCGGTACAAGCGTTCGCGGGATCCGCGGTGTCGAAGTTAACAGACCAAAGGGGCAAAGTGACACCAGCCCAGGCCGAAGGCTGCCCGGGCGTGTAACCGAACGACTCCTCTGTGCCATTCTCAACCGTGTAGCCGGCAACGGTGAGCAGGGCCGGGGTCACCGCGTTATCAACAGACGCAATCGCGGTGACGCCTTTTCCGTTTGCTGCGGTGCTGGCGTAGAACAGACCCTCGGCACCATCGTTCCCCGCAGAGATAGTGCACGGGACGCCGTTCTCAACAATTCGTGACACGGCGACAGACCATGGCTCCTCACTCCATCCCGACGCGCCCCCTATAGACGCCGTGATGAGATCAGCGCCTGCCTCGTACGCCATGTTGAATGCTGCAATGAGAACATCTATTCGCAGATATCGGGTTAGCCATGGACCACGAAAAGCTGATGAAGAAATCCGCAAGGTCGCCAGGGCAGGTTCATCTTCGATTCGAAAGCACAAGGAATCTAAGCAACGTACCGTCAGGGGAGGACCCATCACAACCAAACACACGGTAAGCACCCAGCGTCACTCCCGTTGCGGCACCAATGATGCCGTACGGGTTGTTCGTCTGAGCGGCAACGATACCAGCAACGTGGGTACCGTGACCACCACAGTCGAAAGGGTCCGGGTCCGGAAAGGGGGTGTTTGATCCGTTGAATGCATCTCCAACGAGATCGTAGCCGAAAGAAACCAAGCACCCGGGACCGAAGCAGCCTCCGAGAGATGGATGACGGTAGTCAATCTACAGTGACGGTGTTAGCTGGGAGTGGCCAAGGCCATATTCTTGGACTCTGGTCTTCCATCCTTGCAGTACCATCACGAAGAAGCTGATGTTGTGGGTCATAAAGCCGTCCCAGGTTGGGCAAGGTATGGCATGAGCAGGTGTGGGGAATTCATGAACTTACACCAGTGTCGACAACTGCCACTTTGATACCCTCACCCACGACGCCCTGATCCCTCAGCTGGTTGACTTGGGTCATTACGTGAGGCGAGAACGTATCAGCAGGGGCCTGCCGCGTTTCTGCCGCACCCTCCTCGTGAGCGTCTTCACCTGCCGTCCAGTGAACCGTGTGCTTCGGCACGTTGTACAGCCTGACCGGCCACATCTTCTTGACGGCAGGTTGAGTGCCCAGAAGATCGGCCTGGTCGTTGGCCGTGTCAGCGTCGTGGAAGCGGATGGACGCCCCCTTGAACAGCTTGTAGTCGAGCTTCATGCGGGTCGAGGCCACGTCCTGGACGGACGACAGTTCCGCGTCAATGTCAACCCCGTCCTCATACTCGACGATGAAGGCGCCCGGGACGAGGTTGCTGGCCTGTACGAGGCCAATGGCAGCCAGGAGGCCGCTGATGACTCGGAGTCCAACCATGGTGCCTAGGAGAGAATACCTTCGGCCAAGAGCCCTGGAGAAGAAAAACCCAGGAGAAGATTCCAGGGGTAGATAGAAAGAGAACGACGAAGTTGCAGGGAGCCAGACAGCAACTGCGGGAAAGAATGACAAGCAGGAGCTGGGGCACAACGTCGAAGAGGAGGAGAAGGGCATGCTAGGGCGCGAACTTATATGAATGAAGGGAGTGCTTCTTGGTGAGCTGGGCAAACAGGGGTCTAACGCTGCATTGAGGCTACAGAAGAAAAGAGGGAAAGGAACAAACCGAATGGCGTGCAATCTAGGCTGTAAGTACTTGTCGGAGTGGTCTGTGACCGGAGGGTCAAGTGAAATGCCATATTCACCGTAGCAGTAACCGTACACTTGCTCTGCAGGCTTGTTGTTACCATGCGCCGTGCTGCACCTGCAGGTACAAGCCATGGGTGGGCAGCGTAGCTCTCGCGCTTGTTCCGCATGGGCAGCTCCTGCCATGGCCATAGCATCATCCATTCTGCATCTCGCAGGTACCAGCGATATTAGCACCCAGGGGGGCGACTCAGTCTCCTCGACCGGTACCAAGCTGCCAGAGGTCCCCCAACGCCAGCCAGGGACGCACCCGAGGGCCAAGGGACTGACTACGGTGCGTGGGCCAGTCGCCTTGTGGAATTGCGTGTAGTTTAACCGGCATCCTTATCACCGTGGCTTGATCAAGGGCATGAAGATCCATTGGACGGGACTGGGGAAGATATGCAAGGTGCAGGGTCAGTTGCAATATCAGACACCTCTGGAGCACTTTTCGACGGCGGCGCTGGGCAAAGCTTGGCTTTCCCACGGTCTTTGCCTAGGCGGGCAGGCCGAGCTGCGGAAAGCTTTCGAGAAAGTGGGGACAAGGATTCAAAAACGAGAGCCTAATTTAAAGAATCGGACAATCAGGAAGGTCGCTGCTGGTCCTGTCCGCCTGACAACTTCTGAATGCTTGACCAAGGGTCCCGTCTTGGCCGTCTCCGCCGCGAGAGAGCAGCTTCTCCACGACGACCGCCATTGAAAGTGCTGTGCTCTGCAAGCACTGTTGGTGGATGTCTGTGTGTCAGAGGCAGATGCAGCTGTGCCGCAGCGGCTTGAGCTCCAACGGACCGGGGTGCAACTGAGCTGCAGGCCGCTGTCAACGTTTCGTCCGATCTCTGACAGGGCGATGGTGCTGAACATTTGCACTTGCGTGGTCGGATTAGACCCAGATTTAGCTTCGTTCAAGATCGCCTGGAGAAGAGGGGCAATCCGCCGAGATTGAACGGCGCTTAACACGGCGCAGCCGCCACTTCGACCTCCCCCTTCCAGTCAAGCGCACCGGGCTCACAGTTGAGTCATTGACTTCAACTGAAGTGCTCTGTGGTCCGAGTTGGTGGTCCAATGCGGACGCGAAATGAGATTAACGCCTAAAGAAGAAGAAAAGCTGCTTGATATTGGCTGGCCCCCTATCTGGTGTGGCAACGACGACCGGAAATTAGGGCAAAGCTCGCCGAGGCTTTCGGACTGGAATCTGGCCCGAGGCAGCGACTGAGAAAATTGGAAGATCGACAGGGAGGCAGGCGTGCCGTGGATCGCCAGAAAAGCATTCGGAACCCAATGTGCCGCAGGAGGATCACTCCGGCTGCCTGCTTGAACATGCGTCGAACACTTGTGCAAAACGCAGCATCGCCCTCCCGTCTCCCTGTTCTCAGGTTTTTTGGGCTGAGACATAGAACTGTCCCTTTTTAACCCGGACGCGAAGCAGTGTTTCGAAACATGCAGTTGTCCAATCAGGGGACAAACCACGTGGCACGACCATGCATAGAAGCTCGCACGCGTGAGGTCGTGTAAGGGCCCAAGGGGTGGGGCATTGAGCTGGAAGGAGAGCTGGGATCAACAGTGATGTTTATTTTGAATTGAGTTTTGTAGAAAGTTAGCATGGAAATTTTACCATTAATCCTTCAGATTGGGTTCAGGACATCCAGGACATCCATCACAGTTGGGAAGCTCCTGCATCTCGCCTGTGTAAGCTGTCCATTGGACCGCCAGCCGCGCGAGCTGCCGGGCTTCTTCGCCATTGCAGCAGTCAGTGGGACCACTGCAGAAGCCACCTCCCCAGCTGTCGGGATGACTGGGTGACGATGACTTGTCCCTGCAGCCACTGCATTCCATCATCAAGCGGGTTTTGCAATCAGGGATTTTATTCCGTGGTGACACCGGTACCCTCGTGGCTATGCCAGCAGCTCCCTTGCAACCTCGTACGTGTTCATGAAGGCAATGCCTTCCTTCCTCCATGTGTCTGCCTCGACCCAAGGGCCGGCCGTAGCATTCAATACCATGTTTGTCGGCTCCTCAATGCTGTACTTGGGCCAAGTAGGTAAGGCCAGCAAGTCCACGTTGTCCTGCACGTTCCACGCACTGGGCGGGTTTGGGTCGAGGTTGTGTACAAAGCTGATGTAGGCCACAGCGACGGACCTTGCAATCCTCAAGTCATTGTCATACGTCGGACTTGGGCCCAGGAGCCCGGTGATGTTCTGGAAGCTGAAGGCAACGTTGTCAAAATGCTGGATCCCGGCGAGTTCCGTCTTGTTCCACAGGCGCGTGTCGAACCTGTACGAGTAAACGTCCTGCCCCGCTGTTCCGGCATACAACTCGCACATCTTGCGCCTGCCAGAATGCATCACCATATCACCACCAATGGCGGCGCCCCGGCGCCATGCTAGCCCTTTCGAGGGGAAGACAGAGCAGTTGTTGATGTACAAGGGCGGCTGGACGCAAGGGTCGTCTGGGTATAGCTCCAGGAACTTCCGGATCGTTGGGGGAGATAGGGCATAACTACGCCACCACAGGAACGCGTTGAAGAGATCCGCCTCGGTGTTGGGCCCAGACGGACCAAATGAAGCGCCTTCGTCGGTATTTGTGCCAGTCAGGAGGGGAATGGCATTGTACTTCCCATCGCGGATGAGGGTGCTTGGGTAGCCCGTGAGGAAGTTCCCCTCGATCAAGGGGTTCCAGACTTGTGATGGCGAGGCGGCAAAAAGCTTGTCCTGATCAAGTCCGCGCAGGCATGCGAGCTGGTCACTCGCGGTGTAGCAGCCCACGGTCCGTGTGAGGTTTTCCACAGGGACAGTGTAGTAAGCCAAGTCCTGTACCTGACAACCAGTTGGACCGCCGCTTTCGAGAATCGCGCCGCGGTATAAGCCATCATCACGACCGTCATGGCTGAGCAAGTGATAGGCAATGCTCTGGGCCCCAGCACTCTCGCCCCAGACGACCACACGCTCTGGGTCACCACCAAAGGCGGCGATATTCTCCTGGATCCACTGCAGCGCCAGCCTCTGATCGATCAGGCCTGCATTACTCGAACCCTCAGCTACCAGTGCGGGTGTCTGCAGGAAGCCCCACATTCCAAGGCGGTAATTCATGTCGACGGCGATCACGGGCTGTCCCATGTCCTGGCTGACCTTGACGATGCCGCTGAGATTATATTGTGGGTCTGCGGTTGAGCCAGCATAGAGGCCACCGCCATAGATCCAGACCAAGACCGGTAGGTTTGTGTGGTCGCCGGCCGGTCGGATGACGTTGAGGGTGAGACAGTCCTCGGAAATGTTGAAGCTCGAGCGGTACTGCATGCAGCTGTACCCATACTGGGATGCATCTCGAACCCCGTCGAAGGTTTCATTCAAACTCCGTGGCCACCTAAACCGTAGGTCTCCCACGGGAGGCTGCGCATAGGGCATACCAAGGAAGAGATCTTGGTCGTAGCCAGGCAGATAACGCCCTTGGTAGGTCCCATTTTTGGTGGTGGCGAGAGGTGCGGTGCTGCTGTCGTTGGATGCTGCACTTTTGCCGCACTGGAGCAACAAAGACGCCACAGCAAGCGAGAAGGGCCTCATGGTCGGCGACGGTCTGTTTCCGAAAAGAGAACTGCTCAAGCTTTCCCCCCTGGGCCCAGCCATCCAAACCACAGCTGCCGAGACGCGCCGTCCTGCCATCTTATACTGGCTCATCGTCCACGTCACTGGGGCAGCTACCAGCGACGGGCACCTGTTGCAGCCATTATTGGAGGGAAATTGTCAGCCGGGTGCCATCGTGGGTGTTCGCCCTAGTGAGGAATTGGAGACGGGCACGGGACGGGCAAGGGGCACAGTGGCCAGTTGAGGAAGCAGTCGGCCATTCTGCGGGGTCGACCGAGGAGGTATGGTGGTTCCTGGTGGAAGCGAAAGTCTGGGCAAGCAGAGCAAAACAGGGCAAGGTGGAACCAGAGATGGAGAAATGCCAGGAGAATTGGGGAGGACGACCGCGGCCAGCGGCAAGTTAATGTAAGGGACCCGCATATGAAGCCTATGACGGACCTGTGGTGAACCTCTGATAAGGTAGGTGCCTTGGCTGCTTGACGATGATGCCGGCATGTGGACTTACGCCATGCGACATGCGGCGTGCTGAGTGAGGATTGAGAAAGGGAACCTTGGAATGATACCCTGACGGTCAGTCCACGAGTCGTCACATGCAGGCCCTGTTCGCCGTCCTGGTTCTGGGTCCTGAAGGAGCAATCTGCGGGGGCGCACGGGCCAGCGGTTCGTCCCATGTCGAAGCTTCTTCCTCTCTCCCGAAAACCGGTCGTTGGCGACCCAGACTTTTGACTTTCGGGAGCCAGCGATGGTGGAATAAAAGAATGATCGGAGCCAGGATGCCAACTTGACAACGGGCAACCGTCGAAATGCTCGGAACGGCGGGTACCATAGGCCGACTCCTCGGCTCCAAAGTACACTCGGCTCATGCACAAGCCCTCTGGCTGGAATGACTCTTGTCTGCCAGTCGTTAACAGAGACATTGAGAGACGAGCCAAAGCAATGAGGTGGGGTTGTGCATCACCTCTTGACCTCCGGCCCCTCCCAGGCGCAAAACATCTAGTGGTGTTGTATGCGGCCGGAGCTGAGTCCCTTGAGCACAAACAAATCAGGTCCAATATTCATGTATCACATCGTCCCGAAAATACTCACAACTTGAGCAATACATGACCTCCCAAATGCCATACCTGAGCTTCCAACGGTGGGGGACATCATGCGGGTAGAACTTAACTAACCTGGCCGGTACGTACGCTCTTGCGAACAGAAAATGGAGACTGAATAGAACATCACGACATGAGGGTATAGGTATCTAGATGATGCAGAAAAATTATGTACGTCGAACAAAAGTGACCACCGCCTTATTACAATATCCGCTAATCTTTGAAGATGCTTCTGATGTTTGAACGGGCCGGGCTCAGAATGCTCAGCTGGCCAAAGCTCATCTTCGGCAGCTCGTCTACGCTGCCACCTTGACATCTTTCAGAGCTACCGTCTGGCCGTTCTTCCACGGCGTTTTCCCAACTCTGTAGTTGTTCTCGTCTGCAAATGAAAGGGTGTTACCCTGCTTAGCCACCAGGGGAACGAGCAGAAGGTCGAGTAATGCGCAATCACCTCCAATGTAGGGGGTGATGTACTGGTCCGCGAGCTTCCACAACGGGTTGTCCCATGCCACTACCCGTGTGTAGAGCCCCGACATCCCATTCATATCAGAGGCGTTCTTCTTCCTTATTCCCTGGTAGTCCTTGAACACCTGGGTGAGAGCCTCGGTGCTCGGCTCGGCGTTCTTCGACAGCAGCTCGTGCAGGCCGTTTGTCAGGACTGCTGCCGACTGCCACCCGCTGTTGAGCCCGAGACCGACGTTGGGTGTCATCTTGTGCACCGTGTCTCCGATCAGCACGGCGCGGTCGCCGAACCAGCTTGGCGCAACGCCTTCCTCGAGTCCGGAGAAATAAGACCACGTTGTCTCAGACCAGATGTCTTTGAACTTGACATCCTCCGAGACACTAAGGTCCTCGACCGCTTTCGCGAACTGCAGCTTCTCGTCCTCCGTGTACCGTAAACTCCCTTTTGTTGTTGTGGGCAGGCGCTCATAGACGACGAACATGGCCATATCGGGCCCCGGGATGACCTGGATCGAGGTCTTGTCTCCGTGCATCTCGTACAACGTCTGAGAATCAAGGCCCTTTGTCCAACTTGAGCAGCCGTAGAGTGCTCTGTAACTCGTCGTAAATGGCTCTGCGTGCTTGTCGTCTCCCTTCCCAATGTGGTTCCTGACCGAGCTGTTGACGCCATCCGAGCCGACCACGATGGAGCCTTCATGGACGGTGCCGTCCTTGCAGCTAACCTTGACGCCGTCTGCCGTGGTCTCGATCCCAGTCACCTCAACGTTACTCAGAATGCGAGAGTCGTGCTCCGGAAGGGTGTTGTAGAGATACTCGTGCAGTTTCGGCCTGTGAAAGCACATCCATGGGTGTCCAAGCCTAAGGATATTCTATCATCAGTTCCGGCCGTTCATAGAAGCTTTGATCTGAGGGTTGTGGCAACTCACGCGACGCCGACTCTCTCCATCATGTTGCTCTTCTGAAGTACAGACCCATCTTTTCGCACGTTTTGCTTGTACTTGATCCCGCAGTCGATCTCCTCCGCTCCCTTCAACAATCCGAGCTGGTCCAGGAGCCTCACGTTGTTTGGCCAAAGAGCCATTGAGGCTCCACCTTTCGGAACGAGCAGATCACTCCGCTCCAGAACGATGAAATCGATGCCCGCCTTGGTCAGGCAGTGGGCTAGGCCGAGGCCCGACAGGCCACCGCCAACAATGATAACTTTGAAGCCCATTTCGTCTGTGGATAGTACAGAATGAGGGAAAAGTTGGGACACGGAGCCGACGAGCAATGCATCCCGAAGATCGTGCCGGCATTTACTTATCTAAAGCTTTTTTTACGACACGGTCTAGAAGCGGATCCGCGGCGCTTCAAACCAAGGCCCCACCCAGAGCCGGATTTGCAGCCCCCTGGCGGTGTTCCATGATCTCCGGAGAGGAGCTGGTCGTTTAGACAACACGTGGGAAGTGGATAGCAGCCTCGGCCTGGCCTTGAACAGGAAATCACTTCGCAGGCGAGCGGCGCTTCTACGGCCCGCGCCTCAATCCACCCTCGCGTTTCCGTCCAGATCTGCGCCGATTTCCCATTTGTCCCGGTAACAAGGTTTGCGCGTTTGGTGGGGGAATCCTTGGAATTTTGGCATGGTTCTGTTAAACCCGAGGCTTATCATTTCTGGGGAATTATCGACTCCCCTTGTTCCTGCGCTAACAAGCTCAGAGGTTCCATCGGCAATCTCAACTGCATGTCAATAGGGGTCGCACGCCATGCGCTCGCCAGGGCAGGGTTCCCATAAAAGTTTGGCAGGTGGGTCAGGTAGCATGGAAAAGGGCAATTGCATACGACGGACAGAACCATCAGGCCATCAATCCGATGGGCACGGGCTAAGCAAGCACGTGGCGATCGAAGAGACCTGCACTCGGAGAATAATTCAAGATCCCGAGACAAGCTCCTTTTTTACGACATTCAATTGCAGGCAGGTGTCTTCGGTGCACACAGGGGTGGAGAGGACAACTGATCATGGTACACATATCCACATCGTATATCAAACCGCTCCGGAAATAACGACTCCCTAATGCGACTGGCGTTCTCACTTGGGACCAATCAGACTGTGTGCGTTCACCTGGCAGCAACGAGGCGCCAGCTGCTCTTTCCAACATCTCAGCCATGGGCAGATAGCCAACAACGATGCCGTCGTTTGCAAGTTTGCATCACACCTGGCTCCCTCTGACCGAGAAGGCAGTCCGCTACTCCAATGCCCTGTTTGAACTGTCATGTCTCCTTCCGCTTCATCTGCCTTTGTTGTGTCGGGAAGGAAGGTTCGTGCGACAGCGTTCACAATTCGCATTACCCTCGCAACGAGCGACCCTCCTTCAACTCTTCAACTATGAACTGTAAACAATCAATCAACACCAAGTCCCTGTTTTAGGCACATTTGTAAAGGTACACCACAGGCACCAGACTTTTACTCGTTCCTCGAGTCATCTCACCTTGAATTTGTCCACGTGCTAGCTGCATCCATGGGAAACGTCAATTCGGATATCGACAAGTCTGCCCCTCCATCCAAGGACTCTACCCTGTCTGATGGAGAGATTCCTGACCATGACCACGTCGCAACCACGTCCACATCCGCGGCTGCGAAGACCTCTTCTGCAATTTCTAGCAGTGGTGATGGGCGTCGAAAGTTACCTGACGGTGTGAACTCGGGAACTCTCTTGTCTGTACTCAGCAATGTTCTTTCCGGGCGCTCAGCAGAGGGTGTAAGTGAGACCTGCCGTTGACATCAAACCTCCTGCGGCATTTCTATCCAATGTCTCATGCATTGCCAGAGCAGCCTCCATTGCAACGTGGATGGCTGGGTGATCATAAACAGCGATGCACACTGTCTTGTCCTGACCCTTGCGACACTGTTTTCTGGAACATTTAACGTGGCTTACTTCCTTATGAGCAGTTTCTTGTATAGGCACCGAAGACCTGGCGGCCGGATCTTAAGCCCATGCTTCGATGTGCAGTTGAAGGTCCCGACGGTAAAAACCAAGTCAAATACCTGACCTGGGACCAGTCAAAAGGCGAAGACCTCGGAATCCACCGCCTTTCAGGCGACTTCTTCAACTCAGACGGATACTGCGCTTGCGAGCCTCTCTGGCTCAGGGGTGGCGACTGGAATCATGCGACGATCTCTTTTTTCAAACAGTTGGATGATGATGATGAATGGGAGGTCGTGCACAACGTGTTTCAATACGAGAACATTACACTACCAAAATTGAGCGAAAGAGCAATCTGGGCAGAGAAACCGAGTGTCGAATGGGTTGGCTTGAGATTCTGGGACGTGAAGTTGAGAGAGACATTCGGAGTGGGCACGAATCCTCACCGTGGTAGGCTGCGCGTTGTCACGCACAACCAATTTGGAGATAGCGACTTGAAAATGGTCATGTGAGTATCCTCTTCGCTCCCGGCCTGCCACCCTTTTTTCGTCTAGGCATGCGATAAGCCTCAGGCATGGCATGGAACAGCTGTTCACCTAGACCATGGGCTTTGGCTTGTAAGTCGCACTCCATTCTGGGATTTTGCTAACCGCAATTTACATAGGAAAATCTGGCCAACACCTGTGAGTAGCCAAATTGGCCTGGAAAACGAGATGATGGTATACGGAGTTTGCGATGGCACGGGCATTACGCCGGAGTTTGTTGGCTATGTCAGCGAGCAGGGGAGGGTCATTGGAATGTTGACAAAATACCACGGAAAGGCACACAAGCCGAAAACCGACGACGAGAAGGAGCTGTGCCGCACAGCCCTGCACACTTTCCAGACGTTGACGGGTTGGCAGCGAAAGCCCAGGGCGAATCACAAAGACAACTATCTTATAGAAGATGGCAAGGTGCTCCTCATCGACCTCGCCAGCGTGTACCCTCCTGAGGAGGTTTCCAGGAAGGGAAATGAGTGGACACAGAAGCTTCTTCATGAGGACTTTGACGCACACTGGGACTACGACAAGCACATCCTCAACTAAGGCTAGTGGAAGAGAGACCCGTGATGGGGTAGGCAGGGATCGAATCACAGTATACGAAAGCAAGTAGAAATAAGTAGATTTATACCCATTCCAACAACATTGCTGCTTACATGTTCATTTCTTGTATTCAAAGCGAACAAAAGAAGCGAAGGACGAAGTCTAGATTGAGGTGTTTTGCAAAATGTTGAGCTTACTGAGGTATTGGAGTCAGAGGGGAGTCCTATTTCCAGCTCTTCCCCTGGACCAGATCATTGCAAGACCCCAGTGGCGACCATCAAGACCGGGCGCTTCAACTTTTGTGAACAGCATTTGACAATATGTCATCAACCCGGTGCCTGAGTAGCCTCTGCGCCAGACATTCTGTTATATGCTTTCGATTGATGGCGCCCGGGGATCTCTTGACCTTCACTCAGGGAACCGCAGTCCAATCTGATCCATCCAAGCCAGGTCTATTCCATCCTCGCTGTAGTAGATCTCCTCAATCTCGCGGTACTCCTTAGCATATCTGACCGCCTCTGCCTGATTTCCCAGAAGCATGTTGAATCGCGAGCACTCCTGGTAGCTAATCCAGTTAGGTTAGCTGAACCGTCCGAATGATCTGCGTGTGTTGGTGGACCATAGAGGGCGGTGAGATAGTGTAATGAATACCATAGGGTTTCATAGAGAAATACAACTTACATCTGGCGAAGTTTCCAGTATCCCACACCGGCCTCCTCCATCGATCGTAGCAGCTCTTCGGCCTTTTGAACCACCTCCAACGCCAGGGCTTGGCGGGCATTGTGATCATCGGGAGGCCAATCCTTGATTGACTGATCCAGCCTCTTCTTGAGCAGGCCCATTCTCTCGCGCTCAGGGTCGGTGATTCTTGATTCAAGACAAGCTTCGCAAGCGCATGTGAAGCCCCAGTCCCTCCGTGTCTGTTCCAGTCGCTGCTCGCAGGTCATGAAATCCTCATTGCCACCGAAGTAGCTGATGAGGATCTGCTGCCCTGCCTTGATATTCCAGCCGGCATAGACAGTCTGTCGATTGGTCTTGGCGCTGAATATGCTGAAGACGTTGGGCTTGCAGGAGTGATTGACAGAACTGAAGGTGCGGAAAACGGCTGAGCCAGTGTCCTCGCCGTCTTCGATGATTGCAATAGCGTTGGTGTAGTAAGTTGCGTAGAGCCTGACCAGATTCATAAAAGAATCATTTCGGACATCGATTGCATTCTGGGGATCTTCGCTGCGGATTTGTGCCAAGATATTGCCGGGCAGATTTTCGTTCAAGAGCCGAACGTTGCAATGAAGGTCCCTGAGGCCGTTCATATCGGGGTCTATCGAACGCGCAGCTTGACAGAACTCTCGAAAGGGCGTTGGTGACGGTGGTAGAAGTATGATAGGGCTCTCTACGAGGATGCGAGTTCCTACTGATATGTCGACAGTTGCAAACAGACCTTTGCCCATCCCGTCTTTGGTAGGGCGAGCCTCAAGCATGGTTCCGAAGCTGGCACTCATCGTTGTGAAGAGATGTGTGAGCCGTTTACAGAGGGAGATAAGGAAAGGGGAATTAGTTGGTAGGTTAGTTGGTATTTCGTGGATCATAGAAGACGGCCTCGCCAAAGGTGATTAAAGTGAGCAAAGTGAGCATACTTGGCACCACAAAGCAAGTCACATTTCACATTCACTCACAACTACAAGATTGATGTTCAGTACATGAGTGAATGGTTGGCTGAGTCATGGGTGAGCTATATATATATGAACAGGCCGTTGTGTGCTTTTGAAGTGAATTAAGTCCTTCCAGGATTGTACCTATGAGGAGGAACACAATGAACAACTTTTGGTGACACACCTAAGAATGAAAGCATGGAACAAATATGATTGATATGTATCCATAGTCAGATTTCACGAAGGAGTTTTTCTGAAGAATAGGTCCCACTCTGCACATCAGGTCATGGTGGGTCATTGGTGGCCAGAGTGAGGCAGGGTGCCCATCATTTGAAGGTTCACCAACGTCCAAGACAGGCTCACAAATTGCAAGTAGCAATTAATATGAAGCCAACTACCCACATCGATTCTTTAAAGTAGGGACTTCTTGATATAAACCTGTGCATGATCTGTATACAATACACCTTGGTAGATGACACTCTGATGTTACCTAGGTACAGTGTAGGAGGAGCAGGAAACACTACTAAGTAAACCTTCTCTGTATTACCATGCATATCTTCGCTCGATGAAGTACTGGTCCATCGTCAACACAATGTTATTGCCGTTTGCAATGTGATGTTGGTGGCAACTATGTCTTGAACGAAAGAGCAAGACTAGGTTCACCCCCACCCTCTGCAATGCCTGCTGATATAATACAGCGCGTTGATTGGTCAATGTTATGACGTCAAAATCTGCAGGCTTGAGCTTGGGACCAGGGTACCTATGCCGGGATCGCTTCTCCATTCCAGCATCCGTACAACACTCCATCTGCAAATATTCTCCACCAAGCTCTTTGCAATCTCAGACATCCGCATCCCAACCCTCCAGACTTACACATCCAACGAGTATGCTATGCCAGAGGTGCGCCACCTTGCTCCGAGGCAGCCGACTAGCCGGACTGCCTAAGCACACAACCCGCCAAGCTTCATCGAGCTCCGCACTGCCCCGACGCCTCGGTCATCCGTCAACGTCAACAGCTCCATGGGCTCCTCGATTCATCCCCAGACAACCCACCACAGCCCTGCCAGCCGCTACGATTAGACCATACTCGTCTTCAGCACAGCCTGGTACAAGTGCGACCGCCGCCGAAGCGCCGAACCCATCAAGTACCCTCGAGAAGCCCGACTTCCTCAACGAAGCCGAGTCCGAGGTCTGGGACCGCCTCGCCAAAGAGTTCAGCCCAGTCCAGCTGGTGGTCCAGGACATATCGGGAGGCTGTGGATCCATGTACGGGATCGAGATAAGCTCGGAGAAGTTTCGCGGTACAAATATGCTCAAGCAGCAGCGGATGGTGAACGCCGTTCTTAGTGACTTGATGAAGACATGGCATGGCGTACAACTCAAGACGAGGGTCCCATGATAGAATGCTTGGGGCCGAGGAGGAAAACGACTTGCACGGTCCTGGCTCTATTACCGGACCGTCCGGCGTGCGTGGATGCGTGGAGCAACCCGGAGGCAGCATGGCTGCTCTGCGCGACGCATGGACAGCACTGCTGTCACTAAGCACTTGTGTATATACAGGGGGTGGAGCGACGACCCAAGAGGTCGCTTGTAATTACCTGTCAAACCACTCGAGAACGCAGATGTGGAAGGACGCCCGCGACATTGGGCCTCTTCCCATCACCATCATCAACGGCGCGGCCGCACTCAGCGAAAGCCATTGCTTGGTATAGCTCCAACGACAAATCACTACTCATAATACATGTGAAACAGAACATCGGCAAGAATAATGACTCAATTTGGTGGAATCGGTACAGGCCCAAGCCTTTCGACCGGCCCAGTGGAAGCGCAGGTTAGAAGTGCCTGAATATGCTATCTTCAGTGCCAGCTGTCGTCTGCCTCTAAAAGGCTACCCAAGCCAGTGAACCAACACAGTGATGTCCATTATGACTTTGCACTTTGCGTTGGACTTTTGTCCACTTGCCGCAGAGTCTGGCGTGCTACCCTCCCTCTTCGGCCGGCCGAGTTACCACCTCACAATCCGTGGGTAAGGAGACATTTAAGTCTCAGTGTTCTTTCTCTTGCACTTTTCGCACTTTCCATGCACTTTCTTCTCCTTTAAATTGTTCTGATTTCCTGGTGGTAGGATCCAGCACGCGTACCCCGTGTGTTGGAAACGCTCGCAGGAAAATCGGTCGAAGTTCGCAACCCCAGGGGTTACTCTGCACTGAACATTATGAATTAGCTCCGCGAGAGGCTTCTTGGACACCATGTTGTAGTTATGAAGGAAATATTCCAGTATTCTCTGGGTATAAACTCGAAAATCCTACTCTTCCAAGATGGGTGATTGAGTGCGACAGTTGGCGTTGACCGTTTGGGGCAAAGGGGGGGGGGGGTGCTGCAGCAGATACTTACACCGCATGCATATTTCTCAAGAACGTATTCACACATGGTGCGTTCCTGAATCTTTCTTATGATTTCGAGTGTGTTTCCAAATTCTATTTGTCTACCTCTCCGTTGGATGTCGTTGTGAGCGAATGTTATGAACTCCGAGTCCGAGTCCGAGGCTGAGGCTTCTCAGATCAACGTAAACGGTGTACGGGAAATTATATAGTAAGTGAAAAATAATGTTGAATCATTGTTCTTGTACTGTGACAGACTCTCGTCAGACTTGAATGTGCCCATTGTCTTCTGGTGTCTCATCGATGCCAGCAAGTCACTCTACTGGATGGGAGAAGTGACGTCCAATGGCAGAACCTCTCAAACGCTCACAGTCTACAAACAACATTGAACTGCACACCGGCATGTTTTCTAATTGAGAATACAGACCATTCTCATACAACTCTACCAGCCATCAAGCCAAATTTATGGTAGGCACTCAAGTCTCCTAGATCGCCGCACAGCCAGTCTAAGATAATGACGGGCTGCCTCCTGTGCTATCTGATCTGCTCAGGGCGATGATGCGAGTATGCACACATAATTCCATCCATTATGGCTCGTGGGCACTTCACACGCCGTGCCCCTCCAAGTAAGTCCAATGTACCTAATGAGGCTACTTTGGCAGTTTTAAGGAGTCACAATGAGTGATGACGGTCTCTTGGGACCTGGGCGCTCAGGTGAACGTTCATCCCCGAGGGATGTCTACACAAGCCTGGAAATCTTTATACCTCCATAGTAATTGGCTTCGAACCAGAAGTCATGTCAAATGGGAGGGTGCCATCGAGTTGCTGTCATTGAAGTTCACACCTTGCCCCCCAAACCCCTGCCACTTACACGATCCCGGGTGGTGTCGTAAGTGGGTCCCTGCACTGGCCATCTGCAGTCACCGGCGAGCTAAGCTTAGGCGACCGTTTTGGGGCACACTACCAACAAGGGTAGCTCCAGATGGCATTCCCTCTTCTTCCCTTCTACAACCAACATCGAAGGTTCCCCGAGCACAACCAAACTCACCCACAAGCAACCGCAAACAACATTGGAAATTCACCATTCAGGTACCGAAAGCCCAAAACTCAACGTTCAGCATCGCCCCATCGCGGAAGCAAACAATAGCCCCGTCGATTCCCAACCTTGTAATCGCAACCGCAGATCGCAAACCGCAACAATGAAGACCGATCAGTATCTGAATCTTTGTCTTGACCAGGCTGCCCTGTCCACCCTTCACTACCGCCATGGCTGCGTCGTCGTCAAGGGAGGCAAGGTCATCGGCCAAGGCTTCAACGATTGTCGCCCAGGATACGACGGCGGCAGCGTCCTGAAGACCGGGGCCTTGCCAAAGGCTGCGGCCAACGTCCAGCCTGACAAGCCGGATCCGCCAAAGCACAAGAGCGACTTCAAGGCGGTCGAGAGCGTCATCGGCAACTGCGGAGGTGGCCATCACGCCAACGCGTATCTGACCATGCACAGCGAAATGATGGCCATCAACTCGGCCCTCTCGTCGCGCAGTACCCTGGCTGCCAATACTGTGTCTCATGTTAAACCGAGCTTCAAATTACTCGGTGATTCCAAACGGAAACGAGAGTTACAGCGCAACGCGGTGCTCTCCTACGCCCAGGCCGTGTGCCTCGCTACCTTCGGGCAGGAGGTTCAACAAGGTGCCGGCGCGGCTGAGGCAGACGGGTCGCGCGTTAGACCTTCCACATATCGATGCAACGACCTCCTATCAGACGACCAAGAAACATGGCTATCACTATCATCATCACTACAGTCATCACTCCTATCAGTATCAGAAAGAGAAGGGGTACAAGAACAAGTACAAGTACAAGTACAACAAGTACAAGTATAAGCCGGCGAAGGGTTCGAAGGATGTTCCAGCAGCAGGATCTATGGCTCAGAAGAGCGAGGACTCGGACAGTGATATAGCCGTTAGCGGCGAAGAGGACGTTCCTCAGGACGCCACAGAGAGCAATAAGAGCAAATTTGGTCTGCGCAAGGTGAGTTGCAACAGCTGACCTCAGTCCTTGTGTCGACTTTTGCTGACTATCAACAGGCACGGAATCAGCACCTTCTCGTGCCCAAGGGCCGTACCGTTGGAACGTCGCCAGGCGTAAAGGAACGGATGAAACATCCCAAGCTAGTCGGTGCCGATGTTTATGTTGCGCGCCTCGCAAATGACGGCCCATCCGCGGAAACCATGAAGAAGCGTCGTGCGCATAACCAGCCAAGCGATGAGACTGTTGAGACAGCGAGTCCGGATACCTGCACCACGACTTCCGCCGTGTCTGCTGAGACAGGGTCTTTGCATGACGAGCTAATCATGAAAACGTCCAAGTCAAAGCCCTTGCCCTCAATCTCGGAAGATGTCAAGCGTCCGCCTACTCCCGCCGAATCACGTCCGTGCTACCGCTGTGTCGCCTACATGCACTCGGTTGGAATAAAGCGAGTGTTTTGGACGACCAACGACGGCAAGTGGGAGGGTGCCAAGGTTCGGGACTTGATCGATCAGCTCGACGGCACCATGCGCAGTGACACGGATACGACCCTCGGACAGGCTGCGATGGATGTTTTTGTCACCAAGCATGAAGTCTTAATGCTCCGGAGGTTGATGGGCGGTGAGGGATAGATAGATCGGAGCGCAATGCCACCGAAGTCACTCGTAGGGTGTGCTACACTGCTCACGTTATCGATTGAAACTCTTACTCTAGATCTAGGCGCCGTCCGCTGAAATTGAATGCCAACCTCCCTCTAAAAGCAAGTCCGTCTATACTATTGTTATGCCCGCCAGTGCCCGCTCATCAGAGCTATAGATCTTCTGCTTTTCCGAACCATCCAGGTTACATCTGTACAAAGACCCACCGAGGTCAGTGAGGTACATGTGACCAGCTTCGAGATCAAGCTTCAGCCCGATTGCCTCATTCAAGTGTCTCACGAGCACCTCGTACGGCTTCCCACTGCCGCTCTTAGCCACCAAGCCAGACGCAGGATCCAAGGTTGCTCGGTTCACGGAGTTGCCTAGTGGCAGCTCGCCACGATCAGTCCAATATAGCAAGTCGTTGCTTTCGTCAATCTCGAGGTCAATCGGCTCTGGGAGGTTATCCAGGAGGAGCTGGACGTCTGTCCGGCTCTCAGCCGTCTGTCCAGCGGGCATGTCGATGCTTGCGCAGAAAATACGACCCTTGCCGGATTTCGAGGCCGCCTTCTGCGTCCAGTAAAACTTGCCGTGCTTGGGCGAGACGGTGATCCCCACACACCACTTTGTCTGGTCTTCGAAGCCCTCTGCCTCCCAGTCGCCAGTCTTGATGATGGTCTCGAGCTCGCCGCCGTCGTAGTTGCAGCGGAACACCCGCATCCCCTCGCGGCCGCAGAAGTACAGCTTCTTGGACACCGGCTCGACGACGAGCTGCTTGGGGGTGTTGGCCACGCCCTTGGGCACGATGCACCTGGCGTCCGAGCCATCCTCGAGGTTCGCGGAGAATACTTCGCCATTGGGGTGGCCTGGCAAGCCCATGCACGTCCAGAACATGCGCCCCGAGGACTTGTCCACGTCGATGCCGTCTGGCAATGCCTGGCTCTTGGCGAGGACCTTTTGGTTCTTACCGTCGCCTGACATCTCCAGCACGAAGCCCGGCGCCGGGGAGACCTTGGTGGCCGCCAGTCCAAGGTCGAGAACCAAAAGACGGGGAACGCGAGGATATAAGCCTCCTTTCTGACACTTCGCGCCCAGCTTCCCCTCGTCGATGTAATTCCTCTGCACGAAATCGACAGTCTTGTCCGAGGGCAGGCCCCTCTCAGCGACGTAATGCGACTCGATAAAAGCAACAGTGTCGAGACCGACGTCGTCCATCATCTTGCACGGCCCCCTTGAGTTCTCGAACATGGTTTTGAACATTCCGTCAATCTCCTGGGGCGTCGATACCTCATCGGCCAATATCTCAAGGACCTCGCGCTTCACCGCCGCCCAGAGCCGGTTGAAGATGAAACCCGTCGACTCCTTCCGGGCGACGTAGGGCGTCGTCCCCGCCTCCTTCTGCCTCTCGAGGAGGAACTCGATCACGACGGGGTCTGTGAACCCGCACGTCATCAACTCCACGACGTTGTTGCCGGGCGGCACATAATAGTGCGTATTCAGCATGCGCGCCTTCGTAGCCTCGTCCCTGACCTTTTCGAGCATCTCAGAGCTCTTGTAAGAGCTCGAGTTGCTCGCGAGGATCGCGTCCTCGGGCGCATGGGCCTCGAGGTCCGCGAAGGTGTCGATCTTGATCTGCAGCTTCTCCGGGACGGCCTCGATCACGAGCCATGCTCCCCGTACTGCGTCGGAAAGCTCGGCCTGCGTGGATATCTCCCCATAACCGTTGAGGTTGGCCTTGGCTGCTGGGAAGTCACGGGCGTTTGCTCTCACGTACTCCTCGCAGGCTTTCCGCTGCGAGGCATCGGGGTCCCTGACGCAGACGTCGTAGCCTGCTGCTACCCAACATGTCGCTAGGAGGGATGTTAGCTTTGTGCTTGTGATGGCACTGAGGAGGTGGGTGTAATTATTGTCCCACCTATGCGTCGTCCTAGGACGCCTCCACCCAAGATGGCGACCGGTCGACTGTGATAGTCTTCGGGGACTTTCCAGGAGGAGCTCGTGATTGTAGATGATTCAATGTCTAAGGCTGGGGCAGTGAGAATGCTGTTGATGATCACTTCACAAGATTGTGGTTCTATAGTGCTGGCAGAAGGCACCGAGTGTCTCTTTTATTTCCAAACGGCCTTGCAGCATAAGGTGAGCAGCCGCGTTCTCGCGATTACATGTTGGCGCCTGGCGGTCGACATCGACATGCGAGATACATGACGACATCTGGGCTCGCCAGGCAGCTTGGGCCACTGAAGCTGCGGCGGTAGCATCTCGCAACGTTCGTCGGGAGCGAAGGGCCGGGATTGGCACTCTGAAAAGCTCCCTAACCTTACGGCAAAAACCGGGGCTGTCCGCCGGCGCTGCAGACGGAAATGCCTCGGCCAAGCCCGGTGCCTCGGCACAAAGTGGGTCTCGCGGCACCCAACCCACCGGAGTTTCCGACATGGACGCGAACGATCCATTCTATCACCGAAGCCCGTGATGCGTGCATGCCTATTTGTATTGATTACGGCCCGATCCTACAATGAGTACCGCTCCCGAATTTTCCCTCCGCTTCCACACAGAAAACAAGCTATGTCAAAGTGCCGGCATTCGAACTCAAGTGCCACATGAGGTTTGAGACCGCGGTGAATTAGTGGTCAAGGTAGTGACACCAAGCAAGCTATCCTGCGCATTTCATTTGGGCTCCTGGAATTGACATGTAAGCTACGGGTCTGTCACATCGGAATTCACAGATCCATACACAATATATCTAGATGCCTGTCTTTGCTGATGTGACTGGTATGTGACCCATGTGTCAGCATGAACCTGGCCGTGATGCTGAAACTGGTCCAAAGTGATACTGTGACAGTCCGTGAACTTTTGGTGATAGCATAACGTGATGCAAACATAATGTGTTGTAAAACTTCAATGCAATTTATTTGGAAGAGTAACCTGGGCGATTGATTTTGTTGGCGGTCATCATCTCGGTTCAGCAATTGTGCAAGTCCAAGAACGCAAGGTGATCTCCTAGTCAGGAGGACCCGGGCATTTCAACTTCCTTGCAGCCAGTTGTGATGTGATAGACTTCGATCAGTTCTCTCTGCCTTAATCGAATACCGGATAGGCCCTGCAAGCAAGCGATCCTATGCGGGCGGTCGTGAGGCATCTCACCAAAAGTGCTTCATAGCAGAATGCCTTGATTTCGTCAGGTTACGCGTAAACTTCTACATTAGCTTGATCTGCTGTACGATTGCCGCTTTATATTCTCTCATTTTGCCCTCAGACGGTGATAAAGTCTCGAGAGGTGGTCGCGACATCAATTGACTCGGGCCCGTGTACTCGATTCTCTTTTGTAGTACCAATACTCGATTAGAGAGAGAGAGAGGTGGGGGGGGGGGGAGACTCATAACCTCGTCACCTGGCGTAGCGCTCCAAGGAGCTGTAGATGTGACTTTATGGTCCGTAGTGACCCTCTCTGCGCACTTAACTTGGATTTGATGAGTGGCACAACGTTTCATGCAAGAAACTCCCCAGGGAATGAGACAATTCCGCTTCCTCAGTCACATTCAGGACTTCGTGAGGATGTGATAATCAATCACTGTCAGCGAGCCGAGTGCGTCGTCGAGTCTACTCAAGCAATTGCCATACCGTTTCGCTTGGTCTGACAGTTCATTGGCGAACTCATTCCATGATCATCACGTAACGTGCGAAAAGATTGTTGTCCTGGGAGGATTGAGCTCACATGCGGTTCCATTCAGTTCGATGTTGATAGAGATCCCTCCGAGCAATGCCATTCACTTCCATGGGTCCAGATCTATAAGTGATCGCACTGAGTAGTGGCGACTATGAAGGCTGACCACTATATTGTAATTGGTAATCACGTACACAGTTGCCTTACTTTAAGACACCTTCATTTTTCATATTTTCCATCACTGAGATGCAAAATAAACTACCCTAGGAAAGAGTCGCTGTCGGATACACGGTACAGGACCGAGATACAGCTTTTGCTCACGCCGTTGAATACTGGCAAGCTTGATTTCTACCTTGAAATCTGAATTGTTCATTGTTTTGTAAGAACGTCTCAAGTTTCGCATTCAACTCATGTCTAATTATCATTGCTAGCCTTGTTGAACCATTTGGTCTGTTTACAAAGTCTGTCAGCCATCTCTGGATTGGATCTAATCCTGGAAACATTCAAGTTCACAAAGTTGTTCATTTAATTGATTTGCCCTGTCCTTCAACGTCCTTCAACATCCTTTAGTAGCCGAGCTCACATCTTGGTACGATCTAGCCATAACTTCTCTGACCGGCGCCGGGTGAGAAAGCTCGAGTCCCCATAATCCTTCTTCTAGCCTTTGCTTGCATGCCCTAGCACTATTGGTACTCAAATGGTGGATCACCTAAATCTGGGCCGCCAAACATACCCTCTGACGCAACAATGTTTCTTGCGTTGCAATAGTTTTCTCCATTCGCCTCCTGTCGTGATTTCCCAGGAATGATCCCGGAGCGGTATCCGCGGAAAACAAACAATATCTGAGCCACTTTCGTGGCGGGGAATTCTCGGAAAAGATTACTCATAGAAATGTCACGACTACTAGTCTCAACATTTCTCCTTCACATGCAAGAGACCAATCACGCGACTTGTTTCACCACGTTCGGCCCTATCATCAAACAGGCACAGATCATGCGCGATTGCCCAGCCTCCAACGTCACAATCGGGGACTCAGCACACGTCATGCAGCATTGAACCCACACCTGGGAATTTTGATGATCGCTGATGCGCGAATACAACTCAATCGGCGCAACGCCCCTCGCGCAAGGCTTGGAGCTGTCCCGCCCTGCCAGTGGCCCGGTGCTACCTCGCAGGGCGTTGCTGAATCAGTCCCCGAGAATATCTACACACCGAGCGCCAAGTCGGAGGCAGGGTAATTTAGCTAATAAGTGTGGATGCCTTCGTAACGAGACAAGAGCTTTGCAGTTTCACAGTTGCTCCGTCCCAGCTGAGGTAGAGGGCCGTGTGTGACTCGTCCAGGAGGGCCTCATCATCTCGGCCGATGTGAGGCAGTGCCCAGCACGGCACCGTTGAGCACTGGTCCAAGCGAGATGATAAACTCGCGGCTGTGTGGACGAACTCGATGTGCAAGAAAGTTTAACTTTTTTCGAGGAGTTCGCAGCCATCTTGGCGCAAATCTGCGAGGGACTGAACTTTGCCCTGAAATGACTAAGGATCAAACCGTGCGAGTGCACACCTTCAATCGAGTATCAGCTAAAACTCCCTGCAGCAGGCTTCTGATGTGTAGTGTATATTCAAAATGAGGATCTGCAGAGATGTTCAAATTATATAGACCGATAGCATAAATACATAGACAGATTTGTGAATAGCCCAAAATTGGGTGTATTTATACCTACTATCTCGTCTCAAACTGCGAATAAAATGGTGTTAGAATATGGTCCTCCAATGCCCACAGTGTGGTTTCTTATCTATCATCTTTACAGCCCACGCATTTCCAGCATATCAATTGCGCACAATCCAAACTCTTTCTAATCATGGCATATTTGTAGAACGACGATATGCCGCCGAAGAGTTATCTGACCTCGTGATATTGTAACGTCTCGCTCCAAGTGATAAACGGACACAGTAGTCTTCACTTTCTGCACTATTTCGCGGAGGTGTCCATTTAATTTTTCTCCCTGGAAGGACCGAATGTAGTCCAATCTTCGGCTTTAGGTCCATTCCGTCTCTTTTATTTTTGTCTGTATGGCGCCTCTCTAGAGCATTGTCTCCAAGCACATGGACAATGCACACATCTCCTGACAACGTGAGAAGTCAGCCCAACCTCGTTCGATGAGCCTGATTCAAAATCCCCATGCCTGATATTAAATTTTGCCGCGCATTCCAACGCGAAAGACTCCATCAACTGGAATACGCGTAAGGTCACATCGTGACCCACAGATCGGAGCGTGGCAAGACCTGAGCCGGATTGTCAAGATTTCACATGCTCTCAGAAAATTACCGCTGGCACGCCCCCATCGGCCCCTTCCATCCACATCAAATTCAATGTTTACGGTGTGTCCTTCCCACAGCTGCAGATGCGTTCATCCAAGGGGCAAGGCCGCGACTCAGTAAAGGGGCAGGAACCAGACGTGGATCACCACAGCTACGTGCATGGACTCTAAACAGGATCTATTAATCGCCAGCGGACCGAATTATGGACCGAGCCAGACCGCGGGAGGCGTATCAGATCGCCTAAAAGTGGACCATACGGGGATCCACAGCTATAACACAAAGTGTAGCCCAACACTGAACTCTGCATCAAGGGCGTCAATAGTGTCATTGAAAAATGGTGCTCATCCCTTGGCGACTTTAGCCCATAGCCCGAGGGCTCCAATGACATTGGGCCCCGCGTCATGTTCTGTAGGCTGAGTTGCGCCCGCTCCTGCCCAAGGGCTCCGCCCTCCTGGGAGCGGCGAGAAAGTCAAATGGATGGGTCCTGGCTTCTTCCGCCTCACTGAATCGTGAACTACCTCAGCGACGGGCTCGCGGAACAAACCGGGTGGGAATGTTTCCAAATTTTTTTTGACGGAGCCCATGCATTTTCCCCCCTGTTATTCGTGCTCACCAGGGTTTGCATTTAATTCCCAACTGTCCCAAATCATAGTCAACCAAAATATGGGCTGCAGGAGGGAGGGCTTGGCCCCGTTCAAATTCGGCACCCGCTCTAATGCAGCTTCGGCTTGGCGGCCGTGACGGCTTGGCGGTTATGTGCCGCCTTGAGATCTGAGCTTGAATTATTACGAGGTTGGTGTGCGGCTGGGCTTGGCGGGCTGGGCGAAAGGCACGCCGAGACGGGCCAGTCCGGTAACCCAACGACTTGTAACGACATTGGAACCCGCCCGTGAGACCAGACTGAAGGACAACCGACCGGATCAGGAATTTTCAGAATGGGTGGCGATTGAATTGTGGCGGAGCAGAGCAAGTGCAACAAAGGACAGGGTGAAACTATTTTGTGTTTTGCGCAATGGTTTACAATTGTCCTTCTGGGCATCGCTAAGGTCATTCCGCAATGTCACGTTCGGAGTTACTCAAGCCTTTTCAGGATCGTGGGAAAGGTTTTGTGAAGGAGAGCAACAGAAGGTTTTTTTTTTTTGGGAACGGGAGCCTTTCTGGGCCTGACAAATTAAACGAGTGACGGTAGTTGGTCTTTTTTTTCTTTTTTTCCTTTTGCGTAGCATTCTAGTCAAAATCAAATTAGTCTATGGGGATATCGTACTCTACGTCCAGAAATGAGCGCCTGATGGAGCATTCTGTGACTGTCTCCCAGTAATGCCTGCTCCTCCGTCCGAGTTGAACTGGTCAAGCGCAGTTGCCAACGTTCATTTTTCCCATAGAAAATCAATCCCATCCACAACGCCTGGCAGTAGAAGTGCAATGCTAGCAAATTTTGAATGCTGAATCCATGATGCAAAAAAGAAGTGTGAAATCCTCCTCCTCAGTGGTCTTCGACATCCTCGTCCCTGCCTGGGTACATGATATCCTGGACTATGACAGCCCGGATGTGGTGGTACAAGACAAAGAAGTATGTCAGTAGTATGCACACCGACATGAACACAGCAAAGTCGAGCACGATCTTGCTGTTGATCGCGTTACCAAGTGCAATGGTAGCGAGGGTGAAGCCGGTGTTGGGGAACACACTAGCCCACCATCCGAGATGGAAGTACTTGGGCCTGCTCTGGATCACTGCGACAACAGCAACTCCCCACCACCAGAGGGCGAGCCCCCAGAGGTAGACGCCGCCGAGGACTGCCATCTGGCGGACAAAGTGGACGTCCATGATGCCGTTGGAGTCAAAGTCGAAGTTCTCAGGCAGGCCGTTTGACATGCCGATGAAGGCGAGGCAGGTGAAAGATGGGGGCCCCACGTTCATGAAGAGACCGGCCCTGTGCTCACGGCTGGGCAGGCCAAATGACATCAGGCGTCCGACCATGTGGGCGTACATGAGGAACGACACACTGATGCCCAGACCCTGGCATGCGAGACCGCCGTACACAATGGCAACGGACATGAACTCGGGCTGGGTCTCGGCAACGACGGAGGCGATGGTGCCCGTGAGCATGATGGGGAAGATGGGCAGGATCCAGGTGGGCATCATGGTCTTGACCTCCATGGTGTGAGCCCGGAAGACGTAACTGTACTGGGCGACGGCGAGGATCAGTGTCACGGCAAGGTAACTCCAGAATGCAACCTGGATGGCCCAGTTGAGAGTCTCATCATTCTCCGGGATGGCGTAACGGTAAGTGTTCGTGATGAGTGTCGCGGTGGAGAGGAAGAATGTGGGGAAGAAGAGTCCCTCACGCGGGTGGCAGATGGATTTCTTGAGATCGCCCGGGAACAGGAAGAACCGCGCGACCAGGGCACTGGCGGTGAGTGTGAAGAGGATGAGGGTGATGACATAGACGACGAGACCGATTTGTCTCAGGCCGGGGAACTGGTACGGTTGTGCAAAGATGAGAAGTGATAGTCCACCTGTGCTCATGATGAGAGTCCACCATGCCCAGGTGAAGTGGTGTAATCGTTGCTTGAGCCCCAGCTTCGGCCTGTTTGGGTCGTAAATGTCATAGCCCTGGTATGTCTGTCGCTTGTGGTCGTCCTTCTTGATCGGGTCTTCATCCTCGTACTTTTCAATGTCGCGCTCGCCCGAGGGCGTCGACACCCGCGTGCTGTCGTTGCTCTCGATCTGAACGTTTTGGAAGTCGTTGGAGAAGCTGTTCGGGCGAGGTTGTCTGGTCTCGAACAGTCCTTGTGGAGCGGCTTGAGACTCCATGAAGGATGGCCTCTGGTCGAAGGATCTTCTTGCGCCCTCCATTTTGTGGTCGAGCAGCGGGATGGCTCAAGTGTTGTAAGCCTCGCTATCGGACGTTTATTCGGCGGGGTGCATGTAGGGTTATTGTGAATAGCAGTTCGTGTGATTTGTGGATGGAATATCCAGTCGACGCCAACAACCTCACCGCTAGGATGAGATAGACCGAGGAGGTATGTGCTGACGGACCGGGAGTGGCAGATGCAGATGCGGATGCGGATGCGGATGCAGTGAGCGATGTAAACAAATTGGACAGTTTGAAACAAAAGTGAAAGTCAATAATTGGTGGGACCAGCCTGTGACAGAAGAAATGGATCAGAGAGACCTGGGATATATATCATCAACAGTCGGGAACAGGAATGACAGGATAGGCATTAGAGTTATGTATCTTTGTTCAGAGGTCAGGTACGGGGATCGCCAGGCTAGCAGCGATATCAAATTGTAGATGGAAGATCCACATGAGCCAAGCCCTTCGCCATGCCCGAGCAGCTGGTGTTCCAGAGGGCACACAAGAACCTCCTAGCCACGGCAAACGGTTGCGAATGTGCAACAAATTGTTTCTGATTTTGGACTGACCCAATCCCAGTACTACGTCGTGGCGATCTGGTACAACACACACGCACCCCCCCCCCCCCCCGGCAGTGTGTGCGAAGCGGCTCTTTTTCGTGACATGGCAGCCAAGAGTTTGGAAGAAGTGGGTACGACCGCCCGCGAAGTATCGACGCCAAGGACGGACTGGACTGCCAGCGTCTAAGAAGGAAGGACGGAAGCTTCAGATCTTCAATCTGGCGGCCTGCTGGTGGGGACTGCCGAGAGAAGACATGGCCCACAATTTAACATGCTTCGCGACGTGAACGGCCAGAGCCTCAGGACCATGTCCTTCCACTGCCCCTGACCTACGTGTGAAGTACAAAAATACCAGAGACAGAAAGCGAGAGAAACACTTACCCAGCGAGGGACGGATCCAGACAGGCAGCCAGACAAACAAACAGGCACACCAGTACAGACAGTGGAGAGCTGGGGGCGCCTGGGGAACGGGGTCACGTCGACAGGCATGTGCAGAAACAGAGAACAGACAGAGGTCAGAAGCATCACATGGAGAGCCACGGAAGGCGATGTGCACGTAGCGTGTGCACTGCCTGTTTCTGTGGGTGGATGTTTCCCTTAGCACATGTTGGCATAATGGATGTGCACATATCAGAGATCTGCACGCACGCAACGCACGTACACACACGGTGGCGTCCAGGAATGCCGAGTCCGGGTGGTGAATGGTGAGTGGCAGGGGCGGTTGTCCGGCCTGTCTGGCCGTACTGGGTCAATGATTGCATGGGTGAGTGACATCAGCTTCAGCGTGCTTGTGCGGGCGGGAATACGGTGCAGCGCAGCGCAGAGCAGCGCAGTTCAGAGCAGTTCAGTTCAGAGCAGTTCAGTTGCTGCTGCGGTTCTGGTGCTTGCCGAAACCTTAAAGAAACTTCTGCTCTTCGTCCCGAAAACCCTGCCCCGAAGATTGTTTCGCCCGACTCGGGCGCTTGGCGACTTGGCGGGCCATGGGGGCGTGAAATTTGGGCCTGGACCGTGGGCAGCATGGGCAGAAGGCGGACGAATGAGTCGGGCTGTTATCTGGACCCCCACGGAGTTGGGATGTGGCTTGATGCTTGATGAGGCTCTGGATGATCGACGGAGGGAAGCCATCAAAATTAGAAGCAGGCCAAGACCCCTGAGGCCGGGAGAGGCAGCGGACGGCGCCGTCTCAAGACTTTGAAACCCATGCTGTCAAGGCCTCTCTGCTGCCGCCCATCCACATCCTTGCCACGGCGATTAAACACCAACCGGAATGCCGCCCTCGTCCCTCTCGTCCCTCTCGTCCCTCTCGGCCAGAACAGAGCAGTACAAGACAGCGTATCCCGCCCCCATCGCACCCTCGCCCGGCCTCCATGTCCTGGCACATCTGGCCTTGGCGAACCGGACCAGCCACTGGATCCGAACTCACAGACTCGACGGGACCCCACTGGCGCTGTCTGGCGCTGTCTGGCGCTGTCTGGGCCACTGTTGCTGATGGCTGCCCGAGTCCACTTTTGATAGACGATCGCTGCGTTCCCCGTTGTGAGACGTCCATTCTTGACGTGTCGTTGCTCTTGGCAACCCCCTACTCTATGTACCCTTCGCAGTCCAGTAGAGCTTCCACGCCCATTCAGCCCTCTGCTCTCTTCCTGTCCTCACACCCTCGCCCTCTCGGCCCATTGCATTGCCACAAAAAGAATGCCCAGCCTTTGAGAGCGGGTACCTCGCCCTTTACATAGGCCAAGAGACGCTCACTCTGCAGGCCGAGCCACGCAAGCTTCTCACCCGATCTGACTCGTTTCGTGCAGTAGTACATTCGCCATGCCCGCAGCCCGTGTGTTTTGTTGGCGGTTGGCGATATAGATCAAGCGCGTGTTATACCGGGTACAGACTACAACACCAGTCTTTCTAGTCCCGGCTCGCCAGTGTCACAGATTCACAGCACTCGCATCGCGGGCCCCTCCATTGGCTGGGAGTCGATCCGACGTATGTCAACAACCGCATTAGGCCGGCTATTGATTCTCGCGATGTGGGACTTCGGTGGCTCTTTCCGGACTCTCCGTCCTGATGTGCGAGGGGTGCTACGCAGCTAAGATTGGTACGGTACTATTGGGATTTTTTGGTGGGAGCCCTTGCTTGATCGCCGCGTCCGCTCCTCGGATTTTCGTGTTAGCCTCAGCTTCGGGCACCAAGTGTGCCTGCGTGCTGTGGGTCCTCAATCTTCGCCGCCCCTGGCGACCAGCCGCCCAGAGTCGCCCAGAGTCACCCAGAGTCACCCAGTCACCTCAACTGTGGCAATCACGGTATCATCCAATAACCTGAGCACGTGCGGCAATGTCACAGCTGTCTATCAAGGTGGTCTGGCAGCCTGCCTGTTTGGGAAATGCCCAGTCGGGAGACCGTGGCTGAGCAGCTATCGTAATGATCGTTGAGGTTTCCACCTTTGAGCTGCACAGTCGGTCACTGCGTCGCTGAAACCAACACTCCCGTGCTTGGTAAACCGTGGCGCCCAGGGTTGCGCCTGGAAGAACACGGGTTGTCATTCTGCTATCTTGCCTGTTCGACCCGGAATCCATCGTTCCGATGTTTGCTCGTGCGATAATGCATATCCAATGATTTGACTGTGTTCGTATCAAGGCCGGACGATGTCTCTCATGCGCTCGTGCTGATTACTTACCATAACGGTCCTTTTCCCGTCAGAAACACTTGGCCATAGTTAGTAACCCACCAATTTGTAAAATGCAAAACCGCTCCTGAGGCGGCCGGGTGTTGGCGAGCATCAATGTTGGCCGTGTGCGCTTTCCGGACGATGAGGGCGGCGGCGAGGTGCTCTCACAATACTATCATCTCATCACTACCAGACTTTGCCAAGGGCACACCTCTCACGAGTACGGGGCGACATGATTCTCGCATCTGGATGCCTGGACGAAGAAATGCCTGTTCAGGAAGTCGAATGGGATGGGCCTTGCTCTCCAAAAGGGGGGGTCGTCACGATCAAGGTTGTCTACAGATGCCCTCAGTCTTGTCTCCTGGTTGAACACTCCCAGGATTTCCGCATTTGACCCCATGCGCCCGGCCTCGTTTCTTCGCCGAGAGCCTCCATTCTGCAGGACCAAGATTTCCTCTATACACGCCCTCGCCGGAGAACCTAGTGCCGTAAGCCCCGGTACTTCTTTCCCCAGCACCTGGGCGTCTTGCGAGATTTGATCTTACAGCAGGCGACTCCCCGGGTCTATTCCCGGGGATGAAAGCCGAAATGAAGACAATGCTTATCGAAAAACAGGTTGCGGACCGCTTTCAACTCCATGCGGGTGGGCATAATATTGAAATCTAACAACGACACATGGTCGATGGCATTATCGGTGAGGGTGAACCTCCCGGTCGTTCATATAATCTCGGTGACAAGAACGCAATGAACCCACATATTTGCGACACTGATCTTCTGGTTAAGCACGCCAAAAAAAAAAAAAAAAAAAAAAAAAAAAAAAAAAAAAAAAAAAAGATTCCAAATTCGTCTCCGGCATCTTGTGCGGGCAAAAGTCCAGTTTTCTGTGTGGTCGACGTTACAATTAAAAGTCTTGACTGTCACAGGGGCAAATGCTTACTTACCAATTGGCAATTGCCAAATTCCCACCCTGAAGCTTGACCCTCATTCCAAGGCGCTCGAGTCAAATCGCCAAGTACTAGGGGACTGATTGCGCAACTGTTTCAATGGTAACCGAGTAGTGAGTGCGTTTCAAGTACAGAAACTACAAGGGTTGAAACCACAAGACAATCCTCAGATACCGAACCTCTAAAAACATACACTGTGGATGCACCTGCAAAGACAAAGTATAGCCCGCCGCATGCGTGCGGACAAACACGCGAAATTAGACGCCCTGCATAGATAATGATTTCCTAAATGCGGCTTCTCCAGTGCGCGCGTATCTTCTACCGCCGACCTCTACCAAGCCTAGGTGTGTGCCAGAAGTAGTTTGACTCCAGAAATAGAATGCTAATTGTGCTCATGGTAGGGTGCAGCGCGATGCCTAGCTGTAGGGGACCACTTGCGTAAGGTTCGCTTTGCTTACGTAAGATTAATAGGGGATGCCCAACAAAAAAGGCGGCGAACGTAAGTACCATTACGGAAGGATTGTCACAGGACACCCCCATCGGGATCCGTGAGGTATTTTTTGAAGTACCCAATAAGAATCAGACTTGGCTACAGTGAGCGAGAAGAGCGAGGCTGGGCGCGTAGGTGAATTCAAACCGTGAGAATTACCTCGACATCGAGCCTGTGCGACAAGGTGATGGCTCACGTCTCAGGGGCGCCAACTGCGACCGTGCTGTAGCAACGGCGTCCCGGCGCAGAGAGAGGTGAATGGCCGGCACATGAGAGGAGCCTGCAAAGATACACGAATGTGCTAATGCTACCCAGCAATGTCCTGATCTCGTGGTCTAATGATCGGTCATAATTGGACGTCCCACGCCGGCCGAGTCTTCAGAGGAAAAGCAATCAAGGTTACTGTAGTGACCGTTTCTGACGCAAAACCGATCTATTAATACGAACACAATATGGAGAATCAGAATCAAGTCTTCACGTTTGGAAGGTTTTGGAATTTTCACGACAAGTGGCTAATTACTGGCATTAGTAAAAACGTGGTTCGTACTCCCTTCGTTGCACGATAACACGTTGAGGCGCGGCGGTCGGAGAAACGCGGCTGATTTATCACAAGTTTGGGTCGAGAAATGGGGCCGCCACCTCCAAGAAACCTCCAAGAACCAACAAGAGATAGACGACAGCGATCCGTTCCGGCCGGGAACCGAAGGACAGAAAAACAACCAAGAAAGAGACGTGTCATCCCGCTTGCCGATGGGAATCGTTCCAGGGCCCCGTTGTTTCCCTTCCCGCGCCGATGCTTGGAAGAATCTTGGCCTGCAGCCCCTGTGGGCACGTGAGCGGCTCGCCTCGACGAGCGCGCCACAGGACTTTGTTGACGACATCTCCAACCGACAAATAGGGGAGCAATCAATCACGGCGGATTCATCGTGCCAACGTCTGTACCGTGTGGCCTGGAGTATCGCCCTTGTTCGTACAGCACAACACTGAACGAGCCGGCATGGTCGTGGTATCAAAGAATCACATCATAGACAGCTTGGAAGGTTAGCCCAGTGGTTCTGGTTGCGTGGCCCTTGGAGCCGTCAAGGTCACGTACGTCATGAAGTCCACGCTTATAATCGAGTGCTCCCACGATAGGTATTCGGATCGTAGATTTACAATTTTGTATCTGTTGCTCCCTGTGCACCTTGCAGCTTGGTCGCAGCGACCGCCTGTGCTCCTCTATGTCTACCGAACTGGAGCCTCTCAAAGCATGGCTAATGCGCTCCATAGGTCCCTTTGACCCAACCTCGCGTGTATTTAAGCAATACTGAATAAACGGCGACGATGGCCGAAGCCACATCAGCCCACCATGCATGGTGACTTTGCCATCATGGTAGCATTCCCAGGTTTCTGTCCTCAGTCGAACCCAACTCTGGTCCTCCTTCTCTCTCTCTGTGTATCATGTCCAGCTTGCCCCAGGCCAAAGTTATGCAGCCTCTCCCCAATAAGGTAGGCCTCATCCCGAATCCTGACCCTCCAGGAACGGAACACACCTAGCATACTCCGCAACATCGCCACACCAATAGCGCTAAGCAGCGCAGCAAAGAAGCAGAACCGATGAACAAGAACCACCGCTGCGTCGTTGCCTGGGTCTATGCCTGCAGATATACCGTAAGCGATGCACGCCCTCGCCAGCAGTGGGGGCCCGAATACTGCGATGGCCCAGACCGATAGACCTGGTACGACGAATGCGCGAGTGAGAACCTTGACGTCGGGCTCGAGCCAGCCACGTCTTAGGACAGCGCGGGTGGCAGCTGCAACGCGGCTATCGCGGTGCCAGGCGACGACGTATCGAGCAGCGAGCTTAAGGTAGATGACGCCGATCGTCCAGGACTGCATCACCCGAACTGTGTGTCGAGGGTTTTGGACGCTGAGAAGCGTGGCGTCAGGGGCAGCGCCTTTGGATACGACAGCCCCATACATGTACGTGTCCAAGGGAATCAAGACGTACAATTCCATCAGGCTGGCAACCATGAGTGGGAATACCACCAGCAGGAAGAAGTACGCGTAAACAAGCTTGGCTGCACGAGTCGCAACAAGTGCAGCGCGATGTAGGGTTTCGGGTTGAAGGATGTGTGATGTGGTGTTGGCTACCCGCTTCCTGGCCTTTTTGTAAATATCCTTGAGGTGGAACAGAAAGTAAGCGGCAGAGCCGAGAATGTAAATGCCAATGCTGAAGGCATAGATGTCGTTTGTACGGATACGGTCAGGGATGAGTGACCGGAACATCCAACGACCGAAAATCAGAGGGATAATCGTGAATCCCAGGCCTGTCGCAGCGGCAAAAATCCAAATGAATAGAATGAACAGGAAAATGCGGAGTCGGAAGTTTGGCGGAACATAGACGAATTGGTACTGAGGGGTTGAGTAAAGATCGACGCCCGGCTGCTCGATGCGATCCTGCCTCTGATTACCCTCCGTCACGTCCAAGAAGACTCTTTGGCCTTTAGGAATCTTCACTTGATCCGAGGCTGGAGCACGCACGAAACGTCCATCAGGAATGAGCTGATGAGTGCGCACTAGAGTGGCCTTGCTTGCGTTGGTGTCTTCCAGCTCCTGAGGACTGAGGGGCAGGGCGGGTTTCGCCTTCCCTCCTTCGAAGGTGCCTTTCCACGTCTTGGGTATGACCCTGCTGTCATCACTCCAAGAATATTCTCTTCCAAGGCGGTAAGACATAACCTTCTGGATGCGGTCGCATTTGAATTGTCCCTTCTTCGTCAAGCTTTCTCTCGCCAAATAAGAACCACGTGAGCCGCAAGGCCCGGGCCAATTTGCGGAACCACCAGGTGTACATAGCGTGAAGCCCGTCGCTTGGCTTGAAGAATCTGACGGCGAGGGGCATCAAGAAGTTGTAGAACAACAAGTCGATCGGAAATTCCAAGACAGGCTCGTTAGACGAATAGTGGATGGGAAGTACGTTCTGGAACCCGTAGGACAGAGCCCACACGACGCCACCTAGGCAGACGATGACTAGAGCGCCGTACACAAAAGCAGAGAACAGGATTTTCCGCAATTGCGTGGTGACGTTCCGCTCCAGAACGTCTCGGACAGGATGGAACTCGGCGTCATCAGGATCGCGGATGAAGTCTGCGGCTCATCGTAAGTAAGGATTCGTGGAGGGGGGGGGGGCATTATTGAGGGGGCATGAACTTACAGAGCACCCCCTTGCGCATTATTTTGCGGCACATGGACACGAACAAAGCAAAATGGAACATGTACCCTGTGCCGACAAACCAATGCACGAAAACGGAGGTGAGAGGGTAGTTGACCGTAAACATCACACGCGACATGATCGTCGTGTTCTCGAACAACGGCAGCAACCCGATATCCAGCAGAAGCCCGCAATACAGCGGAAAGACGAGCATCTCGATGCCGATGATGAGAATCACCTTCATGACGCCACTTGCTTGGTTCAACGCGTCTATCAAGGTTGCTTCCCACTCTTGCCCGACCCGCCCAGGGGAAATGGGCCCGCCGCGACCTAGATAGAGTGCTGCGGAGAAGGACAATGCGACGTACCCGCCCAAGATGGCCCAAACCCGGTCCATGGCACTCCAAGAAGCAAATTCCGCCTTCAAAGGCGTCACACTTTCAGAGGTACCAAGGTCGATGACCCATGAAGTCGGGTTCAACAAAAGGTTGGGCATATCACTCAAACCTTGCCACAACGTAGTTGTAGCGATCGTGATCCATGAGCAGAGTTCGGTTGCCTTGGATGAATAGTCACCCCCAAAGAGGAACAACACCGATTTCCCGAGCGTGGTGAACAAAAGTGCCACCTGGCTCTTCAGTGTGAACAAAGCGACATGGCTAACTGTTGAAAAATTGCGCACTTCGTCGGCCGATATAAACGGAAGGTCTGTCCACATGCTGTCGAGTAAGCTTTGGAAAGCATTCTCAGTCATGTTCCACGAGCCTTGCATCGACTGGCTGATCATCTCTGGTCGCGTTGCACTTGGCTGGATCACAGTGAAGAGCGTGTCCACAGCACCACAAAGCAGCGTGGACGCGAGCCCCATCAAAAGCAGCGCTGTGTCCTGCACCAACTTGGAAAGACTGAAGAGGATGCGAACGGGTCGAGCCGGATTGGCAACCAACCATATGGCTAGGCGTCCCAGGTTGTAGGGCAAGAACACACCAAGGAAGAGTGTAATGGAGACCAGAAACGCGCAGAACAAGGCATTCTGGAACAAGCCAGCAATTGGGCCTCGCATGCCGAGAAGTTCGAGAATACCTTCCAGGTCTTCAGCATCTTCTATGGCCTCAGCTTCGGCATCTATTCCTGCGGCTGCGGCCGCGGCTGCTGCTGCTGCTGCTGCTTCTTGGTCCTGTTCTTGATCCCGGAGCTCTGGCAGGGGATCCTGTGCGATTGCAGCTGCTGCAACTTGGTCGTGGTCGAAGAACTCATCAGCGGCATCCGGCAATGGCGGAAGCTCGTGAGCTGGGATCGCCTCAACGTCACGCCACATAAAGTCGGCGAGGCGTCGCGCGAGCCCATCCGCTTGAGGTTGTTCTTGGGCCAGCTCTCCATTGTCTTCGGCATCTTCATTTGGTTGCATTTCAAGAGGCGCGTTAAAGTCCGGTATGGCCTCCCAATCCAGAGGTCGACCAATATGCATCGCGGAACCTAAAAGATTCCCGTCTTCAGGATTCACATCGTTGACGGGGATGTCATCGATCTCGGAGGAGCCCGGCGTCTGGCCTTGTGAGCTCGACGGCGCGCTTTCCGCCAACGTACTTGACGGCGGCGTTGTAAATGCCCAAGGTTGCGAGGCCGAGCCATTCTCGTCGGGAAGTGTCCTTTGTGAGGAGTTCGGCATTCCAAGGGTGGGTGACTGTCGAGGATCTGTACGCGGAGACTCCAGAGAAGCATCTGGCCACGACCAATTGTTATTGCCCAAGGGGTTGATGCCTCCAACTCTTTGCGGTCCATCCGTAGCAGACCGAGGCCTGGACGTGTAGCTCTGTTCACCTCTGACATCCGATGATCCGTTAGTCAATGGCGCCTTGCCTTTGCCAGAATGCCCATCATCTTGTACATCTTCTGCCCACGGCCACTCCGGCTCTGATCCCCACTCCGCCATTTGACTCGACGACTCCTCTTCCTCGGTATGCAGCTCTGGTCGCTTCCGGTTCATCTGAGATTGAGTAAGTCGCACAAAGTAGGCAAGCCTATCCTCGAGGTTCTCTTGGCGAATAATGTTGATGATCGTTTCTGGGTCCCCTGCAGCCGCGCGATGGATTCTCACGTATTCATCTACGGTGCTTCTCCCAACCTCAGTCGCGTGACTATCTGATGCATTGGCATCAGTCGCTAATGTCGTTTGCGCACGTATATTCTGCTGTGAGGTTTCCCCCGAGGGGCCATCAGGGGTGCCTGTCGCAACCCTTGCGAGGGTCTGACCATCAGCTGCTGCACTCCCGTGGAGGTCCTCAAGATCAGTCCAGAGGGCGTCCCCGTCTCCCTCATTGCCATCCAGTGTGTCGTCGCCAAGCCCAACGTCTCGTGCCTCGGGGCCGGGAAGCCTGTCGATATCTTCTGGCCGCAATGCGTCTGCGGGGTCGGGCATAACCGCGGCTGGTGCGACGTTCTCTGGGGGCGCGGCATTCTCTGCGGCAGCAAATGCGGCTCGCATGTTTATATCTGGCTGTTGTTGAACGACGTAGTCTCGGACCAGGATAATCAGGATGAAACAAATAATCACCAGTACAGTGATGATTTGCCCCTCCAGAATGTCAATAGCGAAACTACCCAGCGCTGGTGAGGACGAGGAAATTTTCTGTAGGAATCTAACCTCGCTCAAAAGGGTGGGCTGGTGTACGAGGGTCGCCGGGGCGATGTTCTGCACGTTAGCTGATGTGTTGGTGCGTGATGCTGTGCCACCGATGTAGAACGTCCCCAAGAACATGTTGAGGAGGATGTTGGACAGAGGGTTGTCGGACGTGATGTTGATGCCGTAAAGGGATGTAGTCGTCATGGCAGTGCTGCTACGAGGGATCTGGCTCATGAGGCCCTGTAGCGAGGCTGCGGTTGTTGTTGCCGCATGCAGGGGGCTTGATGGGCACGTAGCCGCACCAGCCGTCGACCCAGCACTCTCGCTCAGGATAGTACCGACCTCAGATCTCCCAAGCACAGGCCCCAGGCCCTCGTCACTGAGCCAGAACAGGGCAGACCAGACTCTCCTCATGAGGTAGGGCAGCCAGACCAACCACACCATCAGAACCAAGCCACCCCGAGCCCAGACCAGCATATTGCGGAATAAGTATTTGGTGATGTGGCTGATAAAGACGTAGAAGGGAACGGTCTTGGGCATGTTCGGGGCGTATAGCTTGGTGAAGCGGAAGGGCGTCTTGCATAGCTCGCAGTGCTTCTTCTGGGAATGGGAGAGCCATTCCATCAGGCAGTCCTGGTGGACGTACTTGATGCTTCCACTGCATTTGCAAGGGTAGAATAGTGGCTCGTCTGGCGTAGCCTCGCCTCTGCATATTCGACAGGTGTCGGGGTCGGATTGTGAGGTGGCATCTTGCGCAGAGGTGTGTCCGGGGGGTATACGCCTCAGCAGGGCATCAGGCTCTGGATCGCTCGTTGAAGGCCGGCGACGCCTTGGTTCGGCCTGTAAGGGCTCGAATGTGTGATGTTGGTCCATGTTGTTACGATGGTTGGCTTGGGGCAGTGCCCCTCGGGAGCGAAGCTGGCTACGGGAGGTTCATGTGAAGTCTCGGTTATTCGCGTGCCGATCGTCTTGTGTGTGAAAACCGAATACGTTGCCCGGTGGCGTGCGATGCCAGTCCTAGGACGACGTACAGGCGGACTAGTTTCGCGGAGGCGTCGGGGAACGTCGAGTTGTTGAGGTGTGTTCAATGTGGTGTGGCCGAGGAGAAGTCGCGACAAGTGTCTGACGCCGGTAGGTGAAGGCAAGGGTCGTTGGGAGGAGGTCTAGGAAGAGGCGTTTACGACTTGCTGGGGGATGAGGGCATCGATGTGTGTTCAAGGACAAAGTGTCAATGCCTCCTAGGTATGTAGGTGGATGGCTGAGTGTCGTGTCCCCGGTGATGGACTGAAAGGAAAGAATGATTGACCGGCTGACCTCGAAAGGCTGACGGTCTCTGTACTGTGGTACAGTGCAGCACGGAGTAAGTGGAAGGCACAGACGGCTACGGAAGGAGAGGAGCAGGGATCTGGACTGCTTAGAAGGAGCGGCGGGATCCTGCCTGGATCTTAACTCCGACGCTGAGGGGAGCTTATCGATAGTGGGGAATGGTGGAACACCGACCTAGGCACCTGGCACCCGGACATCTTACTAGTCTACCTACTGTAATTCTTGGAGAAGACGGCGATCACATGGCAACAAAGTACCTGTCACGGTCCCCCCATACGATGCCTAGGTAATATTTTATGTACCTAGAGGAGTCACAACGCGGTCGGTCGTACGTACGCGACGGTAGGAGGTCTTGTTCTCAACTGTGCAGGCTTGCTCTGTCAGTAGGCACCTTCCCACCCACCCTGTCTTTGACGCTGTATCGATGACGCCTTGTCTGCCAATCCTGTAGGGCTTAACTCCTCCAACAGGCCGCAAACAGGTGGTCGCAACTCAAAGAGGGAGAAAAAAAGGCAAACATCCCCAATACAGTTGCAGACCACAGGCTGATGACGTCTTGCTACATTGCATGTGCCGGGATGATGTTCGGATGCTAGCAAGGTTGTAGTGGACGGTTCCAGCCCTCTCCTCCGGATGGAATACCTTTAGGTAGATACCTAGCCTAGTACACCTGAGCAAGAACAACGGCTCATCTGCTGCATAAACCACCTGGGCACTTGTTGCGCTAAAGGAGCGAAGTCTGAGAAATCTTGGACATGTGGCTTGGCACACCATCACCGAGGTGCAATAGTACTGCAACGCCTCAGGCACGCAGAATACGCAATATAACACCTTTTGCCCCCTCCAGAGCGCTTGGTTTCGTCTCCCCGAGGCCTGGAACCTGTCATGAACAGACCTCTCTGTCTGGTCTCACTCGTGTCTATTCGCCCGCCCGTCTCGTCTCTCCATCTCGTTGCTATTCGCCTGTATCTTGCTTGCACCTGGCATCTTGCTCGGATGGTGTGCGGCTCCCCATGCGATCCGTGTCTGCTGTTGGATAACATCCCCAGGTAGTGCGGGTACCCACCACTGAGCTGGCCAGGTCAGTCCGTCCCACAGTCGAGGCGCGCCGCTGACGTTCGAGCTCCCCCTGCTGCAGCAAGCTTGTTTTGCGGCAAAGGCCCCTGCACCTTGCAAATTGCCCAACGAGCAAAACCTCCGCCGTCCGGGTTCATCGCAAGATCGACTCGGGCTTCTCACGTCTTTGTCTCGCATCATCCCCTCCTCCCCACGACACTAATTGCTGCTGCACACTGCCCTCGGACGCGTCGTCCCTCAGTATTAATTCCCAGTCTCATGAACAACTAACTGATCTTGCATTTTAGCCCTCGCTTCGAGACTGATACTCACACGTGGTCCGGATAGGCCAGTCTGACTCGGCCGCTCACAGCAATAACTGTCTCGTGATTGTTCGGCCTCGTCCCGCGCCGTCTCCTACCTTGGGCCGCTGCTGATTGCAGCCTCGCTGCCATGGAGCACGCAAATGGCTCCGTCAACGGCTTCGCCAAAACAAAGAATGGCCTCAACGGCGTGAATGGCTTAAATGGCTTCAGCTCGTCCATCAACACCCACAGCGCGACGCCTCAGAGGAGGTCAACACCGCGGCCACGTCGGGGACGTCTCTCATGGATCTTCAGTGTGCTTGCTCGGTATGGCTGCCCTCCCCGGAGCTTCAGCTCTTCCCGCACATCCCACTTACCAACTGAAATTCATTGCTGACCGAATGACCATGGCAGGCTGTTCACCTGGTACTCGATCCTGAGCATTCTCTTCCGATGTCCAGCCACACTCGAAGAATGCACCGATGCCGCGCCCCGGATCTGCAAACCGTACTTCCAGCTTAAGCACGCTGTCTCTCCCCATGTCGAGCCTTATTACCATACGTACGCTGCTCCTTACGTCGAGCTCGCGAAACCCTACTACGAGACGGTCGACCAGAGAGTCCTGACGCCTTCCTGGGCTTATGCCACCAAGTACGGATCCCCTCGCGTCGCCCAGGCCCAGGCGTTCGGTAAGGAGAAATGGGAAAAGAACCTGCAGCCAGAGTTGGTCAAGTACCAAGCTCTCGCTCAGGCCAAATACGATGAGACCCTCGCTCCTCATGTCAACCAGCTGTCTTCGACCGTCGCGCCATACTACGAGGTAGCCAGGACGAATGCTCTCCAGATGTACCACGACTACGTTCTGCCAAGCTACGTGTTTGTAGAGCCCTACGCGCAGCAGGGCTACACCGCCGCCTCCACATTCACAACTGAGACGGCGGTTCCCTCCGCCGTCTGGGCTTGGAACAAGACCCTTCTCTTCCTGGATGGGACTGTCTGGCCCCAGCTGCGCTCCTTGTACACGGAGAATGTCGAGCCTCAGCTGCTAAAAATCGGCCAGAGGCTCGGGCGTTATAATGGTAATAATACACAGAAGGCCACCGACACTCTTTCCAGGTATGTACGATTGTCTCGCTCTGCTGGGCACGTTAACTAAGTGACAGCGATAGCACCGCGGCAAAAGCAGACTCAACCTTGACAAAGCCAACATCAGCTGCGTCATCCGCGTCAGCAACGCCCGTCTCCAGCGAAGTCTCATCTTCTACCGTCGAGCCAAGCTCTTCGTCCGATGTCGCTTCATCCAGCCCAGAGGAACCCGCAGTTCAAAGCGAGGCAGCAAAGACGAAGCTGGGTGGCGATCAGATCCCTGCCCCAGACGTCGCTCCAAACGAGAGTGATGTCCGCCGGATCGCGCGCGAGACTGTCGCAGAGGACCTCAAAGCGTGGCAAGAGAAATATGCCAAAGCTGCGGACGAAGGTGCCGCTGAAATCGATGATCGCATTGAGGAGATAGCCAAGCGTATGATCGAGAGACAAGCCAATACCATGGGCAAGTCCCTGGTTAAGCAGCTCAAAGAGACCGTCGACACAGAGCTTGCGACATTGAAGGCAGGCATTCAGGGCATTGTCAGCGAAGTCAAGAGCGATTCCCAGTCCCCTGAGGCTGCCCAGGATAAGTTGACCGGCGCCGTGCGGAAGGCTGGATTGGAAATCAAGGAAAAGTCGCAGGACATCCGCAACTGGAGAGCAAACTACGAGAGCGAGATAGAGATCAGCGTCACCAAGTTCGCCGAGGACCACTTCAAGATTCTCGACAGCATACGGGACCTAGCGCTGCAGAAGATCGGTATGAAGTGGGCGTGGATGGACGGTGTCACCTACAAGGATTGGGCCAAGTACCACCTCCTCAGGACACGCTTTGACGAGTGGCAGAGTGAACTCAAGAACCTGATCACGTCCCACCCCGGGCTGGAGTCTGCCCAGAACGAAGGGCTAGCTGTTGAAGGTCAGGCTATGGAACTGGCTCAATCGGCGGCCAAAGAGCTTGCAAGCCTGAAGCAGGTGGCTGGTTGGAAGATCATTGCCCAGGATGACTCCGATGAGTTCGACCCTGAAGTCACACGGCTTGCTGCCGAGGAAGCAGAGAAGGCGGCACCTGCACCTGAAGTCGAAGCTGAAGCTGAGACTGCTGCGGAGGAACCCGTTTCCACTGAGGACGACACCGGCGCCACTAAGCTCCAGGATAGTGCATCCACTGCAATTGAAGAAGTGGAGTCTGTGGCGAGTTTAGCCTCCGAGTCTGCTAAAAGTGTCGTCCAGGAGGCTTCCACGTCAATCGTCCCGAGCTCCGAAACCCAGACACCCGAAGTCGCCGAGGCCTCAAGCGCGATCCTAGAAGAAACTCCAGTTTTCGTTGGAAATACAACCGAGGCCACAGAAGCCGCTCAGCCCGAGGAGCCCGGGACCGCTCATGTGCCGATTGACGAAGTGGCAGAGCCTGTTGAAGCCGACGTGTCAGCTGTAGAGGAGCCTGAGGCGTCATCGGCTACTGGCACTGTCAAACCTGCGTTCCTCGGAGCTGCTGCCCAGTCAGTGCCTAGCCGCCAGCCGATATTGGAGGATGACAGCTTCGAGGCTGCCGGTAGTGTGATCTCTGCGATCCAGTCTGATATCCCAGCTACTATTTCGTCAGCGGCCAGCTCTGCTTACTCCGCCGCTATGGCCGGGGCTGCTGAGCGTTATTCTGAGGCGTTGTCGCTGGTGTCTGTCCAGGTGTCTGGTACTCCCAAACCTGCGCACGAGCAACTCCTCAGCTCGGTCACTGCGGCCTACAGCAACGCTGTTGCTGCTGCCAGCTCGCAATTGGATGCTGCTCTCGGTGCTGCCCAGCATGGTCTCTTCGCCACTACCACCACGAGTGCCTTCCCATCCATTCCGACTTTTGTGGACTGGGTTCACGTGGAGTCAATTGCGGCTTCCAGACTGAACGAGGGCAGGTCCTGGGCCGAAGCACAGTATGAGAGCGCCAAGATTGCCATTGGTGCGGCGACTCCCACACCAACAGATATCTCTGGAACCGCCTCGTCTGTGGCCTCTGTTGCCGGAGAATCCCTATCCGCAGTCACCGCCGCGGCGGGCGCAAACGCTGAGAAGCTTCTACAAAATGCGCAGTACAACTACTATGCCGGGCTCGGCATCGCACAAGCTCGATACTCCGAGTTCCTGGCGGCCGCGTCGAGTGCCTTCAGCTCTATAACTGCGACCCCCACCCCGACAGACTTCGCTGGAAGCGTCTCATCTGCCGCCTCAGTCGCTAGCGAATCTGCTGCTTCTATTGCTTCAATCGCTCAGGAGAATGCTTCGGCGGCAGCATCTGTTGTCGGTGAGAATGTGAGCTCAGTCGCCGCGGCTGGCTACGAGAATGTTGCCCAGGCAGCCGAGGCTGCTGGTACATTCGCTCAGGAGAACTGGAACGCGGTATTGGACCAGGTCAGCATTCAGATCTACGGAGCCGCTACCCCTACCCCATGGTACGAGAGCCTATACAGTGCCGCAGGCGATTATGCCGCCTCTGCAACAGAAGCAGTTGGTGGCAGCGCGGATGCGGTCACTAGTGCGGCAGGGACTTATGCGACTGCTGCTTCAGAAGAAGCTTCCAAGCAGTACGCAATGGTCAGCAGTATCGTCTCAGAGCTGCTCGTTGGGAAGGAGCCAACCTTCAGCGAGAGTGTCTACTCTCGACTCGCCGCGGCCTATTCTGGAGCTGCCGACTCGGCGAGCAGCTTCGCCAGTGCTGCCTCCGAGACAGTTGCGAGTATAGCCACAGAGGCAGGTGAGGAGGTGAAGCAAGCGACACAGCATGTGAAGGATGAGTTGTAGATGTAGCAAACGATGTCAGCAGAGTGTTCCCCAAACAACACCGATGTCATCAAGCACACTACAATGAGGTTCTCAGACCAGGCAGCCGGGAATCCTTTGCACAAAAATGACGATACGACAGTAACGATGGGGATCACCTGCTCGAGGAACGGGCAGTGTACGCTGCAGATGATTGCAGACGGGCAAACGGTAACAATTGGTATGGTGGAGTGGATGGGGGAGATCCATGTGGGCGGCTCGAGGGGACATTGTCACTCGCGCCAGAAGGACAGGCCATGCGCCGACAGACTCTCGTTTGATTATACCCCATTTTCGTCACGACGCACCTCAAGCTACGCAAGCTCACGCTTGCTAACCAGAGATATCCGGCTCTCTTGGGGTGTGCTAGCATTCTGCTCTCTCCTTTGTCCCAGTCTTGCGAGCAACGTTCTTGATGATTTTGGTGGGCAGATTTGTATGTGTACACGCTTGGGATACTGTTTTGAGTTAGGAGTTCTGAGAGAAATTGATTCAGAAGGGGTTCGAGGAAAACACCATCCTGAGGCCTGCGGGTCGGACTCACCCGGGAGGAAGCGTATTGAGCGTATTACCTGGCGCTGAGCAAATCATTACCAACGCTTATCTTACGCAGTGGCATGATTTCGAATGGGTTGTGTGAAATGCTCATTCTGTTGCAGCTTGAGGTGCTCGGTAGCTAAGCACGCCATCAGTGGACTCATTGACGACACGAGTTGGGGTATCTACAATGCACTCTTGATACGACAAGTCCGACATCGCGTTCAAGTGGCTTATACCGCCTACATCCTCACTCATAATGCCAGGTTGCATCTGTAATTAGTCGGCTGCTATACAAGTTATTCCAGCCCCAGTTTGACAAGTCTTGGCCACCCTGAAACGGGCGAACCAGACCAGAAGAAGCCAGGCTACTAGCACCTACTTCTGGGGGCACCAAGTCTATGAGCACGACCAAGCAAGCATAGTTGACAATGGCAGCGGATAACTCTTCAAACAGATCCTCGCCCCGGCCGCTGAGAGTTGCAGTGGTTGGTGGCGGGCCGGGCGGCTTGGCCACTGCCATTGCGCTCTCCAAGACCCCGAACGTGGAGGTACATATCTACGAGAAGGACAAGATCCTCCGCGAGGTCGGCGCCGGTATTAACATCGGGGCCAACTCGTGGAACGTCCTCGGGCTGCTGGGCGTCGCGGACTCGCTCGTGAGCGGGCATCCGAGCGATGTGGTGCTGAATATGTGAGCCCACCCCCCAATCTTGCGAGGATACTCATTGCCTACCACCTGGCTTGGCATCAGATCGCCAGCTGTACTGAGCTGATCGTACCTCTTTGGTCTGTAGGAACGGCCGCTCGGGGGAAGAACTGCACCGAATGGAACGGCCGGTGGATCGTGAATGGCCCGCTGGGAACTGGAAGGCGAGACCAACCATTCGGACGCAGAGGACCAAGCTGCAGTCTGCTTTGTTGGCGCACCTACCGCCCGGGGTGATCCGTCTGTCGAAGAAGCTGGACAAGATCACGGACCTGGGCGAGAAAGGCGTCGAGCTGCAGTTCGCGGATGGCACGACCGAGACGGCGGACCTGGTCGTCGGAGCAGATGGGATCCGCTCGGTATGTTGACACACTCGGACATTCCCGCTGTCAACCAAACCGCTGGCCGCAACTGACCAAGGAGGCAACAGATTGCCCGAGACTGCGCGTGGCCAGATTACAAGATCGCCTTCACGGGGACGACCATCTGGCGGGCGCTGCTGCCGCTCAAGGAGCTGACGGACCAGGACCCGCGCTTCGGCATCACGGGCTGGTGGCACCTGCCGACCTCGCACGTCTACTTCTCCCCCGTCGGCGAGGGGCTGGGCGAGATCGCCTCGCGCGAGTACCAGGACCCAGCCGTCCACAGCGCGAGCAAGGTCGTCTGGGGCGTGCCCGTCACCAACGAGCACGTGGAGGGCCACTTCAAGGAGTACCTGCCGTCGATCCGGGCGGCCCTGGCCAAGATCCCCGACGGCGCGTGGAGGGAGTTCGCCGCCTTCGCGGGGCCCGAGCTGGCGTCGCTGGCGGCGTGGGGCGGCAGGATCGTGCTGGTCGGCGACTCTTCGCACGCCCTCTCTGGCGCGTTCGGGTCCGGGGCTGGGTTTGCGATGGAGGATGGGTGGGTGCTCGCGCAGGCACTGAGGCATTATGGTAACGATGTTCGCAAGGCTGCATCGTTGTTCGACAAGATACGCGTGCCGTACTATTCCCGGATGTATGAGTACCTCGGGGGCCAGGCGGCTAAGAGGGCCGAGAAGTTGAGGGAGCTGGAGGTTGCGACGGCCGGGCTGACGGAGGAAGAGAGGGTCAAGGTCAAGGTCATCAAGGAGGGTGGTGATATGAGTTGGATCTACCAGAACAACATTAAGAAAGCTTGGGATGCGGCATTGGCGGAGGTGAAGGAAGATGGCGAGGAAATTTGAGCTAGGGGTACGCCTGGGCATGGCTTTGAATAACGGTGGAATACATCTTCCTCCAAGTGACTATTTTGGATAGGCTTTTCTGGGAAGCGTTGAAACCTTGGTACCTTGGAGTACATTGCATAAAGCCTTTCTGCCTACATTATCAACTATGGCCACATATGTGTAGATCTCCGATCTGGGAGCATCATGAGTTGATGCAATAGCAACAATTTGAGTGCGCCAGTGCAATTCAATCCCGAGCCTGAATGGTTGAAGGCGATTGTGTAGTGGTTCTCGCTTCCGCTGTGCCCATATTCTCAGTATTCTCAGGCAACGGCCACAATTGCTTCCTGTTCACTTTCATTTCCAGCACCTCTGGTCGCTTGTAATGGCCATTCCCATCAATCCAGACTTTCACCTGCCCAAGATCATTGAGGTCCAGCTCAGCGATGACTATGCGTTCTGCCTCGCCAGTATGCGGGCCGGCCAAGTACGAGCAGAATGGATGGATCACAGCCGTCCAACCGCCCCCCTTCTTGACCAAGTCCTGCTTGCCGAGATTCTTCTCCATCCATTCCAGGCAGGTGTCGTCTACGGGATTCGAAGCCGTCAACACAAACACCTGCGCGGTCAACGCGTGCGCCTTCATCAGCGCCTCGATCTGGGCATCGGCCACGTCCTCAAAGCCTTTCATCGTCGACAATGAGGGCCACGCCCCAACGTGTATATGTTGGTTCTGCTGGATGAGGGCCTGCCTCGCACCGTTCAGTGTGTTCTCCCAGCAGCACAGGCCTCCCAGGTTGTAACTCCCCCGGCCGCCGCCAGCGTCAGCCGCCCAGACACCCAGCGTGGACCCGTCGCCCTGCGCCCAGACATACCGCTCCGCGTACGTCGGCTGCAGCTTGCGGTGGACGCCGAGGATTCTGCCCGAGGAGTCGATGTGCACCTGCGAGTTGAAGAGCGTGTACCCGCCGCCCATGCGCTCCGACACGCCCAGGCTCACCGTGACGCCTGCCTCGCGGCATGCGTCCTTGATGGCGCGGATGGATGAGTCGGAGTCGTCACAGACGACGCTTTGCTCTGCGTACTGGGCGAGTGCCGAGGCTTGGGATAGGGGAGGGTAAGCCTCGGTGAAGTACTGGTGATGAAATTCAGCCTCTGCGCAGCAGCACAATCTCGGTGCGAGACTCGTACCGGGTATCCGGGGATGAAGGTCTCTGGGAAGGCCAGCAACTCAATGCCATCTGCCCCAGCAACCCGTATAGCATCTGTGACTTTCTTGGTGGTTGCTTCCTTGTCCATGTAGACAGGAGCCAAGTGGGCGGCCGCAACTTTGAGCTTGAACCTGGGGACAGCCATCGCAGCTTGCAATTGCACAATGTTCCCCCCGCTTTAGTTTGTCTGTTCTCGAGATATTTGCGTGCCGGGAGGTTCAGCAACATGCCGCGACTCAAAGGCGTTGGGAGAGAAGCGGAGTCTAAATCAACATCGCGCTGACGGATCGAGGGGTCAAGCAAAGCTAGGGAGGTAGCGCATGTCTTGTGCATGCATGCCTGTCAGATATTCAAATGTAACCACATAAGAGAGCCATAGGCGACCCTTCTGGTCTCCGCATGTACACGTGGCATGGCTCAAAACGGGGAACATGAACGTTGGCACGAACAATAGCCGGCTTGCAGGTTTTAGTCACAATTACATAGGTAAAGCATGCACATGATTGGTGAAATATCCCTCCTGTCATGTTCTAGGACTGGATGCGATCCTCGCTTTGGTGTCTATAATTATGAGGAACTCCCACTAGGACAATCATTGTCGTTCCGGCTTAGTAGAGGAACTCAAAGAATACAAATAGTCTATAATTATGAGGAACTATTATTTTGTGCGCATGCCTTTGAATACTATCTGTATAAAAATTGACTACCGGCCATCCAGCATAGGGACTTAACTTTTGCTCAGACGTGCTGAAGAGATTCGACACCTCTTGCGCATGTCAAATCCTCTCAATATATGTCATGTTCCAATTTGAAAGGAAGGGTTTAACACTGTTGGGTCCTTCTCGCCAGCAATTGAGGAGGTTATTACCGCGTGCTAGCAAAAAAAGAAGAAAGAAAAAAGATTAAACATTTCAGATTACAGCTCATGGAACCTAACTATCCCGAGTAACAACATCCAGTCTCACAAGCGGGGCCGTCTGCGCCAAAGTCGTAGTTATAGTACAGGCCGTTCTCCCAATCAATTGTTCGCCTCACTGGCCTCCGACGAGGACTCACGCACGTTGATGAGAACGTCGTGGTCGCTATCGCTCGTGTCATTCGACTCCTCTATCCCAATTTCCTTCCCGTCAAGCGCCCCTGGGGACTTCCTGATCACATGCTCCAGGCTCCCGTCGTCTTTCAGCACGAGCTCCTCATCCTCCTCCTTGGCCGCCTCCCACATCGCCCTCAGCGTCTCCAGCTTGGACTCGCCGCCCCGCGGCACGGCTTCAAAAGCGAACTTGACGGGCTTCGCGATCAGGAGCGGCGTGAAGCTGTTCCAGTGGACGGGGATCTCCTTGCCCGTCTTGGGATCGCGCCGCTTCCGGATGTCAAAGGCCCACGCCATGCCGCCCATGGTCAGGAAGAGGTCCTGTTCGACGATGGGTATGCCCTGGCAGGTTCGCCGGCCGAAGCCAAACTGCGAGAAGCCGTTCAGGTTGGGGTGCTGGGTGAGCGGTTCGCGATAGGTTGGGTATTCCTTGGAGAGCCAGCGGCCTGGGTTGAAGACCTCTGGCTCTGGGTACATGCTTTCGTCCCGGGTGATGCCCCTGAGCAAAGAGAATGTTAGCTTGTAAACGCATGATGTTCGCACGTTTGGTTGAGGCCTGCTTACCATTCCAGAGCATGGATAGTCGCTCCAGCTGGGATGAAGTAACCGTTGTAAACATCATCTTTCTCGGTGGCATGAGGGATTCCTGTCGGGACCGGTGGCCGCCACCGGATGACCTCTTTCACCACAGCTCTGAGCAGAGGAAGCTTCTCACGATCCTCCCACTGGGGGCACCGCCCCTCACAGACCGAGTCAATCTCCTGTTGCAATTGTGCCTGCCATTCAGGGTGATGACACATGGCCAGCAGATAGCTCTGCACAGGGCTGCCGATTGTGAGCGCACCGGCGATAGCCATCAAGCCAACCGTGTACATCGCCTCGCCCTTGTCAGTAGCCGTTGACTTCATCCAGTCTTTCTCATCCGGGCCCTTGGCCATCTTCTCTTGATCATCCAGGAACGTCTTCGTAAAGCTAGGTTTGGCATCCCCGGCTGCCCTCCCCTTCTCCACAAAGCCGACGTTCATCTTGAACAGCCGCTCTTCCAGCTCGTGCCTCGCGCGCTCCTTCTTCTTCCACGGGCTCATGAAGGCAGGAACGTGGGCAAGCCAGCTGATAACGTTCGGCAGGGCGCCAGACGGCGATATGGTCTCGAGCAGCCCGAATGTCGTCTTCCGCAGGACCTTCGCAGGGTGCGGGCTGCCCCAGCCAAGGCGCGAGACGGTCCGGCTGGTGAACTGCTCGATCCACTCGATGTAGTTGTCGCTGTCCTGTGACATGAGATACAAGAACCTGTCCCGCTCCTGTGTGGGGTACCCGTGGAGTGATTCCTGGGCGCTGGTGGTCATGAGGTGGTGGCAGAGCTTGCGCTGTCGCTTCCATGTCTCTGTCCTCCCCAGCAGCGCAAGGTAGTCACCACTTGTGCGGTTGTCTGGAAGATTAGGGATGACCGGACGATCAGAGTACACCGCGTTCCGCTTGGCCAAGAGGTCGTGGGCTATCTTCTCATCTGAGATCCAGACATGGGAGGTGCCGAAGATCTTCATCTCGTAGATAGGCCCGTACGTCTTGGACCACTCATAGAATTTAAGCCATGTTGCTTCTGGCGGCACATCGTGAACACGGCCGATGAAAGGAAGGCCTGGAGGGAAGGCTGTCAGTCTATCGTGACACCCGCAAGGACAAGTACCGACGCCGTAAAGGAGGATTACCTTTTGGCCCAGGAAGAGGACGAACTCCTTCGGGAAGCTTTTGTCTCTTGGATCTCGTGTACACTGCTTGAATCAGAGCTAGGAGAACAACAGAAACTAGGAGGAGCAGTGGTGGTAACATCTTGGACGTTTGTGTCGGCCAATGTTTACGACCTGATTAGGTAAATTTAGAAATTAGATTTAAAACTTGCAAATATCACAAACACGTTGGCTCGAGGGATCAGCATCGTCGGAAGACGAGGACTACTAATATCGGCTGCTCGAAACCTGTGGCTACACATAGCTGCCTTATGATAGCGTCGGCGTTCTCGACAGCCCCGGACGCGGCATGGACGTCCGCCGAGCTTGAGACAAGATGGTCACCGCCCAGCTCAGTGTGGCCGTTGATGCTGAGGTACATTAGCCCCGGAGCAATAATTAGCACGCCTCCTTGAACGGTGGGCCCAAGCCTTGGGACGAGAAGGGGCCTAGGCAGGATACATAAGTATGTATTGAAGTGGGCTCGGTCCAAGCCAAACATGCGGTGAGCACGACCCAAGCGCTTAGCTCGTGTCATCGAGTATACCGTGAGCGACTGTTTGGGACAGAAAAGACGATATTCTTCAATGTATTACTAGTAGTGAAAGCGGAGCATGCTTTCAGGCTCCGGCAGATACATACCCACCGGTAGACGCACATTCCACGGACTCGAATATCACACACCAGCTACATTGGCCCTGCGAAGAAGCGCAACATGAACGAACAGACAGGCACCACTTTGAGCCGCTCGCTCGGATGAACGGTCTTGGCCCCAAGGTTCGGAAACAGTTTGAAATCCCGACCAGCCAAGTATGCTACAGTAAGCATACATGCACATTTCGAGGCCTCGGCTGCGTGCGAAGTGCCTGTTGAGGCTCAACAGGAGTGCTGCGTGCTCCACCCAAGCAGTCAATATTGAGCCTCATTTTCAGCCGCATGCAACTTCGACAACACTGCTGCAGCTCTTCAAAGCCCGCACGTGGCAAGGCACGTAGAAAGGAGGGGAGGGGGGCATCTTTGCTGGCCTGAGCAGGCGCGAACGTTAGTGCCGAACAAGTGGACACCGACCTCTGTCGTGACAAAAATTCCCCACGATCTACATACAATACTTACATTTCACCTCGGAAGGGTGGGGGCAGTACTTCCGGTGCTTGCTATACCTGCGCTAAAGTTTCAGGCTCCTGAGCTGTGGGACAACACCGAGCCGTCCCTCCATGCCGGCCTTTGCGCCTTGGGCTGTGAAACAAGAGCGCCAGCTATGGATCCAGGAACGGCTCCATGAAACAGCAATTCACAAAGACACGGACCGACAAGCGCAAGTCTCGGTGTTATACGGTCTTGGAATTCCCAAAGCGCCGATCTTGGTCATGTTTAGCGCCGGCGATTCCCCAACAGCACGACGGAAAACGAGAAGAAGGGTCTGTTCGCAGGCGCCACTGATGTCACTAAAGCACGAAGCGTTGAGACGGAATTGAAATGGGTGGGACATGATCCGGAATCCAGTGTTGATTTGGGCACCTGTCCAGGACAATGCCATGTCCTGGGTGCCGAATTATCAGGGGGATCTACTACGTACAAAAGCTTTTCCGAGCCGTCTTCCCTTCGCGAGGTAATGCAACCGTCTACATCCGCTCCACCGGGGTAAGACCCAGCAGACGCATGCCGTTGGCAATGACATGTCGGGCGGCATCGTACAGAGCCATGCGAGCCTTCTGCAACTCTGGCTCACTTCCCACGATCTTGAGGTGGTCGTACGAGGAGCTGAGCACGTGAGTCAGCTTGAAGAGGTAGATGACAACTGTCGTCGGCTCCAACGTCTTCAGTGTGTTCTGGACCGCGTCCGGCCATTGACTCAACACCCGGACCAGGTTGATGGCGTGGGTCTCTGTGAGCAGAGAAAGGTCCGCCTTCTCGAGCTCCTCGGCGGGGATGGCGGCCTTTCGCTCGATGGAGCAGAGACGAGCATGGGCGTATTGGAGATATGGACCCGTGTCACCCTCGAAGGATGTCATGGTTTCCATGTTGAAAGTGTAGTTGTTGATCCTGTGATCCACGTTAGCGCAGAATTCTAGAGATCGCAGAGACTCCCCCCATTCCACCTACCTCTTGCCAGTCATATCCTGGATCATCACACTGCTGATACCGAGCGTATCGGCTGTAGCTTCGGGGTTCGCGACTTGAGAATACTTGTCGTCGTTCTTCTTCATGACTTCGTGCATTTTGTCGCCAACATCCCGGAGGATGTCATCCAGGAACTTTACCGTTCCCTTGCGGGTACTCATTCCCAGAACCATGCCAAAGTTGATGTGTTGGCACTTGGCCGCAATTTCCTTGTGGCCACTGAGCTCCGTGATCTTGAAGAGCTGCTTGAAGTGCAGATCTTGTTGCGAGGCGGCAACATAGATCATCTGGTCAAACTTGTACTTCTCGTGTCGGCCAAGAAGCTCGCTGATGTCCCGAGTCAAGTACAGCGCCGTGCCGTCCCTCTTCCGGATGATAGGACGTTCAAGGCGCTTGCCCTCCTTGCCTGGAATCAGGGCAGCAAAGTCCACAATCTTGGCGCCGTCCGACTCTGTTGAGATCCCCATCTCCTCCAATCGCTTCGCGGCTTCCTCCATTGCTGCCTCGGATACCTGACTCTCGCCTGAATAGCTGTCGTAATGAATGTTGAGCCGGGCATAAGTCTTCTGATATCGTACAATGCTCAGGTCTCGGAACCGTCGCCATTGTGCCAATGCCGCCTCATCTCCCTCTACCATCTTCTTGAAATATTGACGGGCTTGCTCGTCCGAGCTGCTCTTCTGGAGCTCCGCCGCCTCGTCCTCTTTGCCTGCCGCCTTCAACTCCTTAATCCGATCGTCCTCTTCCTTGATCTCCTGGTTGATCTTGACGTAGATGTTGAACAGGTGGTTGATGGGGTCCTTGTTCAACGCCTCCTCATCACCGTATCGCTCGAATCCCAGGGCCCAGCATTCCGTACTGTTTGCCCCAGTCGCCAAGGTAGTTGATACGGATCACATCCCAGCCCGCGCCCTCGTACAAGTTGGCTATGAAGCCTCCGATGATTGTACTCCGCAGGTGGCCAGCATGGAATGGCTTCGCAATGTTGGGCGAGGAGAATTCGACAATAATGCGCTTCCGGTCTTTTGGGTTCTTGGGGTCCCGCAGGCCCTGTGCTGGGTTCTTGCCGAAGTCCTTTCCGAGGGACCGGATCATTGGCACGACAGCTTTGGCGAGGGGCTGGGGCTTGAAGAAGAAGGACATGAAGTATCCTGTGATGACTGGCTTTTCGACCAGGGGATCGTCTGCAGGGAACTGTTTGCGATATGAGTATCTTTCCTCTTGCCTAGGACAACGGAAATGGAGACTAACCTTCTCCTCCCACTCCTTTACGAGCTCATCTGGCTTCTTGCCCTTGACCCGGAGGGCAGGCGCCGCGACAATCAGGTCGCCCTTGTCCAGACCTTGGGTCCACTGTATCGCGTTGTAGATGATCTTTGGATCGACGCCCGTGATCTTCTCGAGCACATTCGTCAAGTGTGCCCTGTAAACATCGACGGGGTTTGTCTCGGGGTAGCAAATCGGGAATTTGTCGCGGATGTTGTCGAGGGAGAGGTCGGAGGTGAGCTTGACGAGCTCGTTGATTCCGGTCGCCATTTTGAGTCTACCGTCCTGGAGGAGTGGGTGAGTGCTACGACTGGGAGACGCAGGAGAGAGGCCGCGGTCGGAACTTTTTACTGCTGTAGTCGCAAACAAACGGCGAGGAATTGAGGCGGAGGTGGGGTTGGATGTGCAGAAGGAGGGGTCCTTGAGTCGCAGCAGGCGTGCAGTCGAAGTTACCCGTGGCGAATTTGCGATGCGCAATGAATTGAGAGAAAGGCTGGAACTTGCAATAAGTGGACGGAAGGCATTCATACCTTCTTCTTATATGCCACCAATATGAATCACTCCTGTATTCAGTCTATTAGTCCGCTGCATGGAGTCTCTTCCCGATTGTGACTCAACCCAAATTTTGTACATGAGCTTCACCAGCCCACTTGCTTATCGATAAGTGGCCCCAACCCTGGCAACCCCCTGGTCAGGGTTCAGGGTTGTAGACAGAAACCTGAACGGCAACTTGCCAGGAGCATTTTCTCCAGTGCGAACCTTGGAACGCTCCATCTCGTCTATTTTTTGGGGAAATCTTTCCAAATATTGGGCCGGAGAATTTCAATCTGTTCCTCCTGCAAATTCATTTCTCAACATGGTCTTGTGTCTTGTCGAAGGTAACCTATAATCCGTGGGTCTTGAGGATACCTAGGTATGGTATTAGTGATTCTCAGGGCAGAAATGGATTAATAAGACACATGAAATTGTTTCCTTGGGGAATGAGGCTGAAAGATAACTCCGTTTATCTATACATTCCAGCAGGGCCACTTTTCGAAAGGCTATTCTATGATGAACTAGTCACTTTGTCCGGAGCATTAAGACGTTATAGGCTTGGTGGATTTGAATCTTGTTGCTTCTCTACCGTTCCCCAGCTGAATGAAGCCATGAGACACTTGATGCTACAGTTCAACATTTCCGTCCAGCGTAATCATTCTGTTCATGTGGTTGGACTCCTAGGCAAGTAAACCACTTTGCATCTGGGCAATCATCGTGCTTCTCAAAATCGAATGAATCCAGCAATCATAAAACTTTGCACAGTCGAGATTCAAAGTGGGAATATTATACAAGCCGCTACTACATGCGCAGAATCTGCAGAATAGGCCGAGAGAACATTAAATTCGACATTACTGGGCAGTCTGGAGTCCTTAACGCTTTCAAGTTTCTTACCTATGTAGACATGGGCGTAAGACACATCTAGAGCCACCATGTTCCAAATATGAGGGTAGAAGAGAGCAAAGATAATTCAACAAATGCTGGACGTTCGGCAGAATTTGTGCCTAACACTTGGGAAGCGGAGGATTTGTCTTGTATGGGACAGAACGATAAAGAGACAGTTGTAAATCATCACTTGTCTGCAAAGGATGTGGATGGAGAAGGGAGAGGGATCTCCGAAATGACATGAGTACGTATAAGTCATTCTGATTGTAAATTATGTACATTCGTAGACGAAAGAATTTGCCCTTGCATAATTATCCTCAAAAGCAGTATTCTTCCACGTGAAGGTGGATTCCTTGTGCCCCAGTGCCCTTGTGCACAGCACGCTCATCACTTAGCCTCGCAACACAGTTCCTCGCTCTAGCCACCAGCGATTTTCCTCCACAAACCACCACCGATGTCTCCCCTCCAGTAGCCTCCACCGGGTCCCTGATGAACGCCTCGATATTCGGTCGTGAGGAGGACTGGTGCACGTGAGAGTCGCTGCTCGCCGAACTGCTGCGTCTGCCGACCTGGGCAGCGTGTTTCTCGATGTCCACGGATCCCACTTCCGACTTGTTGAGACTCCCGCGGTTTGAGGGTGATGGTGCTACTGATGATGATGAGGTTTTGCCGTCCTTGGTCTCGCCGGTTCCTGTCCTGTTCACCAAAGCTGGGACTGGCGGCCCCCTGCGTTACGTGGATGTGTACTCTCAACTCGATGCCCACATCCGCTGCCTTGTCAATCATCTCGTGTAGCCGTTGGACGTAGTAGTCGATTTCGTCGCCTTTCTTGGCGGCAAGGAGAAAGTCTATGCGCCGTGTGCAGAGTGACCTATCCTTGGAAAGTAGGACGCTCTCCAGAATGGGAAGAGTAAAGCTTGCACCGGTGGATGCTGAGATGAGGACAAGTGTCTCGTATATGTCCCAGCGGGGAGGCAGACCGTATGGCCCAGTTACAAAGGCTGTCAGACCCCTTTTCCCCTGAAGATTGTAGCTTCTTCGCATGGTTGTGCAGTCTTCGGGAGAAACCCTTGTGCTTCCGCACGACGAGCTGAACACTGTTGCAGATACATGTGCCGGGAAGCTTATGTGCGGAAGCAATAGTGTATGGGTGGTGATCCGAGTATCCAATTTTCGGCATCCACAGGTACAGGTGCTGACCGGCTCGCCATGAGAAGTGAACGTCTTTGATAGTGACAATTGTGATGTCCTCGCCCACGGCGCGAATCTGTGCCTGATGGCCGATTCGCTGTCCACCCTTGCATTGAGACCTGTTGGGCCGGATCTTGATGTTCTGCCACACAAGCAGGACAGTTCGATAGAGGCGGTCGAAACACAGAGCGGCAATTGCGAACCACACGTTGTACTGCGCGTAGGCCGGCACATGGACATAAATGACGTAGAGGAAAATGATCCACGTCAACATGTGCTGCGCAATAAAAAGTTCGTAGTTCCAATGGCGGAGGGGTGACATGGCCGAGACGTTTGCCCATAGCAGCAGGCCCCATGCCGCAAATCCGTATTTGATCATGGGCATCATTTTGATCATGTACGCCACGAGACCCGCCCGTTGATACTCGGACCAGAAGTGGAAACCGTGTATAGTTGCCGTGACAAACATTGTTCGAGCGACCCATCGGTGCAGCCAGTTGAGCCTCTCGTAGCTACTCCCGGCAATGACACCAAGGATGCTGCTTTTGGAAGCAAGGAGGTATAGGAAAGGAATTTGTGTCACCGTGACCCAAGCGTTGCGGAAACCAATACGCTCCCAAAAGTAGGCGTCTTTGACGATGGCTCCAGCTGTTGCCATATAGATGACCACGGCCCAGTACACCAGGAGAATCAGTATCCGGCCCATAGGCGGTGGCGTCATCCATGAGAGATATTTGGTGGGCACATAGATCTGGGAGTAGCTGGCCTCACGGCCGATTGCCGTTGCCGTTGCGAAGGCTTGTGATAACGGGCCCGATGGTTTCGTGGGGAACTGGATCGAAGATGAGGAGCACCTTCGCAACCTTCTATGTGTTAGCAAAGATTCCTTCTTCAAATGCGTGTATCTTCTACTGACCTTGTCCGTCTTTGAAGGAAGCTGCCGGCTCGTACTGCTACACAGAGGCCCAATACACCGGCAATGAGATACCAGTACGCCTGCGCGAGGCCCATGTTATCGGCCTGGAACATGCCCGTCCCCATTCCCATCCCACTCATGCTCATACTCATTCCTGACATATCCATCTTGGCTGTATCCGAAGCAGAGGGAGGCCGCGCTTGGCAGGTAGAGAATTGATTAGGCTTTCTGCTCTGTCAACACCACAGAACTCATGAGATGGCAATTAATACTCCGACGTCTGGTATGTCTGTGCCAGCCAAGACAACTAGTTCTTCAAACGCAGAGGATGCCGTGTTGCAAAGCCAGACCTTCTCTGCGAGAGCTGGTCGGCTTTAGAGACTGAAGAGCGGTATGGATTCTCGGATACCGGCTTCTGGAAACCTCTCAGCTGAAAGGGTGAGCATGAAAGTGCGCAGACTCGACACGGCACGACCCACGGATAGTGACCGAGGATTTAGGCAAACCAGGCTTCCGAGGACCGGTGGAACCAGTCTAACCACCTTGATCAGTCGTACAAGGTTTGTCTCCCAAACATCCAAAGACCAACGAAAGAAGACTGAGTGATGGAGAGCCTAAGATGGTCACCGCCAAGCAGATCTGACAGGCGCTGCCGAGCATGTGTGGGACTTGAGAAGACGTGAGGCTCCGGTGTAAACCCGAGAGGCGAGGTTGATAGCTGGGAGCGCGAAGAAAGAGGAAGCCTGTAGCACACCAGTCCGAAACGAAGGGGAAAACTTGCTCAGTCTCTTGATACGCTGCGCAGACGTCGAGCTACTACTCCCCACGCGCTTGTGGGAGGTCTGGCATAAGCTCTGTGCACAAGTCAGAAATCGGGCAGAACTAGTCGGTATATTAGGTCCTCGAGTACGTGGCAAGCTCTGCTCTCAATTGGCCGATTGTCGTATTCTTCGTTTGTTGTCCGCCCTGAGTGAGTGCATCATGGGTTGCGTGAGGGTTAGACAGGCAACAGACATCGACACCAAAGCAACTGTGCCGGCCCCTGTTCAGCATCACTGGGGGCTTCCAGGGGCTGCAACTCGTGCGCTGGTGAGACCGAGTTCCCGAAGGTGATTCGAAATGTGTTGGTGTCCATTCGATAACCCAGCAGAAACATGCTCAAGTAGCCGAGGCCTTGTCCTTGCTGGTGCACGGTTGTGGCGCCGGCCTCTAGACGTCTAGTGACAAAGGCTTGACACTTTCCCCCAGGTGGTCTAGACTTTGAGCAAGTTAATCTGTGCCACAAGGCCTTCTTCAAACCGTCAGGGACCCCTCCGCAGCGGTGTGAAGAAGCAGAAGCCACCCCGATATGATTTCAGTGAGGCTGGCTTGCTTTCTCCATTGAACCCAGAGCTGACTCCCTGCTGCCATTGACAGCCATTGTAGATTTGAGCAAAGTCGAAAACAGTCTCGAACAAATTTTACATTCAGAACCCAAAACAAGAAGCTGACATTGCTTGCGAAAATATCTCAGATTCCTTCGAGATCAAGCTTGTGACGCTGTGGCGGGCGAGTCGCCCGTGTGCTACCCAGCAGACAGCCACCGGGTTTCGAAACATTTGAAAGCCCCAATCTTGGAACGCAGATCAACACCCACGATCACAGGGGTACGTACTGAGGGACCTCAGAGCCTACTTGCCAACATGGACGTTCACTTGGCTGCGGTAGCTGGTCCCAGCGAGGCGGTTACGGCTGAATAAGGGTCGCCGCATCTCGGCCGGAGAGCATGTTTGAGATACTCCCCTACCAAAACGCGCTCACCTTGTGGCTTGTCCCATCAATGAATGCCAGAGATTTTCGACCATCCTTGGAGTTCCCACAATATGCTCACTGTTTCATTTCCGCCTGAACATCTCATCCGATCATAATTGATGGGGGTTTCTCCCAAGTGGATAAGCGCCTGTATCTTGACTTTGGTACAAGCTTGAGCCGAGACACGCAAGAAGTGTACCTCCACGCCCAGTTCCGAACCCTACCAGATATCCACAACCCCGAAGGTCTGGACATTCCCTTTCCGCCCCGTATGTCCTACTATCACCCCTTGTAACTCGCTCATCGCACTGGCATCCGAGACCCGTCCGTTGGCGTTCCAACCCCAGCTTGAGCCATAACTTGGCGCCGGCACCATCCCATACCCAGGTAGCTCCTCCAGCGCTAGCCATCACTTAGAGCTCTCCTGTTGGATTTATAGCTCTGTGTTCCCACCGTCGTAGTATGTTGAGCAAGTCGACTCATCGAGATCATTCTTACCCTGTCATATAATAGTACAATTGTCCTCAGCAAAAAGGCGAATTTCTCTAGACTCATAGCTCCACCGCCTGCCATCCACACAGAACTAGTCACAACACTTTCAGTTACTTCTCAACTGCTCTTCAACATGGCTCCCCTCAGGTTACTCCTCCTCCCTACCCTAGCCGCAGCGCACGTCACCCTCAATGCTCCCGCCCCTGTCGGCCCCTTCGACGAGGACAACGAGGCCAATGCCCCCTGCGGCGGTGTCACGATCGATTTCTCCAAGGACAACGTGACGGACTTCCACGTCGGTGGCGAGCCCGTTGATCTGTTTCTCGGCCACCCCACGGCAGGCTGGCTGATCCGCGGCACGCTCGATCAGACCGCGACGTCCAACTGGTCTCAGCTCTACCCCATCTTCACACAAAATGGCCTGGGCGACTACTGCCAGCCAGCTGTCGCAGCACCTGAGAGCTGGGTTGGTCAAAAGGGGATATTGGGAGTCGTGGCTAATGCGCCGGACGGGCTGCTATATCAGGTACGCGACATCCCGCACGAGTACTGGCATTTTCTCCTTGCACGGACACAAAAGCTGACAAGACAACATCTCAGTGCGCGACTGTGAATTTTGTCTCAGGGTCGGGCACCCAGACGTCGGACTGCAACAACGGCAGCTCTGTGACGGCCGAGTTCTCAACGGACGCGAGCCTGTCTGCACTTGTCCAGACCGACCACAGCACCACCAATGGCACCTCGACCGCCTCGGGCTCTTCGAGCTCGGCCAGCTCAAAGAGCATGGCTCCGGGGCTAGCCCCATCTGTCAGTGGACTTGCCGGTAGCGTGGCTGCTGTGGTCTTGGCTAGCCTTTTCGGAGCTGGTCTCCTGCTGTGATGATTTGAAAGCGTTGTCGATAATTCTTAATTTCAAAAATAGCTGGCGTTCTTCGAAAGCAGCGGTCCATTTACGGATTTTGCCATATGTGTCCAGCTTCAATGGATAGGATAGGGGACGGCAAATTGATAATTCACGCACTCGCAATTCGTTCAGCTCCTTTCTGCGGTTTAATTGAATGAGACTAAACCCCATCATACCACACAGTGAAAATAGGCGTCAAGATCTGCTTGAATTAAGTTATGAAAGACATCTCTTTCGTCTGTCCACCTCTGGATTCGATGCCTACACTGTATTAGTTTGACTGTTCCTGGTCTTTCAAACGGCCTTCATACGGTCTTCAATGCGGAACATATGTGTTTCATTATTTTGAACAAATATTTGGTAATTCAAGAGAACTGATAATCTGCTTTTCGTGAATCCGATAGCGTATAAGTCTGGCGTTTTCTTTGGAAGGTCGCAGATATTGACTTGAAGATCCCTGGAACTCCAACGTAGGCTACATCTCCCATTACAGCACATAGAAAGAAGCCGAAACCGTAGGTTGCTAGCTCTACTAGAGAGCATCGGTTCGATGGTGTCCTTGTCACCGGGATGGGTGAGAACAGTGGGCTTCGCGCGGTCTTCATTGATGGTTCTGCCAGGAGGAGAGAAATAAATGCTGTAGATGCCTCACAGAAATACAGTTTCTTAACTTACTCACGCATGCAGTTTTCAAGGCTGACGCTTGACCAAATTAGGAGAATATGATGGCCAAGAACTGAGCTCTTGGTTCATTGGACACGTCGGGTTCGGGGGCTGCAGATGATGTGCATTAGGTACCAACATATGTAAGAGAAGGATCCTGACACGCCAACATACGAGGGAAAATATGCAACAAACGAATAACCCCTGCAAGCGTTAGAAGCCACTTGACGTCAGCTCATGCCTCTATGTTAGTCTGAGAATGGATTCATCCGTGCTTACAGAGGCGCTTTCGTACAAATCAGGTCCTCTCTGCTCTGTCTACTATGACCTATCCATAGTAGAGCTCGCGAGTCTCAACTGTCATGCCGCCAAGGTTACAATAACTAATCACCAACACTCTTCACCATAAGAAATCTGCTTCTATGCAAAGTTTGTCCTAGGATTTCCCGCGAACCAGGGCTTGGAATCCCGGGGGACGACGCCAAACATGGACGAAAGTCGAACGCGCCACTGTTGGGAATGTCTCCGACGTCGATTGGTATGTGATTCCACACGTCCAGCATGCAATAAATGCTCCCAATCGGGGAGTCAATGTCCTGGATATGGTAATGTGAAACCTGCGAGGTTGAGGTGGCTCCCACCTGGGAAGGTCAAATCTCGACAAAAGAACCGGAATGGGACTGCAGACCCTGAAATCGACAAACATCCTACTGAAATTGCCAGCGAAAACGTGGTTGAAGTAATCCCCCCAAATTCTGAGATGAACACGGAATTTCGCGCCTTGCTCGAGGCGGTAGAGTACTGTACTTTTTCCCTGCCACGTTTCGACAGGCCCTCACTGACATGGACAGATAACACCTGCATATACCAAGACCTAGTTCCTATCCATGAACTTGGGCAGCACCCTGGCATATATCTCCTCACGCCTACCCATCTCCAGAGAGGGGCTGAATTCCCCGAGTACATATGGCTCAGCCTGATCTGCACAACACTTAGCCACCGAATGAACCGGTTAGGAAACGACACCCGACAAAACGCCCTCTCCAAGTCGTTCTATCACTTCCGGGGTATTATTATCCGCTCCCTCCGCGAGGATATCGAAGTTAGACACAGTCGTAATGGCGATGTGCTTGTTGCCGGCATCATTTCACTTTTACTCGCTGATGTGAGTTCTAATAGAAAACCTCAACGACCACTCATGCTAAATTATACCGCAACATAGGCTCACCAAGGCGCCTCAGCGAATTGGCGACAGCATCTCAAAGGGGTCCACAGTCTGGTTACGGTCCGCGGAGGTATCCGTGCACTATCGGGTACAAAGAGCCTAGATCAATTGCTTCTCTGCTTTATGTTGTAAGTGATTAAGGGAGGGAAAGTGATGTTTCAATCAGCGTCGAGACTGACGTAGCACAACACAGCGTTGCAATACTCGGGAACACGACATCACCTGCGTCGAGCCTTGCCATGACCGGATCGCACCTCGAGGACCTGGACATTATCGTCAATCATTATGGACAGAGGCTGTTTTCTTTCCAAATGTGCCCCCCGAAACTGTTCGCCGAGTTGATCAAGATCAATCACCTTCGTATGCGAGCTATGGAAAGTGGACATGCCGAGGCTGAGTGTCATACACAAGAGGCGTGCAACATTCTAGACCGTATTCACATCTTCTCACCGAAGGAATGGTCCGAGTCCAAACCTTGCTCCCGAGAAGGATGGATGCTGGTAGGGAAGATATACCAGGCTGCTGTGTCACTATACTGCATCCTGTCACTGCAAAGCCTGTCGATCCTGCCACTCACTTCCGAGATGAGCGCCAAGTGCGCCGAACACGGCCGGCTCCTCCAAGAGCAACTCGACTCGGCCATGTCATCCCCTGGAACCAAGTACTCCATGATCTGGCCCTTGGTCTTACTTGGGGTGCAGGCCGCGAACGGCGACGCAGCTATGCAGGCTTTCGTGTCAGAAAAGCTGCCGGAGCTCAGCTACTATATCGGCTCAAATGTGCCGACGGTAGCAAAGGCCGTGCTGGAGAGGTTCTGGGCTTCAGGCGAGACGCGCTGGGATGCTTGCTTCGATCGCCCGTACGCGTTTGTGACCCAGATTGCGGTGGACATGAGCCAGCTGGTGCAAGAAGGCTGATTTGAGAGATGGGATCGAAGGATTAGCAGTCAAACTCATTACGTCTCTACAATGCTGAACATGTTTAACATGATTGGAGCGTTGTTAGATATTGGGGGATATGGCTCCGCTGCCCTTCAAGTCTCATTTCATCCTAAGAGAATGAAATCTTGGTCAACGATTGCAGATCACAAGGAACGAGCAACATTGCATGCCTTCGCTTGATATCAGTCTGTGGATCGCCCCATCCCAAGGCAAGGCTTCTGAGGCTGCTTCTCAGCCATTTGGGCGTCGAGGATCCGGGCATATCTTACAGGGAGGATCGAGGCGGACAAGCCATCGGCCCGTGTTTGGAATCATTACTGCCTTCCAAGGAGCATCGAGCAGTCCGAAAGCTTTGGTAACTCAGTCCGCATGGGGCATAGTGCGATCCTGCTGGCTTGGGGGTGCAAGGTACTTATGTTAGCTAACTTCAGGACGCAATTTATATCCTTGCTGATTGAATCCTGCATAGCAAGAGCCTCAACCTGTAACCTGGAGCCTGTTTCGTTAGCCTCGGTACGGACGCGGTAGTGTCTCGCTAAATCGCTGTCCGGTCGAAACTGGCAGAAGCAATACCCAAATGAGACGGCCATTGGGCATGCTTCAAAACGTACAGTATCAGATGGGATTGGCGGAACAGGTCTGATGTGGGTGCCTAGTCAGGTAGGTTGCTTGCAAAGAACATCACACCCTCAAATCGCTTTGCCACATGCAGAAGTTCGCATTGCACAACCGAAATGGAGTTTCGCTTTACGGTAGCTGTGCTCTGGTATCCCGGTCGTAAGGCAGAACGTGGAGTGGTCACAATGGCTCTGAATGGAGTAGAGTTTTCCGTACTACTGGTTAATAGGCAGCCGAGAAATGGACACAGGGTGGGCATATGGAATCAATACAGACCTTCCATGCAAGGTCTGAATGTACACAGTAAGACTTAGCATAATCAGACCGATCTGATCTCCATATGACATTGATTAAGGAGTTGACGGGCTTGAGACCACCAATCGGGCCCACAGGAATCGAGGTCAGACTCCGATCAGGTACCCAGAGGAGGGACCTTTGTTCACTCCATAACAAGAGCTAGGGCATGCATGAGATGGCACCCGTTCCGGTGCCGTGCCGAGAATGAGAGCGACAGTAGATGCGAGTCTGTCTGCCTGTGAGGCAGAAGTGATGTGGTGGCCAAGCTAGTTCCCTCTCGTGTTGTTTAAAGTTGGTTCGCGGTCAACAGACAGTCAGACTAGACTGAGATAGAATAGCATCTGAATAGGGAGTGACCCTCGTGCTATGTGGTTGCCGGCTTGAGGAGAATTTTGAATTTCCGTATAGAGATTGCCCAGATAAATTGTGGGCATATACCACAGAAGAAGACAATGTCTCGGTGCCGGGCAGCTCTGAGGGTCATGCAGTGTCGGTACGTAGGTACTTGGATAACATGGGTACTCCCGGCTGCAGTCTCGGCGCAGACCAGCCGGCAAGGGCCGCTGCACGCGACAAGGCCAGGACTAGGACAAAGGCCGCACAGCATTGGCCCCCAGGGCGTCTGAGGTGCCGAGATAGAAGAAATACGGATGCCTGATCCATCACCTCCAGGCAGCCGTCAAACTCGGGACCGGCATTTGCTTGGGGGCTTGTGCAAGCGGCGCCACCGACCCTCGCCGTCCTGACAGTCTGCTGCAAGTCCTGCAGGTCCTGTCCTCTAAGCGTGCCGCCACGACATCCCGACGCGAAGACACGCAAATAGGCCCGCTTGTTCTGGCGTTAGGCAGACGAATTATCCGGCATCCCATTTGCAAGGCTGGCCGCCCAGGTCCATGTTCGGCCTGGCCACCGCAGACGGACAGCACGCTATCGACGCGATGCTTGGGACGAACTAGTCCCGACATTGACATTGATTGCTGTCTGGCCGCCTTTTTTGTTTCATCTGCGCCCATCTCCCGGCTCCCTGGGGGTCGTAGGGTCCCCCTCTCGCGGCCCTCCGTTGAAACACTGTCCGGCCCTGATCTTGATGAAGCCCTCTTCGCCCTCGCTTCTTTCCGTACCATCACACTCTTGCGCCGCATGCCCGCTGCCGTCACTGACCTGAGCTGAGCCGAGCTGTACACGCCTCCCAGTCTCCGGCCTGGTCACACAAGCCCACCATCCAGGGCGATATACACGCGGCAGTTACGCCTGAGCATTTCTCCCGGGTCCACCTTTCGGTTGGACACTCTCCCTTGAGATACTCCCCACTCTGCCACACGCCCAGGGCAATGAGGTGAACAGACAAAATCACCTTAGCACTCTTGTCGTCTGCACAACTGCCGTCACCGTATCTTCATCGTCTCCAGTGAGCGCGTGTATCTCTCACGCAGCCCCATCATGGAGTCGTACGGTATTCCCCAGGGCGGCTACCAGCTGCCCGTCCAGCGGCGGCTCAGCAGACTCTATAACGACACCAAAAAGTCCTCCGACTTCGTCAAGGAACCAGTCCAGAACGCCGAGGACCCTGACATCAAGTCCCTTCACCGGAAGCTGAAGATCCAGAATGACCGTCTCGTCACCTGGGGCCTGGAATGGTCCGACCCTGGCCACCAGGACATCATCGATGACTCCCTGTCAAAGGCTGGGCTGAGCGAGGTTGTAGGGAGTATCATGTCAACGATCAAGGAGATACTGGCTGAGGCGGAACCATTATGGGCGAGCTCCAGACGGCAGGCCGGTGGTCTTCCACCCATAGGGGACAAGAAGATTCCCATTGTGGCATGGGACAAAGCTCGCTTTGAGGACTTGGTCAGAGATCTGACTACATCTATCGACACCCTATACGACCTTTCTAGGACAAGATCAAATGCTGCATCATCAGCGCGGGCAAGAAATTACCCAGGGGCTTCCACTGAGGACCTGCGGGCCTTTGAGTCAACCAGGATGCAGACACCACAGCAGGTCAACCCTCAGACATTAACCAGTCTGAGAGACAGACAGCCAATCCCCATGTCCGAGACCACTCCTGACGTCCACACTCGGGACATTGTTTACATGAGCAAACAGGCGTATTCCGACTTGACTAGGAACAATGGCCGCCCTTACACTGCACTGCTTCTAGAACATGCCGAGTTTGACCCCATGTACTCTGCGACGGGCATCATGCCAGATATGTCTCGATTCGAGAAGCTTTCTGCTGGCCTGCAGACCGAACCACAGCGCTCCCCGGGTTCCTGGACTGGGCTTCCGCAGCTGCTGGGCTACTTCGAAGACATGGACAATTCGAGGCTTGGCCTGGTCTACCACTTCCCGCCGGGCTTCAATCCCATCTCTTACGAACCTTTGACACATAACACCCTAAACACACTATGCTCTCTGTCCGATCTTTTGGCACGACCTGACTTCGAACCGACCCTTGAGGCCAAGTTCCGCCTCGCCTACAACCTTGCAAACACTGTATTCGACATGCACGCACGGGGGATCACTCACGGCAACCTGACGAACTCTAGCATCTCGTTTTGCAAGGCAGTCGGTGTTGAACCGGGCATGGGTGCTGGAGAGGTTGACATCCGACGGCCATTGATCTCTTCCTTCGACTTGTTTCCCGAGAGCTTTCAGGAGGGGTCCACGCCCACAACATCACTTTACCGACACCCTCTCGACCCGAAGACGACAGCGCAACAGTCTCTCCTGTCGAATCCCGACTCCAAAGCATTCGACGTCTACTCACTTGGAATGCTCCTGCTCTCCATTGGCATGTGGACAAATCTTGAGAACCTTGTCTCCTCACCATCAGCCACATCCGTACCCGAGGTCATTCTGGAACAGTTGGCCAAGAACTGTGGAACACTGTACACGAAGGCAGTACAAACGTGCTGGAAGGCCGTTGACGAAGAACTAGCCGCCGGAACAGAGAGCAGTCAAGTCATGACGCGTGTGCAGGTCAGCGCCAGCCGATACCTCGAGGTATGCGCCATACTTGACAGCGTAGGTGGCCTTGAGGATCGCCTGAGTAGCGATTTGGGAATCCAGTCTTCGTCCAAACAGGCAGAGGGGCAGAAGTCCGACAAGGCGATCGCATCGTCATCAAGAGATGAAAAGGCACGGGAGGCTGGCTTTGCCCCGACGGTTCCTCAGACAACCGTGTCGAGGAGCCCTGCAGGGTCGGCGCCGCCGGAGACCCAAACCCAGCGAGGTATGCCCACCAGCGTCCACATACAACTCCGTATGCTCACTGATCAAGCAGCCCCTGCGTCTACCGAACTGCGAGCCAAGCGATCGACCAAGAGCCGCCTCTATCCACATACACCACTTCCTCCTGAGGCTGTCGAGCACTGGAATGCCGTGCTCATGCCACAAATCAACCAGGCTCTTCGACACTTCTATCGCAAGAACCCCGAATCAGTCGAGATCTCACTCGAGTCAATCGGCGAGACGGCAAAGGAAACCACACCTACCGTGCTCGTCGTGTGCACCTCTGTCTCCAAGGTCAAGGCAATTCTAAGACGGAAGATGGGCGCACTGTTCGATGGCACCACCGGCTTCGCCCTGAAGGTGTGCCGAGGACAAGTCCTCCGGTCTCGAAATCAAGGTACTAAGCGCAGCGTGGCCCACCCAGAGAGTGCCGAGCAAGGCGAAGTAGTGGCCGCTAATGGTAGCTTCCAGGAGCGCCCACTGAATGGAGCCAGTATAGGAGCTTGGATTGGCGATCGTCACTTACCGCCAGTCAGCTTCGGAGGACTAGTTGTGGTTGATGAAAAGACCTATGGCATGACAGTGCACCACATGCTTGACGACCCGGAGGCATCTGCTCCTGAAGGTCAAAAGCAGCCTCTGCGGAGCGGAGCAGGCTCGGAGAATCAGGTGCCTGACCTGGCTGCCTGGTACGCTCAGCAATACCCGGATGAGGATTCGCCCAACTCGGGTAGTAGTAGCGATACCGAAGACTTCGCGGCCGAATTCTCCGACGATGGTTCTGACGCCTTCACCGAGTCTGCCGTCACCAGCGAATACTCTGACGAGGAGCCCGAAGAAGACCAATACGGCGAGACTGGAGATATTCCCGGCATAGAGCCGGGCTGCGGAGACGGGTATGTCGTGAGCCAGCCAGCCCTTGACGACGTCGAGGAGGGCTTCTTTGCCAGCCCAGACACGCAAGACGAAGAACACCTCGATACCTTCAGCCTCGGCGAAGTGTTCGCCTCGAGCGGCATCCGCCGTCGCAACGATGACCGGGGTCTTGTTCACGAGATAGACTGGGCTCTCTTCGAATTCAAAGACGACCGACTACCCCAGGACAACGCCATCCCCGTCGCCGACAGTGATGTACCGCAGCCCATACACCCGACTTCAGTCGTGCCGGCCAGCTCTCTGCCGAACCTGGAAGTCCAGTGCATGGCGCGCACCAGTGGCCTGCAGACTGGGGTCATTTTACCGACACTAGTTTCGGTCAAGATCTACGGTCGGACGTCGCCCAGCCACACCTACCAGATCACCAGCTCTCCAGCGTCTGAGAGAAACACCGGCGACAAGCCACGGCTGCCACTGGGACTGCCCGGTGACAGCGGGGCGTGGATCATCGAGCGCAATAACGGGCAGGTGTGCGGCCACGTGCTGGCCTGGTCCCAGCGCAAGCGAGTCGCGTACATCTGCCCGATGGACGTGCTGCTCCTGGACATTGCCGAGACGCTCGAGGCCACGGAGGTGAGGCTTCCCGGCGGGGAGCCGGTGGTGAAGATGGTGGACGACAGCATCAGCATCAACGTCAGCGAGCGTGACGAGGGATACTGCGAGCCGCAGGGTGACGAATCCGACCTGGACGCCGAGCTGCGGTCCATGGCCGCTGCGAAGCGGCGAAGCCTTATGAAGGGCAAGGGATCGATGAGGATGAGAGCGCATGAGGTTGCGGGAGAGGGAGGAGTGGACAGGGCGTCGTCGGTGAGAAGCGTGCCTGCCAACAGGGGCAATGCCCTTGGCGAGATTGAGCAGGACTTGTCGAGGCTGAGCCTGGGGAACAAGGAGGCCAAGGCTGGATTTTGGAGGGCTTAATTCTTGTCCCCTGCACGGAACGGGATACTCATTCTGTTTTCAGTTTGATATGTAAACCAAGGCGATCAGATACCAAAACATTTTAATGTTCGGTCAAGATGATACAGTGCCAGCCTGGTTGCGCTCGCTCCTCTCCATCAGGATACCCTACTGTAATGGAAGTGCCACACTTACTTCCTGCAAGGTTTGACTTCAACACAGTCATCACTTGATTGCTCCAAATGCATGGTTGACACAGCAGGGGTTGAAGTCCGACCCCGACTGCTTCTCTTGCCACATTTACTCCCATATCACTAAGTAGTGTTTCTTTGTCTAGATTAGTCTGCCTGCAGGAGTATGAGCCCTTGTAGAACCGCTTGGGACAGACGTACTGATTCAGTGTAAGGCTTGACTATCGCACTCGTTCGAGGTTCTTGAACTCGGAATAGGCCTTACTGGTACCGTACGCCACAGTGGAACAGAGAATGGCCCCGTGTGAGGACTGTCTAGAAACACGTCGAGATGGGAATATTATGCGACTCAAGCTAGTTTGAGGAGTATAAAAGAACAAAGTCCGTTCATTGCCAGCGGGTGGTTCTCGTGCTCTCTGGTATGGCCAGCCAAGCAGGATTTCCAGCTCCAGTAAGTGGACACGGTAAGGCTCTCCGAAATTACTTAGAACTAAGCAGGTCATTATATGGCAAGAAATGCGAGGCCTGAAATTAATCTAGACTCACTCTAGAGGAGGTTTTCCAATTCGCTCCTCGGCATCTCGCCATTTCCGATGTCGGGGATACTAGACAATCGAGGAACACCGCCGCGGCTTACCCAGCCGCATATTTTATTGGTTTATTATCCCATGGTCCCAGCACTGCCAGCTTAGCTGAACTTCACAGCAACGCGATGGCGCCTGCTCAAAGCAAGTGGGCGTGAGGCTGAGAGCAGGATGGTCGGAGGAATTTGGGTAAACTCGGTACTGAAACTAACGATCTGTAACAAAGAAGCAGTCTTTCCCAGCCTATCAAAATCCTCGGTGCGGGCCAGCACGCATACTATTCGTGACTTTGGAGGCGCACGAGAAAATACAAGACTGCCGTACAGGGTATTTGGCCAATCCGGCCCGTACCATTGGCCATACAAGGCTGCTGTGGCTGCGCCATGGCTGCTGATGTAGACGAGTCCTTGCCTTGTGTATGACCTTTTGTTGGGTGCATGCTCAAACTCTGTCAATGAGTATTTATCTTAGACACACCTCGCCACTCTTCTTACACCTGGAGAATTCAAGCTGCGAATCCACCTGTACGGAAGGCTATTGTTGAAATCAACTTCGTTGTGTGGTTTTAGGCTGGATCTGGGACTCGACCCAATTTGCTCCTCAGTCTCAACTAGGAACTCGCACCCAGGCCCCAAGCCCGCTTCGCAGGAAAAGACAACTACAGTCAAGATGAGTTTCGGCTTCGGTGTGGGTGACTTCTTTACTGTTTTGCAGTTTGCAAACGATGTGCGCAGAAGGATTTTGGGTGCCCCAGAGGACTTGTAAGCTCATTACCTTTGCCACTACCCCGGCCTGTCGACACTGACATGCGTTATGGTAAAGTACTTGATGCTGAAGTGCGGAATCTGTCTATTACCCTTCAGGACGCCGATATTTGGCTGCACACTGCATCATCACGACAAAAGGAGACTGCGGCAACCGTCCTCGGAGAGTGTCGTACACTATTGCACCAACTCCAACAGGTCCTGGACAAATTTACGGAATTGCGACCGCATCGACATGCTGGCGGTAGACAAGAGATGCGCTACAAGCTCAAGAGGTTGTGGTCTAGCATCAGATGGGACCCCGAGGAGATCAACGGCTTCCAACTGCGAATCATTTCCAACATCACGAAACTCAACACGATAGGCCAGGAGAAAATGCAGGTAGATGTGGATTGTCTTTTGACTGCCTACGTATACTGCACATACCAAAGTCAGGAACAGCAATCCCATGATAAGCTCGTTGCTAGCATCCTTCGATCGCTGGTACAACAACTATCGAAGCCGCCAGATGGACTCCAACAATCTTTTGAGACCCAGGGAAGACAGGGCAGGCCACTCACGGCCCAACAGGTCTTTTCAGCCTTGAAAAGTATCTCAGCCTCTGTTGACAGAGTGAACGTCCTTATCGACGCCCTTGACGAGCTGGACGGACAAATAAGGAACGACCTTGTCGCAACGATGTTAAGGCTCCAGAAGGAGATCGGCTTGAGTCTGTTCCTGACTTCGAGGCACAATGTTGGAATTGAAGAAAAGATACATCCAGGCCCAGCTCTCACAGTCGAGATCCGCGCATCGTCCGAGGATGTGCAAAAGTACCTTCGTGCGAACCTGTCCCGTCTTCCACGGTGTGTTTCGGGTAAATACAACCTTCAAAAGACGATTGTTGCGAGTATTACTACGGCAGTGGACGGCATGTAAGTGGAATCTGTTAGCTTTTTTCCCTCCTAAGTGCCTAAGTAAGTCGATACAAGTAACCAGAAGGATGGCTAATTTTGATCCCAGGTTTCTCCTTGCAGAGCTCCATATGAATTCCTTGAAGAATAAGACGTCCGCCAAGGAGATTCACGTTGCGATATCACAGCTGTCATCAGGCTCAAATGCCTACAACGACGCGTACAAGGCGGCTTGGAACAGGATCAACGCCCAACCAGAAGAACATAGGAATCTTGCAAGACAGACGATTTCCATCATACTTACGGCGCGACGCCCGCTCTCAGTCGGAGAACTGTGCCATGCTCTTTCCGTGGATATCGAAGATGGACAGATTGACGATGAAGAAGACATGCGCAATATCGAGGATATACTTTCCACTTGCGCAGGCCTGGTCACCGCGGACCCGGGAAGCAACAAGGTTCGCTTGGTCCACAAGTCAACGCAGGACTACTTTTACCGGAACCGAGCTGAGTTCTTTCCTGATGCCGAAGATTTCGTTGTCAGAATATGTGTCATTTACCGACGCGCCAAAAATTCCGAGTCTCAGAATGCACCTTTCTACGACTACTCAGATAAGAATTGGTGGTCTCACCTCGCACAGGCGACCGCGGATCGAGGGCTTGGTAAAGCAGACTTGGAACCTCAGTCTATCAATGATCAGGGACGCTCGAAGCTTGCAGCTGAGTTAGGCGTTCAGCTGGGTATTGAAATGTTCAGCAGCGATCCGAGCTTGTATAAAACCATGCTCGAGGCCTGTGAATGGGGAAACCAAAGCCTTCTTGAGGCACTTCTTGACATAACCTGTTTTGATCTCACCAGCAACACCGAGCTTCTTTCTATGGCAGTCGAGAGAAGACAACAAGACATAGTGTAAATGATTCCCCAATGGGCTATAAAACGACTTTTAGGCAGCACTTGGTTACAGACAGTGGCTAATCACTTGCTTCATAGGAAGCTGCTGCTGAGCCGAGGCGCGAAACCGAACTTGCTGGGCAAGAATCAGCGGCCCATAATCTTCTCCGCCATCGACGTGGACTCTTCTGCCATCGTTCAAGTCATTCTCGATTTCAAGGGAGACTTGGAGCATTGCGGTGGTCCCGACGGGGAAACACCCTTGCTGTGGGCTGCTGCCCAAGGCAGCTTGTCTTGTCTCACGCTCCTGTTGAAGGTGGCAAACACTGCTGCAACTGACTCGAGTGGCAAAGGCGTCCTGTCGGTCGCAATTCTTCGCCATCGAGTTGCGGTGGTGGAAGCACTCGTTCGGCGCCCCGAGGTAGATATCGATCTTTGTGATGAGCAGGGTATATCTCCACTTCGTCATGCTGTCCGCGAGGGGCAACATCACGCCGTTAGAGCCCTGCTTGAGAACCCACAGGTCGAGCTTTCAGTCCATGATGGTGCTCATGAAGGAATCCTCCACGACGCCATCGAGCGAGACCATTTGGAGGTTGTCAGGCTTTTGCTCGGTTGCGACTTTGTCACTCGCAACTCAGGCAGGTTCAAAGACGGGTTTTCACCATTGCACTGCGCCGTCAGAGGTAACAAATACCTGCCTAAACTTTCTTTCATATCCTTTGCCGAGATTGGCTCCTACACTTACTATTCCGGTGTACCATCCAGGACGATTTTGAAGTTGCTGCTGGAATCGGGTCTCTTCGACGTGAACGCTGCCGACGGTGACGGAATGACAGCTTTACACCATGCCTGCATGTTAGGCCTTGAGCAGTGCTCGGCACTCGAGGGTATCGAATCAGGCTTTGTGGACAATCTGGATTACGGGGCCCGGGGTGATATTCTGCTGGATTTATGCTCGGCACCAGGTATTAATCTGGATTTTGTGGATCATGGAGGTGAGACGGCGTTCTACAAGGCAGTACATTCTGCTAATATTACTCACGTCAGGGTACGAATAGCCAAGGGGGTTTCCATTCATGTGAAAGGTGCAAAGCAGATAACTTGCACGTTGCCGAAGGGGTGTAGGGAAAAGGTGGGACTTCAAGACCTAAGTGATTTGAAGGCTCATATGGAGCATCATATGGAGCACCAATTCAATTAACATTTCCATCTGCATGGCATAGCAGCCCATTCCAGGACCGCAAGCCCTATACAGCCCTACAGAATCAAAGTGGGATTTGGCAGCATGCCACGGCAGGGTATCCCTTGGAGATCGACCTCTATGAGACACACACACAGAGTCGGCGGATTGACCTATTAGAGTGTCGACTTGGTCAGGTTACGTAGTACCTGGATAGTGTTTGGGTCTCTTCGTCCACACGCCCAAGGAAACTCAACCACCGGCGTTGCGGCCGAGAAGGCAGTGACAGCAACGGTGGAGCCCACTCGCTGCAAGCACCCAGATGGGACCCCACCGATGCGCAGGAGTGGGGTTGCAATTGTTCCTTTAGCACGCTCTAGGTCCCCGCGGGACGGGATGACGTCTGAAGCGGGGCCTGGACCAACGCCCCCAAGGCCTTCCCCCACGATGTGGCACAGCAATGTCATCGCTTGGCCAGCGCTGGGGCATGACAGTCGCCTTTCTCCAATTCGACCACCCCTTTCGCGAGGTAGAGAAGACGGTCTAGCAAACCATATTTCAGAGCTCGGTGTTTTGGAAAAGGCCATTCGGTCCTGGAGTAAATCAAGCGATAATTCTACTGGCCCGGGGCATGGACAGTCACCAGATACCTAGGCATGCAGTCTACTTGTAGCTAGGTCCATGTAGGGAGATGTCCCCAGAGCCATGGCAAGAAGCTTGGCCCAAGCCAAGCACCTCGACACCACGGACTGCCTGGCTTGGCGCCTGTGTTTCGGTAACCCGCAAACCATGTCGCAGGCCAACCACGGCTGGGACGGCTTCTGGGGGTGTGTACAGAGCACAGAGGAGCGGCCTGCCATGATGCGATAGACCAACAAGGAACTAGGCGCACCTTAGGCTTTGCGCCAGGCAAGCCGGGCAAGAAAGGAACCCATGCTCCCCCCAGACTTTACCCTGCACCACGTACGTCACCCCTTCCGCCCTTCCAGGTTCCTCTGCAGGTAGGCGTTGGTCTTTCCTTCAGCCACGCGAGACGACACCAAGAACCAGGCGCAAGACGTCAGAGCTTGACGTGTGGTATGGTCGGTCGTTGTTCCCTTTATAATGCCCATGCCCACTCAAACCGTCACTTGGAAGTGTTACCCACAACCAACCTGCATATCTCGTAGTAACAAAGAGCTGATCGTCTGACATCCACATCCGCCCATCACACACATCATCCTCCATCCGCCACAGGAACAAGAAAAAGAACAGCCACATCAACGTCACGCATCATCTCACTCACTCCATCACTCACTCCCTCGCACTGACGGGCCCGCCATTACATCACTCTGCCACAACTACTTTGGCCACCCTCATCGCCATCAATCGATCCACAATGGAGACTATAAACTCAATGGCAAGCACCGCGGCCAAGGCCATCTGGGGAGACAACAACAACAATAACGACAACACCAACACTACCACTACTACCAACGACAACGCCAAGACGCGCACAGAAACCATGAACAACGAAACAAAGGGAACAGAGCCTGTTTCGGGCAAGCTGGGAGACACCTCCGCTGGGGAGCCTTTCGATGCTGGTAACATAGGTATGCTGCCGCTCTGCTAGTCTTTCCTGTGCCTCTGAAGGACTCTGTACGCAAAATCCAACCTGAGCTGAACTGACCATTCCGAGCAGAATCTGGAGCAACCAACACCACGACCTCTACCGCCCCCAGCACCGCGCAAGCCGGAAGCGAGAGCACCTCGTCCGGGTTGCCTGCCACCACCTCGACAGATACCACCGCGGCTGGAAGTAAGGACTCCACCGCACAATCCGGGGCCAAGGGCCCGACGGCAGACCACCCATCCACCACCGGCAACACAGGTTTCAAGGCGCCCCAAGCCGATATCAGGGATCCAGATTCAGCAACTGCGGACCCCAAGAAGGAGGCCGAGCGCAAGAACGTCGACAACAGCGGCGGCGTTGACACCTCCGAGAACCCTACTAAGGTCGAGGGGCCCGGCCCCAAGCCCATTGAGGAGGTGGCCAAGTCACACGGCGGTGACGCCGGGTCCGCGTCGAAAGAGTCCTCGGGGGCAGGTGGCGCCGACGAGGATGGCCCGGGCGCCAAGAGCAAGGGCGAGGGCACGGGAGAGCAGTACGTGAAGAGCTCTGGTCTGGCCGCCGACGGTGGTGACTTTGATGCGACGAAGCCAGGCGCTGGCCGCGAGGCTGACCGTAAGTGTTTTCGCCGACGACATCCCCCTGCATGTGTTTTCGCATTTTACTGACACTGTCACAGGACTCCTGGAGGAGAAGGGCATGACCACTCAGTCAGCCGCCGCCGCCGCTTCTAGCAAGAAGACCGAGGAAGACAAGGCTGAGAAGACACCTGATTCCCCAGACTCCAAGAAGGAGAAGGCAAGCCTGAAGGATAAGATCAAGGCCAAGCTCCACAAGAACTAGAGGGCTTTCTGGTGCTACCAGGCCTTTCCTGATGACATCTGAGAGGGTCTTCCCGCCTCGGGGATGAGGCGGCCAGGTGTCATGTGACGTGTACGGAACTGCACGAGGAAGACGATTAACGAGAAGTACCCATTTGAATTAGCACTTGCTTGTTTCCATAGTCTCCCTAGTAATCACTTGGTCAGCATGTAATCACCAATTGACAACAAATTGCCTCGTTTCTCTCTCTGGCATGTGAAAATCTCAAATTTAAAACTGGAAATGCCGTATGTAGTTCCCTGCCAGCAAGCTCACAGTCCTGACTACGTTGTGTTATTCGACACCGTACCCGCCAAACAAAGTTGGTGGTGAACTGGGAAGTGTTTGCCCTTGGTCGGCGGTAAGGCAGCCAAGGTAATCGGGACTGTATCCGCGGTGCCAGGCCGGCATATGACGTCGGCGAACATCGGAGCTTCCGAGACTAATCGGCGACCACCAAACCTCCTGCACCGGACCGCACGGCAGAGAAAATCGGACGCATTTGCGGAGTCCGTCGCCGTCCCCAAAGAATAAAAGAGGTCACACAGCACTTCCTACCGCTGCACCGACCATTCAAGGCCAGAATCCTTCCAGCCCTACTCTCTCTTCTTCCTCAAAGCGTCCACCCACAGCAAATTTAATCACCACAAAACCACACATAGCGCACCAGACCATCCTGACTGACAAGATGTGTATGGGAGCCACGTGCCCAGACTGCTGTAAGCCGCAAACATGATCCTATCCATGAACTTCTCAACCCCGCTGACACTGACCCCTTCGCCGGGCATCACAGCGAAGAAGTCGTGGCGCGGCTGCGGCCAGCATATCCCGAGCGCCCTGTCCGGGGTTCCGGAGGACGAGTGGTGCACGTGTGACCCGAGGGTCGAGATCGACGGCAAGTCGTACCCTCATGCGGCCCGCGTCGCCATCCCCGGCGCGTCGTGGCTGAGCGGGCTGGTCGGGGGCGGCGGTGATCACAAGAAGGAGGGCAAGGATGAGCTGTGAGCCCTTGCCGGTGGGGTTCTTGTCTGGGGGCTCTCGGAGTCCTATTGTGTCTCGAGTGGGTTTGTGGGGGTTGAAAAAGTCTGAGCATGGTGTACGGTTGGTGTGCGTTGTGGTTTTGATTGATTGAAAGGGGCTGGTCTCCCTCTCCATGTCTTACGACGTTGTCTTGCTGCGCCTACCTGTTCGTTGTGGAGGAGGTGACGCTTGTTGAGAGACCCGCACTTGTCTTCGGGCGCCCAAGAGAACGAGTCTCCGGATCAGCCTTCATTTACAAATTGGCAAGCAGAGAAATGGACAGTGACCCATACGCGTCCCTGTTCCCCTACATCAACCTGATTGAATGGTCCTTGTCGTGTAGTTCGGTGCCGAAGCGGCAGCGCAGACGGGACCGACACACCCATCGTCTCAAGTGCTCACGCACTCTGGGCCAGATATATTCGCGTCGTTTCCCATTTTGAGCAATCAGGCTGTTGTTTCCGCGAGATGAAATGTGACCGGAAACACTTTAAAGCAGAAGCACATATCGTAAGCCGTACCGCGGGCTGCCGTTTCACCATCCATCGACAAACGCTGGAAATCCACCTGTGCACCACACACGAAAGATACGATGCATCCAGTCGTGGAGGTGACCCTCTCGTGGCTCCTCTCCAGCGCCAAAGGCCGCGACGAGAAGAGCTTCTACCGGTCCCCGGCCTTCAAAGATTTGCCGGAGCCGACCATCGAGGTTACATCTACGGAGCGCGGAGCGGGTTCCCTGGCTGAGCCGGCGCAGCTGAAGAAGGAACACTCCCACGATGGAGAGGGCAGGTTTCCCGGCTTGCAATGGCAAACGCCGCCGGCCATCTCTGGGATGGTGAAGGAGTGGCTGGTCGTGGTTGAGGATCCTGATGCGCCGCTTCCGACTCCATTGTGCACGGGTGAGTTCCGATCTGGTCTATTCCGCAGTCGAGCTAGCTAAAGCGGCCTCATCGATCGCAAACAGGATATACGGAGGCATCGATGCTGCGAATACGAAGATCGAACATCCCCACCTCGAGGTTGCCGATGAGACCAAGAGCATCGTGAAGGGTGGGTTCCATTACGGGGTGTGTCGTAGACCCGGGGTGTACCTTCCTCCCCGACCTCTGATGAACCACGGGCCTCACCGGTGTAAGTCCGACACGCTCATAGACCACCCCCTGGGCGAGATTCTAACATGCAAAAAATGATAGACTTCTACGAGGTCGTGGCATTGAATGAGGCGCTGCCCAAGGAGCTGCTGCAGGGCAGGCCGACGAGGGAGCAAATCGCCGAGGCGGTCCAGGGCAAGGTGCTCGCCTGGGGCCTCTGGGTCGGGGCATATGAGAGGAAATGGGAGTAGAGGGTTGATAACAAGTGCACCGGAAGTCTGACAGTGTCGTCTAGAGCTCACGAGGCAGTCCTGAGGCCGACGTCACGGTGGCAATGTTTCTCTTAATTTTCCACCTCACACTCAAACGTGAGGGAATAATGTACCTAGAGCATCAGACGCACATGTAATAGACAGTCCTACTTGGTAAATTCCTTGCAGCTGGTGGTGGTGAGACTGAGACATTTGGCCGATCTTATCTCGGAGGTAACGACCTCGGGGATCGGGGAACGCTACCCATGTGGTCTGAGGCTGGGATTAGCACCCCCGCCCCACCCGTCAGCTTGCAGAGCCGAACCGGCGAACATCGTCGGTAGCGCTTCGGCAACATCTCCCTCCCCCTTCCACCACGGCATACCCAGCGACGTCGACTGACTGAACCTTCATCTACAATGTCCAACGGGGAGTCGCGTGAGTCGCTCGACCTGCTGGCCTCGGCCGCCGAGCAGTCCTCCCCGCAGTCCCGCATCAAGAGGAACACTGCTTGTGTGTCGTGCAGGGACTCCAAGGTGCCTGAGATTGCCCGTGGGCGCGCGCTCTCGAAGCCTCCTGGGCGTGGCCCGTTCATAGCCCTTCGCCCGAACCACTTAGCTGACCACGATCGCAGGTGAAATGCAATGCGAGCACGGTCCCTGGTCAGCCCTGCCAGCGGTGTCAGAAGCTGAAGTTGCGCTGCGTCGTCGACAAGTCTCACAAGAGAGTGAGCAAGCGGAGGTGGGTCGAGCCCTGGCCCGTTTCGTTCCCCGTGTCCGAACCATTCCACCCGTCGCCAGCAGGGCATGGTCGACATGTTGAGACTGTTCCCTGTGCTTGCGCGTGATTCTGTACCTACGGAAGGTACTCGTTGAAAGTCATGGTCTGAACTTTGCCGTTTGCATTACCGGCTGTGTCCAACTTGGCGAGGATTGGTCTTCGGCATCGCTCTACATCTTCTTATCTCCCCTCACATGGCCAGATGTTCCCCCGTGCTACTCTTTCTGGTGAAAAGTCTAAAGAAGCATTCTAACACGCTGCAGTAAATTCGACGAGCTCGTCCAGGAGGTCCAGAGCATTAAACAGGCCGTGGCTCCACAACCGTCGTCTTCCACTCCACATGGCCAGCTTCCTCTTCCCCCCGATTCCACCACCGCCACCACATCTACCAAGCCCCAGGTCGGATCAGCCTCGCCTGTACACCTCCTCCGGCTTCTCATCCGGAGTGTCGCCGTTGGCGTCCATCCCGTCCTTCAGCAATGCTCCGCCCCCGCGAACCTTCCCGGAGACGTCGTCTGTCCCCGCCCTGACCCCGGGCCCCCTGACTACCCCGTCTTCTGCAAGTAGCCGCCCTGCGCAACCGAGGGCACTCAAATCGAGGGTTTTCTCTAGCGAGGACATCGATCGGTACTTCGATCAGTACTTTGAGCACTTCCACCCGTATTTCCCCGTTGTGCGTATGAGGGAGCCAGATGCCATACAATTCCGGCCCAGTCCTTTTCTGGGTCATTGTCGTCACAGCCTGCAGGAAGTCGACACACGAAGGTGGAATATTTGACTTCCTCGTCGACGCAGTCAGGAACGAGATCTGGGGAAGTGTATCTGATCCGCCTGTCTCTTTGTCTACGATCAATGCATTGTTGATCTTGAGTGTGTGGCCTTTACCGACCATCCGCTTCATGAAGGACCCTTCTCCAATATACGTGTCACTCCTCATGAACAGCTGTTACATGCTTGGCATTCATACCGGCCGGGGAGACTTCCCGACGCAGGTATACCCAGCCTATCGCCTGTCCGTCAGCGACGAGGAGGCCGTGTATTCTTGGGTAGGGTTCAATGTTATCTCCCAGCGCGTGTCGACGTATAGTGGCACGCCTTCCACAGGCCAGTACTTCAACAGCACTATTGAAAGTATCCTCGACAGGACGAGTCCGGTCAAGATTCCGATGTACTTCTACATCCTCCTGGAAAGTGCGGCATTCCTACACAGGGTGGGAAGAACAATAGCTGCCAACCTCGAGCAAGAGAAGGGGATTTCCCACCATGTTGTCGAGCAGTTAGAAGAAGACTTCTTGAAGGTCCAGAGCCTCATGTCTGCGGGCATCTCAGGTAAGCGTCCCGCCTCGTTCGGACAACCCACACACCATGTTGGTTCTGACCCTGACTTGTCTCTGCACAGAGGTGGACCAATTCACCATACTATCGACACTGCTAGAGCTACAAGTATTCTACTTCATGCCGATGCCCGGCTTCAGCCAGGAGGCATTCAAGCGCAACGCCCTCCGCTGCCACACGACTGCACAGTCTGTCATCAGGCTCGCGCTGAAGCTCAACAACGAGATCGAATTCCTCTCGCACTCGCCCCACTTCGTCTGCCGCTCCATGCTGTCGGCAGGCTGCATCGTGATATCGGCGCTGCTGTCCCCGTCCACGAAGGAGGTCATCGAGCGGCAGATCCAGGACGCCGGGGCCACCCCGGACGCGGTGGTCAACGAGGCGCTCTCCGGCGTGAGGCTGTGCAGCATCCAGGACGGCGACCTGCCCGTCCGCGCGGCCAAGATGATGGAGAGCGCGTGGAGCGTGCGCGAGATCCTCCCCGCCACGGAGCTGTCGCAGCTCGGCCAGATGGACATCTCGCACCGCCTCGGCATGGGCCTGCCGCTGGACTGCATCCGCAGGTGGAAACGCCAGATGGAGCAGATCCGCCCGGACAAGGTCACGCCTCAGCCCGTTGCCGCCGAGGGAGCAGGGACCGCGGCCGTGGCGAGCGCGGCCGAGATGCTGGCTGCTGACCCATTTTCGAGGGTCGACTGGGACGCGTTCATGAAGGACTTTGACATGAATTTCGATCCGGCCCTCATGGATACTGTTGTCGCCTAGAAAGCTAATTACCCCAGTCCTCGCGCGGAGGGTGACTCCTTGGAGAAGTAGAGATGGGCCGGGAAGGCAGCATGGTCTCTGAAGAGCGAATGGCTGATAGGCCAAGGCTGCGTATACTATAATAATACTACCTAGACCAGACCCTCCCTACCTGGGCCCAGGAGGGGTCAATTCAAGACAAGCTCGCCAAGCTTCGTTCTAGAACCTCCTTGGTGCAGCCGAAGTATAATCTCCCCATTGCCCAAGCCCTGCAGCGCGCAATGTGACCGTATTCCTTGCCAGGGCGGATTGCGAGCCTCGCCTGCCCGTCATTGAAACAAAACGAGAAGGTTGCCATGGTCGTCTCTGGGGTAATATAAGCGCATACACGCCGGTCTGCAACCATCCGGCCTGATGCGGCATGTAGCACTTGGTGAATCTACTAAAAAAGAGTCGCCATGCCACTTTCGGAAGGTCAGTCCTAGCTTCATGTCGTGGTCTCGGGGACCGGCTGAGTTGGGGTCGACCATGGAAACATCATTCCAGCTGGTGCTTAGCAACAGCCGTGGGAGTCATGTGGATGAAGCAATGGTCAATGTTTGGTATCAGCACAGTGGTGTCTCAAAATGGTATCGATTTATGGGAGTTCCCAGATGCCTCCTCTGTACACATCTAAGTTCAACTGGAAGGATATGCTATTTTCTTTTTATATAGATGGGCCAGACGACATCCCTAGTCCAAGGTTCTAGTCGTAAAATTGTCTAGAAGAGACCGCGGACAATACGCTTGAACCAGGATTGCTTCTTCAGCTCATCATCCTCATCCTCCGTAACGCTGTGCAGACGGGCGCCGGCCATCAGATCTATCTCGTGGATGGGTACCAGAAGACGCCACTCTCTCGAGTAGACCTTCCAGAAGAGGTACAGCGCCAAAACCACCGGTGCAGCCAGGTATTGCTGGAAGAAATACTCTGGATCGGGAGTAGCATCTGGGGATGGCTGGACAGTGTTGTTAGCAGGCTTCACTCGGAGCACATTGTGATTAGAAGCCTGGGGTGAACTTACGTAGAGCGAGCTGTAGAACGTGGCAATCAGGCAGAGACCGCAAAGGAAGAAGCCGATCCAACTTCCCCAGACACCCAAGGTTGGCTTATACGGGATGAGGTCCAGGCTGTAGCCCTGCTGCTTCCACGCCTTGCGGAAACGGATATGCGTCGCGCAGATGGTGCCCCACACAAAGAAGTACGACAGTCCAGAGAGGGACAGGAGCCAGGTGAAGATGGTGCTCTGCGACGATGCTTCGCCGATGAAGGCCAGCAGGCCAAAGCAGAGCTGCACAACGATGCACCAGATTGGCCGCCCGGACTTGTCCACATATGACAGGAACTTGGGAGCCATTCCTTGCTCAGCCATGGCTTGCATTGTCCTGGTAGAGCCAAAGGTGCAGGAGTTTGCGACAGAGATGACGGCGAGGGTGATGACAGCATTGAAGATGGATGGGAGAACCTTGATGCCGGCGTCCTCGATGGCAAGCACGAAGGGCGAGGCTTTGGTGTTGGCGCCAGAGGAACCCAGAAGACGTTCGTCGTTGGATGGGATGATCAGGCCCACGATGAACAGGTTTACGACGTAGAAAAAGAAAATACGCCAGAAAACCTGCTTCGTCGCGAGGGGAATCGCCTTCCTGGGATTGGCAGACTCGGCAGCCGCAAGCCCGACCAGCTCCGTACCACCGAATGCGAAGGCAGCAACGACGAATACGGAGCAGAATCCGTTGAAGCCGTTCTGGAACGCACCAGGGTCACGCCAGAACTTGGCTCCGAGGTAGCCTTGGTTTCCGACACCTCCGCAGTTGATGACGATTCCAAGGATGATGAACCCAGTGCAAGCCGCGATCTTGATCATGCTGAGAACGAACTCGACCTCGCCATAGCCTCGAACGCCAAATATCTGGATGGTGGCGAGGACGACAAGGAAGACGGCGACCCAGATGCCCATGTTGAGATCGTCACGCCAGTAGCTGATTGTAATGGACGCGGCAACAAGCTCGAAGGGCAGAATAGTCAACCACGAGATAGCGTAGTCCCAGCCCATGGCGAAACCCCATGATGGATCGATAAAGCGGACGACGTAGTTGTAGAAGGCGCCGTTGACCGGGTAGAGAACAGCCAGCTCGGCCAAGGCCTGGCAGGTGAACAGAAGCATGACACCGATGATTGAGTAGCAAATGACAAGCGATGCAGGACCGCCAGTATGAAGGGCACTTCCGGAACCGACAAAGAGACCAGCACCAATGGCACCGCCTAAAAGAATGGGCATGTCAGCTTCCCGCCACACGAATAAAGGTCTGCGGAGACGAGGGTGTTGATGTCGTACCAATGGCAATCATCTGCATGTGTCTTGACTTCAGGTCGCGGGCCAGGCTGCCCGACTTGTGGACGACCCCGACCTCCTCATCGACAGTTTCTGAACCATAGCCATTATGAGGCTCGATGACCTCCTTGTCGGTCTGGCTCTTCTCGCCGTATTGCGCCATCTTGATAGGTTGTTGGGCCTCTTGTCGTCTGAGCAGTCGATCCAACTGGTGGATGTAGGTTGTTGACCAGGAGTAGGGAAGCACCGAGGGCATGAGCACGCTGGCAACAAGGTAGAGGGGCAGCGCATACTTATAAGATTGGGCACGAGAATGGAACACGGAGGGACTGTCCAGGACTGGGGCAACCAGCCGGGACCAGTATTGAGACAGGGGGCCGAATCCAAAAAGGCCTCGATGGCGCGCTAATAACCATGGAGGAGGAGATTGAGCTAGCACCGAACTGCAGTCGGCCCTGGGCCCAGAGGTGCGGCTGACTGGGCAGGGTGCTCCCCGGTGGCAGAGACATGGGCGGGTGTCTGCACCGACAACGCGGGACCTGGGCATCTGGGTGGCAGGAGGTTGGATATACACAGCCCCCAGATGCTCAGCGACGAAGGTTCTGGTGAGCGGCGGTGGCTGCCCACTGTCCAGGCTGTTTGCTGGACAGATCATGAGGCTGGAAACACCAAGAGCAATGGCGCTCCTCATGTGCACGACGGCGGACTAGACAGACGGCTCACGTATGCATTGTGCCATGTCCCGGTGGGACAAGGACGCCCACAGATGGCATATTGTGGCATGCCGACGAGGCCGCGAAACCTTGAGGCACCGGAGGGCTGGGATCGTGTTTCGGGTACTGATAGACACTCGAGTCTATGGGAGCTCCCGCCATCTTGGCCGACCAGCCCTGATCTGCTTCCGGCCCTTGCGAGTTGTCTACTCACACATGACAGACTCAAAGGCAGCCAGTCAACTGACAAATACCTTGCCGTGTAGGCTGCCAGGCTGTCAAGGCTGGCTGGTCGACTGGGAATGATACGGTCGGATTGACACAGCAGGCAGGCTGCAGGGTCTGGGCTCAACGAACGTTCGTTGGTGGACCATGTTGCCGTGCTGATAATTGAAGCTAATAATTGACAATCTGGGCACGAAGCTTGAGTGGACAATGGGCGGAGGCAGGATCCCTGCCACCGGTCATCCCTGTCCCCGTTGATAAGGAAGGGACGACTGCCAATCAGGGCATTCAGGAAAGGAAGGTTGCATCAGCTCAATTTTGCAAGGTACCGAGTTCATCAGACCAACTGGCTCATTTTGCCGAACAGGCTGACAGGTTTCAGCTGTGTCCATCTGTGGCATCAGGCGGGGAGGTCAGCTAGAATGTGGTCTCCTTGCCGTCTCCTTGCCGGAAATCGTGGATTGCTACATACCTACAGTAGGTACTGTGTGTACAATCCCCGCAGGCAACGGGCGGGTGATTGCAGGTCTGCGCACAGGGCCGCGTTCCGCCCCATCCACCTGCAGAAGCAGTGCACACGGCTGCCGCTTTCCCAGCCCTGCCTCCCGGACCCTGCATCGTTTCCTGCCCCTCGTCTCGGCAGGCCAGGCTGTAGGGCACTCGCACATGTAAGTGATCTCCTCGATTGCCAATCATGGCTTGTTGACGTTGCCTGGCGTTTGTTCTCCCTCTGATCTGCGCAAGAATGGGCCGTTGGCCTCCTTCTTGCCTGGACGTCATCGACGTGCCGCGTCTGACTCGGCCACTTGATCCTACTGACCCACTGTATCTCTGGGGGACTCTGGGGTTGGCCAGGCCAGACCAGACCAGATCTCTCGCTCTCATCAATCAATTACGTACGTAGCCGCTGTGAAATCTGGGGGTTGGAACTCGCTATCTGGCACTAATGTTCACGCGTATTTCTTTGACGAAACCGCCCCGACCTCTTGTCATATCAAAATCCACTCTGGGAATCCTAGGATTTCTCCTTTCAGACTACCCTCGATCACGTCAAGCAGCGCACCGAAACATCTGGCAGATTAGCGGGTCTGGACAACGCACGGTCTGGTCCACAGCCTACTGTAGGAAGTAGGTAGGGTGGTCGCCACTATCCGGGGCAAATTCCTCCTCGCCTGCGTCCCATTGGATCACACCCGAAAGCTTCTAGCGTTTCCAGAAAAGCGAACACGCTGGATAGCCCGGTTTTTTGGAGGGCTCGCATGCCTGCAATCCCTTGGAACTACGCTCCAGTCCGGCGGCTGATCCGCAGGGAACACCAGGCTCTGACCACCACCTACAACCTCAGCACGGCTATCGCTCACGCAGCCCCTGCGCGGGCATGCCCCCCGGCGACTACCTGTTCAAATATGCAGATCAGGCTCACCATTTGCTTTGGAAGGCACCCACATCCAAATTGCTGGGACTCCAAAAGCAAAGCGTGCTTGTTGTTGTGGCTAAGCTTTACGAGACCCATGGCCAAGAGTCGCCCCATCTTCTTGGCTGCGGCCCTCAGGGCTATCACATCTGGGCAAAGGCTTGACCCCAGCCAAGCCCGATGGGACCAACGAAGGATCTGCCTACAGAATGCAGACCTGTCACACGACTGGGTGCTCCTTCGAACACCTCGTACAGACCGAACCGAATGGCTGGCCTGGGCCCACTTTGCGACATGCTAATCGTCCAGCTTCGTCGAGCCTGTTGCTGTTACGGCTGCCACCACTCGTTAACCTTGTGGTGATCCGCGAGTTATCCCCCTAGACGCATTCTGGTTTCTGAACCCTAGCCGATCAAGCTATAGCTTGCCCTACGTTTGGCAATACACCCGCAAAACCGCCGAGGGCAACCTTGGCAAGCCGAGCCAGACATTCGCTCGGCCACGCCGGGGTAACCAACCTACTGGAGGGTATCATTTTGGCCCAAAGAGGTCTCCCCGCGAAAATGCAGCGACGGGTTCCAATTCGCCGGGTCGGTCTGCAGTTAATCGGGCGTTGCTAACACCCTTCTGGAAGCATTCCATGCAGTCGTGTACAAGTCCAGAGACTAATCCCGGCCTCGATGCCACTCCATGCAACGTACAGACAAGCCTGTAAGCTTGTTCGCAGCTGCTCGTGATCAAGCAACAACCTACCATGAACAGCCAAAGAGACACTAAGAGCACAGCACATTGCTGGGAGCCAGCCGGGAGGCGGGGCACACTCGGTACAGGTGAGGCGATTCACAGCGGGTCAGCAAGCCTGGCCTTTCCCACCGCGGAAGCTTCTCCGTTCCCCCAATTCTCAACCCCCGCGCATCTAGGCCAATGGCACCCCCGCCGGCGTGATCTGTTTCGTACCGCAATGATGCATATCATTCATTTCGAAGTCAGGACCGCCGATCTGGCTAGCCCTGGCCGAGGCTTCGGGTCAGTACCAGGCGCTTGAGCCTGGAGAGGCAGGTACAGACGAAATCGTGGGATTTTGATCTGTTCCACCCCCGGTCTGCCGACATGCAGTTCCTAGGCAGCACAAACGTCCTTTCGGGACGACTTCTGAGTGAGTCCCTCGACGGGGCCGCATTACGTGTGGCCTGAGCAATGGTGGAACGAGTACGCGTGTACTCGGCTGGACGTTAGGACGCGGTCATCACCTTGTTGAGTTGACCAGTCAGAGAGCTGCAGTGGCCCTATGCCACCCACACCACTCGGATCTACTCTGTCTAGTCAGTTCGTGTGGCCAAACGCCACTACGATGGCTGAAAGCGATGGGTGTGTTGATGTAGTTTCCGCACATGCTTCTGGAAGAATGCATGGAAGGTCGTTACCATGGCTCCTTGGGACGGGATGTTACCTCCCTGTCCCCCACTGTGACCATAAATGACAGCCTCGTGTTGGGAGCTTACCGCGTTAGTAGTCTCTATCTGTCCGACAATCGGGGTGAAGGTGGTTGGGCCGTGACTGTAAGTAAGCCCAAGCGAAACCGAGTAAGACATCCCTTCCGAGGATGGACGCCTTGCGACGCCACTTTTTGCACCGGACTCATTAAGGGGTCATTGCGGACCGCATGGCATGACGGGATTTTCAGATGATTGATTCTAGATATCAACCCGCTAGTGGGCTTCTCACATCCTGGCAAGGCTCCCTATCATCCATTCAGCCTCCAGCCTTCTCCATCCGCGCGAAGCGCACGCCTTCCATGGTCGGGGTTGGCCGTGGCTCGACAATATTCCTCTCGTACAGAGCAAGCCAAACCGCGTCAGCATTGACAACTTCCAGAGCCCTGAGGGCCTCCTCATTTCGCGGTAGCACGTTGTCGGCTAGCAGATCCAGAATCTGCTCGAAGATGTCGTCGTCGATCCGCACAAATGATACTATCGCGACGAGGAGCGATACCGTTGCGTTCCAAGTCTGCGCCGCCGATGCGAACCTGCCGAGACCGCTTGACACCGTGCGAGATGATGGCGCATCGAGTTGCAAGCCCGAGCCAGTAATTTCCCCTCCTCCATGCACAGGTATCAAGATGCCGTTCTCGCCGCCGGTCTTGTGCTGTCTGCCCGGCATGCTGCCCCCCGACGGCTTAGCCTTGCTCACACCGCCTCCACTCCCGCTGCTCTTCCGCGCCTCGTCCTTCATCCTGAAGCACCACTTCCCTAACCCGTCCGACCACTCTGTCTTGACCCGCGTGCCCAGGAAATCACCTGCGCTTTCGCAAAGTGCGGCCAGTGTGCCGCACGCCGATATGACAACGTACGGCTCCGGGTCGTAGAGCCTGCTCACAATGACAGGCCAGACATCGTTGACGATTGGGAGGAAGGCATTCTCGTCCAGCGACAGCGCTGATGATACTTTCGAGAGCAGGTCGAGTAGCTGTTTCCGTAAAGTCGGCGTAGGTGAGGTGAGGTAATGCTGCGTGAGAGAGGTGATTTTGGTGAGGATGGTGTATGTAGGAGTTTTAGGTGGAGCCACTTGCTCGTCATTGTTGGGAGCAGGATCTTCAGAGTCGTCCTCGCCATTTTCTCTGGACTCGAAAGCATCGAGCTCGTCTTTTGCAGACTTCCACGCTTCTCTAGGGTGATCGCGTATAACTTCTTCCACGCCCTCCTCTTCTTCTTGTTCCCGCTTCCTCCTCGCTCGTCTGTCCAGGACGGCAAGCGTATCCTCGATACCCGAGGATTCAAGCGGCCGTTTTCTGTGACTCACAGCCTTGGCCTTTCCGTCTTCGATGAGCAGCCTGTCGGACTTGACGCCTTGCTCGACCACCTCCGACAACACCCCAAATAGACTCTCGACGAATGCAGAATAGCCATGGTAACTGTCTAGAGCGGCAAAAATGCCAGCGACCACGTCGTCCAGGAAGGGTAAAAGGCTCGGACCTGTCAGGCGGATCATCATCGTAAGCACCTTTGTTGATGCAGGCGAGATGTCGAATTGGTTCAGCCGAAGCGACACCGAGTTTACCATGTAGTCCACATTGTCGATGATGAGTTCGGACACGCTGCCGTACCTGCACGAGGAAGCGAGGCTGTTCAGCGTCGCGATCGCGTGGCCTTTGAGCTCCGGTGTTGGAGAACCCAGGAAGGTCGCCACGGGGTAGACGACGTCTATGAGTTCTGGGCGGAAGGAAGGGCCGAGACGGTGGCCGGCGAAGGCGGTGACTTCCAATGCGATGGCCTCGAGGCGCCAGTCCACCTCGTCGATGGCCGCGTCAGAGTGTGCGTCGAGTATGGAGACGGAAAAGGAATAGAGCTCATCGAAGACGGATTCTGCATCTTCAGGCGAAGATGGATCTGGCGCTGCGTCCGTAAGGTCCAGCAAGTCGTCGACATCAGAGGTCTTGGCGAACGAGGACTTGAGGAGCTCAAAAGATAGCCAGAAGGCAGAGATCTGGTCAACTCCAGTGGAATCGAGGATGAAGGGGAGCATTTCATTTGCTAGTTTGATCTGTTGTGAAGACGAACCGATGTTCTGTATGAGATTCGCAACGTCTTTCCTTGTATCCCGCTGGCTTTCTTGAGGTAGTAGGATAGGCCGGTATGTTTGTAGCTCCTTGCTTGGCTCTACCATGCCTGTACTTCGCCACAGGTTTCCATCTATATCGACTTCATTCTGGACCTTGGGGTTCTTTGAGTTTAGAATCAGGGACACAACACTGTCCCTCAGGGCTGAGGAAAGCGACTCCTGTAGATTCGAGGACTGAATTTGTAGTGCTGAAACCAGCTCGTTTCCTTTGATTATGTTGCGGATGGCTTGCTGCTTCACCCGCTCATCGCTAGACTGCATCACGCGCGGCATGCCCGTGATCCAGCTATACACGGTGGCTTTGATAGAATCCAACAGTTCAGGATAAATTGTCGCCAGGTCCTGTAACGAAGTACCGTAAAACCCCGTCCTCTCATCTCCAAGGACATCGATGCCGAGACTGGGCTGTTCACTGTGTTCTTCCCGGAGCATGATGGCACTCTCGGCGAGCATTGGTGTACAATCGGACAAGGTCGAATGACACTCGTCTAAGAGTGTGATGCAGAGTCGATCCATGGATCTCAGGACATCTGACTCGCCATGATTTCTCAGCTTAAGAACAGTAGACAAGGCTGTCTTGACTTGAGCAGCTGTGGCTCTCAGCCACGAAGCCGTGAGGACCTTTCCTTCGCCCTTCTCGTCCTCTACGGTCTCGTCAGGATTGGAGGTATTCCTCTCCGTCTGCCGTAGCAAATTCCGTAATTTGAGGTCCCCAAGGACTTTCGTGAGCACGGTCCTCAGGACGTTGATGGAATTGACGAGCACCCGCCTCTGCGCTCTGGTTGATAAAGGTGGGGAGAGGACACGGGTCAGCGAGGACACGGTTCCGGGGAAGAAGGTAGCCAGCACATCGTCCTGTTTAATGGTCGTATATACGGCGAGCACGGCACGCAGCGCTTCGACCTGGATCTCAGGGGTGCTCCCGCCGGTCACGCCGTCCATTATGACCGACACGGAATGCCCAAATGACGGGATGATGTCGGTGTCCGTCAACGGGGAGTCTTTGGCCGATAGCCCTGCTGCCTTGATCAGCGCCGTCAGAGCTTTGTAGCCCTCCAGAACGGTCTCCTCGGGCTTGACAGGATGGCTTTGCTCCCTGCCCGGCACGCCGCCGACGATGAAGGTCAGGAGGATGAGGAGCTGCTGCGAGAGTTCCTTTGAGATCCTGGTCTTCCAGCCGTGCTGGATCAGGAGACGGAGTGACTTGATGACGGTCTCGATCAGCCGGATGGGATATGTCTCATGCTGACGCAACAGATGTGACAGCGGGAAGAAGACATAGTCTGCTATCTTGTTGTCGAGCACTGTGGCATCGTACTGGATCTGGTCCTCCAGGACGCCATTGAGCTGGGTAAGCAGCTCTTGCAGCCGCTTGGCAACGACGGTCTTGTCCTGGCCCTTGCTGCCTTGGAGGGCAAGTCTGCTAATTTCTACACAGACCGGTTTGAGCTGAAAGCGAGTCAGTAGGGAACATGGCAGGCATGAATGAGTATGGTGGTAGAGGAGGCGGCGGCGGCATTCACCTTTGCAAAGAATTGATTCCTCGCTGATGAGGTAAACTCGGATTTTGGGCCAAGCTGAGAAGCCATTCCGACCACACTGCCCTTGATGCCCGGGCCGGGCGACTTTGAGACAAGATCAGAATAGCAAGAGAAGAGAATTAATGTTGATCGAGGTGGTATAAGTGCCTCATTTGCTTGGTTATGAGGAAGATGCGAACAGAATGTGGTAGAGGGGCGCAGTCTCAATCTTGGAGTGCTGGTGCAGCCTAATGTCCGCTAAAGTTCAGTACACCCACTGGGCAGCTTCAGCCCCTGGGCAGTCAGTGCCTGGTCGGCCACTGTAACCAGGCTGAGCCGCTGAGGCGGGGCCGGCCGGTCAAACGGCCTCGGGAACTGTGGATACCTGGGCCAACTTTATGGGTCCGCCGTTGACCACATGCAGTGTGTCTACATACCTAGGTACGTGCGATGGTTGGAGGAGAAATGCAACTGTCGAGCTCTTGCATCAACGAGCAGTTTAATAAGCAAATTGATACCCGATAACCTGCGACTCAACGCAACCCGAACGGAGCCTTGCATCATCACTGTCGACAGTCCTCACAAAAACCCCGCACATCATGGCGACGACGCCCTTCTCAGTGACAGCCCACCCCTACCCATCCAAAGTCAAGCATGCGTGTGCTTACGAGCTGGGCTCGTCCCCGGCTCGCAACGCCATCATCTTTGTTGGAGGTCTCGGGGATGGCCCTCATACGGTCCCCTACATCCGGGCAGTCGCTGCCAAGATTGCAGCCGACACGGACCTGAGCTACTCTGTCTTTGAGATCCGGATACGCTCTTCCTTCTGCGGCTTCGGTTGGAACAATCTCGCCAAGGATGTTCAAGACATCTCATCTCTGGTCAAGTATCTACGGGGCATAGGGAAGGAGAAGGTGGTGCTCATGGGCCACTCGACGGGCTCCCAGGTATGTGCATATTATTGTGTTTGTCACACAATTACTCACCGTAGACAGGACTGCATCGAGTACACGGACTATGAGAAGCACCAGAACGAGCCCATAGATGGCTTCATTCTCCAGGGTTCGGTGTCTGATCGGGAGGCCTTTGCTGAGGATCTTGGCAAAGACGAGGCGGACAGGATGGTTCGCCTCGCCACAGATATGATCAACGACGGCAGGAAAGACGATGCCGTGCCCAAGTCACAACTTCCTCGGCCATTCTTCCCTTGGCCTGTGACTGCGTATCGAATTCATTCTTTAGCAGGCGTCGGGTGAGTCGCCCGACCACTCCTGGGGGGCATGAGAGCACCAGGCTGACACATTTCAACCCTCAAGCGGCGACGATGATTATTTCTCATCAGACATTCCTGACGAGAAGCTTGCTGCAATTTGGGGCCGGGTGAAGCAACCCATCATGGTTGTCCCATCTGCAGAGGACCAGTATGTCCCCAAGACCGTCGATTTCACGAAGCTGCTGGCCAAGTGGAAATCCTTCTGTCCTAGCATGAGCGATCTTTCGGGCTTGATACCTGGGGCAAACCATACGGTTGATGCTCAAGAATCGCAGGACTGGCTTGGGGACAGAGTGGCAAGCTTTTTGAAGAGCCTGGAGAAGTCGAATTAGACAGTCACCTTTTGTGCGAGGGTGATATGATTTGAGTATGATCGGCGCAAGCAAAGTAGAATAGTAAGTAGACTGTTGGGCTTACTGATACATACCCATCCCTTGAATCTGCGGAGCAGGGGTAACAGGAGATTCCAACGATGGTTTCTTTGCGCCATGTGGTATGAGAACAGGCTGTAAGTCGGGCAGTCTCGTCCCTGCTCAGGCAGTCAGATTCGTACAGAAGATCTTCCTTCATATTTGTAGAGGACTGACCTGCTGGTAATAGCATCATCATTTCCTCTTTCTTCAATAAACTCGACTCAGGACACCGTCCACAAATATTTCCCCTGTCTTTGCCCATTATCGGTCGGTTGAGCTATGGGGTCTGCCTCAGAAAAGACGCCACGATCCTCCGCCTAATCCCCTCGATGATGATACGACGAAATATCCCACTACTTCTTTTACTTATTATGAGACACTGGCATTCATCACGCAAATTGCAACGTCCCTGTGGCTTCTGTCGTCACTGGGTCGAGAGGTTGCTGACTCCAGCTCTGAGCTTCCCGAGACACAGACGCCAATTTAGGGGAGCTAGATCACAGCTGCGGTGTCCAACAGGATAGGGATTGGTGTTTCTTGTGTGATAGGCATGCTCACAATGCATATCTTCCCGAATTCGAACTGTAAGCATGGTTTGTGCTACCGCTCTTGAGTCTTGAGCTTCAGTTGCCGAGCGTTAGGAAATACAAATATGTAGCACTGCTCTGTGGAAGACCTCGCCTTTCCTCCAAGACAGCAAGTACAATCTGGTATAGAACCATTTCCCCCACATTGATTTGTCTATCTCGCAATCGCAACAGAGACGTGTTCGTCCTTTCAGACTTAGACTCTGTACATCAAAATGAGACTCAGCGATCGTCCTCCTTTTCGCCCAACTCACCGGGTTCTTGCCCGCAGTCGTCGCTGCTGACGCTGCAGAGGAATGTGGCGACCTCGGCGTGATGCAGACTGATAACCTTCCTGAAAGTGTCGACCCTAATAATGTCCGCGCATACGTCAACCGGCCAGGCAACGACAGCGACCTTTTGGACCCCAGCCACCTCTCCAAGCGAGCATGTACTTCGGGGAAGTACAACTTTGGGTGCAGCTGGGGTTACTGCTGGAAGATCTGCGACATTGGGGGACTTCCACCCCCTCAGCCCGTGGGCTCGCCTCACACCTGGTGCTGGACTGCTGAGAACAAAGGCTATGTGTCTCGGATTTGGTGTAACAGCTCACGGTGCTGCAACATGGACATGGCGTGCGGCCAATCTAACGGGAGCGCCTGCAACGCCTGCGGCTGCGGCTGCTGAGTGGGCATGGGGCATGGATAAGAAAAGAAACAAGTAAAGCTATTACAAAATTCTGCCATTACTTTAAAATAAATAAATAGGCGGGGAGATACTATTAACCCGTATAATGCTATAGAGAGGCCAGACGTCGGTGGTGGCGTCTGGCAGTCGAGCCAACGAGGACGTTGATTTGTGTTCAGCAGAGAGATCGCATATCAGATGAAGTTAGAGACCAATGTGACAAAGAGGCTCCCCCACAGCGTATTGATCTGACATAAGGAAACAGAGAGCCACCCACCTCAGGGTCCAAGTTGGGTGGCGTGCAAGTCAGTCAGGAACCGCAACAGATTCAAACTTCATGTCCCAAAGTTCATGCGTGTTCTTGGCGCCCTTTTTAGTGCGTGCCAGGTCCCCATAGCGGCTGACGACTGATCCCAGCAAGAGACTCTGACGCTGGCAGGAGCACTGCCAGGCACCCAGCCAGCCAGCCAGCCAAGTCAGGGACCAAGCTGGGTGCAGACTCCAGACACGACTACAGTGCCAGGACTGCATGGTGTTATGTCTTGTGTGGGTGGGGTGCCATACAGTGCAGTGCCGCATATGCATTTACCACAGAAGCCAGGTTGAGCTTGCGTCACGACACGCATCGACCCCTTTGCGACGACAGAAGCCACAGCAATAGCAACGGCGACAGCGACAGCGACAGCCACAAGTCCAGAGGATCTACTCGGCCAAGCCAAGCACAAGCCAAGCCAGCTCACCCAACTTGAACTTCTGCCGCATCTACAATCGTCACATTCTCCCAGCAAGAACCAGCACAGGCACCCCTCGGACATGGCATCTTTATAGCCACCTTTACACCGTCCTGCCCTGTTCTGTGCCTTGTTCCTGACCCAGGCTGCGACCCGCTCTCGACGCCGTCGCCGACACCGACACCGATCCCGATATCCCTTTACCTAAGCGACCCCTATACTCCACCCGACGCTGCCCTCGACGCCCAAGTCCCACCTCCATTTCCCTCGACGCCGCTCCTCCCCCCCTTTCCTGCTCGATACTCGGCCCAGCCTCAGGCTCAGAGAGGCCCTCCATAACCCCCCAGAGACCAAGCCAGCGCGATGGCTTCCTACGGCCACCCTGCGCCGGTCGCCGCCCCGAGACATGGCCAGGCAGTCACATACGGCTCCCCCATCCCAGTGGTGCCAGGTTCCGGAGCTCCTGCCGGCACCTTTGCGCCCGGAACCAAGATCCAGGTCGGCAGCCATCGCGTGGTGATCCAGAAATACCTGTCAGAGGGAGGCTTCGCCCATGTCTACCTCGTCAAGATGCCCAAGCCCGTCGACGGCACGGACCTGGCCGTGCTGAAGCGTGTTGCTGTCCCGGACAAGGACGCCCTGCGAGGCATGCGTACCGAGGTTGAGACCATGAAGCGGCTCAAGGGGCACCGCCCCATCGTCACCTACATCGACTCGCATGCCTCGGAGCTTAGGGGCGGCGGCTACGAGGTCTTCCTGCTCATGGAGTACTGCAACGGCGGCGGCCTGATCGATTTCATGAACACTCGGCTACAACATAGGCTGACCGAGCCCGAGATCCTCCAAATATTTACCGATGTCGCAGAGGGCGTGGCGTGCATGCACTACCTGAAGCCTGCGTTACTCCACCGCGATTTGAAAGTCGAAAATGTTCTCATAAACGCGACGGCCTCGAGGAAGAAGTTCAAGCTGTGCGATTTCGGCTCTGCTGCTCCCCCGAGGGCTGCCCCAACAACCGTCGTTGACTGTCGCCTGGTGGAGGAAGATGTGCAGAAGCACACGACCATGCAATATAGGAGCCCGGAGATGATTGACGTGTACCGAAAGCAACCTATCGACGAAAAGTCAGACATATGGGCATTGGGCGTTTTGCTGTATAAGCTGTGCTACTACACCACCCCATTTGAAGAGCAGGGCCAGCTGGCGATTCTCAACGCAAGCTACAGGTTCCCCAGCTATCCGGCCTTCTCAGATGGCTTGAAAAGGCTAATTGGTGCGTCTGCGTCTGGCTCTGGAGGAGATGGGAGTGTGCGGAAAGCTAACAAGCACTACAGCATCCATGTTGAAAGAGAATCCGCAAGCCAGGCCCAACATTTATCAAACCCTGAAGGAGGCCTGCGCCATGCAGGGCCGCGAGGTTCCGATTAAAGATGTATGACCTGCCCTTTCATACACCTCATTTATTGTTCCCGCTGACACGGTATCTAGATCTACACCGGCAGGTCGAGATCGGAAGGGCGGCCTCAGGAGGCCCCTCGACAAGAACCGTCGGCGGCTGTTGTCGGAGCTGTGTTCTCGCCGCCACCACAGCATGAGACAGTGATACCGGATATCCAACCCATGCGACGGGGCAGGCCGCCGGCTTCGGCTCCACGCCCGAACCCATCTGCGAAACCAAATCGGTCGCCTATGGCGGTCACCGACGGAGATCCTTTCGCTGCGCTTGACGCCAACGCCGGCGTGAAGAGCGGCGACGAGCTGTCATCTCGGTTCCCGACACTCGACCAATTCTCGATATTGCATGAAAAAGGCGTCGCGTTTGACTTTGACAGTTCCAATTCGCCAGTAGTTCCAAAGACAGACGCAGGAAGCGCGGCAGATGAGGCTTTTGCCATGCCCCAAAGCCAGCTTTCTCAGCCTCCATCAAACAGTAGGACCTCGAATGATATAAACCGTGGTCCTACTTTGCCCTCGACATCGCCTGAAAGGCAGTCTGTTCTGCCAGTCAAGAGCGCGTCAGCTCCTCCCAAACCTACCGAGATGAGCCGTGCATCAGCTATCATCAAGAATACGCCAGAGCTGCAAGCCATCTCCTCCGGATCAGCCCAAGGATTTCAACCTCCCCCAGCCCGAGGGAACATGGTATCAACGGGGACGATGACGACGCCGCCTCCTGAACGGCAAGCATCTACCACTCCATCGCAGTACCAGACTTATCGCTTTCCTCCAAACGAGCATCAACGATCCTCAAGTATCTCGAGACAGCAGCAGCAACAGCCCCAACAACCACTTCAAGACGTTCCACTACCAATCCGTACGGATTCTCCGTCCCTGAGGCCTGCCGCATCCCCGCGCATATCGTCATTCCAAGGCCATTCGCGACAACCGTCCTCGTCGAGGCCTTCACTTGAAGGGGCACGGCCTAGCATGGAAAATTTCGAGCCCATCACCAAATCGAGGTCGATATCTGGACGTCCGCGCCCAGTGAGTACCCATCTCGAGTCTAACTTGGATTTCCTGCGCGAGCAGGAAAAGAATTCGAAGCCACTGGGCTCCCCAAAGATTTCCTCGCCAAGGCTACCTCCAGCAGACAGAGCACCGTCACCAAACCTGCTTGACGATGACATGAACATCGAATCGAACGTTGATTTCCTCCGTTCCATGGAGGACGCTCAGCCGAGAAAGAGTTTAGAAAACAAACGATCGAGTCTTTCTAACCTCGGGAAGAAATCTATCTTTGCCGGGAAGTTTGGTGATGCTTTCAAACGATTTGAGGGCAGCCAGTCAGAAGCACCACCTCCAGATCGCACCCCCTCGCCATTCAAAGCCATGGAGCGCAGGGACCTGACACCAATCGCTGGGTCGGAAGCCACGGACGGTCGAAGTGATGATGGTCAGGCTCTAGGGGACTCAGAGGAGTTGACGCCGGCAATGCGCCGCGAGATAGAGCAGCGACAGCTCGAGGAAGAAGAAAGGAGGGTTGCTGCTGCGCAAGCGGAATATCGTGCGCGGCTGGCTCAGCGTGGGGGAGGAGGAAAACCTGCGCCGCCTCCCGTCGGTGGCTCTTCGAGGGCAGTCGCAATACAGAACAAGGTGCAGAGCCTTCTTGACGAGAATGCACGTTCCTCAAATGTCAAGAAGACAGCGGAGGGTTATGGCCAATACACGAAACCCGCTGCGAGCTCTGCGCAACCCGATACGAGACCAGAAATTCCGCGGAAGCCGATTGGCACCGGCGGAGGCTCAACAGGAGCCCCTCGTCCGATGTCCAGCTCCAGCTCCCTCAACCGAGCTGCAGGTATGGCGCCTGCGGCTTCAGATTTCTCGAAACCTATACCGCCGCCTAAAGACCACATCAGCAGGCCGACGGCGCCACCAAAGCCGGGGCATCTGAACAAGACCTTGACAAGCAGCAGCAGTAACCTCACGCTGAGGTCATCCTCACCGCCGAAGCAAGGCATGAGCACCGCGGGAATGCGCCAAACGGGAAAATTAGAGGCACTTATAGCCGCCGACCTCCCCGGTCAGCCAGCCCTGGATATGACGGCTGAGGAGAAGGATGACTATGTCCGCGATTTCTCGAAGAGATTTCCTAGTCTGACATCTATCGAGATGGTCGAACGAGACCTGTCAGCCGAGGATAACAACAAGCCCACGGGAAGATAGAGTGCACCCTGGACTTGGTCGTCTAGGCGGTTCTCCCGTCTTTGTGGATACTAGGAGACGGCGACGAGTGGTCGTTTCAGCGGTGCCCTCGTGGAGGATACTGATGTTGGTGAGGGCGAGGATTCTGGATCACCACACCATGAATAGAAAAGGCGCGAGTGCCGTCATGTGGCTGGCGCTTGTGAGCAGTGAATAAGCGACTTGCTTTTGTTAGCATAGCAATCCCGGCTTCGTTGATTTGCGATCAAGGAGCCGAGTCGCGTTGAGTTGAGCTGAAGCATACACATACTTAGATTATAAAGACATTTGATTATGAATAAAGCAAACGCTTGAAAGAGAGTGTACGCTCCCTGACCGCCGAACTGCGCGCTCGCTTCCCTGGGAGACAGCGTCGGTCGATTACTGTCGTACAAGAGGTCCACCCGCGCTGAGATGGACAGTGAACCCTGCTATTTCTGTGCACGCATCCATCTCTGTTGACCAAAAAGGTCATGCTACATCAGACGCGAAATCTGAACATCTGAAATGTACCTTTCAAAATATTTGGAAGGCTATACCCCACGTAGCTACCGACCCTGCTGGCATTTTCCTTTGCTGTCGGGCGGAACACAGACGTTGGAAAACCCCAGAACAGCATGAGAGGGAATCTAGTCCAAGAATTGCCTGGTGAAGACTCCTTTAGGGTCCCATGTCCTCTTCAACGACCGAAGTCTTTCCAACTTGCCCTCACCCCTGAAGCGAAGCTCGATCGGGTCAGTTCTGGTAGCATTTTGAAAGTCCGCATATTCAGATCGGTCTGGGCCCCTCGAAACGGCAATGCACTCTGCATTCAGCTTGCTGATTCCAAGAGAAGAGAGCTCGATGTTGTTCTGCCCCAAGCTCACAGTGCAATTCTGGCTCGATCGATGAGCAAGCACAACTGTATCTGCGCGGCCGAGGTGGGTTTCAAGGTGAGCTTGACGCTTACGAGGGCTTGAGCGTGGGCGGCAACGGTCCTCGTGATGCCACTCACTCTAGCTGGATCCTTCCATGGACAGGTGCTTATGCGAGGACTTTGTTGCACGGTGTTTTAAGAGCTCCACCCAACGCTCGCCATCTGCATGTTGGCAGGACCGTCATCCCAGCCAACAATAGATCTCGTGGACAAATCAACAGCTTCATATTGAGCCCACGTAGGTCGTCGAATCCTTGTCGCACTCTATTAGGTGTTGGCTCCTGGGTAGGGTATGCTGCCTTGAAAGATTCGCATGGAAGAGACAATATGCTTCTTTTACATTTAAATCTAGTCGTTCGGAAAGAATAGTCGAAACTAGCTAGATTCTATAAACGGATCGAGCCTTCAGCTTGAATTTTGTAGATCCAATTCTCCGATAAACCATTCTAGAACAATGGCATATATATAGGCGGTGCTGTTGTTGGCTGGCACCCGGGCTGCATGAGCGCTTGAGCTCAGGGGCTGACGCCAACTCGGTGGACGCACAACAGCATGTGCGAATAATGGACCAATCCCGTAGAGCCCATAGAAATCAGGGCCTACTGACCTACGACTCAAATCCCAGCGATTCTTCGCTTGACTTCTGGGATATCTGAAGCATTGGATCTCCGTCATCCGGTGGTACTCCGGTTCGGAGCCGATTGCCGGCCGGGCTGTTGCTGATCAGAAATGCCGAGGATGTACATTAACTAGTTCACCGTACGGGACCAGAGGGCGTGACCTTCTTTGTCTTGGACATTGTTCCCTAAGGCTTGTTCGGACAGATACTCAAACCCATCGCTCGCATTGCCAGCAGACACAACTTTGGTTTGTTGGGTTGGACGTGGCTGTCCTCTGACGTCCCGGAGGTCCTTCTTGGCACATTGTCGAGAGTCCTGACCCGAGAGCATGCTAGCTCCCCCTCGCGTTTCTTGGAGTTGAGTCATTCTTGGACCAAAACATTAATAAAGGAGGGGGGACGCCAATACTGCTAAACTGCTCGAGACTCTTGGACCTTGGCGACACTCGAGAGAGCGTTTGAGTCTTGGGTTTTCAACAAGACGAAGTGAACTTGGGGCGGTTTTGGGCTCCTCGTGACTTACACGATTGCGAACCGCTCCGGATTAGGGGAGCCTCATTACCACCGACTTTCACAATGTTGCTTCTCTCCCCGCTCATCATCGGACCTTCTCTCCTGCTTCTCGCGGGGATATTCATCCTGCAACGACTCCGATCGCCCCTCGCCAGCATACCTGGGCCGTGGTACACGCTCTTCACCTCGCTCCCGCTCAAATGGCATGAGTTCAACGCCAACCGCACGCGGCACATCAACGCCCTGCACCTGCGCTACGGGCCGGCGGTGCGCATCGCGCCCGGGGAGGTGGCATTCAGCTCGGCGGCGGCCGTCAAGGAGATCTACTGCTCAGGCGGAAGCGGCTATGACAAGACTGAGTTCTACGACCTGTTCACGGTCTACGGGCGCCGGACCATGTTCAGCACGCTCAACAAGGAGGACCACGCGCGGAGGAAGCGCGTGCTGGCCGACCGCTACGCCAACAGCAACGTCATGAAGCCCGAGAGCCTGGGCGGCATCGAGGAGCGCAGCGGGCGGCTGCTGGCGCTGGCGGGGCGGAGCGCGGCGGCCGGCGGGAGCCTGGACCTGTACATCAGCCTGCACTCATACGCTTTCGACTGCGCGTCACACCACCTGTTCCACCCCTTCGGCGCGGACTCGCTGCAGAGCCGCGAGGACGAGGGGATCATGCGGGAGGTGACGTTCGACTCGTCGCTGCAGAACCGGCTCGTCAGGTACTATAGCCCCGCGGCCCACAGGATCATGGGGAGCGTGCTGAGGCTGTTCGGCGCGACGCCGCGGGAGACGCCGCTCGCGGACAAGTTCGTGCTGGACAACAGCGTCAGGGGCCACGACGCGAGGAGCTTCACGCTCCTGAGCAGGCTGAGCGACAAGTCCTGGGACCTCGAGAGCCTGAGCATCGCCGCCGAGTGCTTGGATCACATGGCCGCTGGGATCGACACCACGGGGGACGCGCTTTGCTTCCTTATGTGGGAGCTGAGCCAGCCGCGCTCCCTGGGGTTCCAGGAGAGGCTGAGGGAGGAGCTGCGGGGCGCGGGGGCCGCCGAGGGGTGGGACAAGCTCCCGTACTTGGACGCTGTGGTCATGGAGGGGCTGAGGTGTTTCCCGGCCATCCCTATGTCCCTGCCCCGTTACGTTCCGAAGGGCGGGAGGGTGATTGATGGGCACTTCGTCCCGGAACGGACAATCGTCAGCTGTCAGGCGCACTCGGTCCACCGCGTCGACGAGACGGTGTTCCCCGCGCCGGAGTTGTTCGACCCCGGGCGATGGCTTGTAAGGGAAGGCGATGCGGAGAGAAGGAGATCGTTCTTTGCCTTTGCCAACGGCGGTAGGGGCTGCGTGGGTAAGCACCTGGCGCTTGCTGAGATGAAGATCCTGCTGAGGGACGTGTACTCTGCATACAGCACCCTCCCGGATGAGACCATGCGTGCGGCGGAGATGGAGATGGATGACCAGCTGATCTCATCAAGGCCAGCCGGGCAGAGGTGTCTGTTGCGATTTACTCCTGATGGTTCCAAGGAGGAGCCATAGGATATATAGTTATGTAGAGGGGCGTGGGAATATGCTTCACAATACCTATCCAGTTATCCTGCAGTATACTTGTGGTCTTCCCGCCGGACGTTATCCTATAGGTTACACTACAGGGTACACCGCACCAGTCACATGCCCACGTACGAGACCCTGGGAACTGGGGTCTAATTGAAAACGACGGAGAAGACTCAAGTGAAACGGTGCTCTCAAACCCATCCAAGGGCGCACTTGCGTACGCAGGTGCGTTGCCAACGGCCTCCTGAAGATCAAGGTCCATCGGGCGGCATTGCTGTAGAGGCCACCAACCAGTTCTGAGGCCAAGCAGCTACGTTGGCCGGTCAGTCAAGCCTCGAACCATTGGGCCTTTCACGGTACGTAACCGAGCTGCAGGATTGCAAGTTGTGCGACATGAGCCAGCTGGACAGGGCTGACCCGAGGCAGACGCACACAATGTACTCCCTCGGCGGGGCTTGTCTGCTTCAGACCCTCGACACATGCCAGGCATAAATCACCATACGACAAGCCAGTGCGTGCGTGCAGGCGTCAGTGCGCGCGTGCGTCTACCTACCTGCCTGCCTGTGACAGATGGCCGGCAATACAGTGAGGCCGTCGAGCTATTACCCGTGACAAAGTGCCAGGTGGGCAGTTCAAGGTTTATGGGGAATCTGCGGGACGGCGGTTGGGCGAAAGTATAAACGGGCAGGGAGTGTGACGGATCAGACCGAGCGAGTCTGATTGATTCGGTGTAGACTTTGTTGGACACTATGGATTCACAGGCGCACGGGGTACGGTTACAGTCTCACACACAGTAACAATAAGGGCAGGGCCTTCTGGGTAGCCGCTTGCATTCAGCCCTTTCATTAGAGCTGCCGCCGCCCTGCCTGGTCCCACGTTGGCCCGTCTGGCCCGTTTAGGAGCGACCGTTCCGTTCCTTCTCGAACGGTCCTAGGTGGCTATAATAAGTCACAACGGAGAATGGGCAAGCAGCACCGTGAGTGACTTTGGGGGTGTGACTGGTCAAGGTGGCCGCCCGCCTGACTAAGTGGGCTGTGTGTGCCAGGTGGGTCCGCCCTGTGCCCCCGTCTGGCCCGTTTGTTCTCTTTTTTTCAAAGCGTCTCCAATTTTCTGCCTGGGAACAAAAACGTGCCTCCTCTTCCCACTTCTCTCCCCTTGCACACACACCACTCGAACTTCTCTACTCAACTCATCATCCATCGCACTCCCACACCTGCGCTGGAAGTATTCCCATCCACCATCACGACTGCCTGAAAGCGCACTCCAGTCTTCCCAACCCGCCTCTGCTTCGGATCAATCGAGGCCTGCCACAAATTACCGCCCCAGCTCCGTCTCCGGCCGCCTCGCCTGAACTCAAGCCAGCCCCGCCACTCCCGAAGCCTGCTCCCTACGAGTACGGTCATTCCTCCTCGCAGCCACAGCCCGAGTCATCGTCGGCCCTCGCTCCGCTCTCCCTTGCCCCTTCGTTCACCGACTGTCAACAGTGACGAGCCACCCATCGGCGTTGCATCTCGTCCCCTCTGGAGTCGTCGTCGAGAACCCACCCCCAACACCCCACGTCTCAGTACAAGACACAGAAGCTGTTTATGTATCAGCACGACAAAATTCCCGTCCACCGACACTCCGACCCTCCCCTCAAGCTACAGCTCTTTCGCAACCCGCGGAAGCCTTGTAGCCCCAATCCCAGCCCCGACGGTTGAACAGAATAGACAACAAGCGCTCGACGCATTCATGTTCATGCCTACCCACCAGCCTAACATACAGGTCTGTCCTATGTTGAAGCAAAGCCCCGTCTACCATTAACGCCTTGGCTCGCTCTGCCCGCCATTCCTCCCATCTCCTCGCCTCCCAAGAGCAGGATTCATGTCACCTCAGTCTATACAAGCCCAATAATTTGGTTCACTTGCCGCTCCGATCGCCTCGATCCAGACACCATCTCTCGTCTATCCTCAGAAAGCCTCAGCTTCTCAAGCCAGTCTTCAGACTCTATCCGCAATCATGGCTCCCCTCCTTAACGTTCGTCGCGATGTCAGCGACCCCTTCTATCGATACAAGATGGAGCGTCTTCAGACCAAGGTCGAGGGCAAGGGCAACGGTATCAAGACCGTCATCGTCAACTTGAGCAGCGTCGCTCAGTCCCTCGCCCGTCCCGGCTCCTACTTGATCAAGTACTTCGGCTTCGAGCTTGGCGCCCAGACCAACATCGACCCTAAGGATGATCGTTGGATCATCAACGGTGCCCATGAGTCTCCCAAGCTCCAGGACCTTCTCGATGGCTTCATCAAGAGGTTCGTCCTGTGCCACAAGTGCAAGAACCCCGAGACCGTCGTCAACATCAAGGATGGTCACATCATCCTTGACTGCAAGGCTTGCGGCCAGCGCTCCGACGTGGACCTGCGCCACAAGCTCAGCGGGTTCATCCTGAAGAACGTCCCCAAGAAGGGCAAGAAGGACAAGGCCGAGCGCAAGGCTGCCCGCAAGGCTAAGCAGAATGGCCAGGCCAACGGCAGCGGCAGTGGTGACGACGATAACTCCAACCACTCCGGCGACAAGGAGAACTTTGAGGATAGCGGTGATGCCAACGGCGAGATCGCTAGCGACGATGACGCCTTCACCCGCAAGATCAAGACTGAGGCTCAGGAGATCGAGAAGATCGAGGTCAAGGAAGACGAATGGGCGGTCGACATGAGCGAGGAGGCCGTCAAGGCCCGGCAGCAAAACCTCCCCGGCGAGTTCAAGCAGAAGCTTGTCCTCAACGGCGACGATGAGGACGAGGAAGGCGAAGGCGGTGGCAACACCGTCTACGACCAGCTCGGCGACTGGATCCAGGAGCAGGCCAACGAGAAGGGCGGCGTTGACAAGGTTGAGGACCTCGACATCTACGTCAAGGCCAAGGAGCTCGGCATCGAGAGCAAGCATCGGACCGTCCAGGTGCTGGTCCTGACCCTCTTCGACGACCACATCCTCGCCCAGATCCCCAAGCGTGCCAGCATGCTGCATAACGTGAGTTCCTAACTCCCCACATCCCAAAAATGCTCCCCTGTATTTCGAGAAATGCTAACAAATGTTGCTTTTAGATCATCGGTGAATCTGAGCGTCACCAGAAGGCCCTCCTGGGCGGCACCGAGCGCCTCATTGGCGAGCGCATCGGAGAGCAGCCTGAATTCATCGACAAGATTGTCAAGATCCTTGGGCTGTACTACCAGCATGATCTTGCCTCCGAGGACGTCATCACCAAGTGGGGTGGCAAGGCCAGCAAGAAGTACGTCGATGTGGCCGTGTCTCGGAAGATTCGCAAGGCTTCTGAGCCCTTCCTCAAGTGGCTCGAGGAGGCCGAGGAAGAGGAGTCGGATGACGACGAGTAAAGGCCCTTTCTGCCTGCTTCTGTCTTCTCCCGTTTAGGTGAGATGACTTGGTCATCGCCTCTGCCAGGAGGACTTCAGAGTGGTATGCGTTCTAGTCACATGGAATTCGTTTCAGTTTGCCACCATACAGATTGACACCGACGTGGCTTGTGTTATTTTTGCTTCTTCCCGGGGGAACGGTTACCGTGGGCTACATAAAATTTTGTGCTGAATCTGGCATTGTATTAGGTAGTCCTGCCAAATATACTTCACTCTGAGAAGCTCTTCTACACGCTGGTGACTTCTTTTCCCGAAGACGGACTCCTTTCTCAGAGTAGCAAAAAGGATGAGAGCAATCTAAAGAGACTGTCTGCCTCGGGTGGGAAATAGGACACTCGGTATCATCCACGGTGTTACGATAGGTTCTGTCATCACATCGGGTCTGCCGAAACCCCATCGTCCTTGTGTCTCGTCTCTCGCGGTCGGTGACGCATCTCGATAATTTCACGCGCACGAAACGGTGCAGCCCCATCAAAGTCGTCCCGCATTTCTAATGTTGTCTCTCCGCTGGTGGTTCACATGTGGTTTGTCGACAGCATTGGCTCAACTGCCTACCTGCCGTAATTATCCAATGCGAACATCTGTCTACCTACCGCTGCCGCCCACTCGGACGGCCTGCGATCCCGCACGAGGCGTGTCCCGATCCGAGGTTGGTGCATCTCCGTGTTCAACAATTTCTTGGACCAGACACAATGCATGTGCCGTTGACTGAGGAAGTGTCCACTCCCTGGCTTTGACAGGCACGCGGTCCGGCGGCAGGATTCATGAGGCCAACAAGCCAGTGTGGGAAATGTGTTCCTCTGAATTGGGTCGTGGGAACGGGCATCTTGGCCACAAAAGATAACTGCCTTCTCGTCAAAATCGAGCCTCGGCTGGATGGGCCATGTGTACGTCCAGACGGTGATCGCGTCTTCAGAAGCAGGACACTTTACAATATACTGTTCTAATAGTGCCTATGCTGAATGGTATGCAAGCAAGCTAGCCATGCCAGTCCACCAGTCAGTTTTGGCAGTGTGAGCCTCCGACCAGCATCAAACCAACGCCTTCACAAGGCCCGCCTCTCGTCAGAGCATCTCCATCATCCAGAGTCACTCATGTCCTCGCAATCAGTCCACTCCACTCCCATTCTCACGCACCACGCACTCCTCCTTGAGTAAAGAAATCAACGCTTGAGGGTGAGAAGAAGTAAAGAAACAGTAAAATAACAGCGCCCCCAAAGCGCCCACGCTTCTCATGCTCGCCCCGCAGTCCTTACCACCCCCAGTGACCATATCCATGACAGGGAGGATACCGAGGCCGACTCCAGTACTGCCACTACCAATTCGTGGCCGCGCCTTTGGTGTCTCCGGCGATGTTTGCCTCCCACGAGTTATTGGTCGGTCCAGCGTTGTTGGATGGGTTATCGTCCCATCCACCTCCTGGGCCACAACCTCCTGTGTTCCAGTTGCCCGCCTGACTTCCACCTTTATTGCTTCCTCCTCCCCAACCTTGGTCACCGCCCTGTCCGGAAAATGGTGGTCCTGGAGGTGCAGAGGGCCCGCCCCACCCCTGACCGCCGTTGTCGCCGGCATGGGGAGAGTTGCCAGGACCAGAATGGTGCCAGCCTTGGGGAGGCTGGTGGGATCCGCTAGGCTTTCGAGAATGAGCCCCTGCATTGTTTTCCCAAGAGCCTGGCATGTTGCCCGGAAGACCATTGTTATTATTGTTGGTATTGTTGCCGTGGCTTGGTGCCCAGCCACCATGACCCCATCCACCACCAGTATTGCTCGGAGGTCGTGAGTGGTGAGACGCTGGCCTGGATCCTGGAGGCCCGCCCCAAGTGTTTCCCCCGAGGACTATTGTGAGTCGAGCCTTGTTGATTCCAGCCTTGGCCAGAATTCGCATTTCCCCACTGAGGACTGTTGCGGTGTGAGCCATGCTGGTTCCAACTTTGGCCATAGTTCGCATTTCCTCCCTGAGGACTATTGCGATTCGGGCCTTGAGTGTTCCAGCCTTGGTCGTTGTTGGCATTCCCCAGGGATCCATGGTGTGACCCAGCTCCCCAGTTCTGGTTGCCATCTGCAGCATTGCCGCCGGTATCGTTCCAGCCGCTGTTGCCGGGGTCTTTCCAGCCAGCATTGCCTGATTGCTCTCCCCAGGCTGTGTCACCGGCTGGATTTCCACCCTGCTGGTTCCAGTTGTTCCCTCCGCCAGTATCTTGGGACTGGTTAGCCACAGAGGGAGCTTTTGAAGGTGATGATTATTGTACTTACTCCAACCGCCATTCGGGCTGCCCTTCGCACTCTTGTTACTCGCTGTTGCCAGTTAGTGATCTGTTTGTCACCAAGGAATAGTCTTGTTGGCTTACGTTGCTCGAAGTTGGAGTGCTTTTGGTGCAGGAAGCTCAAGTCACATTCTTTGGCCTTGCCGTCTCCGCCAGACGTCTGTCCCCAGGCGTTGTCGCCTCCGTTGGCATTTCCGTCGTTTCCCCAGCCCTGATTTCCACCACCCGAGGCCCAGGCTGGTCCTACGTTGTTGGTGGTTTCCGATCGTTCTTTTGCCTTCTCGCGGGCCTGATGTTCTCGAATCATGGGTGGTGTTGCTGGCCAACGTATTCCACTGAGTCCCAGACCATTTGCAACTGGTCCACTTGGTGGTTGACCAGCTGTCGCGTTCTGACCAATGGGTGTGCCTGGTGGAGGGCCACCTGGAGGAAAGGGAGGGTAGGGGGGATGGGGGTGATATGGAGGGAATTGATCATAGTGCTGCGGTCCAGCCCAGGTGGGAGGGTACCCAAGGTGAGGCCTCGCAGATGGTGGAAGTGGGGAGAGCTTGGAAGGGTTGACAGCACCATAGAGCTCGCCTGTGTGGTTGCCCCAGACAGGTCCGTGGTAGATTCGTACGATACCCTTTCCACTGTCAATGAAAGCATTGGGCCTTGGATCATTGGGCCCCTCAATTGTATGCTCGCATTGAACAACATTGGACTTGATGGGCATGATGAGGTTCGGCTCCATGCTCTTTGGGTATGTGGGCAGTTTGAAGGCGGTTTTGTCGAGGGCCTGCTTTGGCTCTGCGGTCTTGGGCGAGGATTTCTTCTCCTTGGGCGAGGGCTTCTTCTCGGCTTCCTTAGGTTGGCCTTTCTTCTTCTTCTGTTTCGACGGTGGCTCTTTGTCCTCTTCCGTAGCCTCGGTCTCCGTCGTTTCGCCAGCCTCTGTAGACGTGGCCTCGGCCTTCTTCTTCATGTCCTTTTGCTGACCCTTTTGCTTCTCGCTGTCACCCTTCTTGGAATCTTCGCCCTTGTCCCGTTTCGCATCGAGCTTTATCATGGCCTTGAGGATCCTGCGTCCCTTGACACAGTCTTTGCAGTCGCATGTTTCGTGGGGAAGGGCGTCCTTAACGGCCGAAGAATCCTCCGAGTCGGTATCCTTTTTGCAGATGGGTGCTTTCGTTGGCTTCTTTTCTGCCTTGACCTTATTTCTCTTGACCCAAACCTCATCTTCGGAAGTATCGCTCTCGTCAATTGCTGACGACTCGTCCTTTTCGGTCGTCGCGTCGTCTTCAGAGGTGTCTTCCACTAGCGTGTCGGAGGACTCACTTGGGCTCGTTGATCGCTTTTTGAGGGCCGACTTGAGTGGCTTGCGTTCGCCATCGAAGCTGACCTTCTTTCGCGATGATGATGACTTGGGAGTAGCCTGCTTGGTGGAGCTACTGCCTCTACGTCGACCTGGGAAGGTGACTTGGAGAGTCTCGTCGCCAGACGCTTCGTCTTCGGAGAGAGAGACCTTGAGGACTTGCGTCTGGCCGGAGGAACGCCTCGAAGTGCCCTTGAAGTTCTGCCCGACCACCCATTCCCCGAAGGAGTTTGGTGGCCAGGCTGCTCCACGACCCATGGTGCTGAGCTCCTTGGGCGGCGGATTGAATCTGGGGAGGGAAGAGCGAGTGCGCGAGGCTTTGGATTGCTTGGAGATTGTGTAGAAGGAGATGATAAATTGTGTCAGGGCCCTGAGTTGTTGTCTTGCAATTGAGAAGGTTTTGCTGGAAGCCAGGAAGAGACTGGCTTGGATGAAAGGTTTAAAGTATGGCGTGCTCAGGTAGGAGTTCAGATTCCCGAGTGGTCACCAGGTGAATGACGTTGGAATGTTGTTGGCTACGTCCAGGTTGGCTATCATCCAAGTCTGTTCAAGTGGTCCAGGGAGGTAGCCAAGTGTGTCCCAGGTGGTGGTGAAGCACCCAGAGCCGTCTTTCAGGTGCCAGCCGAGAAGTGGGCGCCTGATCAGATGGAAAGTTGCAACGGGAAGGAGCGCCTTGTGGCACTTCCAGCACTCACTTTCCAGGATCTCAAGCACGCAAAATAGAGTGGGAAACCTGTCTCAACTCCATGGGCCCCCCTTGACACCTGACCGAGTCCAGTGGATCAGTATGCTTCCCTTTTGGTCCCTGGGATGAGCGTCTTTCCAAGGAGACCTAGGGTCGAGCGGCATTGGCAGATCGATATAGACGAAGGGGCAAGAGAACAAGCCCTGCAAAAGCCAGTTGAAATGTAATAATCCTCCCAAACCACGGATAGTGATGAAGGTCTCCCATGGACACCGGTCTCCCGTTGCTCTTGGCACTTTGATATCAGCCTCTCCCCGGCTGCAGACAGCTACAGTCCTACGTTTGGCCCTTTCACAGCCTCGCCCTCTCCCTAGACTCGTCCTTCTCCCATTTCTTATTAGTCCTCCAATTCATCACGAAACCCCAGACCCCAGAAGCCACGGCCAGCGGTGGGCAGACCCACAACGCCGTGCTCCACCACCACGGGCTCCTCGCCCTGACCTCCGCCATGACCTTGTCGACCTCCCGCCTGAGCTCCTCCCTGTCCCCGTCGTTCCACACCACAATCCCCCTCCCCTGGCCCCTGGCCTCGCACCTCCTCGCCTTGAGCCGCACGTCCGCCTGGCTGCGCACGCGGTTCTCGGCGTCCTCGGCGCTCAGGTGCGGGTCCCGCGCGCGCAGCCTCTCCATCTGCACCGCCGGGTCTTTGACGGCGACGACAACCACCGTCCCGCAGAGCCTGTCGGTGCCGACCTCAAACAGCAGCGGCACGTCCCACACCACCGCCCAACTGCCGGTCAGGTACGCCCTCAGCAGCGCCCGGTACGCCTCCCTGCGCACTGCCGGGTGCACGATGCCGTTCAGCCGCGCCCGCGCCTCCTTCGCCTCCGCCGAGTCCCCGAACACCTGCGCCCCAGCGCCGGCCGGTTCAGCGGCCTGCCCTTGCCCGCCGGCCCGGCCTCTGGCACCTCTGAAGAAGCGGGTACGAGCAGGTCGGGTGTGCTCGGCCCGAAGTAGTCGACTATCGCGCGGTAGCCCGGTGTGCCCGGCTCGACCACCTTGCGTGCGAGGAGATCGGCATCGATAATGGGGAGGTTATATGGCGGCGATGACAGGATGGACGATACCGTCGACTTCCCCGTGGCGATGCCGCCGGTTAGGCCTATGATGAGCATCTGTGCGGTTTCTGTTTGATCCCGATACACTGGAGAGACTGGAAAAATGCACAGCCGTACTCGACGACTTTATTAGAACAGACAATGTGAAAGAGTCAAAGCGATGGTTGCACGACAAGAAATGAGGTGATGTCGCCATCAGTGGAGCTCCAACTATAGCCTGTACCGGGGTGGGGGTCCCCTCCCCCACGTTGGCCCAGGGCCACAGGCCTTACCCCAGCACTAAACGGGCCAGGTGCACGAACTTGTGGGGGCCCGTTGAAACCTCGGTTCAGCCTCATTCACTACACTCCACTTCACACCATCACAGGCACAAATCTCAAATGCCTGTATTCGTGTGGATGTCAATTGAGTTATGATTGCCACCCTTTTCTGTGTGTTTTCCGAATACCATGCCGCGTACGCCAAGCCTCCTGGCTGTGTTCCGTTGAATTGGGTTGGGAAGTTGACAACAGCCCCGAGAAGCCCTCGATCAAGTGATTCCCTCAAACCCTTCCAAAATTGACCTTCATGATCACCGAAATGCAAATATGAGTCCCCTCCCTTGAACCAAATCGATCAGAGAATGTGCAAAGAACTCCAGAACCCCTTTTCGGACCATGTCATCATCCCCATCCTTGTCATCGTCATCAACTCCTTCCCTTCATGCCTCCTCTAAGCGCACTGCGTAGAAGACTCCCTCAGGCGTGACAAACCAACGGGCTGCCTTTCCGAAATAATCGATCGTGGCGCGGGGCATCTGGATCCAGTGGCCGTCGAGCTGGCGGACCATGTACATGCGCGAGGGGCTGTCGTCGGCGGGCTTAAAATCCTGTGGCTCGTTGAGCTCAGGGTTCGTCATGAAACCAGCAGCGACCTCGCCAGCCGTCTGTCCGATACCCGTGGCGGGCTCGTGGTGGATGGGGAACTGGGAGGAGTGAGTGGGAAAGTTACCTGGCATCATTGGCGCTCCTCCCATTCCCATGGGCGCGGGGCCTCCGTGCACAAGCACCGGCTGTCCGGGGGGCACACCGCCACCGCCAAAGCCGCCTGCTACCATCATGGGCGGGCCCTGGACGGGGGGACCACCGCCGAGCATCATCGGCTGCGCCGGGTAGGGCTGCTGCGCGACGACGGGCATGATGGGGGCGGTGACGGGGCCAGCTTGCATGGGAACCGCGACGCCTTGGGGACCCTGTGAGTAAGACACGAGTTAGCGACAGTGCTCAAACAACAAGGCAGGCGCCCTCGCAAACAGAGCTTTCTGTTTGGAAGAAGAGAGGCAAGGCGGGGTTAGACGCGTCTCACAACAAGCACGCGTGGAGCTACCACTCCGTCATCGCCCTTGTAACCCAAGGTCGTATACACTGGAGCACTTGCAATCAAGGTAGGCAGCACCGGCGCGACGGCCGGCGCGACAACGAGTGGCTGCGGCGCAAAAGTAACAGGCCGAACCGGCTGGATTGGGGTTGTAAGAAGGGGAGTCAAAGGTGGAGCGGAGATGGAAACGAAGGATGAGGGTTGACATACAACGATGCCAGGGTGAGGGAAGGCAACACAGCCGTTGTCGAAACGCGGCTGGTAGACGTGAGTCATCGGTCCAAGCGAGGTGTCTGGAACCTGCGGCTGAAAATGCAGGCCGACGTTGTTGGGGAACGCGTTCTGGTATCCGTCCATGTTGGTACCGTTGCTGACAGAAGTTGGGGTTGCTTGACCAGGTTGGTTGGTTGAGTAAGGATAGGGTGCGAAGTTTGTTGTTGGGTTGGTGTTGAAGAGAGCTTGAGCAGGGAGGGCGTGGGTGTAGAGTTGGTTGGGGCCTTGCTGAGGTACGGTACCACCGGGCGCGTTGTAAGGCGTGACGCCAGGAGGTGCAGCGCTGGAAGCACCGTTTGCGGCAGTGTTGGCAGCAGTGGTGGCCTTGCGGTTGTCCTCATCCGGGGTTGAGTGACGAGAAGGCGTAGGGAGTGGGGGCTCGACGACCTCCAAGATCGGCATATCTCTCGTGGAGGTCTTCCTCTGAAGGGCTATGGATCGTGACACGTCGAGACTTGGATGGCTTCAAGGAGCTCTTCATGTTTGCAGAGGCAGCAGGCGGAGGGCTGATGGTCTGCCACGAATCGCTAGACTCAGAGTCAGAGTCGGCAAGGTAGTCATTGACGGTCTGCCAAGAGTCGCTGGACTCACAGTCGGCAAGGTAGTTGCTGTGCTGGTGGTCTGCTTCGCTGGCCATGGAAGTCTTGACCGACTGGAAAATCGATCGAACCTGAACAAAAGTGTATGGAAAAGGGCAAGTCTGCAAAGAAGTGCCTACAAACAGAAAGATGTATGGGCCGAGATTGTTCCGAAGAGGTGCAGTGTTGTGAAATTTGAAGAGCAGGCGATTTCTCAGGAGAGGCTATCCGCAAGTCTCAAGCTTCACTGGAAGCAATCAAGGGAGCAGTCACCTTTGGTCTTCGTGCTACGGGGAAAGAACTCGTTGATCAATTCTAGCGGTACACAGACAAAAGGAACAAACAGCTACTTACAGTAGGCACCTGGATCTCCTGCAGGTCCCACGACTGCCCATTCCACTGATACCGGTATCCCGTCGTGGTGTTTTTGTATTTTGGAGCCGCCTCATACTCGACGTCCTTGACTGGCCAGCCCAAACAGTAGCACATCTTGCTTGTCTCGGTGGGGTGATTCAATTATCGAGGTCGTAGAGGCAGGATTTCAACAAGGCTTCGCGTAGCATGGATTGATAGCAGAATGGTTGCTGACCAGATGGAATGCCACAGATCTGCTGTTGAGATTGATCTGTAGTAAAGTTCATGCTTCGGTTAGATCAAGTGCTACTGATGGGGGCTATGTGGCAGCATTTGGCCGGCAGAGTGGTAAAGGACAAGTTGCGATGAATGGCTTTTCATTGTCTAGGGACCACACAGCGGGACCACCACCGGATCTCAGGTAGTAATGAATTTATACCAGAGTTCCACCCTCCTGTGCATCAAGGCCAGCTCAAAACACATAGTACTGCTCCTCTACCCGATTACAATCCGACCAACACTAATAGAAGATGAAGTCAGGATCGTATGCTACTGTCTTTCGTCTCATGGGCCTACAAGAAATTTCCCGACAGGTAAAAACCCTACAAACTGTGGCTGCCAGCTAGCTCTGTCAAATTGTTGGCCTTGATATTCAACTCCGGGCTTCAAAACGCTCAGAATCCTGAAGCGCCGAACATACTTCCTAGCTCTTATCAAAGTTCTTCACCAAGCTCCATGGGAGCTGCCTGTCCTCCTCTTCATCATCGTCATCACTCAAGAAGGCCCAATTAAACCCAACACCAAGAGTCCTGGCAAGCAAGTCAAATGAACAGTCATCGATAGTGAAGCTGTCGATCCCAGGCGCACGCTCGTCATTGGGCTGCTGGTTGCCCGGGTCGCCTCCAGTATGCTGCGAACCTGCCTGGTTGCTGGGGGAACCACTCTCCTGAAGATTCTTCTCGAAGAACTTGAGCTCATCAGATATGTATATCAAGTCCTTGTCCACAGCCTACAGTATACAAAGATGTCAGTCTGGGCGTCACATGCCTGTAGACGGGAGGGCAAGACGACATACCCTGATCATGCATGCCAGCCGATTATCCTTAGCAGGATTGGTGACGATGTTGATGACATGCTTGAAATCATGCTCATTCTCGATGGGTACGGCGTAGGCGACCCGTTGGTTGGTTTTGTAGAACATCCATTTGGGGACATCATTATAGTTTGTGGCCTTCTGTGTGACGATGAGCTGCTCAATCTCCACGAGCTTGGGGTGGCCATCGTAACCCTTCTTCTTGAGGTCCCGTAGCTTATCAACCCAGAAAGATGCTGCCCAGACGGTGTTGAGGTTGAATTCTTGAGGGTAGTTGTCCATCAGGACAAGGAACGACGCAAAGTCTGTATCATGCTGGAGGCAGCACTGTTTCAGCCGCATGTTGCCGGATTTATCGACGAAGACGACCTTCAGATTAAATGTCGTCTCCTTTTTCTCAACGTTTTCCGTGAACTTGACGTATTCCATGAAAATTCGGTTTTTGGCAAGTTCGATGAGCTACAGAGGAACGCATTGATGTTAGAAGATAGCACACAAGAAAACCCGGAGGGCTGGAGGCTCACCATGCCAGTGAAGCTGGTCTCTTTGCTGTCGCCGTCCTCATATGGATCATCGGCAAACGGATCTTTCGCGAGTTCCTCCCTCACCAGCTCGATGAGTGCCGGGAGGCGGGGGAGGCCGACACGCTGCATGTGCTGCAGGGCGTCGACCTTGTGGTGTATCGCGTCAGGCACTTTGTCTACGCGGAACTTGATCACAGAGTCCTCGTCGGGGTTGTAGAAGACTAGCTCGTGAAAAGCAGACGCAGTGACCGCGTCGGCTGACGCGTTATGCCATTTCACCATGGTCTTCTTCCACTCATTGATAATCAGTCCAACAAGGTACTCGAGATGTTGGCGGGTGTTGAGTGTTGGGGCTTCGTCCAGAGAAGTGGAATGCGCCGCACCACCGTTCGCATCAGCTTCAGTCGGATTGGTCACTGTCATCTTGGTGGAAGTATTATTTGGTGATCCCTGGTCGAGGAGTGAGGAGAGGTCCGTATGTCTTGGCTCTGTAGTGGTGAGAAGGGACCTAGCCAGGTGGACGCGATGGGGCGAGATAGCGGAGTGAGGCCGGAAGGAACGAGCGTGTGAGTGTATACAATCAGGCGCTGGGTTGGCAGTACTAGGAAAACATTGAATGTGAAGCGCCTTCCTGCCTTGAAAATCGACCGTGGTAACCGGAGGGGGTGAAGATCAAGGGACAACGCAGACATACCACGGATTCTCCATTAATCTGACTTAAAGCAACCCGTGTACATGAAGTCAAACTGCTCCACGATATTGAGAGGAATTAGGACGAATATGATTTAGTTCCCTCTATTCCCTCGGGCCTGAACACACTGTCTGCCCTGGGCCCCAGCCTTCTATGGTCGTGAAGTCCCCTTCTAATGTTACAAAGTTTCAGAGATGAGGAGAGATCATCCGTTGCTATGCTCGTCACTATACCGACAAGACTATGGAATTAGCCCACCTATTTGAGAAGCCATCATCATTGAGCGACACCTCTGCTCCCGTCCTTGCTAAGCCCTCTTTTTGGCACAGTCATCAGCTGGTGCCCCTGCGCAGGGTCGCGCACCAGCTGTCCGCTCGATGTGGTAGCCAGATCTCCCGGCTCCGTTCGTGAGCATCATAGAGCTCGTCCGATTAGGATGTTTTCGCCAGGTCATATCGCCTTGGTTTACGGGTGGTGTTGTTCCGGTGCTGGGAAGAATGTCTTGCGTGTGACCTAGAAAGACGTCAGCGCCAAATTCATCTGATTCCCCGCCAACCCCCTAATCGTGCACAACTTACCGTCCATACACCAGCGACGGATGCAACGATCCCGCCCGAGATCGCCATCGGCCTCAGACCCCTTGTGCTCTTGAACAACGCCCCGCTCAGGAAGCCAGCCGCGATGCTGTTGGTCGCATCATGCTTCCCCCGCAGATATCCAATGTACGAGTTGACACAGTTGTACACGATGGCAACGACGCCTGCCGAGTTGCCCAGGAATGGACCCCGCCTTGTGATCGCGTTCAGTGTCGAGTTCAGCCTCAGCTTGGGCGCCTGTCCGGCGCTGCGCCTGAGACCCTCTTGCAACCCCCATGCGCCACCTATCGACAGGGCGGAGAGGTATGTGATGCCAGTGCCGTAGCAGAGATCGTCTGTGAAGCCGCGCGAGGGGAGGACAGACTGCCCGCCGGGCAGGTCGGAGACTGCGGATTCCTCGAGGGTGATGTACTCGAGGGCGTCCTTGTTGAGGCCGGCGAGGGGGTGTAATTGTGAGGGGTCTGCGAATGCGGAGCTGTTCAGGAAGGAGTCGACACCTTGCGCCGAGGATGGATCGAAGGGAGGGGGCGTGAAGTGAGTGGTGGGTTCTGGTGGTGGCGGCGCATGGCTATGGTCTGGCTTGTTTTGGGAGGACTTTTGCCCTGTCAGTGCGTTCCAAAGGGAAGACATTTTCGCAAGTAGTAATACACAAGACGAGATAAGAAGAAGAAGAAGAGTTGTGTCACGAAAAGCGCATGCAGTGTGGTGGTTATCGTGATGCTGTTGCGTGGGTGGAGGCAGGGCGTTGGAGCAAGTCAGCCCAGTGTCGAGGTCCTTAGTCCAAGCAGCCTCGAAAAATTATTCCTAGCAAGCTTCAAAAGCGATGACGGCCGTCAGCCGCCGGGGACCATCTGGACCGCGCATCCAAGCTAGAGTGACCGCAGAAGGTCCGTGCTCGGCCGGCCTCTGCTGCGGGCAGGGATGACGGCTTTACAAAATTTAGGCTCGCCGGGGGAGGTACGTACCGGGATACCCAGTTCTGCAGTCTGCAATCTTTTTTCCCAATTCGATGCCGTAGGCATGAGATGCCGGCCTATCATTTTCAAGTGGAACCGACACTCATTGCTCTTGATGTTATGATACGATATTGTATGAATGTATCAACAGCAATGATCTTTCTTGTGCAGAATCTGCCCAAATCGAATTCCTGAGACTCCCCAAGCATGGCACCGGTTGAGTTCCCTCCCCTCGAGGGGCCCGGCAGCAATGCAAATGACCTCTTTAGATGGCTTCAAAAGAGCCCACAGGAGGAACTTGTTCCGTGAGTAAGGACCTGTGCTTGTTGTTGAAACAAAATTGACGCCCACGCTCAGGTCTGCCCAGGGCTTGTTCCAGCAGCTGCTGGCAAATGCCTCCCAGCCTCGAGGTTCCACGGCGGACGCATGTGTGAAGCTGTGCGGTTTTGTTCAGCTATGCGCGAAATCAAGAGACGATACTCTGACAGCTTGGGCTTTTTCAGAGAAAACATCTCAGGACCTGTTCAACTTCTTCATCGAGTGGAACGAGAAGGACCAGCACCGTTCCATGAGATTGGTACTCGACCTTCTGTCCTTTCTAATCACACAGAATCCATTGCCCCAGGTCAAGGAGGATGTGAAGGCGGACTTATTGCACACTACATCTGCCATTATCGCAAGGAAATCGACGCGCCCGCTCGTTAAATCCTGCATTACCGCCCTCAGCCATCTGCTTCCAAAGTCCGTCTTCACTCTGGAAGACGTGGCGCAGATGTATCAGTCCATGCGGCCTGACCTCTCCGAGCAGCCTGCCGTCATTCTGTGGCAGGAGTGGGTGGTAGAGATATTCCGGTGGATGGAACTGCATTGCGTCTGCCCGGTTGCTGGAAAGCTCCTCGGCATCGTATTCAGCGGCTTGTATGGTTCTTCCCCATCTCGTGGCTGCCATGGGGCAAGAACGCCGGCACTCGATGCGGCAACAATCCGAGGGTGGCTCGAAGCAGCCTTGGTGGCCAACCCGGAATTACTTGAGAGTATCAAGAACTATTTCTTGGCGCCCTTGTTCAAGTCTGATCGCGCCCTGTCCACTGCATTGCTGAAAGAGCTCCACCACGTGCAGCCGGAGGATGAGGTTCACGCCCGCAGTGGTGAGCTAGACACTGCCGCTTTGCTACACCTTGCTGCCCTGGAACTTGGTAAAAAGGCCTCTATTGTCAACGAACCAGATCCCGGTCGAGCAAAAGCCACGGGTACCGTGGAGCTGGATGGCAAGGTTCTGGAGCGCTTTTTGCTCCACAATTCTTATGATGTCCGATCCTTCGCCATGTCCTTACTGATAACGTCCTCGTCTAGTACACGGCCTTACTCTATGATGGCCTTCGGGCTTTTGAAAAAGCATCTCAGATCCTGCCACGCAGATCCTGATGCCAAATTTCGGAACGAAATCCTAGGCCATTCGAAGAACATGATCAAGAGGGTCAAGGGGGCGATTTCTGTACTCGAAAAGGATTTAGCTCGCACAAGGACTAAAGCTTCGACTTCTAAAGTCCGGGAAACAGGGGTCAACACTCACATAAGCAAAGGGGCAAAGGAGATCACCAATGCTGGGGAGATCTGGCTGCGAGATACTCTTGAGGCCCACGAAAGGTTCCTTAGCTGGTACTTAGAGTTTCTACGGCAGGAGCTGGCACCCACAGCTTCTTACCAGCGGCATATTACCGCTCTCAAGGCTTTGGTGACAGTCTTGAAGCTCGGGAAAGAGTATCCAGGTGCGCCTGAACAAAACGTATACAAAGATCCGCAGTGGATCCGCATCATCCTGGACCTGATTATGGACCCTTTCGACGACGTCAGAGAGACGGCCACTGGTCTTCTGATGCTCTTCCCACCAGAGTGTACGCAAAGGGAAGTTGCATTCTGTGGTACGGCATGTACCACCCCGATGATGCTGCTGGCGGAATTCTCTTCTCGGGCAGCGGCTCAAGCATCTCGCACCGGCCGTGCGGACCATTCAGATGGAGCCGCCCGCTCCGCTGGCCTGCTTTGTGCCTGGGAAACAACAATTGAGAGACGGCTAGCACTACTATCACAGACCCTGGATACTTTGGACGCCAAGATCAGTGGGGCAGAAAAAGACCTTGGCCACGCAGTTATGGCAGAGCCAGTGCATGGTGACTTTGCCGCGGTCAGATACATGTGGGAAGTATTCTCACAGGCTCGGTACAGTGAAGCTCAGCTGCAGAGCCTTGCACTTTCTCAGACCTGGATCGTTGACCTTTGCGTGCGGATTTGGAATGCTGTTAGCTACGTGCTGTGCGATGATTCTCCGGAGGGGAAGGAGCTGGTAAGCATGGGCCCTTTCTTTTATAGAGAATACGGATTTTCGCACCCGTAACAACGGAGGGTACAACGGTATATCACCACCTCACCCAACAGCTACACCCAACACCCACACCCAACACCCATACGCCCAACTCACACACCCAATTTGCACGCCTGGTGTTAGGTGTGGGTAAGCGAATTAGACCTGGGCCATGTGCTCCATTTGGCTATAGCTATGGTGTGAGTTGGTACCGTTGACCCTCCGTTGTTACAGGTGTGAATCCCCGGTTTCCTTGTAGATCCCGTCTTTTGTGTTTACACATCCTATAATGTATCACTTTGGGTCCCGTAGTAGGCTATTAACATGCACCAGGAGTCGACCGAGGGTCTCGACACCAAAGACCTGCTAAGCTACAGCTTCCGGGCCATTCACGAGTCTAGTAACCTCCAGCGTACTATCGTGGGTAATTTAGCGCTCAGCCGTGCAGCTGTCTTTCTCTTACCAACGCCTGAGGCTTTCCGGAGAGTGGGCGATTTGGCATTCTCGCAGCTCTCTACTTTGAGACATCGGGGTGCGTTCTCAAGCGTCTCGCTCAATTTCACTTGCTGCTGCCAGAACGCTCGAAATCCTCACATTGCCCCTGTCGAAGCCGAGCAATCCTTGCTAGAGGATTGGTACCAGGGGGCACTATCGTGCATTTATGCGCAGAGGTCAACCACAAGACGGTCTGCAGGTATACCGGCTTTGATTACTGCCATTTTAGCATCGAACGCCGACAGCCCGTCGTTTGAGCAGGTGATGCGAACGCTAGAGGAGATCGCACAACGACCAGCCTCGGTTTCAGAAACGGATGGGAGTAACCTTCCCCAAGTTCACGCCTTTAATTCTCTCAAGGAGGTCTTCAAGAGCTCGCTCCTCAGCAAAAAGGTGGAACGCTACCTTCCAGAGTGCCTCGAACTTGCCACAAATAGCTTGAAAGCAGAGGTCTGGGCAATCAGGAATTGCGCGCTCTTACTACTGCGTAGCCTGATGGACAGTCTGTTCGGTACCGGTGACAGCAAAGCTGCCATGGAGGCCGGATGGGACGGGAAGACGCTTCGTATCTCATACACCAAATACCCGTCTCTACCGCCTATACTCCTGAACCTTCTGCAGTCAGGACAACTGGCCATGGAACCTGGAACCTTGACTTCAAGCTCAGCAGCCGAATCTGTCTTCCCGGCGCTGGATATCATCCGGCGAGCCGGGCCCCCAGAGTCTCACCGCAACGAGTTGTATAGTCTGATCACCAGGTATCTGGGCAGCCAACAATGGCACGTCCGCGAGATAGCCGCGCGGACTCTATGCTCCTTCCTCTTGAGTGAACGTTGGCTCTCTTCAGTCAAGAGTCTGTTGGAAGAGTCACGGGGCTCGGCAAACAGGCTGCATGGAACCTTTCTCACAGTGAGATTCTTCTTGGAGAGAACGTCCATGGACAGAAGTCAAGGCCAGCTGCTCGGTCAAACGTTAATACCCGAGCTTGATGGGCACTCTCAGCTTGCGAGTTTTGTAGACGAGATCAGGGCTCTCGGACAGACGCTGCAAGAGTTCGAGATGGATGCCACAATATCTTCCGAAGTTTGGGCCGCCTTCGTTGAGATTCGCACGTTGACACAGCAGATCGCGCCTCCTGCGAACATTCAGACCAGCAAGGCCGAGCAATTCGCCAACCTGAAAATCGCACAAGGGAGGAACAGCTTCACCTCAAGAGCACTCCTCGACCACCGGATAGGGTCCAGGTCTCTGCGAGAAGCAGTAGCGCTCAAGAGCATTGACGAACTCAAGTCCAGCCTCCTTGATGCCCTCGACAGGGACACAGACACTGCATGCATGCTTCTCGAGGCCATTCCCACGATCTGGGGCAAGTCGCAAACTCCTGAGCTTTGCAAGATGTATCTCGAACTCTGCGAGCACACAAAAGTGCCGGAGGCCCGCGCACAAGCCCTGACAAACCTGGCCGGGCTTCTGGATGACCATATCTTCCAAGGCAAGTTGCAGGACCTAGCTGCACCAGAAGAATTCGAGTCCTTCCAGCGATCCACCCTGGACAGCATCAACCCAGCCCTGGCGAATGCAATTCTCCTCGCCTCGGGGCCCGTCATCGCAATCCAAACGCTCCCGCACAACGGGCAGCTGTCATTCTTCATGTTCGAACAGCGGCTGCGGGCCTGGGGCAAAGCCATCGCGGACGCCCTGCACGACAGCAACACATTTGACATGCGCATGGCAGCAGCCATGGCCATCAGGTCTTTTGCGGCAGCTGTGCGCTCCGCCGCCGGGAACGACGCGGCGTACCTGCCCTTCCTGCTAGCGTTATACAACACGCTCGTCGACGACGACGACGAGATCCGCGACGTCGGCGCCGTCGCCACAGCGCTCGTCACCTCGCCGGACCCCCACGTACTTTCTCCACAGCCCCTCGTCGCGGTCGACGCGGCCGACGCCTTGCTCTCGTGGCTCCGGGAGCGCTTCGGCCACACCAATGAGTTCAGGGCCTACGTCGCCTGCCGCCTGGCCGGGAACCCGATCGTCGCCCTCGACATCGGCGTGCAGGACCTTACCGCCTGGGCGTCCCCCGAGCAGCAGTTCGCTGAGGCGCTCGAGGTGGACGAGAGCCTATTCGCGGTGGAGGAGCAGAACCTGTTTATAGACGAGGTCCGCGAGACGCAGAGATGGGCTGACGTGTTTAGGTCCCTGCCGCGGGACTATGACCAGACAGAAGGTGATGATGGCGTGGCCGGGAAGGTGCTAGTCATGGACAGCTCGCTAGATGCGTTGAAGGGGTGGGTGGAGAAGGCTCTGGAGGTCCTAGCCGTACAGGTCGGGCAGGACGACGGCCCGCTCGGATGGGCTTCGATGGCTGATGCATTTGCCCTGTGCCACCGTGTCTTAGTGTCCGGGCAGGCCATGGCTGAATTGCTGGGTGAAAAGGATACCGCGATTGCGAGCTCCCTGGCCAGAATAAAGGACATTGGACAAACATCGAGACTTCATGGGCTCCTGTTGTCATCGTTGGATCGAGTCTAGGCTGTCTGGCATAGGTTACGACTGTATATTGTACATCCCAGAACTGCTGGGCGCGGGCGCCATTCACAGTGACAATATCATCACCTCTGCTTTGCCTGTCCTTTACTCAATTAGATGACTGTCCAATTGCAAGCTGAATGACCATGTTTCTGCAATCTGGTCGTCCAATGGTATGTGGAAACTGGGACAACCTCTTGTGGGCCGACCTGCCTCGGGATAGCCTGCTCTGGAATAACCAGTCATGGGATATCTTCTGGGATCACCTCCTATGGGATAAACTCTTACGGGATATTCTCCAGTGGAATAAGCTCATGTGGATTAAACTTTCATAGGACAACCTCTTATGATATAATTCCGCAATAAGATGTCCCCTACTAGGATAGTCTTTTCTGGGATAGACTTCTCTGGGGGTAAACTGGTATAGGTTAGTACTTAAGAGGATATCCTCTACTAGAAGAACTACCTTAGGATAATCTGCCGTAGGATAACCTGCCGTAGGATAACCTGCCCTAGGCTAACCTTCTCTAGGATAGCTAGCTATAGGATCACAGCTATGAGATAATTAGCTATGGGATCACCATCTATAGGATAACCAGCTGTGGGATGACCAGCCTTGGGATGACCAGACATGGGATAGTCTCTAATAGGATATATTCTCCTGGGATAATGAGGTACCTGAGTGAACAATTCGAAAATCCGGAAATAATCTACGGAAAGATCAACATCGTCTCATCAATGAGTCTCAACTAAGAGGAAGAACAACGATGTAGGACTGCAAACCGCAACGAACAGAGTAAGCAGCTGAAAAAGAACAATGAGGTGCCAGGCCCTGGATACTCAAGTTAAAGGGGGGATGATGATCCAAGGCCTGTCGACCGCGTACCCGCGCCACGTTGTCTAACAATATGATGGCGTTAATGAATTTTCATAAGATATCGAGCATGTTTCACAACTCACCCAAGCATCCGCTTCCCTTCCATTTACCCTGAAGGGCGCAGTCTGCGGCAGACATCTGTGCAGACTATGTGCCCTCCAGTTTCGTCGACAAATTCACTGTTCGGAAAATCTTTCATCGTGAAGCGTTCAAGTTTCGAATCATATGCGGTGTGGAAGACAATCGTTGTTTTTGATATACAAGTGACAGCACAGTGCAACCAGAGATGCTGTTTCCTATGCTAGGGAAAAGGGTATGGAAAATCTACGCTTGTTGCTTGGAAAACATAACCCAGATGTATGCTTGGTCGACCAGGAACTACCGAACTTCCCCTTCACTTCTGCATCATTTCGACCGCGACGAGGCCTGTGACAGCTTGCCGTCCTCCAGTGGTGCCGTCCCGTTGAAGGCTAAATCAGTCGTACTCGCCACGCCGCCCAGCTTGCCCAGCTGCGCAACGAGCTTCGTGTTCTGCGCCTGTAGCTGGCCCACCTGCTCCTTAAGGATGTCGATCTGCTTGAGCGCCATGTCCCTCTCTACCTTGACCTTTTCGAGCTGCATGGCGGCGTTCGCCCGCTCGTCCTTCTCCTGCTGCTTCTTTCTCCTCTCTTCGGCCTTCCTCTCTTCCTTCAGCTTCTTCTCCTCCATCTTCTTCACTTCCTTCCTGTAGTTTTCCTCCTGCCGGGCAATCTCCTTTTCGTGCTTCTCCTTAAGCTTAGCTAGTCCGTCGTCGCCCTGATTCGACTTGCCCTGTGAGGCCCGCTCCTGCTGGCGCGCCATCTTCTCCGCGAGTTTCCTGTGCCGATCCTGCAGCTTCCTGAGGTGCTTCTCGTGTTGCGACACTGCGGCCTTGGTGGACGATTCGTCACTCTTGGAGGAATGCATGGACGCCATGTCGCCTCCTCCTAAGCTACGATCCCCTCCCGAGGGGACTTTGGCCAAGGGTGTCTCGGCATCGGGCTCCTGTGCAGAGGCGAAACTACGCTCTGATTCATCCGAGTCCGAGTCGCTGTCTTGGAGGTCGGAATCGAGCTCTGATGTCGAGTGGGCGACACCCGGTAGCCGCGACGTCACAATAGATGATGCAGCGCCTATAGCCCCAGCAATCATGTTGTAGAAACCACTTGGTTGTACATCTTCCTCCGCTGCGGCTTGGGAGGGTTGCTGTGCCGGTCTTGATACACTGGCAGAAGGTTGGTGCTGTCTAGGTGTCGTCGTCTCACCCACACTGTTCTTTGGAGATTCATCCTCGGGGATTTCAGCGCGAGAGTCCTCGAGATTCTGTTCTGTCCTCGTGTCCAGCCACTTGAGGAATTTCCCAGCGTCTGTCACTATACCACCAGGGGTGCCTTTCTCGACCATGAATCTTGGCACGCTACCTCCAGGGTCAGATCGAGTCACCATGACCCACTCGATTGCCATTTCCGTGTCCTCGCCAGGCTTGCCGGCTTCCGAATCCTCGTTACGGTCACGGGGCGGCAGACCGGTGAGTGATCGCGACAGGCCTCTCTCACCACCAGGGCCAGCGTCCGACTTGGCCTCAGCTCGTTTCTGGGCTGCACGCAGGACTGCCTCCTGGCCAATGTCCATGTCACCACCCGTTTTCCGGCTCGGCAGCTGGATGTCCTCCCGTCTCATGTCAACTGAAGACCTGACCCGCCGCAGTGGCTTCTCGATAGGGATCTCCCTGATCAGCTCCACGCTCTCGTAATTACCCCTGATGTACGCCGACCGGGGCGCACATTGGGGGTGGTTGCAGGGCTTCGACACGATCATAAACTGCCTCGGCCCCTTGCTCTTGTTTTTGTCGTCACCGCCGCTGGTACCGGTCAGGAAGAGCGTGACAAAGTCCCTCGGCGTTGTTGGCCCCGGAAATTGAGCGTTCAACAGCCACACGTCAGCCTGGCCCACCCCGTCACATTCCAGATGCTCGGCCTTCCTCTCTGCACCAATGCCCCTGACGTTGCCCGTGCCTGGGCCCGTGGCGTGCTGCAAGGTATGTCCAAACTCGGTCTCCAGCCCCAGCCTGAACTTGTCAAATGATATGCCCTCGTGCAGGCTCCGCCTAGCGAACCAGGCGCCGCGGCCGTCCTTCCCGGCGAGCTTGTAGACGCTCATGTTGTAGGGGTTGTCGCGTGGGGGAATCTTGACCTCCTTCCACTCCTTCTGCAGCTGTGCCGCATGGGCGGCGGCGGCCGCTGTTGAAGCATCCGCACTTGCCGAAGTGTTGGTGTGGTGGCGGGAGGTAGGGTCGAAGACGACGGAGCTGTCGGTGTGGCTCCTCGCGCGGCCGATTTGCTGGGGCTTGGTCGCTGCGGGTATGCTGTCGACAACAGTCTGGGCGTGGAGGAAGGTCGTGTTCAGGAAGTGCTTGATGTCGTCGCCCGTGACTGCTGTCCAGTCAATTGGCCCCAGAGCCTTCAGTGGCTCATGATGAGACATGGTGACCTCGTGGTCGCAGAGGGCGACGGCGGAAAAGTAGAGTTAGGTTGATATTCTGTAAGTACTCGCTAGCAATGACGGTCTTTGGGGCAAAAGGATTTCATGTCCCAGGGCTTCCGAGTGGTCTATACGAGACGAATACGATGGATACGGTGACCGTCCAGGCGAAAGCATGAGTGGGTCAAGGTTGTGAGGCAGTGAGGCCGATGACAGAACAATTTGACGTCCCGCTAGATAACACACATAACCAAGGCCGTAGACCTGCTCGCTCCGCGGGATTCTGCCTGTCGAGTTTCAATTTGAGAGCAAGAGACAAGAACAAGAAAAGGATGACCGTCTGCAGCAGCCACCCCCTTCTCTGCCTTTGTCCGTCCGAGACGTGTATTTACTGACGTCATCCTTGTTCAACCAGAGGCCAGACCCAGCTCAGCTCGAGCTCGACTCCAACTGGAAACCCATCTCCGGTTTCCCCCCTCCCCCACCTGCTTTCCCCCTGGCCCAGACGGCCGGGCTAGAATGCTGACAGACGTCAGTGGGTTTGAGCTTAGCAGGGGCCATGGGGAAACCGGAGCCAATGCTCCAAGACACAAACTACAACCTTGTAGGCCGAGGAACTCATCACATGAGCTACCGTAGAAAGGGAGGAACAGGCTGCAAAAGACAAAACCGTGTTCAATGAAGACTATCTAGACCGCACGGGTATCTGTGTGTAAGCGCTGTCGCATGAAGGAATACGGTGACAAAAACAAGAAAAGAAAAGAAAAGACAGAAGAGTGGAAGACCCCTTGATGACATCGCAATGCATAACGAGCCCAGGTTTACCCAGCTGTCCTGATGGTCCCCTCCCTTCCAGTATGAAAATCTGCACGTATGTTTATGACCACGCGTATGTATGTATGTACCTCCCCAGTCCATCTACCATTGCACCAGCCAATCCCATTACAAGGCGCATAAAGACGCCTTCCTTTTACACGTCAACCATCTTCATCCTCTTCGCAAGCGCCATGTCCTTCTCCAGCTTGCAGCTCCCGCAGTACTCGGCGTGCCACTGCGTAAGGGCCTCGACTCTCTTCTCATCGATGGGCCGCATGACTTTCTGCCCGCCAGCACCGACGCCCGCAGCGCTAGGTGTCGCTTTGCTGCTGCTGCCGCTGCTGCTGGTGCTCCCCTTCTCATACAGCATCATCTTGACCTGGTCACACCGCAGGTTCTCGTCCGCGAGCCAGTTCTCCCACTCGCTCTGGATCATCTCCTTCTCGATCTTGTTCACAACCCGCATCGCGACAAGCAGGTCGTGGCGGTACGACCCGAGTCGCTGGCGGGTGCGCCGTAGTTGGCGGGCCGTGGCCCTGCTGGTGGTCGAGGTCAGGACTGCGCCGGCCTCTTCGTACGACGAGTCGAGGGACGTCGTGTTTAGGATCTGGCGGAATGTATTGTAACTAGGGTGGTGTCGTGTCAGTGACTGAACCTGGAGTGTTCAAGATGACGAGCGGCAACTTACCATTCGCTGTCCCCCCCAGGAGCCGCAACCACCGAAGACAGCGCTGCCTCGTCAAGATCCGCAATGTAGACGGCCTTGCTCATCATAACGTTGGGACCAACACCCATCCGCCCCATGAACTTCGCCGCGCTCCTTTCCGTCCACCATGTCGACCCCTCGCGGCCCGTGAAGGCAAGGTTCGTGAGGACGCTCAGAGCCAGCACAGCCAATATCACCCGGTGCGCGGTCACAACGCTGAAGATCTTTTGCACGCCCGCAAAAGTCCACATCAGCAGGCTCGTTGCGACGCTCTCCATGAAACTTCTCACCGTCTCGAACATCATTTCCGTCAATGTTCGAGGCTGGATCATCTGTGAGCTCTTCTTCAGCCCCGCCTCGCTTGTCTGCGATGCTTCCCCAGGGGTGAACACGACCACCTGCTGCTGCCCCCCAATGTTGCCATACACCTGGATCGCCCTCTTCGTGCGGCTGTGCGGGCCCAGTTTGCGCACCTGGTCTGTCGCCACTTCCGCCAGTTCTTCCGCGTCGCGCCGTGCATCCTCGAGAGCCTGTCGCTGCACGAGGGCCTTGGACAGAGGTGGCGTTTTAGACCACTCCACCTTGGTGTACAGAGCAAGCTTGCACTTGGACTTGGCGACGTGCGTGATGACGACCTTGGTGATCAGCTTGAACGCATGCGAATGAGGAAGATGCCAGGGTGTTTTGACGTGTGTGACCAGGTAGGTGATGTGGTCGCTGAACACGTCAATGAGCTGGAAGTCGGCCACATCCTCGCCGTGTTTGGCCCGGCCCATGAAGCCGACCGAATCGACCTTGAACTTGAAATCTCGCTTCATCTTGCCATGATCAATGAGTTGCCACGGCCCCTGGGCGATCTCCTTGGCGCGCCGCTCGAAGTAGAGTTTGGGGAAGATGAATGACTTGTCGCCAAATAGTACGTGGAAGCATGCCTTTGCGCTGATCTCAAAGTGGCGCTCTTCGACCGCTTCACCCATACCCTCAGGCTCGTACACAACTGGGTGCACTGGGAGCTGGAATTTGGGAACCGGTTTCCGCACCTGTCTTGATGACCTATCTCTGGCACCATAGCCACCCTTAAAGACCGGTCTGCCCGAGGCAGTGCCATCATCGATCGGGGTGTTCGGGGAAACCTCTTCCCAACTCTCCGCACTGGGGCTTTTCTTCTCGTACTCGTCGCTCTCCAGGTTCAAGAGCGCAGCTATGACCTCCGGGACTTCCATTGGCTCCTCAGCCTGAAGATCATCAATAAGGAGATTCAGCCGGGAATGAAGGAGTCCCAGATCCATCAGGAATGTCTTGATGGTGATGCGGGTCAATCCGTCCGTACTCATCTTGTGGCTGAGGTGCAGGAATAAGAAGTCGCAGTCCCTGCCCGGAGCCGCCGTAACCTCTGAGATGATGTCCAAACTGAGGGTGTAAGTGACCACTAAGCCCATCTGGTGACCATAGAAGTACATGTTGTCCGAAGTGACATAGATGCGGCCATTGCCCATAATGCCATGGTTGCTAGCAGATCCCTCGACCGAAGTGCTCGTCCAGGCAGCATTGAATACCATCACCAACTTCTCGTCGAGCGACACATTGGGAAATAATAGTCTGAACTGTGGATGATGTGCCTTGAGCTCGACCGGGTATTTCTGTGGGAATGTCTCGCCGGTTGGCTTCTCCAAGACTCTGAAGTCGGAGGCGTTACCTCCGGCGCTCAGAGTCTTCCGATGGAGAGTCGAGGGCGCATGGCTGCCCTGATTCGAGGTGGCTTCACTAGCAGGAAGTGTCTGCGCGTTCGCTGAGAGCAGTGGATCGTCGTCCAGTCTAAGGTGCGTCGTGTCGTCCTCCCTGGGCGGGTACAGTGTACTCCAGGGGATGCTGCCCCAGTAATTGGCAACCACAGCCGTTGGCAAGCTCAGGCTGCTGTTGCTGTCCGAGGTGACGGACCGTTCAGCGCTCACGGACAGGGCTGTCTTGCTGAGAGACGTCGCTGTAGGGGCTTTGGCTAGCGTGGGAGGCGCGAGGCTGCTACCATTCATTTCGCTTATAGGTTGTAAGGCTGGCAGAGAGCGACCGAGGTTTGTTACAGATTGATTGTAGGCAGCATATCCAGGCAGGAGGTTGGAACTGGCAGAAATCAGGCCGGCTATGCCTGATGACTCGCCACGCGCAAGGGGTAACTTTCGGTGCAGTTCCAACCTCTGCATGATGCGTGCAGCATGCTCTCTGCCACTTTCGCCCTCCTCACGTGGGAGGTCTCTAGCAATGTCCCGTGCCAGGCCTGTGACGGAGCGGCGCGGCGCGGCGCCTACTTCAAACGAAGACCGTGTCGCTGATCCATCATTGCCAGGCACTGGCAGCGTGGCGGATCTCTCCGTGCCGTCTTCAAATCCCTCCAGAGACTTGGCCGAGAACTCGGGGATGGTAGGCGGAGTGATGGCGAAGGCGGGGTCAATACCCCCGGGCAGTGTGCTGGCATCTCTGGCCACACTCGCATCAAATGCCTGCTTCTTGGCGATCTCGAAGACCTCGATCCATTGCTCCAGTTCCGCCTGGGTCTCGGCCTGTAGCATTATGTTTTGAGACTTGGTCTTGACCTCGAAGCAGAAGCGCCGTTCCTCTGAGACCGCAGGGCGAGCGCCGCAAAGAAGCACGCCGATCTCGTCGCCTTGGAGAACACCCTGCGGCCCTTGGACCAGCCATCCGAAGATTCCATTTCGGCAGTAGTACCAACGCCTGATCCAATTCGTTCTGGCAGGCTTTCCTGTGATGGTCCGGAGGAAGAGCCAACCTTGCTTCTCCGAGACGACAGCGCCCTCCTCCTTTCACCTGGACGTTCACGGGACCCCTAGAGCCGAGAAAGGCAACCGTTGATATGTTGTAGTCTTCCAGTTCGCGAGAGGGCTTGAACGAGGCCACCGCGTTTTCGCCGACGTCCCTCCTAGCGGCCTGCAGCTCGCGCTTGAACAGGGCCTCGCTGGCCTCCATCTCCTTCGACCATCCTCTGACGCGGTCCATCTCCTGGGCATACTTGTTAGACGCGTATGAGCTGTCACGCCATCGCTTCATCTCGCCACATGTCGACGGATATGCGGACAAGCAACTTGTCGAGGGAGAAGCGGATCTGCGGCGCAAGCTGGCAAAAGTCCATTGACGCCTTGAGGTACGCCTTGCGGGTCTCGTAGACGGCAAAGGCATCCTCACGCAACGAAGACGGCTCCTTTGCCTTGCTCTGCGCCACGTAGCGTGCCAGCGTGGTATCAAACACCTTCTGTGTAGTCTCCAGCGTCCTCCTCGTCTCCTTGAATGTCTTCAGCTCCCCGATCAGGAATGAGCGGACTGGCTCCACGGTCAGGTTATCCATGCGGCGCATTACCGCCAGTATCTGGCTCCACCATTCCCGCTGGCCGTCGCTGCTCCTCCTCAGCGCGAGCATCGTGTAGTCTGGGTCGATGGGGCCATCGGTCGTGACGGCCAGGGGCGGCATGGTCTTGCCCAGGAAGCCTTGGATGGTCTCCTCGAGGGCGAGGATGTCGTGGACGACCTTCGAGCATGACTTCATGTAGCCGTCGAGCCATCGCTCGACCTGCTCGACCTGCTCGGCAAAATGGACGGCGACGCATCGGAAGGTCGGGGAGTCGAGGGCAGCTTCTTGCAGGCCTAGGGGGATTGCCGGGCTGGGGTGCTTCTGCGGCGACGTGGAAGGGTTGGGAGGGACGGAGGGTTTGTCGACAGCCGGGTTGGCCGGCGCCGCGCCGGAGTCAGCCATGTCGGAGGTTGGGGTCGAGTGAGGAAACTATCGCGGCAGTGGGAGGTGTCGATGGCTCATCCTGGTCGGTAAACAAATCAGGGGTTGCGACGAAGGGCACGGGTGCATTCACAGTCCAGACACACAGGCAATGCAACGGTTCAATCGGGGTGGACAGATTGACGGCGACAAGGCTGAGGATGACGATCTCGGGGACCAGGGATCAGGGACCAGGGACAAGAAGGTCGATGGATGGAAGGTTCCTCTCTCAGCCTCGGGCTTGCCCTGACGTCGGTGATGCTGTCTGGAAAGGGCTGTTGCGGCTGCTCTGTTGCGCCCTCCTCATTTCGGTTGGAGGGCTAGCGTTTTGACAGCGGACAGATCCCGCCCCCACCCCACTCCCCATCTCAGCTTACCCCGGACGGCAATCTCGACCTCAAACTTCAGACAACCTGCTTGGCTGGCTCGCTGGCTGCCTGTCTATCTGATTGTTTCTTTGGTTTGTCGACGGTTGGGATCGCCTTGAGATCGCCCCAACTGGTAACTATCGTAATGCCACCCTTCTCTGTTTGCACAGATGTTTGCACAGACGTTTGTAGGCGCCCGTTCTCGCTAGCTGCTCATGGCAGCAGCTGCCTGCCTGCCTGCGAGCTCGCTCACGCGGGCTATGCGGCCTCGGCTGGACTGGTCTGGCCCTTGAAGCGTGCACAGTAATCACCGCCAATGCGTATTCCATCTGATTTCTTGACTCGTTCTATGTTCGTCTCGAGACACCGAACGCGTGGCCGGGCGGCTTCTGAGCGTCTACTGCGCTTTACACAGCCCGCAGGGATTCCAAACGTTTCATACCGGGATAGGAAGCGCGTAGCTTGGGAGCCGTCAAGAGTCCCAGGTCCCTCGTTAAGACAGATTGCGACCTGAGGAGTAACGTTCTAATTCATGCCTAGGTGTAGCGTCGTCCGTTGTAGGGCATTATAGGAAGCCGTCAGCTTTATCTCTTGCTTGTTCCGTTGAGAGGCAAGGTGCCTGTGCTAATGCTTGGGACGGCCGATGTTTGGGGCACACCTGAGGATGAAAATAGCTCTACATTGTTTCAACCAACCCCTTCTATTACCACCAGACGGCGGTTGAACGGATATTCAGGATTCACTCACAAATGGAAGCACAATGACCGAAGTCGCCCGCACTTTAGATGCCACCAACTAATAGGATTGAGTGCTTCAGGCCCTCAGCTTCGGGCCCAACTCTGTTGCTGTGGCCTTTATTAATGAACACGGAGATTCGCACCTGTAAAAACAGAGGGTACACCGGTACATCTTTAGAGTGCATCACCCAGGCCTAATTCACACACCCACACCCAACACCTACACACATAATTTACACACCTGATTCACATAGCTAATTTATATACCTAGTGCTAATTAGATGTGTTAATAGGTATGTAAATTGGGCGTTCCGTGTGTGAATTGGGCGTGGGTGTTGGGTATGTGAGTTTTCACCTAGTTGAGTGCTGGTGATGTACCGGTGTACCCCCCCCTTTTTGCAGGTACGAATCTCTGATTTCTTATTAATTAGGAGGATGGGAGAAACGGCTGCTCATCAACGAGGTCCGCCTGCCTCAAGCAAAGCTTGAACAAGCTGTGAATTGGGAAGAAAGGGGAAGTGGGTTCCGTATCAAGCTATCTGATATCACATGAGGCAAGAAGTGAGGCATCTGCAACCACAGTTGGCTTAGGGTATGTACCGCAAGTCGGTGGGCCTATAGCTAGCTCGGCTCGGAGGTCGTCGGGCGTCTATGTGAAATGGAAATGCTCAGCCCACCAGCCGCGACGTTGACAAATGGGCAAAACACTTAGCCTGAGTCGGAGAAAGGCCAGCAGTTATGAAACGCACGCGCGGATTAAGCACAAAGTCAGCAAGTTCCTCCGGGGTCATGATCTTCGAGTGATGTGTAATTTGGAAGGTCTCCGGAGACACGTCGACTTTTCGCCTCATCCGAGACCTGGTGATGATGTGCACCATGCAGGCAGGCAGGGCAGTTCGAGTGGAGAAAAGCTTCTTTGACCGAGGAGTTGTCATGCAAAAGTCGAAATGTTTCGTGGCGTGCTTGGGGCAGCATTCCGAGAGAGGGTTGCCCCTGGGAAACGTACGGAACGACGTTACTATGTAGAGGTAGAGGCGCGGGTGATCCACGCTGGCTTCATGCAAGCCCGCGGCTTTTTCAGCTCCTCAAGGATCACAGCCGGGCAAAATGCGCCAGACAGGACGAATCAACAACCGACGTGTCTGGGGATCTCTCCTTGACAACGAACCACGGCTGCAGAACTTGGACGCTTTGCATGCATCAGACCAACAGGCGGTGCTGTTAAGGTAGACGGAGCCAGCAGGATAAGTCTGGTCCAGGACAGCGCCGTCGACGCTGCGCCACACTAGCCGGACCACAGGTTCTGCCCCTGCCCGCCCACCCCACATTTTAGAGCCGCCGAAGCGCCCCCGCAGGTATTTTCAACCCCTGAGCCGATCTTGACGCGGCTCACAGGAGCCAAAGGTGATGGACGCCGTTGTGGCTCTGGGAGAAGTTGCCTCTCGGTGACGAGTAGGGATGCTGATACGAAGCCCCATATGCCGGATCCCAAACCCAGCTTCATGGGCCGATCTGCTATGCTATAACCCATTGACGTAGTAGCATTATAGCACACTTTGCCTGAAGGGCCTCTAGCTAGACTGCAGGTCAGGTTTTCTGGAGTTGGTGTCTCCAAGAGCCTGGTTGACTGGCAGGTGTCTGGCGAAGCCACCCGCGGGCTAGGGCAGCGAACAGACCCAGAGGGCTGGGCTGGTCAAGAGAGTTGGTTAGTTGGAATGGTCTGTGCAGCCTTTGACGCTTCGGGAAATTCTTGCAGACACGGATGGGGAGGAGGTCTGGGGCGTGTTGGGGACGCGTAGCCGGGTCATCCGGTCCGTTTGAGCAGAGGCCTTATCATGACGACAGTACTGGCCGCGGGTGTTTTACCAGAGGCCCGGCCAACTGTGTAGAGAGGGAAACACAACTCATGAGAGTGTGTGCAGCCAGGAAGTAGCTTGCAAGATGTCGAAACGAAACACATAAAGCCCCCCCTGCAGTGGATCTGACAACAGACGTGTGATGGTGGGTTGCGGTGGGAATCTCTTGCCGACCAACAAAGTACGTAGTCTATGCTGCCACGCAACCTGGGGCTCTTGGATTGTTGAGTGTACCATTCCCCTGGTTCCTTGGACTGGCGTCGATGCATTAATTGTGAGGGTAGCGAGTATGCGCGGTAGTTGCGCAATGTTGAATTACTTCCCTGGTAGACAATTGCCACCACATTGGGTCCTCTGGTCCGCTGGAGGACAGCTGGCAGGGAATCGCCGATTTTCAGGCACCGATGGCTACCTAGGTATGGGGCCCATGGTGAGCGCAACAGACGCGGGTTGCCGTTCCACTTCCACTGGCGGGCTTCGGGGCCGGCTGCCTCAATGTGAATTCATGACAAGTGCAGTGCATGAACGAAGGCCCCATCGCCGGGGGAGCAACGTTGGCTGCAGGAAGCGGGACTGCAGACGGGGTGGCCTACGGTCCACGGAGCACGGAGCACACATGGAGCTGTCAGAAATCGTTGTGCCCATCCACCCATGGTCATGGTTCTTGGGTTGCGGCAAACGGCGGAAGGGCGGCGGCTTGGGCGGTTGATGAAGCACAGGCACTGCGCACAGCAGACTACTGGCAAGGAGAGCCAGTACCCAGCAAGCACGAGGTGGAGGAGGAGGGAGGGAGGGCGTTGGCTGCAGCAGGGCTTGGGTACCTGGTCTGGATGTCTCGATGTACCCAGGTACCTGGCCACCTCGCCGGGATGCATGCACTGCGCAGGTGTGGTGCTGTGCCATAGCTTGATTCTACGCCTTCCCCTTCTGTCACTAGACTTCGGCTTCGCCAATTCTAATTTTGGCCCCCCATCCAGACATTCCAGATCTTGCCTTCCCTGCTGTGGCCTGTCTGTCACTCTCGGCTGTCCTCCCATCCTTTCCTGCACTCTGTCATCCCGTCTTTTTCGAGCCTCCATTTGCCCCCTTTGCCTACCGAGGAGGGTGCTCTGAGTTGTTTCCCAGCTGTGGCTGAGTACTGATGGTCAACAGTCGCCGGTCGCTGATCATATTCCCGTCCTCTCCGAAAACTTCGTTGTTCCTTGAAACAGCATGCATGCACTTGCAGATGCCACGCTCGTGACTCGGGGGCGAAGGCACTGGGAATGGGCAACCAGTCTGCTGCGGTGCGCTGCGCTGCTCGCTATGCCCTCTGCTCTCTGCAGTCTCTGCAGTCCTAGGGACCAATTGTGCGACGCGCACTTCTTGTTCCGCAAAAGGAAACCTCAAGGCCGCTCGGTACTTAACTCGGTCTCGGCCAAGCCCAGGCGAACCTCCGTCCGCTCTTGGTAGTGTGCAGCGTGCAGCGTGCAGTACCGGTCTCCAGAATCGCCAGCCCATGCGCCTTGTCAGCATGATAATCAGACTTGCTGGTGCAGGCACACCCGTGGAGATGGCCGATACCTAGCGCGCCAGTGCTGTGCCGCACGGCGCTTCCTTTAACGCGGCCTCTGCCACAGCCATCCGCCTGTCTGGCATCTTCTCTTCAATCGTACCAAGCACTTTAATGCATGCCGCCCGTTTCGGCAAGTCGGCTGCGTCACTCGAGCCAGGCCCACAGTGTAGACCACTTTGCTTCATCCAGCCCTGCCGCACCTCCCACCTTCCCGCCGGATTGGCCAGGTACCTCGAGTCAACCGAGATTGCCAGACGACATCTCCAGACAGTGTCTGAACCCGCCGCCTCCGCCTGGAGCGGCTCGGAGTCCGTCCCAATGCGGAAGCCAGCTGAGCTGTCAACGGCCACACGTACATGGTCCTTCACTGTCTGGGCGCTCCAGGCCGTGCGATCAAATCGTCAGTTGGCGCCACAAAATGGGCAACCTTAAGCTCGACGGACCGTCTCAGCTCATCACCGTACCTGGTCGGTCATCTTGTTATCACCTCCTTCCTGTAGCAGTACTCCTTTCTCCTGCGCAACGGTGCGGGTACCCCTTCGTGGGCATTCCATTTCCCATTTCACGGCTTATTTTCCCATTTTCCGGCCAATCAGAATTCTGAAACGTTTGTGAGCCAAATAATACTGACCATTTCTGGCTGAAGCCATCAGGCCAATGATATCTCAGAGGCCGCCTCTCAGCCTTCCACACCTCAGCCCATTGACCACGCTAGCATGGGTCTCGACATCGCACCGAGCCATCTACAGGCCCTCATTGATTCTCGAGACGGCTACTCTTTGACTTTCTCGAAGGGTCTCGGTTTCCAAATTCGTACGAGTCTCATTCCGGGTTCCTCTGAGGGCACTCTTCCGGAGAACCTGTGAGACACGGGTAACCCAGCGAAGCGACCTGCTCGCCATCGTGCCAGCCCTGGCTACTCACGATGCTAGGCTCGCCTGTCTGATATCTTACCCCAGACGGCGCCTTGGAGATCTTCAGGGGCAAAGGCTGAGGGCCCAAGTCATGCAGAAGCACTATTCGGGACAGGTTTCGGGACCGGTGCCCTGTTCAGGAGAGCCTCTGCCGGGCTCATTCGCTGATCCGGGTGCGATCTCGCCAGCATCCGTGAAGCGCTACGCCGTCGCCGGTATGGCTGGCAGCCATTATGACGGACTTGTCTCTGTTTCAAGGGCAAAGAGAAATGTACTTCTGACCCGGTTTTTGCAGGGTCATGGACGGAGTGGTCTCGGCAGATGGCAGCCATGACGACGTCCTTCCATGTCGAATGCCCATGGCTGTCTCTGGTCTGACTATGTTGTGCGGTTGGCAGCGATCCCTGGCGATGGGTGAAGCAGTGTAATCTCCCCGGTATGATGAACATCAGACTCCATCTCACGATAGCGGGCCCGGTTGAGCAAACGCTGTGCCCCGGCGTGAGGTGCAGTCAGGTTCGCATGGAACGGACGACAGCCCACAGTGACTTGCCTAAGCTAAGCGCAGTTTCCAGGCGGCTCAAGGGGCTTGTCGCCTCGAGCTTGCTTTGATTACTTCCAGACCGGCGCAACGGAGCAGTTGGTATTGGCGTAGTGCTGCTCCCGGATCGCCTTGAACGCCCGCAGGGGAGCGGTTTACGGTGGCCCTGGCTTGATCAAAGCTTCGCGACCACCAGGTCTGTAGGCCGGTCACAGGACCAGGCTACGAGGGACTGCAGGCTGCCCTTCCAGATAGTTCGGTGCATGCTACGCACATCCTGGTAGGAATGGCTCTTACAATGTGGCCTGGGGGCACAGCGATATTGCGAGGCCCACGGGAGCGAACTTCTTCTCAGCCGTCAAAGCAAGGTGCAACAGCTCGATGGACGTTCCGGTTCGAGAGTGACACCGCAAAGCAGCTACATAATGCGTGGTAACGTGCCATGCGATGATGGACCATTCTGCCATGGCACTTGGACTCAAAGCAGTTGGCAATGTGACTCAACTTCCCTGACGTCGAAGATGGGGAGCAGAATCGGACCGGGAGTGCTGCTGGGTTGCAGGGTTGAGCAAACGGCGCTTAGTTCTCTGCCCGTGCCCTCTCCAAAATCTCTGCTGTTCCGTCACCTTGGTGTACCAGGGTGCATATTCCCCGTCGACGCTGAGGCCGGCATTCGGCCAAGAGCAGGGGAGGCCGCAGGCATGGGTGCCCTAGACGAGATCGGGTGGCCCACCCTTCCAGAGGTCTGCTCCCCGGCTGTTGAGGGTGGTGGCGGGCGTCCCAGTACGTACAGTACAAGGCCCCCCCCCCCCTTCCCCCGGTGGCGCTGCACCGATGCAGCTGCTGCAGCTTTCAGCTGCCGTTGCAGGCCATGCCTCTGGCGTCCTGCCACCTGCCTAGACTCCTCGGACCTTTTGGACTTTCACTATATGCAGGGTTGAACACAGCCCACCTTGTACTGTACCTTGACGCGGTACCTGTCGGCTTCGCTCGGCCAAGTGGCGCGTGGCCCAGTCTCGTACCTGCGAAAACTGAAAGCGGAAGACGAGAGGAGAAACTGGATTTTTGCGGGCGGATGAACGTACGAAGCAGACGAGTTCCGAGGTCACTGCCCAGATCCCTGGTCCTCTGCTGGCACTCAATGGGCGGGCCAAACCCCTGCCTCTGCCCACAGCTCCGCTGCCCAGGTACCCTGGTGATGTCTGCTGCTTGTTTGCGGCGAGCATCGTACCTTGCACGTAGTACTTCTCAGAACTGGCCAAGGATCGTTCCGAGTGAGCCAGATGGGAATCGAAACAAGAATCAGAGGGATACGCGGGCAAGGCGAGCCTGCGTGCCGAGCGATGGCGACGTACTGCGGTAGCGTCACCCCGTGCCCTGCCATGATGCTTCCCAACTCCACTTTGCTGCATCTGGCACTACGATAGTTATGTACACTGGCCCGTAAGTCGGGCTTCCGTCAGGCAGTGGGCGCAGTATAACACCCCACCACCCTCTCACCATCCTTTACGAGCCTGCTCACCCTCCTTCCTTTTTTTTCACGAGTACCTCGTCTACCATTCTCTTCTTCTCATTTGCGGTTGCAGGCGTGCAAGCTAATTGTTCCTGGCCCTTGGGACCACCCGCCTCCGTCATCCTTCTTTCTTATTATTCCTTTGCCGTCTCACGTCCAGGTTCCTAAAGAACTCCACCGCCCTCCTCGGATTCCCTAGGCGCCTGGCCCTCCTGCTCTCACACTCAGGCTATTTTCTTTTTTTTTTACCCCCCACCCCCCACCGAAAGAGATACTCCATACACGATGCCTCCACAACTACTGCCAGCGTCTGCGGCGGCATTTGCCCCCAGGGCCTCCTCCGTCAATGTCGTCCTCGGTTCGGGACGTCCAGAGCAGTGGCTGACAGCAACATTAAAGAGGATCAACCGGGTAAAACGTCCCCTCAACAGCGTCATGCAACACCAAAGATGCCTGACTGAAACCCTGTCCAATTCGAACGCCATATGGACCCTGACCTCTCTGATGCTGCCCAAAGCCCCGGAGTCTGAGTTGAGGAAGGACGCAAACCCTCTTGTTGAGGCTCTGTTCAACTACCAGCTCCTCCATGTGGAGGCTTATGTTGTCCACGTGGATATGGTCCTGAGGAACGAGGTCGGGTACAAGCTCACGCCTGACACTATTGAGTCGCTCATAGAGTATCACAAGGAGATACACTGTGTCAACGCCAAGGCCGCCACCCACGAGTGGTCGGAGAAGGACCAGCAATGCAAGAAGCTACACGAAGACTTTGTTCAGGCCATCAACAAGTTCGTGTATCGCACGCATGTCTCAGCACTCGAGGGACTCGAAGAGGAGGGAGCCGGCGAGCTACTCAACGGGAAGAGCGAGGAAGTGAAGACTCAGCTCATGGGACTCATGAAGCCGTTGTTGCCCCCGCCACCCAGAATTGTGGACGTGATACGCCAACCCCCTCTGCTCCCGAGCTCACCAGCCAGCGCAGGCTTTTGGTCCCAGCCCACAACGCCTTCAAGCGCTCCTGCCCCAGTCGATGCTTGGAGGATTCTGCCTTCCAGCCCAAGCGTTGTGACAACCTCTGCAGAGTCGGGTATGCCCGCGATCTGGGCGAACATGGGCATGAGCGAGGCCTCGCTTTCCCCCCAGACACCGTCTTACAGCCAGCCTTACTCTTCGGCCGGGTTCTTCTACAGCTCACCAGTCGCGACGACGCCTATCCCATCCATTCCGCAACTACCCCTGCCTAGCATGCTCACGCAACAGTGCGGTGTAAGCGTCGGGTACGGCGGCTTTGGGTGGGACCACAACCGCTATCAGGAGTACACGACAACCATGTGACAACCATCAACCACCAAAGGAGACAACCACCCTTACCCAGAGGCTACGTCTTCCTAGCCGCCGTCTCTCCTAGGACGTCTCTTTCCGAGGTGGCCTCTGGGTCAACCTCCTATGGGACACGTCACCCTTTGCTCCCTTTGTCGTCACCGAAGAAAACAACCCCCAAAAAAGACTGGCATCTGGGCAGAGCTAGAGAGACACCTCACTGAGTTCATCACATGTCAAAGGCACAACGGCGTTTTGCATACTAAGGAGCAGGTTCGGGTACACAACAACATTGTCAACTCTCCACAGGCATACGGGTTCTTGGGTTTCCTCTGTACAGCGAGCGAGCGTTTGATTTTTATTTTCTTGTTCGGAGTTTTGCGGATTTCAGGATACCAACCACCAAACCAAGGCAACCGCAAGCTCGGTCACACACTCACTCCATATCATCTCCTCATTGCGACTGGGTCCGGGGTGGAAATTTGGATTGCATTTTCGGGCGAGGCAGGAACTGTCGCAATATAGGGTGGCCTTTGCTTTTGTTTTCTTTGGTTTGGTTGTCCTCTTTTCCTTTTTTTTTCCTTTTCTGTCTCTCTCCTTTGCGTCTGACAATAAGAGGAACATGCAGCAATGCACTACAGCCCGGCAAGAAAGGACCGGGACAGAAACTCTGGATTCCTAACTCCTCTTCTCTATTTGGATTTTCTCGGCGGCATAAAAGGCTCTTTTAGATGATACCCCCATACGCGATGTGGTGTGCGTTCATCACTTCAACACAATCCTTTGGACCTGGCTTTTTCTTTTCTCTTTTTCTCATGTACGATTTCACGACCTTGGATGACGGATAAGATCACCACCTAACGAGCTTGGAACGACCATTTCACGAACGATGACCTGCGCCCGGCTTGAGGCTTGGGGCTCATGACTTCATTCGAAACGAAACGGCACGAACGACACAGCCTGTCTTGGTGGCGGATTATTCGATGCCGACAACTTGATCACTGGACTGGACTCCGTGGGGACTTGTGGCACTCCAAGGCTGAAGAGGAAAAGACGACGTCGAGCCGAAGACGAACAACAATATCCGGAATATTGCAGAGTCGGAAGCACAATTGACACTGGATGTCGTCGACGGGAGAGAGACCAGGTATCTGCTTTCCCCCTCAACCTTTCTGAAAGGGAAGGGGGTTTGGCAGAGAGGGATTTGAGACCGTATGGGGAGGCCAATAAAGCACGAACAAGAGCTGGGCACCGAGCAATCGATGGAACTGTGCTGCGCAGGAACGCGAGCGAAGTCAAGTCCTCTACCTCGGCGCCACTGCTGAGTACGACTCATTCTCACGCGGGCAATGGGCTGAAGAGCATTCTCGCCGCCAACGTTGACTATCGTGGACCCCCTTGGAGTGAAGGATGAAACCCTCTCTCAATCCTGCTAGCTCAGGAGGAGAACATGGAGATCAGATCCGCTTCAAGGGTGCGGCGTTTTGCGCAAGCGAAGCGCCAGTCGACGACATCACGCGGGCGAAAAGTCCCAGTTTCTGGGCCGAGTCTGGGTTGGAAAGGCGAAGCACTGGAAAAAATGAAGGAAAATGGTAGCTCATTTCACTACATGTTACCCTGAGCCGTCCCAGCCCCCCCAAGTCTCTATGCGGGCTGAGTGTTAAGTCCTCCTCGGTACTAGACTTGTGGGGACGGTGGAGGGTTCAGGGGAGCAAGAGCTGACGTGAGGCGATGCGGCTGATCATGGGGAACAGGTTTTCCCCTGCGGCCCATCTTGTTCGCCTCCGTGGAGCATGAAATGCTGGTTGTGATGGATTGGAGGTACACCGTCCTGGAGGCGGGAAACCTGGAGGCGCCATTTACTTGGTTGACCTCATTGCTCCTTTGTCCTTGTCTAGTAGTTAATTTTAACAATCGAGCAAAAGTCAAAAAAAAAAAGAAAAAAAAAGAAAAAAAAAAAAAGGGGGCCCCAACACTTTCATAATCGTGCTCCGTTCAGTGCAAGGTGATATGCTGTCAGGGTCAGGACTGTTGAGGGCCACCAGGTGCAGTACACATCCCGTGCAATGCCATGGGAATCAGATGAATATCCCAAATGTACCAGCTACTTTGTGCCAGCAGGTGTAATTTTACCACTCAGACTATTGCTGTCGACATTTCGAGAGCATTGGTCTGATGAATCGCTGATGTGACTAGCGGACGGACACTGGGCCCGCACAGGCAGTAACGCAGCAATGCAGTGGCCGCGGCCAAGAGGTGGCATGACTTGGGCCAGCGAATATAATGTTACCTTGACTGCAGCTTGGGTCCTGATGCCTACGTACAAGAGATAATGTGCGCATCTGGAGATCCCATCTCCATGCCCGACGCGGACGGGGTGGGACAGCGCCCGGGGGAGAAAAGGCGTCCAAGCTCTGGGGTCGGATGGAAACCACACCTGGGACAACGAGTCACCTCGTCTTTTACTCAATCTAGTCTACCTGTTATTTTGGCTCGGAGATGACGCCCTGTGATGTCTGCAACTCCTCGGCCGTCATGTCGTGATGCCCATCCCCAGGGATGAATGGCACTGTTGTTTTTTTTCCCCCGGGGTTACTTATTGGCAATTTTTGCTTATGCCGTGCAGTAGCTCGAGCTTCAGTGAGAGTCAAGTCAAAAGGAGGGCGGGATGGCAATCGACGGGCATGTCCCTTCGCGGGGCGGATTTCCATCCCTGGCTGTCTTGTCTTCTTGTCTGACGAGCCTTGGAGGGGCAACCGCCCACGGGCGTCAGGAATGCCACCCACATGATGGGGGAAGACAAGAGAAAGACAGGGACTGGCATGGTACGGTATACGGGCGTGACGGGGTCCCTACGATGGGGGGAAAGCGCTCATCCCCGCGCTCCCGCGCTTCCTTCCTTCCCTGTGCAACCCTCCTCTTGGCCGCTCCTCCGGGCGGGTGCATCCACACACACACACACCTTTTGTCCGTACCACTGCGGGAAGCAAGTCCATGTTAACAAGGCAGCAGCGAGGTCATTGTCTGTAGGCCCACGGGGGCAAGATCGCAGAGCCCAGGAGAACATGGGGCCGTCAGCTCGCGATTCGACCAGTCGGGATGCCGGGTGGTCATAAGCAAAAGACTGAGAGAAGAGTCCTGTCCTCGGCACGCCGCGTCGATCAATCCGGGGTTCGTCCACGGGCTGCACAGGGTGACAGGCAAGGCGTGACCACGGGACAGGGGAGAGCTGGCCCTAGGGCTCCCTTCCCTGTCTGGACTCTGTGGTGACCTCCTGGCTGTCCTCGGGCCCTGTTCACTCGGCTACAACCACGACACCGTCCCCCCTGTCTCCTGCCTGCGGCTCGACAATTCTTTTTAACTTCTGGTGAGCCTGAGCTGTGCTGTGCTGTGCTGTGCTGTGCTGTGCTGTGCTGTGCTGTGCTGTGCCTCAGCGGTGGTACCCCGAGGTTGTTCCCCGACCTTGGTTCTTGGTCGAGTCTACTTCTACGGGGCCGATGGGCGGACGAGAGCCAGCAGTCGAGGCAGGGCGACAAGGTTGGGCCTAAGGCGAGAGGACGAGTCGCGGATGCGACCGTTGCAATGACTACGACGCCCGTGGGGGAGGCAAGCGCAAGAGGGAAACGCCCGGGAGCACAAGAAGAGAAGGAGCCCTTTGGCTTTCCTTGGGGCGCGGGAAGGCTTGGGCAAGGTTTGCGGCCCAATCACTTATCAGGCCTGACTGCTGGTGGCCGCGGACGGGATGTCCTGTGACCTCGACTAGATCTCCCATGTGCCCGCCTTATTCCCGCGCTCCCCCAGCGATATCATGAGGTCAGGTCCATCGACCAAGACCAGAGCGAGCCGTCAAGCGTCTGCTTACTGTGTGAGAACGCGGACCAGACTACCTGGTCTTCTATTTTCAAGGAACTCCCGTTCCTTATTCCGCACCCAAGGGAACACGACAGTGGGCGTTCCTCGCTGGCTGCGTGGTACGCACGCGCACCCAAACGCCAACAGCCCGCGTTGCCTCGCCCAAGGTGACACTCGGAGTTCGCGGTGCAGTAGCGCCGCAACCATCTTGTCATGACGCCTCTGCAGCTGCAGGCCAGGGGGCAGGGCTGCGGCTGAGCAGAAGCAGAGCAGCGCCCGTTGACCGAGGGCCGTGCAGGTCTCTCATCTCTCTGATCTGTGATCTCTCGAGGCGGCGAGATGGGAGACGCAGGTCACTCGAGGGGATGCTGCTGGCCGTCGAGGGTGCGCCGAGCACACGTTACCGGGCGTGGGTCGGCCTGCAGGTGACCCTGCGCAGGCTGGTATCGCACCGCAGCGGCTCAGCGACCCAGAGTATGCCGTCGCTGGGGGTTGAGGCGATGGAACCCTCGGCTGCGTCGGACTGCACTCACCCCCTTCCCTCCCAGTGAAGAGGGCGGGTGCATTGTGCTGTCTGACTTGCATTATGGCGCGGAGACACACGGCTGGTAGTGCTGACAGCCTTCTCTGGCAAGGCATACGCTCCGAGCTATGTGTACGCGCCGGCTTACGATTACCATCCGGCTCGGCGGACGACCTGTTTTTTGAATAAGTGATCGACAGGCGCCCGTCTCATCGAGGCGGGTGAGGCCTAGCTCAACCCACCCCGTTCGACACCTTCGTCGGTTCGCGGGGTGCCCGCAGACCAGTGCCCTTCCACCGTCTGGTGTTGCAGCGCCGCCTAGGCGCATCTCAGCTCGCCTTCCATCGCTAGGTACCTACCAACATAACCTGGCTCGGGCCCATGGCCACTTGCTCGGTACCGGTACCTCTGGACCACATGTGAACAACCCGCCCTCCTGTCGGCACTGCCTGAGGCCCTCCCTGGGCCACTGGCCCGGACTACGCCGTTGCGCGAGGGGGGCGGCAACCCCCTTCACATGCCGGCGACTTTGCGGCGCGGGTGTCCCATTGTAAGACCCTCTGTCAGTTCCGCCGATGACGCTACCCTGGATGGCCGTTGGAACCTGCGGCCATGCGGCACCCAACTAAGCTCGGCGCCGGCAAGCGGGAGATAGGGGGGGAGGGGGGCCAACGGTACGACCGTTTCCCAGAGTTGCCTGGTTCCTCGTTGTCTGGGCAGTGAGCAAGATCACGAACGCGGGCAGGGGTTCTGCCTGGGACGCTGTGAGCGACCTGTTCATGCAGCCGCATATCAGCCCTGGCTTTTTGGTGGTGGCCCAAGTAGTGGTCAGATCTTAAGCTCACTGTTGGGGCCAATGGGGAGGTACTAATTACCAAGTCACGACGGCTTGGAGAAGATGGTACATTTTGCAATGTTGGATACTAGGGTCGTAAGGATAACCTGGATTCATTGCGCCTGCGTATTGTGCCCAGATGTGCCACAGGCATGTACACATCTAGGTAGTCATGATTATACGCTGTCTCCAGGAAGTTGTTGCCAGGTCTTATCGGGCGGTGAGTTCCCAAAGCCTCAATATTACTCAGAGAGTTGTGATTTTTTGGTGCCTCAGTGAAGGTTGGGCGTTTCATAACGCGAGAGAGAGAAAAGCACCGTGTCATAGCTGGCTTATGCCACTGGATCCTCGAAAATCTTGGGGCGAGTTGGACAGAACTGACAGCTGAAGTCGCAATGACGAGGGCTGACTACCAGCCCTGGGGAATGATTTTCAAGAATTGCGGTTTCTAAAGTGGACTTCACTGCTCTTCTTCTGTGGGTGTACTCGCACTATTCATGGCTGAACTGACAGATGGCTTGCCCTGAATCGAATTACGAGTGATTATGCAAAGCGACTGGGCTCATGTATAGGTCGTTTTACTCAAAGGTAGCTTCTTCCAAACAGCAACATGGAACCAAAAGTGCCGACTCTGGCAGAAAATATCTAAGCCTATCACTTCGTTGTATATGTTGTCTAGCAACAAGACAGGTGCAACGCTCGTAGCAATGGTCTTAAAATCCAGCAGTACCCCAAGCACAGAGAATAATGTTATTTCAACACATGTTGCTCGACGAGAAACACCTGACATGAAGTTCGCCAAACCAAAGGAAAGTTCCCACTTTGCTTCAACCCCTTCCCACAAGATACTATTCAGAACATTGCACACTTGTTACACATGAAATCAACTTCACATGATCGTGGATTAAGTAGCCTCGGTCCGATTTGTTTGACTGTCACACAAGTCGCAAACAGTTTAGTCAGTGGCTCCGTAATAAATAGCACTTGACAAAGCACAGCAGCCGGTGCGTGCTTGATCTCTAAACATCCTAGCCAAGGCTGTCGTGCCACCATGCAAAAGACTCCGAATGGGGCAGGCGCTACAAAAGCCCAGGCTCGTCATCGATGGGCCGCACGAGTCCCGGAAAAACGAAGTGGCTGTTCGCGCAGTGTAACCGAAGACTGCGTCGAACAAAAAAGAAATGCCCAGACATACACTCGTGTGATTCGGGGGGTGGCTGGCTCCAGGGGGCCGACAATTTCCCACAAGCCAGTTTGAGGACTTTTACGTTACGTCTGCCGCGGCCAATGGAGAAAGGGGGAACTGAGACACTTGATTTCGTCGTGCGGCTGCTTGCATCTCGATGCGTGTCACAGCTCGGGGGTACTTTTGGTAGCGCCGGCTTCCTTGTGTTTCTATAAACTAGCTCTTTAGATAGAATTTCTCGCCGCAAGACTCGAGGAGGTGGCTGGCCAAGCCGCACTTGAGCAGGTGCAGGTTGGGATTGTCATACTTTGTAGATCGATCAGCCTCTCGCCAGGCCTGCTCCGACTCACATGCTAGCTTGAGACCACGTGGAATGTTCGCGTGGTCTTCTCAAAGGGAGTGGTAGAGATATTCAGTATCCGCATCGAAGTGCTCAAGTGAGTCTTTGTATCTGCGTCATAACGCAGAGCAAACTGTATCTGCGTTGTTGTGTGGTCCAGGGACATATCAATTTTTGCTGTGAGGAAAGCTTAGGTGGAATCTAGTGCTGCGTTTGGAATTCAACTGCATGTTCAATGAGTGGATTGTCATCTATCATAGAGCGTAAAAGTGTTGGACCGAAGAGTCGATGTCAACAGTCAATCGCGCCTGGAAAATTGATGAACCATGTTCCACCAGGGACTAATTAATACCTCTTCTATTTGCAAGGTGACTCGTGTTCTCGAGCTAAAGAGAATAGAGAGGTATTATCTGGAAGACAGAAGAGCAAGCTTTCTGATCGAGAAAACCCTGGAGCGGCTGGTTGACCATCTTTTGTTGCTTGCATCATAACCTTGATCATCTGTGATTCTTGTAGCTAGTCGTGATAATTCAATGCCCCGCGCTTCCTTTCTTCTCCAAGGACCAAGACTCTAGCTACACGGGCTTGAAAATACACAGGTTGCCCTGTCCAAGAAACCAATGTCACAAAGACTTTCTCCTCTCGTCTCTACTGTAGCATCTTGAAGCCCCCATTGATTTGTCTCCTCTCTGAGGCCGTCTCTGTCACTCGAAAGTGGCGTTTAGTTGATGCCCCAATGGGGTTGTCATTCTCTAAAGGGGCAAGACGAAAAGTTGATACCAAGCCACTTAGACGAGTAGACATATTGTGCGCTGAGTCTCACCGTAAAATCGGGGTTCTGAAGTTCTGGGTGTCAAGTCTCCTCCCGGTGACCGGTCCTTGGATCAGACCTTCTAGATTCCACGACCAAGCCACAATGGCTCCCGACACACAACCGAAGACTGGAGACTTCTGTCCAAAGGCTTTAGGCACAAATAATTTGCGCTTCTCGAACTTCGGGCCCTGAAAGACTGACAGAAGTGAGGACCGCTCGTTCAGAGATGTACGCAGGTGCTTTGACGGTGATCGGGGGGAGGAAGACGGGGACCGGGGTCGAGTGAGGCAGGAACGAGGAATGAATGCAAAAGAGGAGACATTAATGGATAGAGGTGAGAAGGGTTGCCCAAATGGAACTTGAGAGTGTTAGCATGGAGTGGTACCAGGGTTGGTGGGTATCATTGAGATTGATTCTGCTTTGATAGAGCTCGACAACGAGGCTTTCGATGATGTTGCAAGTCGGATCGACCGACCTTGACTACAATTCAGCTCAATATCTATATCCGAACGAAGGAAGGAAGCTCATGTCGAGGTTGAAACATCCAACTGAAAATATCACGACCGAGCTAGGCCGGAGTCGAGGAGTTGAGGAGACGGAATACCTCGCCCTCCGGCGAAAAAGTCATTGAACAAAATGAATTCGTCACATAACTAAGATGTACAACAAGTCAAGGCTCAAGAAATCAAGCCCGCAGTCCCTCCCCCAAAATGATTACCCAAGTCTATGCGTTTTTGCCCGTCGCAACCCCCAGTAACACAAAGTCTATAAGCCCGCCTGACGCCTGATCGAAAAAAGCCACCAGACTTTGGGATATCAAGCACATGTATTACACTGCATCACACGCCGGGACAACTGAAGCCCGAACTTAATGGGGGTCTCTTCCCCCAAATGTCATTACTCTCGGGACACATCACGTCCAAAGACCTTGGACTTTGCCCAGTCGTTTATGACTAGGAGACGGTTTCGAGCTGAATCATTCAAGTCAGTAGATGATCATGATCACCGATCGGGGGTCGGGCACTTACTGCTGAAGCACATCGAGAGATACGCGCTCCTCCAGAACAAGTACGTCCAGGTACCACCAGAGGCAACATTGCCATTAAACCAAGCAACATCCGCGACCGCCTTCTCACTGCCAATGTAGGCCAAGCTGCCCTGGTGTGAGTAGTGGAAGGGCTTGATGTCCTTGATGCGGCGGAGCTGCCTCTCGTACTCCTCGATCTGCTTCGACGAGTCGGCCGAGTTGCCCGGCTTGAGGTTCAGCGACGACGAGAGCTCGCGGATGTTGCTCTCCAGCTCCTCCGTCCTAGCCATGTTGTTAAACAGCTTAGCCAGGAAGGCGCCCTCCTGTGAGGCGACCTGGGCGGTGGGCGCGTATCCGGCGACAGCACAGTCCGACGGCCCAGATGTCACGGGCTCCCTGAACGACGAGGTACTCGTTGACGGCAAGACCACGGCGGGAATCCTTCTGAGCGGTGATGCTTGTCATCAGGTTCTTGACGATGGGGCGGACGGCGTTGCCCGTGGCCCAGACCAGTAGACCGTAGGGGAACCGGATGAGCTGCTTCTTGCCATCAGGGCCCACTGCCTCGGCCTCAACGTACGTGTCGGTGACGTTCTTGACCATGGTCTTAGTCCTGATGTCGATCTTTTCCTCCGCGAAGGTGCTCTCGGTGTACTCGATCAGCTGCTTGGAGAACGAGGGCAGGACGTTGGGCAGGGCCTCGATCAGGGTCACCTTGAAACGGTCGCTGATGTCCGGAATGAGACGCTTGATGTCCTCCTCGAAAAAGTCCTGCAGCTCGCCAGCGAACTCGACACCGGTTGGACCTCCGCCCACAACAACCATGTGAAGGAGCCTGTTGATCTCCTCCGGGGTCTGGTCCTTGAACGCAGCCGTCTCGACGCAGTCCATGATCTTCTTGCGGATCTGTTGGGCGTCCCCAATCTCCTTGAGGAAGCACGAGTTCTCACGAACACCGGGGATTCCGAAGGTGGCGTTCTCAGCACCGACACCAACCACCAGCATGTCGTAGGGGACCTCGGTCTCGGTGACAGCGCCCTTGACCTCAGAATCATCCTTGATCTTGACAACCTTGCGCTCGGGGTCGATCGAGTGGGCCTCGGCTTCGTAGTATTTAACACTGGCCTTCTTGGATTGGAGGATCGTGCGCACCGGCTCCATGATGGAGCGGTGCTCGATAGTACCCGTGGTACATGAGGGGAGCAGCGGTGTGAAGAGGAAGTAGTTTCGGGGTGAAATGACGACGACGTTGTAGTTCTCGGTGTCGAGCTTCTTGAGGAGAGCAACAGATCCCCAGCCGGTGCCTGAACAAGCGCGGGAGCGACAGGATTAGCGATGCACGGCGCGGGCCATTGACGGAGCCATGGCAGGATGGAGCTTACCCAGGATCACGAGCGTCTTCTTGGAGGGGTCAGGAGTGACCTGAGGCTCGGGGTGCCTGATATCCCAGACCTCGTAGCTGACATAGGCCAGGGTGCCGAGAACGGAGAGGTAGAACAGGCGCCATGTCCACTTGAAGGTCCTCCTAATCTTTCCAGGCTTCTTGGGCGGAGGAGCAGACGACTCAGAGTACTGCCTTTGGAACTGACGAGCGATGGGCCGTATGCTGCCAGCAGCAAGAGGCCGGCTGGAGGGTGTGGTGGCCAGGGAACGAGCCGAGGAAGCGAGGATGCGCGATGCGACAGCGTGCTGCTGCATGCGGGCGACGCCGAATTGTCGGGTCGCGAGCTTGTTCAGCGCCAGAGCTCGCGAAGAGGAAGCCATGGCTTCGAATCTAGGAGAGAGCGAGGCAATTGCCGGGCTTTAGGGTTCTAGGAATGCTGTTCTAGACGAACTATAGGGAATTGGTCTGGGAATCTAGGAATCTAGGTGGCTGCTGAGCGGATGAAAAGCAAAGGAATGGGAAGTGGTGGGGGCGGAGGTTGACTCCTGCTGAGGGCTGAAAGCGCGTTTTTTCTCCCAGCTTATCCGATAAGATGGAGCTGTGCCTAGCTTTCTGACCTGGCTGCGGCCGTCAGTCACCCATCATTTATCTATCTAGTCCATCGATTTTTTCAAACTCTTGACACTGCTACATACACCATGTACAGCAAGCCCCAGTTCCCACGGGCATCAGCAAGGAAAACAGGCCTGTCAAGCACGTGCGCTTCTAAACAGCCATTCGCCCGGAATCCTCACAGTCCACCCGAGCGAGTCATTTTCCGACCGAGGGCTGCGCGGTGTTGGCCCTTTGTCCCACGAGACCATCGAACGCAGAGAGGATTGAGCATTTGTCCGTCTGACCTTTGAACCAGTAAGATAAGCATGAGATAAGATTAGCGAGACCTCGACGCAGTCGGCCTACTGTACTTTTGGTGGGTTGTGGCTCAAGAATGACGCATGCGAGAGACACACACAGAGACAGCGACCCAGAGCTCTGGTATCTGGCCCACCCGAGGCACGCGCTTACGGACTCTCGGCTTCTCCTTGTCATCACCGCAGCGGATCTCATCTCGAACATGTGTCAGACACTGACTCCATCGGCCTGGCTTGCGGGTGTGATATTCGCCATATGATCCTCTGACCCTAATTCAGCAGTCCTCTTCTCGGCTTTCCGCCGGGTCTTCTCGGTAACCTGCTCCGACTGCGTACCCACAGTTCCGGCATGCAGCGACCGGAGGCGTTCGGGCGTTCATCGGCAAATTGTGGGGCTGCCTCTGAATGCCAAGCATCAGAAGAACCTGATCTGTCAGGTCGACAGGTGCACATAGCGTCTCTGGCGATAATTTAGAGATCAGCCACTCTGCTATATTGGGCATGACTGCGTACGCCCTGTATGATTCTGATCTTGCTTCAGTAAGGGGAAGGGATACCAATGGCTGTAATTGGGGCTGCGAGACTGATGCAACTGCTTCGGGGAGAGCGTCCGCGGCTCTCGACAAAGAGCTTGAGTGGCGTGATGCTCAGCGAGCCAATTTCACTGAAGGACATGAGAAATGAGAGCCTCAGCATGGTATCATGTCATTTCCCATGCTTTGATGATACTCTTCCAGTAAGGCATTGTCTGCTCTCTCTTTGGACACACTGGGATGAACACTGAACGGGTGTGCACCACGAGTCGGAATCTATACACGTAATGGAACATCTCAGCCAAGCGGATCAGCTGCTACTTAATGAGAATATTACTGGCGTGTGACCAGCGGGCTGGATGCTGGATCCCAAAGCGGTTCGTATAGCTTTCCTAACCTGTACCAGTTGCCCGGGTTTCTGCTCAACTCAAGCCGTGTGTATGTTAACATGCAGGCCCTTCCCTTAACCTGTTCCAGGCCCACAATTGCAGTCGCCGGTGTCTAGACCACGATCTGTTCGAGATTGAAGACCTCTGATGCACGTTGATGCAGAAGGGAAAAAAGTAGTACGCAAGCCTCTCAGAAGGACTCCACATCCACCGGGCCCACCATTATGCCGATTTCTTCTAGTCCAGTTGTTCCGCTGCGGCTGAGCAGAGCCCCTTTTGGGTATGAAGGACGGCCTATAGCAGACAAGCCTTATGGGATGCCTCCTGCTTCTCTGGTAGAGCATCACATAGATCAAGGACCAGTGTAAGACGTGCGTGTACTGAAGACTGAGGAAGAGGACCTTGGTGCTGGCAATGTACAGCCCGGCAGTCAGAGGTCAGCGATAGCAACTTGGAAATATGGATCATCTGGAATCTCTGTCCATGCCTATCAGACGAGACACGAGAAGCGAACCAAGGCATAAGGAACGGTGGCATCTGCCCGGCAATTCCGACCTGGAGTTGAAAGGTTCCAGAATAACGGCAGCATTAACAAGCCGGCACATATGCGCACGCCCAAAAGTCTTGCACTGAGGACCCTCCCTTTTGACAGCACCTGCTGCATCTGGCCGATCGCCAGAGCATGAAGTGCCAAAGCTTAGACCTCACTGGCGCTGGTGGGTGCAGGGAATGCTACGAAGCTTCTTGGTCGGGGAAAAAGAGCACGTTTGCCCTTGTCCTTGTCTGGGCACGGAATATTCTCTGGAACCTGCAGGACACGGATGGGCATACGAGGAGCCTGCGGATCTCACTCTTTACGCGACGATTAACCGACGATCTTGTGCATAGGCACGTGCGACGTCTCCCCAAGTGTTTTGGGGGTTGCCGTCGAGAGTGCTCTAGATAACCCGAATGAATGCCACAAGCCGGTATCTTCACTTGATGGTCTGCCGTGGCTCCCCCCTCTCGCGGTCAGCATGGATCCTGGCCAGGACTCATGGACCCACAGAGCTGGCCAAGACCGCCTCGCCAAGGTCCAAGATGTGTTAATCAAATTGGTTTCCCTAGAGCGGGCCCCGAAGGGAATCGGTCGTTTCGACGATGGACTAAGCTGATCAGAAATATCCGCTTGCTTGGAAGAAAGGACCGGGCGGGTACTGAAGGACGACAAGAACTGTAATAAAGGTTCGGATCAACAAGCGTTTCTCGGCGCCCAGGAATTGACAATTGTTACGGGGGTAGTGTCGGCAAGCGATGGAAAAAGTGCCGTCGCCGTGTCCCACTGCTTGCCCAGACCAGGTGACATGCGGCTCGATAGCCGGTGGAACAAAGTGTGATAATATAGCCTTGGGAGTGCGATATGCCGGGCCAAACAGCGGCGGCGTGCGACTGGTCACAGAAGCTTTTATGACTTGGCCTCGAGATATTGAATCGGCCGCTGGGATGCTGACAAGGCCGCCAAGGTTTGATGAACTAACAGTCAACGGGATGTTCAGGCGCAGAGCGGGCAGGACGACATTGAAACAACCAAGACGTGGCGATGGTACAGTGACCCTCAAGAGTGAAATGACAAGCCAAAACACAAGCAATTAAGCATCTCGTACCCGAAAGCCGCAGGCCCAGGGTAGACTTGGCTCGTCGGGATGATGACGAGCACGCCCAATTTCGGGGATAGCTTCTGAGTGTGGTCTTGGACAGCGACACAGCCTAAGCAGACCCTCGGCTCGTTGGCTCGCTTGCTGGGCTGCTGGCGAGACTCACATGCGAGATGGGCTGGTCAGGAGAAGGCCTGGACCTCTGGAGGTGAGGCTGACCGTCGCGCTGTTGACTTACAACAAAGTTTCCGGATCCGGCCCTGCGCGAGAGCGGATGAATGGGCCGTGGAACTTCGTCCGAAAAATGTCTTGGCCTCACCAATGTAAGGGGTATAGGGGCGAGGGGGGTGGTCGAGCAAGTTCCAGGCAAGGGTGACGGTGGAGAAGGGAGCTGGAGGGACTACACTACCTGCCTACTGTGGTAGGTACCTAGCAGCACCTAGTGACGAAGAAGACACAATCGAAGAGGCGTGAAGAGGAGCACACCGTGCAGAGGCGCATAGAAGCAGAGAAGACGTCAGTCCAGCTGGTGCAGAACTTGGTGCAATACGTATTGATCCTCTGACAGCGCTAGGCCAAGGACGGCTAGGCGCCTCCCGGGACGCCCTGTCCTGAAACCTGTCTTGCCCGTCCCTGAGACACTTGCCCGCTCCACTCCGTTCCGTAACAGCAGCCGCAACTCGACCTCACCTCAACTCGCCCGCCATTTGGGCACGGCAAGCAACGCGCTTGCCTGCGCCTGCTTGTGCCAGCCTGGCCCTGCCCTGCGCTGCCCTGCCCCACTCCAATCCTCGTCGCTTCACTTCACCTCACGTCCGTCCGCCCCCCGTGCTGTGCTGCCCTGTGTTTGAGGAGCACCGCGCCCTCCCACCTCGACCACCGGCGGCTATCAGTGCGTTGCCCACCCACCCCTACCTAGTAGCTACCGTCCGGTATGCGCGCCCACGACTGAAGCATCACCCGCAGTCACAGGAGCGCCATGTTTGCTCGTGTTTATGCCCATGTGCCCATGTGGGTGTGTGGGTGTGTGTGAGTGTGTAGGCTTGGGCGTCGTCCGTCTGACGTTCCAGGGACCATTGCATGGCATCGCATCGCGTCCCATCGCATCGCAGCATCCCATCGCAGCGCATCAGCTCCAGCTTCAGCTTCGACACGTGCTGTGTGATATTGTGCCTGCTATGCTGTGTGTTATGGCCTCGCCTGACCAGAACAGCAGTCGCAGTCAGTTGCTGCCGCATTGCCGCCACATGCCCCCTTGACGGACCTTGCCACCTATTACATGCTGCTTGCTATGTCTAACTTGCTACAAGTCTGCTACCGAACCGAGGTTTTCGACTCAGCGCGACCACTCTGCGCAAATGGTACGCCTAACTCGATCTGGATGTCCAGCGCGGCGCGGCAGCGGCTTCGCTCCATCCGTTGCGTCTCGGGCATGTGGGCGCGCCCTCGAACAAGCCTGCCTGGCCTGTGCTGTGCTGTGCTGTGCTGTGCTGTGCTGTGCACCGCCCAGGTAGTACAATCCACAGCACAAGTATCCTCTCTGTCCTCGACGTCCAGCTGTTTGGCCCACAGCGGCTGAACCAGAGGCTCAGCCAAGGCAGCCCTGGCCGTGGGCTGGCGGCAGATCCATCGTGGTGGGTGCTACCCACTTGCTCCCAGAGAGAGATCTCGCCGATGGGTGGGAATGGCGTCAGCCTCTCCCGTCAGATAGATTCGCTTCGTCGGTCCTCTCTTGGTTCGTCTTGCACTGGCCCCGGGTCAATGCACAAAGCCCGCCATCGACAACCCCTGAGGATCCATCCGTGAGGCTCGTTTGGGATCTCCCCCAAAGCGTAAGGCCCCAAACCCTCTTGCAGGACAATCCCTCCCTCGAGTCAGGCCGCCCATCCCTGGGTCTTTCGGCTCATTCGTCCATCCCCGAGCCCCCTCCCGCTGCTGCCCTTGCATCGCCCACGCGGCGGGTAAATCTATCCCTCCCTTCCCCAGTCTGATACCCTTCTGTCACCAAGCTTCTCTGTCTTGGAAGTCTCACTTCTATCCAGCCTGCACACTCTCTCCACCTTTCCTTTCTTCTCCAGGGCTGGCCTCTGTCACTTTCTTTACACCCTTCCCAGCGCTTCTCGGACGCCTCCCCTTTCACTCGCCTACATGTCCTCGTGACGATTGACTAATCTACGAATTCCCTTCATTTTCTTGCTGACTTGCTATCACGACGCCGGCGTTGGGAAAAGTTGACATGGTCGCTTGAACACGCCTGGGCACGCTTGAGCACGCTTGAGCACATGGGCTGTGCCATAACCGCATAGGGGATCGCCAGCGGTGACGGTCAGGATGCTAAAAGTGGACGAAATGGCCCCCGTAATGGATATACGACAGGAAGACAAGGAAGTCCGAGCAGGTCTGCGGCGGAAATACTTGCGGCAGCGACTGGCGCGGATCGACACCCCGCAGAGAGATCCACGACGTGACCTCACCGTGGTAACCAGTGGACGGAATCTTCGCAGGCAGGATGTGGTCGAAGTCGAGGACGAGGACGACAGTGACGAGGAGGAGGCAGGGAAAGCTCGTGAAGGCACCAAGAACAGGCAGGGCAAGGATTCGGACTCCGACGACGACGACGACGAGCATCACAATAAACAGCCTGTGGCGACACTCGCACTGCCTCCGCCGGACTCTCCCTCGCCGACCGTACAGTCGTTCCCTCCTCTGCAGCTGGCGCCCTCAACCTCCACGTCTTTGATGGCTCCTGCAACCCACACAACGCCCGCGACGCCGCCTACTCCAACCTTTCCAGTTCTCCCGCCGCCACCTCCAGCCGTTATCACTATGCCGCCGACCACTGTTGTAATGACTTCCACTATTGTGGCCACGCCAAAACCGTCCGCCAACGCCCCTGTCGTCAACAACCCTCAAGTCGAACCTCCGCCCTGGACAACGTCTTCGTCGATCTCCCTGATGACTACTCAGCCGCTCTCGCTCGTGTCGTCGATCTCGGTCAGCTCCCAGCCCAGGAAAGGAGTTGGAAACCCGGAAACAATATCGTCTCCAACCTCCTCGCCAACGTCCACCGAGACTTCCACCCAGACTACACCATTCGCCTTCGAGAAGAGTACGCCCACACCAACCGTCTCTCTCGAAGATGTGAAATATGGCAACGACGGCGGCCGTGATCGGGATCAGGGGCCGCCTCCGCGAGGACTGGACACCACTGCTGAGCACGCACTCATCTCAGCGGGATCGATTGGTAAGTTTGATGCCCGGATTGCGACATCTAAACGACCTCTTCCTGGCTAACATGTAACTAGGTGGGTTCATCATCGTCTGCTTTATTTGCTGGATGGCATGGCGCATGGTCAAAAAGTCCAAGGCCAAGGATAATGGCTCCTACGGCAATCAGCCGCCACCGAACCAGCTCCTCGCCAAGGTCCCATACTTTGGTCGCGGGCAGCGAGTTTGGCAAGAGATGGATGACGGCCCAAATGATATGCGCAGTGCACCACCACATTACGAGAAGACCAACTCAATGGGACAAATCTCGGAGATCTACTCCATGTATGACCCGAGGTCGCAGACGCAGTCGATGGCAAAGCAAGGGCCACTGGTATTGCCTCAGCTGCAAACCAACTTCTCCCCTTCCAGCAACTTCAACAACAACCCATTCTCTGCGACATCTGGTTCCATGCAGAATCCCCGAAGTGCTTCGAGTCCATTGCACATGCAGACAGCCTCGCCTCAGTCCCAAATGAGCCAGCAGCCCCTCGCAAATATGCCCCCGCAGCTTCAACCAGGTTTCTCCCCGGCCAGCAACTTCAATCCATTCATGGGAAACCCATCCGCAGATGGATCCAACACTATGAGCCCGAATGGCACACTCCAGTATGGGTCATTGCAGACTACCGGAACAATGCAGAGTGTTGGAACCACACAAGCAATGGGAACGATGCAGACGGTTGCGTCGACCACTACGGATCGGTCGCGTATGCAAGATCCGTTCTTCAACCAGTCTGAGCTCGCCCGACAACCCTCTGACGCGTACGACCCGAACAGACGTCAAGTTTACCGCGCGTCGGAGCTGTCGTCCTTGTCCTCAGGTTTTGGCGACGAAGACATCATCGTTCCTGCTCCCGCCGCCACGCGGCAGCCCGGTGTTCCAGGCGCTTCCCGTCTCAGCTACCAGCAAACACCCAGCGTCAGCCGGAAGAACAGTGTCGCCAATGTCAGCGAGGCTGGAAACAGCAACCGCGATACAGTTTACACTACGACAAGCGAGGACATGCCTCCAAGGTTTAGAACTGTCAACAGCTGGGTGAACCAACAGACGGGACGGGTCCGTAGGGCCGAGCAGAGGGCCAACGAAGACATCCCGCCCGTGCCTACGATGCCGGCGGAGGAGAGATACACAATGATGATGGATGACGAGGAGCCCAGGCGACCAGATACGGCTGCGGCCCCTGTACCAGACCTCCCTGCAGAGTTCAAAGAGACGAAGCCATGAGGAACACATGGCAAGCCGTGGCTTCTCATGCGAGCCTTGAGCCCATGGCAATATCATCGCTGATCACTGCTTTTTGGATATGACTCGCGGCTGATATGAAGATACCAGAGGCCCTTTGAAGAGCTTCACTATATTTTTCTATGATAGTACTACCTACTCACTGTACATATCTGCCTTGATGGATTCACGATTACATCTCACTCTGTTGCTACCACCCCGCTTCAGCCCCAGCCTGGTGCTGTGACTGGATACCGGAGAGGTTCACGACAGGTGAGTTGCGGATTCATCTTCTGTATACATACGATATGAGAATGCGCCTCAATAGATGAGGGAAGTTGGAATCATGGCATGTCGGCGAGCAAGGTGTTCTGGAATTTCGCAGGGCCAACTAAAAAGGAGGGGCAGGGGGGTGGAAGCGCGCCAAGCAGGTGAAATACATAACTCAAATAGTAATTTGGAAATGAAACATGATGAAATAGTGGTGTATTCTCGTGCACATCGTGCGGCCGCTATGCCACCAAATTGACGTCCTGTAGCATTCGGTTCAACATCGAGGCCTCGCGAGAGCCCGAAGAGGGCGTCGGTGGAAGGGCTGAAACCCAATGGCAACGGCCGAATGAACGCGTAGAGGTGGTTGCGAGTTGAGCGGCGGTGTATTATAGCATTTGGAATCACAGCCCCAGCTTCACCAGGGGGTACGACATTCTGGGCTCAGAGTGATGGCTGAGCCTCAGCGTGCCAGCTAACACAACAATAAGCGTGATACAGAGGCATGAAGAGACTAGCCGCTGATCGTCAACCGTCCCTGTGGACGACATGCGGAGTGTAGGATGAAATTGGAAAGACAGCCGTCAGTGACATGGGGGATTTTGCTTCTCCGCAGAGAAGCAACACATAATTGTTGACCGTTTCGAAAAAGAAGGCTCGTGTTGGACAAAGGCAGGGGGAAACTCGCCTCCCACACAAAAGCGTATGCTTTTTCTCCCTGCCTCCTCCACCCACGAACTACGCCCCGTCCAATCCCCAGCGCCCACCGAGCCTTAGCCCGTCCGCATCGTGAGTTGTCAAAAGCCACCCCCCGTCAAAGCAATTTATTTTTCCCTGACTTTCCGGGCTTCCCCGCCTCGCCATTGCTCCCAGCGCATTTCTCCATCAGAAACTTCGCACACCTTGCTTGAGCAGGGTCCGCGGGGAGGGCGGGGAGTTGTGATGAGTCGGTTTCTCACCCCCTTCAGTTCTTGTCGGCGCGGCGAGAGCTCCCATCCGCGATGACGACAGCAGACTTCTTGCCGCCGTGCTTCTCCTTGCCCTTGTCCTTGTCCTTGCCCTTGGACGATGGTGACGGCGACGAGCAGAGGGAGGAGGCCTCCGCGCCCGAGAAGCCCCCGCCCACCACGAGCGGCATCCCCTTGCTCGCAGAGGACAAAGTCGAGGAGGAGGAAGAGGCCTTCTTGTCGCCCCTGTCGGGCCCCCTCTCCCTCTCTCTGTCCCTGCGATCGGACCTCCTCCCCTCGTCCCTCCTGACGCTGGAGCTGTGGTGCCTGCCGCTCCGGTGCCCATGGCCGTGGCCCCTCGTCGGCGGGGTGGCGACGGCGCCGCAGCCGCCGACCCCGACGGCCTCGCCCTCCTTCAGCAGCCGCACCTGCAGCTTCCTCCCCTTGAAGTCGACCCCGTGCAGCCTGACCACCATCCTCCGGGCGAGGTCCGCGCTGCGGAAGTGCGCGAGGGCGTAGCCGCGCGGGCTGCCCTCCTTGTCGAGCGGCACCTCCACGAGGTTGATCATAGACGCCTCGCGGCCTGCCGCCTCGCAAATCATCCTGCGGACCTGCTCCTCCGAGGCGCGGCGCGAAAGCTCGCGTATGTGGATGCCGCGCTGCTCGGTGAAGACGACGCCGCCGCTCGTTGCCGCGGCCCCGCCCATTGTCATGTCGGCCATCTGGTTGGTGAGGACTGCCATGCTGTGCGGTGGAGGAGGTGGCGGCGGCGGGTAGTATTCGCTGTAGGGCTGAATCGGTTGCACCGCGTACGAGGCCGACTGGTTGTACAACGCTGGCTGTCGATCCGGTGCGGCCTGATAGCCGTAGAAGGGTTGCTGAGCTTCCACGCCCGAGCCGTAGTAGCCGTACGTCGTCGTCGGCACGCTCGGCTGCGGGTAGGCCGCCGTGAGGACATCGCAGCTCGGCATCATGGCGCCGTGTGAAAACGAGGCGCCAGGGCTTGTCATGTAGCTGGACGGCGACATGGGCATGGAGAAGCTTCCACCGTCCTGTACAAAACACGTTGGCATCAGCGCCTGAGCAGCCGGCACATGAAAGTGGCAGTGGTTCTGCAAAGGGCCATGATCGTTTTGTGGGAGTGAATGCAAATGGTACAAAGACGCGGGTAGATCCAAACGCACCTGACCGTACGCCGAGCTTGCCGTGGACGTGGGAGAAGAGATCCCAATCGTGCTCGGATAGGACACTGGGCCTCCTGCAAACAGCGAAGTTTCAGACGCGGACTCGACAGCTGATTTCGGGCTGCTGCTGGCTGGGCGGTTGGCTGGTCCGCCTGCGCTCAAATCACGTACTTTGAGTGGCCTGTCCGCGTTCCTGTCGTCCGCTATGACGGCCCGGCCCTTGAACTCTTTGCCATTCAGTAGCTCTGCGATCCCCCTGTTGTCAGACGCGGTGAAAGTCACGAGATCGTGCATGTCGTCTCGTACAAATGAGAGGGGGTTACCGTACCAAACGCTGCCCTGAAATGCTCAAACCCCTTCACTCTGACCCATCCAGATGTACTCTTCGGGAAGATTTCCACGTGGTCTACCGCGCAAACTTGTCTCACATGATCCTTTACTTCCTGCCATGATACGTTGAATGGAAGCTGAAAGGTTCCGGTCAGCGCACCCTTCTCGGCCGAGTTGCTATATGTCGACTTCTCAATAGTCTCTGAAGGTCTCACACACGTTTGATATTGGGATATAGTAAGTGCCCGTTTGATTTCCTGGTGGAACCACATCTCTGGGTATTTCGTAGTCTGGAACTGTCATAGCTGCTGTCTCGGGATGCCACAGGGCGAATCACTCAGATGGCAGCGAGAGACCTTGAGGAAGGACGCACAAAAGGCAGGCAACCGGTGGTACAATAGTAATAGCTGGAAGCAATTCAGCCAACGAAAAGGTAGCACACAATGGAGACTATATGTCTGTGATGCAGGCAGGAATCGTGCGTCTTCTGGCCCCAGAGCAGACCTGGGGGGAGATGAAGGGGTATCCATGTTTATATTCACATAATACCATGCAATCAACTTCACCAAGGCGACCCCAGATTGAGCACGCATGCAGTAGGGCACAGTCTGCGGCTCAACCTGTCAACATTCGACTCTGCCGTGAGTTCTTGCGCCCAGTCGTGTCATCTCCCGAGCTATGGCTATCTCGGCTACTGCCTCGTGCATCTGCGTGGCACCCAGGCGCAGCCAGCAGGTAGTATTTGATGTGCTGTTTGCCTGTGCTTCTGGATGTAAGGATAGGGGCACCCAGAGGCATGTCATCCAGACCATTGGCTCCGGATGCCCTCTCCGGCATCCGGGCTTGATACTATGGGCTCGAAGATCGGGCCGGCGGCCAAACGTCCAGGCAGGTCACAGCCCGGACGCATGGTCGCTGCAGGCGCGACCGCCACTTGAAGGGTCTGGTTTGCCGGAATGCAGCCATAATTTCACGGAGCAAACAATGTGGAGGACTTTTCCTCGCCTGCATTTCGCGTATGTATCAGACATGGATGCAGGCGCGGCGTAGCGTCTGAGTTGTTCCTGAACCTGGTTTCCGGATTCCCTTTACTGTGGTAGACGTTTGCGTAGGCGGCTCAATGTGGGGGGATGGGACAATGGCAAAGGCCCTTGCCATCCCCCATCTCCTCACGGGCAGCATCTGCGGGCATGAGCGATTGTGGCCAATCGAATGCGGTAGCTGTTCCAGATGCAAGCCACGACACCAGTGACAGCTGACAGCTCGTGTCTCGGATTGGAGCGTCCTCGCTGCTGTAGTCCTTGTGTAGCACGGCCGGTAAGAAAAGGACTGTCTCATTCGTTCTTGGTAGATGGGACACCTGGCATTTGATTTGACCGGCTTCCTGGACAGGATGCAGTTTGCTAATTTTGCGACTGGATACAGACCCGGTAGGGCTGTCAGAGGGTCGAGGTTGTCTGCCCTTTTGGAACAGATGATGCAGGACGGCCTCCCTCGTCACCCCAGCGAAGCTCAGTACGAGACGCCGGAGAAACACAGCTGGTGGTTGTACCAATCCGTCGCCTCCGGCCTGTCATATGCGCCCAGTATCCTGCATACAACCGAGATCCAATGGATGCTAGTGAGTGGGTCCCGCGTTGTTACGGCTGAGCAGCATGTCTGAGATGCATGCTTGATCATTGGGAGAAAAAATAACGTCGAATGGCTGAGTACAGAATCTGGTGGCTTGCGGTTTGCTTTTTTTTGGAGCTAGGAATTCGTTCAGATATCCGCGGACGAGCTAGACCATTTGGAGAACAACCGAGATATTGAAGCCGACCTGCAGGTATTATTTTTGTACTCGAATCAGTAGAGCGACGGACAAGTTCGGAGTGCCAGGTCCGAGGCAGGTGATCGCGTTACGGTCTATCGCGTTGAGGTGTACGGGCTGGTTGAGACAACTATCTGAGACCGCATCGTGATCACGTTCTTTTGAAACAGAAGGTGTCATCAAGCTCGCTGATTTCCCCTTCAGACGAATTGTCAATGTGTGCAGCTGTGACACGTGGAGAATTCCCGTTCAGCAGTCCACTTTGCTGGTCGCCAGCAATCCATGGGAGGGATTCGTCATCGTCATCCGCCAGAGAAGCCAGCATGTATTGGCTGCTGTCCGAAGCAAACAAAGCGCCTGGCTCCAGCCCGTCAATTTGTAGCCAGACGACCTGCACTTTGCCGTTTGAGAGTTGGCCAGCGAAGTCGATCGGTCTTGGGCCCTCGGACAGAGGATCCCACGTGAAAGCCAGCGAGTTATGCGAGTCGCCTTCGCAACTCACGAGCAAGGTCTCACGAATGGCAGGGTGCCACGAAAGCCTCGACACGCTCGCATGGAATAGCAGGACCGCCCGGAGCTCAGCAGCCTCGATATCCCAGACCCATAGGGTGCCTGGCGATTCTTCGAGTTTTGTGGCGAGGAGAGTCGACGACGGGTCAAAAACAGCCAGGGCACAACCGCTACTTCCAGACTGTCCGGCGGGAGGGAAAATGGTCTGCGGAGCGCGGACAAAATGGTGGCCAGCAGCGCTGACCTGCTCCTGCCAAACCTGCTAGACTCAGCATCAACAGCACGGGGGGTCGGGGGCGGTCTGCAGCTCAACGTCTCGTACCTGGAGGGTATCTGTGGGTGCTATGCTATTGGGGTGCTGCAGCCGCAGGGATTCAATGACGGATGCCATGTCGAGAATGCATATGCGCCTGCTGGAATCCCCGATGGCCAGACGCCGGGCATCTGCAGAGAACTCCAAGAGCTTGACGCCGGGGCCAAGTCTTAGATCGCTGTCAGCCGCTACAAGGGGCTGGGGGCCAGACCAGGTCTTGAGCAGGTTGCCATCAGAAGAGTAGAACAAGACTTTATGGCCGTGGGCCGGAGCCTCCCACGTCACGAGCCAGTGGCCATCTGGGTCCCAGATCAAGCCCTGGGCATCGACCGTGTCCGGAAACCAGGACCTCTGTGCTTGAATAGTGGTAGGGTCGTGTATGCTTATCATGTCCTTGCCTGACAGGCGTGTCAGAATGGCCAGGTGGCCGGTCCGTGGCCGGAAGCAGAAGCCCCTGCAGCAGGCGGATGGGGTGGCGTGGAATTTGGGGTTGGCTACTTCGACTGCTTTTGAGGAGCGCAGGTCGAAGATGGCAAACCTGAGTCCGAGAGAGGCGCAGAGACAGATCTGGTAGTCGGATGCGCCAAAGCCGACCAAGACTGGTTTTGCTGCAGGGGGCAGGGGGTTGCGTATGGTTGCATGGAAGTCATCCTCAGCGACGGAAAAGACATGTATCTGGTGGGCTGAGGCGACCAGAAGCAGCTTCGAGGACGGAGACCACTGGAGAGACGTCACGGGGCCAGAGAAGTCGCGTGGCAACTCGATGTCTCTGATGGTATGCAGGGACTCAACGGCTCGGACGTGTAAGGAAGAGGCAGACAGCGTTGCCACGAATTGCCCATTGGGACTTGGCGCGCAATGGGGTGAAGCTATTGCCGACGATCAGCGTCGTCTGGCTGGTGGACTGCGCGATGAGGTGCACTTGTGGGTCTGTCTCGATATCGCGACGCATCGTAGCCCGCTTTGGTGGAAGGGAGGGAGGGTGCGAGGAGCGGTGATCTCACCCTGGAAGCTGTCTGAGAAGCGCATGTTGACTGGGGGCAAGACAGACTGACAGCCTGCCTGCCTGCCTGCCTGCCTGCCTGACTGACTGACTGAAGATGGTGACGATGACTTTTCGATGTAGAAGTGAGGTGAAGGACTGACTTGCAGCACACTCGCTAAAGCAGGTGATATATCATATCATTGCTTGATCCTCGACTCGACATGTACGCAATGTGCGACCCGTCGCGTATCGAGCTGATCGTGCTTGCGGCAAGCGAGCGATGATTGAGTGAGTGACCGACCCAATCGAGCCGTGTGGTAGTGCGGTGTCAAGGAAGACCAGGATTATGCTGTACACCACCAATATCGGCGATTGCGAGCTCCAAGTTAGACTCTTGTGGAATCCCACAGCACCCAGCAAACAGCAGAGAAGCGCCTGGGGTGATCAAACACGACTAGACGCGTTTTGTTGTAAGCGCACCAAAGCCATGCCCTGCACCGGGCGGCCCTGGATAGCCACCCTAGTTGCCTGGGTCAGAAGAACCGTATGGCATTCCTTGGCAGGCTCGTAGATGGCAGCTGGTGGGCAGCTGGGCAGGCAGTTTCGCCAACGTCCAACCAAACGTTGACCGTTAGCAAGCCACGCACGTCCCCGTCCTGTCCTGCCGTCATAACTCCGTTAATGACCAGCTACCGGACCAGCCGGTCAACGGCCATGGACCGGCACCCGGCACTTCTCCTCTTCGGTACACTACAACCTCACCTCATGCAAAAGGCCATCGCCACTCGCATGCCACGATGCGCCCTTGCTGACTCACCATCACAACCGGAGCCGGAGCCAGAGCCAGAGCCAGAGCCAGAACCAGCCTGCTCTCGACCGCCTGAACAGGCGAACTGTGCTACGTGGAATCACCTATAGTATCATTGCGGCTCCATACATATTCCCGGTCTCCAGCATGCATTTCTGCGAGCAGCATCTTGAGGGCTGATTTCCAGATATGGCAATGAGACTCGGATGCACGCCGTCACCCTCCACACACAGTCGCAAACCTAGTTTCACATCTCCTCACCTTGCCTCGCATCACCTATACCACAGGCGAGCCTAGCCTTCCTTCCCGCTGTTTGCCGCCTGCTGCTTGCTAGCTGCTTGCTGCTTCTCATAGCATTCTCAAGCATCAGCAGCTGCGGCTAGGAGACAATGGCCTTGTCGATGCGCGCCGCTTCGCGGCCTCTGAGTCTGCGCCAAGGATCCCTTCTTCGTCCTCATCAGTATGGCGTCCAACCATTCGCCCCTGTGGCTACCCGGCAACCTCGATGCCAGGTGCGTGCCCGGAGGATTACGACTGCTGCCGCTGCTACACACCTAAACATGCCTGGTCAGCATGCAAGCCAGGGCCTGGACGTGCCGCCCTCGATCGCACCACCCAGCCCAGCAAAAGCACAAGCACAAGCACAAGCACAAACCCAGGATCCTACGCCGTCACCCTCACAGCCACAATCACCGCCCGCTCCCATCTCCTTCCGACGTTCCACCATCAAGGACGCCAGACCGTTCTCCGACTTCCTGACGGACACCTTCGACCGCCAACATGACTACCTCCGCATATCCCTCACAGAAAAGTGCAATTTGCGCTGCGTCTATTGTATGCCCGAGGAGGGTGTGCCACTCTCCCCTGCCCGTGAACTCCTGACCACTCCAGAGGTCGTCCTGCTTGCTTCGACGTTTGTCTCTCAGGGTGTCACCAAGATCCGCTTGACCGGCGGCGAGCCCACTGTGCGAGCTGATATCCTGCCGCTCATGCAGCAGCTCGGAGCCCTCCGCTCCCATGGCCTGCGGGAGCTGTGTGTCACCACCAACGGAATCGCCCTGCATCGCAAGCTAGAGGCCATGGTCGAAGGTGGCTTAACCGGCATCAACCTGAGCCTCGATACCCTTGACCCTTGGCAGTTCCAGATCATGACCCGGCGCAAGGGCTTCGCTGCCGTGCAGAAGAGCATCTCGCGCATCTATGAACTTAACCGCGCCGGCGCCGGCCTGCGCTTCAAGATCAACTGTGTTGTCATGCGCGGCGTCAATGACCGCGAGATCCTCGACTTTGTCGAGATGACGAGAGACAACAATGTTGAGGTCAGATTTATTGAGTATATGCCCTTTGACGGGAACAAGTGGAGCAAAGGGAAGATGCTCAGCTACTCGGAGATGCTTGACTCCATCCGCGAGCGATTCCCGTCGCTGTGCAAGGTTCAGGACCACAAGAATGACACCAGTAAAACATGGCACATTCCCGGATTCGCCGGGCGTATTGGCTTCGTGACGAGCATGACGCACAACTTCTGTGGCTCATGCAACCGCCTACGCATAACCAACGACGGGAACCTGAAGGTGTGCCTGTTCGGAAATGCTGAAGTGTCTCTGAGAGATATATTGAGGGAAGTGAACCGCGGGGAGCCCATCGATGAGGAGGCCTTCGCAAGGCTGAGAAAGCTCGCCGTGGACCGGCAGCTCCCGGCACTCACCGCGTCTGAAGAAGGCGAAAAGGCCTTGATGTTGGCCCCAAATTCTGAGGAACTGCTAAACGTTATCGGCGCGGCGGTTAAAAGGAAGAAGGCCAAGCATGCGGGCATGGGCGAACTGGAACACATGAAGAACAGACCAATGATATTAATAGGTGGGTAGTTTCTGTTGTCCCACCTGCATCATACTAGGATGATATACCCTGCACTGCATTGGGAGTTGGGCCTACGGTTGAGCTGTTCTTTCTTTAATTGGACATTTTTGGAAAATTGAAGCTTTCCGAGCCAAGCACATATGGGGACAATCGAGCTGCTGTATAGGGTTTTGGACATAGGAAGGCAGTCAAGGTTGGCATAGGTGGCTAAGTTTTATGACATATAGATGGAAAACTTTTGTCTGCTCGGAATGAGACATATTATCAAAGTCCACACGCCCGGAACCCGCCAAACATTAAACGGCAAGCCACGATACCGCTGTCACCCTTGTGGTCCTCGTATCGACCCCTCCCTCTGCACTTACCTCCAGCCAGTCCTACCGCCCGCCTATTTTCCACCACCTCAAGACTCCTACCCAAGCCCAAAGACGGCAGCAAGATCCCCCCTCGCTCTTCACCCACCAGCCCCTCGCCACCGGACGCAGATGGCCGGCCTCAACCGGATGAAGGACCAGCACCAGTACCAGCACCAGCAACGCTGACGCACCTCTCCCCCGCCGGCGCGGCGCACATGGTCTCCATCGCCCACAAGCAGCCCACCACCCGCACGGCGCGCGCCGTCTGCGCCGTGCGCTTCTCGCACCCCCTCGCGCTGCGGCTGATCCGCGAGAACGGGCACAAGAAGGGCGACGTGCTGGGCGTCGCGCGCATCGCCGGCATCATGGCGGCCAAGAGGACGCCCGACCTCATCCCGCTGTGCCACCCCGTCATGGTATCGCACGTCAGCGTCGAGCTGGAGCCCAGGGTCGGCGGGTCGGCGGGCGAAGACGGTGGTGGTGGTGCGCTGGACGTGTCCGCGACGGTGACGTGCGACGGCAAGACGGGCGTGGAGATGGAGGCCCTCACGGCCGCGTCGGCCGCGGCGCTTACCGTCTATGACATGTGCAAGGCTGTGGACAAGGGCATGCGTATTGAGGGCCTGAGGGTTGTCCTCAAGGAAGGGGGCAAAAGTGGAAGGTGGGTTGAGGGCATGAAGACGGACTGATGCGGTCGCGTAACACCTGGCCGCAGCATCGAGAGGAGCACATTCACGGAATTTCAGGGGACCTCGCCAACAGAGGGACGCTTGTTAGACAGACGGCTGATTGGTCCATCGCTTCATGAGGCCGCTGCCTTCCCTGGCTTGGCTTGTGGGTATATTCGGGTGTCCTGTACGTCGCCCTTCTTTCAGCCCACATCACACAGACTTTGGCGACGAGCCTCCAGAAGCTGAGTCACGATAGCCCGGTTTACCAGGAGACATGTATCAGCACAGCATCTGCACGCAGTTGCCGCTCTAGCCAGCGGCTTTACATTGGAACACTGGTGGGAAATAGACTGCCTGCTGTTACGTATAGAGTCCACTTTTCGGTAGGGGACTTCAAAAATGCTATCGGAGATTATTGTCTCGGTGGTCTCCAGTATTCCTACAATATCAAGGGACCATCTCGCCGCGCAGTACCCACTGACCTAGTGCACGCAAGCGGGTTAGATGTTACACTTACAGCCATCGTAAATATAATATACCCCGCCGGCTCCAATACGCAGGAGAGGACATAGTCTGACATCGTCAGGCCCGCCAGGCCGTCTGAGGCGACGTAGATTTGGATCCCGCATCGCGACATTGTGGCAAAATCCCCTTCCCCGCAAATCAAGGCGAATAGTCCCTCATCTCGACGATGACGGCCCGCCGGGCCTCGCAAAACAATGGCTCTCGCTAAGCTTACACTGCTGCTGGAACGTGCGAGCTTATGATTTTTCTCTCGTACGCCTTGTTGTCGCGAAGCGTGACCAAGATGTGGCCCCCACGCCTCCGCCCGCCCTCGTCGGTCGCCATTGCCGCTTTCGAACACCGCAAACGTATTCTCCGTGTCGTCGCATATGCCTCTAAGCGCGGCAAATAACCAGATACTGTGGGGCCCGGCTGCATAGGTTCTGGACTCACCGACTGCTGCTTCCTGACTCTTTGGGGCTTCCAGAACGTTGGCTCGTCTGGGGATCCCAGCCGCGCAGTCCTATTTCTGGGGATCTGCCGCATGCCGTGTGGTAACACATTGCTCCAGGACCCTGAGTTTTCAGACCGGCAGAACCAGTAACGAGGCTAGGGGCTGTCTGGGGCATTTCAAACGCGACACGCGAAGCTCACGATGGCATCGCCCCTGGGACCTCCTCGACCTTGTCACAGACACCGTACGGTGGGATGCGACGGGGTGCGTCTAGCCTTCAGTAATGCTGGGCCTCTGGTTGGGACGAGCGGGGTTGGGCAGCTTCAATTAAGCCCCGGTGTTGTGCTGTACTTGGAGGACATTGATCAGACGCGACGGAGCAACTTGTGAGCCATCTGGCCTTGCAGCCCGTCCACCCCCAGGCCTCCCGATGATGCGGGGGCATATGCGCGGTTACTTTGAATGTGACGATGCTGGCTCCTGGTTGCAAAATACGGCGTATCCTCAGATCGTGGGGCGCGGTGGGATCGCTGGAGACAAGAGATCAGCACCAGTCAACAAGGCGATGTGAAATGGGGATCAACACGGCGGCTGGATGGTAAGGCAATGGCTTGTCGCGACGAGGAGCGGGCATCATCGAGCTCCACCAGCTGCGGTGCAGCAGTGCATGCGGCTCATTGCAAAAAAAGACGCTCGGACTCGGCGAGCCTCCGTGCTACCCCTGATCTGGCAACTTGACGCGTGCCCTCACTGGATCTGCACGGAAAGGGTCGGCAGTCGGCCGAGTTGACGTCGAAGGCTCCCATGCAGGGAGTGGGCCGGACTTGGCCGAGAACAGGACCCCTACGACGCTAGGTGCATATTAAGGCCGCCCCAATGAGAAGGGCGCGATAAGCGTGTGAAGTCGGTAGCCAATGGCAGGGCGCTGAGTTCTTGACGTACCCAGGATGCCCCATCGAGGTGCTGATCCAGGTCCTTGGAGAGGGGAGACAGGCGCGGACAGCCTCAGCTTCCCCAGATAAGCCCGATGCGAGTCAAGAGCGCAGGAGGGCATGATGACAGCCCGGTGACGACTCGACGATACGACTCCCTGAGTTCCAGCGGTGAGGTTGAGGGGTTGCGGCCGGCGGGTGGCTGGGGGCTGGCACTGACGTGAAGCCGTCGTGGTCAGGACTCAACGTCTGCTTGGATCTCATTGCCAAACGAGAACAAACTCAATTGACGAGAGCCGATCTGGAAGCATGGAGCCAGGAGCGCACCCCAGCAATTTCTTGAGCCGGGGGCCAAGAGCCAATCACGATCGGATCGTTGTCACGGCCAGAGATAAGGACCCGTCTCGGCAGGCGGTCGGCCGCATCTCTCCAGACCACCGGCAAGGGGCCAGGGGGGTGGGCGCAGGTAAGCTGGCCCGACAAGGCGACGGTTCGAGGCGGCCTGCGGGTCGGCACCAGTTCTCGACCCCGTATGCGGGAAGACGGGCAGTACGTACCTCATCTGCGCGGGCAGCTTCTGCTGATGGACAAGATGGAAACGGAGGCGAAGAAGCCACCCCAGTGCAGTGCAGACGAGATCTGTGTTGAGTGGGCTCGGGCGCAAGAGGCGGCTACCAGAGCAAGGCACTGCTTGTTGAGGGGTTCGTGGGGCTCGACTGACAGGCGAGGTTTCGTCTAACGCAGAGAGTGCTGGAAGCAGACTGGCAGAAGCCGAGCAGAACTGGCAGAAAGGGAGCATTGCTGTGGGCCCCTCGCCTGGATTGTCTCCACGACCATGTGGCCTTCAAGCCGCCAGCCTCATCGAGCCCGCCAGCGGAGCGGGCCTGTACGTAATGAGACGGTGAGGCGACGGCGGGCAGCTCGGAGGTTCGCAATGACCATGAGGGCTGGGCAAAGGGCGAGGGCAGAGCAAACTGCTGCTGCTGCTGCGAGAGGGCCAGGGCATTCATTCGGAAGTCGGCCGACAAGAGGCAGCATAGATTGGTCCGTGTGGCCTGTGGGTGCTCTGGGGTTTGATCTGGGCGCGACTCGGAGACGCAGCGCATCAACGCGAGATCTGGCTACCAAATTGAATATTCCGTCAGTGACCGTCTCCTGATGGGAATTGTAACAACCAGGAGCCTGGGGTTCGTAGAGCTGCACGCCACAAGCTACAAGCTGCAAGCTGTTTGTTGTTTGCTGGTGAACTACTTGACCCACTACTATCTTGTCCCACGGGTAGTAACCGAGTAGCTGAGACTGCAAGGCTGATCAAGGACGATTTCGACGTCAATGACGATGCCAGCGAGTCAGTCGAACACGGACAATGCAGCCACCTGGCACTTGGCCATCCTGCGGTATTAAGCCGACGGAAATTGGGTGGATGAGCTCTATTGATCCTGCGACAGCCGACAAGCGATGCTGGCGGGCGAACGAGCGACAATCATCGTGAACCACCTCCTCACCTCGCCCAGTCCCCACCGCCCACCGCCCACTGCCACTGCCACTGCCACTGCCACTGCCACTGCTACAGCCAATGCCTGCTGCACCGAGGCTCGTGGGTGGAGTGCGGAGAGCAAACAGAGACGCTGGTAGCGAGACCGCGGTTCAGCTGGAGTCGACGTTCTTTTTCTGAACGTTTGACAGTTCAGTCTGTCGGTCCTGACAGTCTGCACCCCGAGTCTGGGGACAGAGACGGAGCTGCAGTCTGCAGTCAGCGGTCAGCAGTCAGCAACCCATCACCGCGCCCACTCATCATCCGTCATTTATCATCATGCGACGCAGCGTGATACGGGCCGAGGGCAAACCGCACCCAGGCTGCCCAGGATGCACGCAGCTGGTTGGTCTAGCCGGCCGGGACAGCAGATAACTGTGGTCTAATGAACCATGTATCACAGACAGACTCAGCGCCAGGCCGGAGGCATGCAGCTGAGGAATGAGGGGATGCGGGATACGGCATGAGGAATGAGGAATGAAGAGAGTCGGTCGCTGTCTGCAGCGACCTGGCAGCCTGGCCAGCCTGGGATGACGCAGCCCAGCAGCAGTCAATCAAGTCAGGAAGAGCAAGGCGGCTATCTCCGTGGCTTCCGGGAACGGGAGATTGTGATGTGAGATGGAGAGTGAAGGGTTCACGGCCGACCGGGTAGATGCTCGTTGCCATTTCAGGAGTTGGCGTAGAATTGATTGCTTGCAATCAATCAAGGCACACATGGCTTTTGCGCCGTGGTTCGCCGTGGCAGCGTGGTCGTCGTTGCACCTGGCCAGCTTGTTGGTTGACGGGCTCAGGGTTCGCGGAGCAGGACTCGCAGCCCAACAACGGTCTGCGATCCCGGCCTTCATGGGTTTCCTGGCCACCCCCCGTGCCTGACCACTTGCGGTGTCGACACCTTGCTGCTTCGGGCAACTGCTCAGGTGTCTCGAGTCAACGGTCGTCGGGGCCGACGGTGGGTGGTCTGTCTCAATCAATCCGGATGCTGTGCATGTATTGACAAGGTCGGCCAAGTATCGGGAAATAGACAGGGCCCCACCCCGTCGCCGTGGGTGAGTACAGTATATTTCACTGCAAACCATGCAACCACCCCCCCCCCCCCCTACCCCGGCCTGCTGGCTGCAGACCACAGACATTTGCAGACAGGTGCACGGGCAGCCAGCCATGCGCAGCCATGCCGCAGCCTGAAGAGGACGCGGACGGAGATGGAGATGTGATTTGATACGGCACCGTCGTGGCACATTCACCGCCTTTGCCATGCGGCATCGTCACAGGTCAATTGACTCGACTCCACCTGCATGCCGTGTTCGTTTTGCATGTGCTGGTTGATGATAAGTCTAGGAACCGCATAGAGCAGCATAACAATATTAGACTACCTCACGTAGCACAGCAAGTAGACAGATGCATGGACGAACGAGTTCCTGTCCTATCCTGTCCTGTCTTGTCCAAGTCCCGTCCCGTCCAGCCCCTCATCATTCATTCAACGACGAGCGCTGTTTTCGACTGTCACCTATCAGTGCCTGTGTGCCCATCTCTGTCCGATCTCTGATCCACGATCGCTGGTATAATCTCTGCTCAGCTCAGCTCGGCCAGTTTCTATTACCCAAGAAGCCGCACTCTGGTCCAGTCTCACCCACCTCGACCCGACGTTAAGGTTGCAGCCGAAGAGGTGCCGTTGCCAGCACCCTCCCTACCTCCCTGCCTCCCTGCCTCCCTGCCTCCCCAGGTTCCAGCGAGCCCAGATCCGCTCCGCTACCTGCGCTACGCTACCCAGTCCGCTACCACGCTATTCAACACACTCCAGGTTACCGCCACTCTGGTTGGCCGCAACCCACCCCCCGGTCCAGGCTATCCCCCCCCCAAAGCCGACAGCCTACACCTACCTGGGTCTCGTTATATACCCAAGCCGCATCCCTCCTACAGCCGCCTCGAGTAATCTTTTTTATCCGCACCCTCCTTTTGCCTTGTCTTGCCTTGTCTTGCCTTGTCTTGCCGTGCCATCCTCTTCCTCGTCGCCGCGATATCGCTCCAGTACCAGTATCTGCAGCATCTGTCAACCAGTATCGCAACTGCCACGTCCGACACAACGTACTCCCTCGCACCCTCTGTCTCTTTTCTTCCTCTCTCTGCTCCACTTAGATCCTCTACCAAGCCGGTCCCTCGCGAACGTGCGATCGACGGTACTTGCCAAATAACAGGTTCCAACTTTATCGTTGAGACCTTGTTCTCGGACTCGCTTGCTGCTGTGCACGACTCGGGCGCAATCATCTAAAGCAGACCGATCCGATCCGATTTAATCCAAAACCAATCCAGCCCTTCTCAGTGCACTGCACCGCAGTTTGGTCACCCCCACCGCCTGCTACCCACCGCCCGCTGCCCACCGCCCACCTCGACTCGACTCAAATCCATCCGACCGCTTCGCGTCAGCCAATACATACAACATCCTCCCACGCCCTCAGGAACCATACATCTACACTTGCCCACCTACCTTTCCCCTTTGAGCCGCAACACCACCACGGCCCAACCACCTGCTGTCCTGTGTCCCGATTTGATTTGCTGCTGCCCTCCTCTGTAACATCATCCCTGCGAATATGGCCATGGCCGACCTCGTAATGCCCCGACTGCCCGACCAGCAGCAATCATTCTGGCACCGCCAACCAACCGGCCACCAGCGCTCCTTCTCCTACCACATGCCACAACCGCAACCACAACCGCAGTCGCAATTCCACCACGCACTGCAACAGCAATACCCTCAGCAGCAACAGCAGCAGCAGCAGCAGCAGCAGCAGCAAAGACAGCCAACACCACCGCAGTCGCAACCCCTTATTCAGCAGTCTTCCGACATCTCGCCTCTCAGTACCTCCAACAGCACGTCGCCAGTATCACCGAAGAACTACCACGGCCGCCAGGTACGCCCGCTTTACGTGCCTGCCGTGCTACGTCCCAACGAGTACCCATCCGACGCGCAAAGGCCCATCGCCTCGCCCAAGGGTGACGGAGACGACGATGAGCGTGCCATCCGCTCCAGCGGCAGCTTCACCAGCCTGTTCGGCATCTCGAGCCTGAGCAGGCTGTCGAGGAGGTCGACCGGCGACAGTGGCAAGATTGTGGATTGGGATTGGGATCTGGCAAACTACCCCCAGGTCCACGGCCATCCCACCCGGAAGCACTGGAAGGTACGTGTGGTGCGACAACAGACCAAACCAACACACACACATATCCACCCGTCCGGGAAATACCACGACAGTGTCTCAGCCTTCCGACATGGCGTCACCCTCAACTTCACTCATTTTAGGGCATCACCCTCGCTAACAAACTATCTCCTACAGTCTGATGCCGACTCCGAGGTCTGCGACGACCCGACCTGCAAGAAATACTTCAACTACTTCGTTCGGCGCCATCACTGCCGACGCTGCGGCAACATATTCTGTGACCCTCACTCCAGCTACGAGGTGCCACTGGACGAGAGCGCGAACTACAACCCTCGTGGCCTGCTCAGCCGCTCATGCGCCCACTGCTACGGCGACTTCAAAGTATGGCGCAGTCGGAATAGCAGCGACGCCTCCAGTGCCGGTCAACGCCCTGCGAAAGGGAGTCAGACCGTGCCGGCGAGCCCAATTTCGGCCAGTCCTGCAAAGGGAAGCCCGACCACCCCGGGCAAAGCCCAGGCTGAAGTGGCAGTCAGTGTGCCGAGCGACTGGAACTGGAGCACCTTCTGAGCATCCCAGTCCATGTCGAGCCATTTCAGGCTTGGCTCTGCATACCACACCACGATTCACGATACAAGCGGCCAGACAGCGGCCCAAGGCGGGGATGGCCACTAACTTCAATACGAGCCGCTTGGAAGCGGCGGAGTACAATCTTGTACGACACCATTCCCCATCAGACCACCCCATTCCACCTCAGTACTTGGACAACACCACGACCCAATCCTATACCCCGTCCGATCGTCGCATTTATCCTCGGAAGGAATTTTGGTAGATTCTCGGGGTTCGAGCCGGATCGCACTGTTTTCCCAATACCCAGGAGCGCGGCTGTTTTTTAATGATTTGATGCTTTCTTGCCGGATATGTGCTTTCATGTTTCCTTGTTTTCTGTCCCTTGTCTTTTAACAGCGCTGGTGTTCAGGTCTTTTTCGGGTTTAAGATCTTAGATAACCAGGCTAAATGCTGGGCAGAGCTGCGCTGTCAGCCTGCCACTGTTTTGCTCTTTCATGCTCTCAAAGAGTGTCTATTGTTTTGGAATTGGCTACAGGGGACGAGAGGAGTCCATTGTCTTTATGCGTCTCTGATTTTCCCAACTCGCAGGTCAACGGGGCCAGGATCGCGACCCCCACGGGGGGTGCATCTACGATGTCTTATCTACGATGAAAGGGATAGACTTTACGGTTACGAGGATATACAGAGAGCCAACTGCTCAAGTATCAACTACCCACCGGGCGCCGTAGTAGAGAGCTCCATAGAATGAGAACGAACTTGAAGATGTATTGAACAACTACTTCGATGGCCTTTTTTTTTTTGCTCGTGCTGTATGTCCCGTGTGCTGGTAGTGACTACCGAGAGTTGGGCTTGAACAAGCGACAGGAACACCAAGAGCGGGCAGGTAATGAGGCAACAGGACTGGGCAAGCCCAAACTAAGCCGAATTGTGAGTCTGCAGACTTTGGTACAACGCCGTTGATGACTTCATCACCGGGGAGGGGTAGACATGGTTGGAAAAGCGACAGAGCCGCATCTCGTGGCTCCTCCTTTCGGTATGGGCCAAAGTCATGTTCAAAATTGAGGTGAAGGCGGTTACGCCGCTACTAGACATTTGAACACCGTGCTTGCCTTTCTTTATTTATTTTGAAAGATGAGTCCTGGTGTGGTTGAGAGTGTACATGAGCAGATCATCTGCGGAACCTGAGGCAAGACACTCAGGACGGGTAACATGATTGTTCCACTGAGACTGAGTTATCGCCGGGTAGTACGACTCCTACAAGATCCGAGCAGTGACATGTCAGGTTCAGCCCATGGAGATATAGTGGCCTTCCACACGCGCCATCATGAGGGAGGTTGACATAGGCTGTGAGCCAGGCGTACGGGGGACTCGATAGCATAGAAGGGAAGGGCTCTGAACGACTCGCCCTGATTGTGTGTGCCAATGCTGATGACGCTTCCGTCTAACCTTTACTCCGTTAGAATGCAATTCTAGACTGTACCACTCCACCAAAGTCTATTTTCTCATGTTTTGTCGTCTCCCCGGGACGAGCCTTTTGCCAGCCCGCAACCGTCCCTTCTGGGGTTGCCACCGTATCCTTTTGATAAAGCTGTTTCCTCGCGAAGCTTCCGGCTCCCTTTTTTAAACACCCTTTTACCACCTCTATCACCTTAGTCTTAAGCATGCCTCGAACGCCTCGGGGTCGTCACTGGCTTTGGGACACGGCTGCTCGTCTTGCCATTGGCCTGGCCATTTGCGGCAGCCACGCCATTTGCTTGACTGCTGGAAGAACCCTCGCCATATACCTCCTGCTGGATGCTCTGAGCGGCGTCCCAGCCGGCCTTCTCGGCGACTGTCACCTGACTCTCGCGGGAACCCTTGCCCTTGCCCTGCGCCGAGCCTGCGCTGGATCGTCGAAGGTAGCTGGTGATGAAGAACTTCACGAACAGGTAGGTGAGAGGTGCGAGGTACAGGACATTGAGCCAGATGGCGAAGGTCTGGCCAGTGGTGTTGATGCAAGGGACGACTTCTTGGGTGTAAATGGTCTCCTGGGTGGTGGTGGACTGCTCGGGCTTGGCGTTAGCTTCTGCCGATGTTGCCTGTTCGGCGACGGAGGTGGTCACCTTTGATGCGAGGCCGAGGACCATCTGCTTAAGGTTGTCCAGGAATGCGGGACCGGGGGCGGGTACGGAGTTGTCGACGTCGACGGAAGTGGCAACTGGCGCCGTAGCATCCTGGACAACGGTCTTTGACACAGGAAGGCTGTAGCTGACGAAGGAGTGAATCATGGCATATGAGGCGCCGACGAGGAATTGGGTGATTTGCAGGCTTGTCAAAGTTCGCTTGATAAACACAGGAACACGGATGGAAAATGCGCTCAGCGTGTAATAGGTGTACTAAAGACAGGGAGCGTCAGTATCCGTGGTGGTAAGATGTCGTGACAGCCTAGGTCAGTACAGGAGACGATTATGAACTTACCATCATGGCGTGGATGCCGGAGTTGACAAAGACGAACATCCAGATAGGTGGGGACATGTAGCGCATGCCAGCCCACATACACATCATGGCGCCCGCGTGGTGGTAAGTCTGCAGGACGGAGCTCTGCTTGCCCTTGGCCAGGATGATGAGGGTGTCGAGAACCTCGTAGAACTTGCTCAGGTAGAAGATCCAACCGTAGAAGGCCAGGCCCTCGTTCCAAATGCGACCCAGGTCGGTGCGGCTGGGGGTGCCGTCGCTGGCGAGGGCGACGCTGCCGGAGTAGGAGGTCCATTGCGCATCCTGCTGGTTGTAGTAGACGGCATTGCCAAGGCCAGCCGGGCCGTGAAGCCTAGTCATGCTGTCCACGAAGCCGTTGAGCCCCTCAGGGCCCCAGGGGTTCACGACGCTGCGTCGCATGACGCCAACCATGCCGTAGAAGGTCCATGCCGAGTAGACGGCGAGGAAGATGTTATGGACAACGATGAAGATGTGGAACAGGCGGGTCTTGCTGATGGCCCAGGGCTTCTTGGAGTTGGAGGTGTTGTACCAGTTCAGGAGCTTGGCAGTGACGGCGTAGAGCGCGGCGATGGTGACGGGGACCCGGGGGTCAAGGGCGGCACGGTAGATGTGGTCTGGGATCAGGACGGGTGGGGCCGAGGCGACCGAGCCTGGGGCCGGAGGAGGCAGGAAGTGCGGCTCGCGCATGCTGGCCGGGGACAGCATGCCCTTGAAGAGGGCCGCGTCGGGAGCGGTCGCGAAGACCTGAGAAGCGTCCATGGTGGAGGGGACGTGTCTGGGACTGGAGACGGTGGTGACGACGGTGGTGGTGGTGGTGGTTGTGGTGGTATATTGTCGAGTCTTGTCACATGGAACAAAGAGGGCGCGCAGGCACTGGCGCAAACGGGCGGACGAGAGTGTGTTTGTATGAATGACGGCCTGTGGCCTTCAAGGACAAGGCGAAGTGCTATGCGCACAGCTTTGAACCTGAGCATGGGCTATTTTTTTTCTTGTGCCTGTGACGCAGCTTCCCCAACAAATTCAAAATTCGGACTCTGGGCCGCCAGTCGGAGGAGCGGGCCAGACCCTGGGAAAGGAAGACAAGGGCACGCGGCTGAAGGATGCCGGATGCCAATCGCGCCCTGTCCGGCCACGAGCCGAGGCATAATAATTCACACTCGTACCACAGTCCGTTTGTCGACGGAGGGAGGGGCAGGGAGAAGCGAGGGGAGACAATACGAGGGGTGGGAACTTGACGCCAATGACCATACCCGGGAGTGACAATGGTGAGACATGCTCCCGTCCCCTCTGTGCAGCCTTCACAGACTCACATCGCAGCAAATGCTACCCGGGACTCATGTTGCTGCCATGTACTTTCGCACCGGTCCAGTAGCTTTACTGCACCTCTTCACCAGCCCCGAGGAAAATGCACAAAAGATACACTGGCACCGTCCGGGGAGAACACGTAAAGGGAAATGCAGAGAATCGCAGCCGCGCTGTTGAAACGCCGGCTGGATGGGAAAGAGGAAGTTGCGTGCGGGTTGGAGCTTGACCAGCGTCACGGTCCCAAACACGGCTTTGGCAGAAGATGAGACGGAGAGCCAATTGCACCTGCAGGCATTGAGAGACCTGCGTGCAGTAGCAACCGTCCCGTAGCCTGTTGCTATGTCTGTCTGGCTGGCTTCGGCCAGATGGGACGGGACGACATGCGACAGGCGCAACTGAGCAGCCAGAGCCAGAGCCAGAGCCAGAGCCAGAGCCAGAGCCAGAGCCAGAGCCAGTCTGGGGTCGCTCAAAACGATGAGGAAGCCTAGGCTTTGACCTCAGGGGGCCCGCTCTCGGTCCGACGTGGCGATGGAACCTCAACTTATTTCATTATCGACGATAACAAGACAGCGGACGATAAGACAAAAAGAGAAGGGGAGCGGAGGAGGAAAAGAGATGGAGATCCACCTTGGGCGCAGTCAATCCGTCCAGCCTCGGCACCGGAGACGGGGCACGATCACCAAGGACTGGGGCAATGATGTTTAGTGTCGCGAAGTTGACGTTGATGCCAGACGACGCCGATGCAAAAACCACCAGAACGGACAATCTGCTGCCCTGGCGCTGGCATAGGCGGACGGCCATGATCTTGACGGCAGGGTCGGCCGGGTTCAATTGAGGTCCCGTGACACAACGACAATGGTGAGGTCTGAGAAGTCTGCAGGACGGGAGGCGGGCTGACGGCCAGACGGGGTCGATTTTGTTGGGGCGGCTCCAGCTACCAATAATGACTCGGCAGGCTACCGGCCAGCCGAACTGTGCGGCGTGCCGCGGCCACCGCCTGGCCAGGCTTGCTCCAGTGTGCAGTATTTTTGTGCAGGTTAGGAAGGACTAGGTACAGTGGCAGAGAACAAGGACAGCTGCTAATAAACGCACTACCTTTAATAACGCACGCCGTGGACTACAGACTACCATTGCCATCGTATAAGTCTGACTGCCCGGGTGGGATGGGTGTGGGTGGGCGGGGAAGGATCGGGGCCCAAAGAGGAAGGAGGCTCTTGGCTGGACGCACGTCGCAGATTTCATCCGTTTCAGGCATCTTGTCCTTGCCCTTCGCCCCGGAGTGGCGGTACTCAACAATTTCGGCAGGACGAAAAAAGCACATGCTCCTCCTGTCCCGTCCAGGTCCTGTCGCGGCTGCTCGTGATCATTTCAGGGTCCATTAAGGCTGGGGTTTGGCGTAGACGTAGCATTGCTCTTCTGCCCAAAAGGTCATTAGCTCATCACGCCATTTGTTTATGCCACCGATAATGAATGAGCACCTGCATAAGGCCTATCCATCCATGCTACACACACGGACATGCACACACCCACAGATATGTCTACGTATATTTACATTAGGTCCTCTCTCACGACACACCACAACATCAACCATGGCATATGCCAGCACCATGTGAGAAATGGCAGACATGGATCCTGCATCCACCAAGAAGAGTCAAAGCTCCTGCTAAACGCACGTTTTGCCTAGCGCAAGGCCCGTCCCGCACCGTCAAATTTAGTTGGCTTTTCCGCCTCGTCCTTGTCTCACCGGTCCCCTTATAGCTAGCTACCCGTAGAACTATACCGGTATGACCATGGGGTCTACGTAGCTGTGGTCTATTATGAGTCACGAGGATGGATGCCACAGAATGCAGTCCGAAGTTCAGCTAGTCAAATCCGGACCAGATGTCGCAACCACGCATATGGAGGCATGTATTGTCATGAGCAGTTTTCCGCAGCGGGGTGACTAGCTACAGAATTCCTCCTTCGGTATCTGGAATGCCTCCTCCTACGCTTCTCGCACGGCGCTCCTTCACCTCGTAGCCTTACTCGGGCAATTCCTTCTGCAGATTGGTCATCCTCATGACACAGTTAGCGCGAGAGGCTCTCAACACCTTGGGCATATCATCGAGCCGGAATGCCTGCCACTTCAGATCCGGCCGGATATACTCTGTAGCCAGCACCACGGGCTGGACGTAGGACGAATATCTTAAGCAGCCCCAATTCTTTTTCGGTCGAGGGAGTGACAGAGAACCACATACGTAGATCGTTTTCCTTGAACCTAATTCTATCATCAAGTTCGGTTTCTGGCACATATTGGACCCAGAACCGCGGTCATACATTGGAGCGTACAAACTGTGCTAGTGCGAAGAGGGCTACTGCCTGTTCAGACGGCGGAATTACAAGTTGTTGGGACTCATGAGAAGCACTTGATTCAAAAGTTTCCGTTACTTGACTGTACAATCAATGTTGGAGTACAACCAGGAGTCGATGCTGATAATCACTATCAACCCCTAGCTTTATCCTCCGACGCCATCCATTCCCCAACCCATTTTCGGATCCAGTCTGGATTGACAGGCTGCATACCACGAAGGGTGTGACTCTTTGCCAGGGAGCCGTTGACTGCCATCAGTTGTGACCTTTGCAGACCATCGCTTGCCCCCCATAGGGAGTTCCGGTAGAACTCGAGCAGCCTGATGGCGGGATTTGAGGTTTTAGTGCCGTCGCCCGTTGTCTTTCGCTCGGCGTCGCTCAATCGTTCCAGCCACTCTGATGGCGTGACTACCACGGACGCAAGATCGCAACCGATGGGTGTCTTGAGTGCCTGGACGATAGTAGGGAGCAGTGCGTCCCAGGATGTTGTGCAGGGGTTCCGCAGATTGAAGACTCGCGCACCACCTGCCTCATGGTTTGTCGGTCCTTGGAGTTCCGGCTCAGCTTCAGAGTCACGCTGGCTGAGGGCAAGATCGGCCAACACGTCAGCCAGTATATCTGATGGCACCCAGTCTATCTTCGAGAACTGAGGGCCGAGATTATCTGGCAGACACCCCATGTCTTTGGAGCCGATGACGAGGCTGGGAAGCCACTCGGTCCGGCTCCACTCGCCCCCTGGCCGCCAGACAGCGCCGGCAACCTGGCCGACACGAATGACCCTTGTGTCGAGTCCCAGCCTGCGTGCCGCAGCGTCGCACAACAATTCGGACAGGAACTTGCTTCGGGCATATCCGTTGGAGTAGGGTGTATCGAATGAAGCGAAGACTCTCTCAGGCACAGGCTCATCCAGTCCGGCAGCAAGACCTCCGACGGCGCTCACGGACGAGATGAAGATGACCCGAGGGGCGTGGTGCAGAGTAGTCTCTGCAGCGAGGCGGAAGAGATTGACGAGGCCCGCGAACTGGGGCTGGAAGGCAGCCAGCCCGAGGTTGAAATTGACGGGCCAGGCGTTGTGAACGATAAGGCCGACTCGGTCGCGCAACTCGCGGTATGTCACCCAATTTAGCCCCAGGAGAGGTTGGCTTAAGTCTGCCTGAAGGAAGGTAACGCGTTGTTGGTCCTGGTCCCCTAACTCTATCCCGGCTGCGGCGAGACGAGATACCTGAGCCGTACGACCGCCGTCCTGGCTACGGTTCAAGCAGATGACATGCTTGATCTCTGGGCGGGCCATTAGGGCATGCAGAAAGAAGGTACCTATCGTCCCAGTAGATCCAGTGAGAACCGCTGTCACTCGCTTATCGTGCGCCACGAATTTGGCTCGGGTAGACTCTGGTTTTTGGATCTGCTGTATTGCTTCACTGTACGTCTCCAACAGTGGCTGCATCAGTAATGAGTCATCGTTTTTTGAAGCATTGTCCCTCGATACGATGACCGCTTGAAGCTGTGAGATTGTGGGATTTGAGTAGATTGTGGACAATCCTAGATCAGGGCGATGAAGGCCGCGCCGCAGGATTCGAAGGAGCTGAAGGGCCATCAATGAGTCCATTCCACGGTCGAAAAAAGTAGCAGTATCGGGTTCCTGACCTCCGTCTGTCTCAAGCACGGTCTCTGGGTTGGACCAGCCCGTGACATTGCCCACAGACTCGCTGATGAAGTGCTTGGCACTTTCCGAATCATCCATGTCGATAGATGGAGCAGTTGCACCTTGGGTTTCGTCGTCTTCGCCGTTGATGACATCAGCATTTGCATACAAGGCATCTATGTCGCTCCGATACTGTGCTATGCTGGCAGCACGCTGGATTGTGCCCTTGCCCGCTCGAAGCAACGGTCCCGGAAGAATGAGAATAAGAGCCTTCTCAACTCGTGCGTGCGCTGGAGCCTCTTTGTTGGCTTCCTGAATGCTAGGCCATATGCGCTCGATATGTTCAGCCTGTTGAGAGGTGTCCAGGGGCTCGTTCTCGACTGCAGCTTGAGTCGGTTCAATGAGCAGGGCAGCCTGGAAGCGCTGTGCGCCGATGACCAGGGCTCCGCTCACCACACCGGGATTTTGAGAAACGACGTAGTGCTCCATCGAAACGGGATTCGTTTTTTCACCATTGAGGAAAACGATGATGTCGTCAGCCCGAGCCCGCCAGCACCATGCGTCTGGTACTGATGGGTGTGGCTGGAACAAGTCTTTGGTGCGGTAATCACCCAGTGTCTCTTGTTCACGGATGCTGAAGCACACCTGCAGGAGATTCTCATCGCGCCGCATGACAAGTTCATATACTCCATCGGCAACGGGTTCAAATACAGCTCCAACCGATGGGTGGAACTGAATGTAGCGCCAGTCATCGGGTCCAAGGGAGGGCGGTATAAGCTGATGAGGAATACCACACTCTGATGCTCCCCACCAACACCGTAAGGGGATCTGAGCAGCGACTCGATCCCCAATAGCCTGCGGCAAGTCGCCGCCGATATACAATATCAGTTGGAGGTACCTCGCGCAGCGGGAGAGCAACTCCGGGTCCTGAGAAAGCTCAGCTACTACTGATGGAACAAGGACGGCGACCTCCGCCCGTGTCTGCTCGAGGGCTTCCACCAGGTCTTGCGCAGTAACGATACCGACGGCCGCAGGCGCAACAGGAATGACCTGGAAAGGAACAGCCCAGAAAAGGTACATTCCTATGCCGGCTCCCTATTGATGATTAGACAATGCCTGCCTCATGCGGGGTTTTGCAGCTGGTTCTTACATGGAACGGCGGCACTGTCACCAACACACGCTTGCCCCATATGATACTCTCAACTGACGTGCCATTGAACTTCGAGTAGTCCTGGCTGCTACAGAGGGCTTGACGCGCTACAGACTCCTGGGTCCAGACTAAAGGCTTCGGCATGCCTGTGGAGCCGGACGTGTGTCTGTTAAAGAAGGATGGGAAAGTCAGATATCAATTTCAACATTCGTCATCGCGCCCGATGTAAATAGCACCACTTGAAACATACATGATGAAAAGCGGATCCAAGCGCCCGACTTGGAAAGACTTATCGTATAGAAATAATGGGTGCTGCTCAGCTTGCAGTTCCTCTATACTCGGTATTATGAGGCAGCGTGGATTCACGGCCTTAAGGATCGAACGGACTGGCGGCAACTCTGGCTCGGTTGTCACCAGTGTCTGACAGTCCAGGGCATTGAAAAGAGAGTAGTGAGCGTCCGCGCTGTTTCGTGGCGATGTAAGGAAAAGCTGACAGTGTTAGGTAACACAAAACCACGATAGGTGTCAAAGTAAGGAGAGACGATGGCTAGCTACTCACCACATAGCCTGCCTTCACAGAAGCCAGTATCATTGCTGTGAGTCGGACATCATTTGGGCCAACATAGGTCAACACAGGCTGACCGTTCGTCGGAGGTCCAATGTGCTTCAAAATCCACCATGCCAGACCATTGACTATATTTGCTAGCTGGGCATAATTGATTGTGCGGAAACCAGCCTCATAGGATGCCTGAGCAATCGGCCAGAGACCGTACGCCTGATTGGGCTGTTCCCGGGCATGACGATCAACGATGTTTGGTAGCAAATCAGGGCGCCATTTCGGATCATATTTAGAAGCCATGGCCGGAGGCTTTGTAGAACGCGTCTTCTGGTTCAGGGTGAGGGAATTGGCGACTAATGGGATCGTTTCTGCGGAATTGTGCTGCGAGACGCCCAGAGGAGATGGCTGTTGTAGGTAAGCTGAGATCTTAATAAAGGCGTTTACGGATACCGTGAAATGCACGATTTTGCCGGCCTTCCGTTCGAGCCTGCAGGCAGGAAAAAGGCGGAGATGTTGGTGTTGGGTCACACTGGCGCTGCAGGAAACCCTGCAGCAGTCTGAATGTGTGTGATGGAGGTGTTGGTGGTGTTGGTGGCGTTTACAGCCCATGAGCCATGGAATATGTCGTCGGAAGTAGGTCTCCTAGTTTATTCTACGTGGCCAGTACCAGTACATTCTTGTGCTAGAATGATTCGTTGGTTCACATCACATCAGCCGCCTAAGTGCATTTGTAAGCACCTGCGTGTAGACTCCAACGACTCCAGACGGCGCAGTGAGATTGATGCAGTTCCGAAGCACTTCCGTGTTGTTCCCGTGTTGTGCAAAGTAGATATTTATCGAGACAGCTAAATGGCTTGGGTGCCACTTATTGTGTACCATCCCTTCTAGGCTGGTGAAGGTTGTATTTATTAATCATAGTACAGTTTTTCGGTATACATGCGAAGGACCTTTTTGTGCTATGACGAGTAGGAACAGCTGATTATTTATGACTTGTCTAGGGCCCTGATTGCCTTTACAGTTTCAAGTCCAACAGATCCGGACAGTCAAGCACCAGACCGTCAATTCGTATATCTCATCAGAAAGTCCAGGATTCTTCAGCCGTGAAAAAACAATGATCAATCTCTCTGGGAAAACTTGCCGACCAAAACTATCACACCAGCTACTACAAGGTATTGAGCCCCTGACCACTCAATAGCAGCTTTGCCAGCCTCGTGCAATGCGCTCTGAGTAGGCGTGGATCTTCTGGCCTCGTAAGAAGCGAACACTCCTCTATTTTGAAGGTCTAGACTGTGTTATTATTGCGATGTAATGCTTATCCTTCAAGACCGGCTAGTAATTTTTCGGCCCGGCTCAACGTGGGCCCTTCCACACTCTTATAATCAGCTAGAAGTGTGCTAAGGATATCGCGAGACATGGTATTTGCTAACCCACCGGTCCCGAGATTTTGGGATGCATTGGCCAAATCCTTAAACTTCTTGGCACATAGCGCCGAGCCCATTCAGGTGAGAACCGTTGGGTATGGATCTCGTTGCCTGTGGTTCGAGAGATAGCTGCGTAGAAGGAAACATGCTCAACGGGACGAAGTATGCAGTTTCCGTGAGGATATTATTGATGACTTTGATGACCGAACCGAAGAGGAGATCATCAACGGACACGGTGAGAGTAAATTCAGCATTTAGACAATCTGTTTCTTGCCCACCTCATATTACTGACAACGACTGCATGGGCCGCTGCAGCCTGCTAGGAGTTGCTACAATCTTGGGAGCGATCACGAAGGCCAAGTGAATGATTGTAGGCCAGAATGAGACCATTCCAAGTGTACTATAGCATAGACCCAGAGGAGTGCAGTGAGCTGCAGTCGAAGCTGGGAGCATCACAGCCGGGCGTCCACCCGTACACTCCGCATGGCATTGTCTTGTCCAAGTCTACCATACAGGATGCAAAGGCCACACTTACGCGTCAAGTCGCACCTAGGCCAGGGGTGTGATCCAAGCGGCTGTGATTATGAAGCTAAGGCTCTAACGGGCTCTTGTGTGATTGCTTCCGAAAGCTGTGGTACAATACGCGGACATGAATCCGAAGAGGAGAGCCCAACCGAGCTTCTGACGTGTCAAAACTGTGCTGTCCCTCTCGTCCTTTGCCGGCATCGAGGGTAATGCGGCAGTTCGAGGCGCCGTGGAGGTCGTCTGAAATCCTGGCGATCCAGACGGTGTGGGGGAGTTGGCTGAGGGGAATTTTGTGGGCAGATCCAAAAGTTGTGCCATGTAGTTGATGTCGATATTGCAACGAAATTACCCATTCAGTGCCTCGGTAGTCCACTAGGTACCCAGACCCCGTTTCAATTCTAGAACCATTTCAAACTTTCTTAGGTAGCATGCAACCGTCCCTAGTTTCAAGCATACAACAACTCCGTCCCAGCACTACTGTACGTGGCCACACGCGTATGTTGCTTTCTGGCTTGTGAATCTTCAACTTGGGCACACACGCACCCATGTAAACCATGGTTCGTTCGGCCTCCCCCAGGGGTTCACTACCACATCGGGATCTGCTCCACCCCCTCCCTCCCGATTGGCTCGCTTGGCCCCCTGCCCATCGAATCGTGCCTTTGCTTCTGCTCGGCATGATGAATTCCACCCTCTGGTAAAGAGATTTTATTAGCGTGTTCAAAGGCGGTTAGCGGGCTTAGTTTTATATTTTGGCATTCCTTGGCACCCAAAATTACTTTTAAAATTGCATTTCGTTTATTTTAAGGAATGTAAAAAATATAAAATTAAGCTTAAAGTAATGCTTAAATAAAGCTTATTAATTATTTATTATATTTAACCCTTTGCCTTAATTAACCCTTTTTTATTTTAATTATTAGCTTAAGAAAGTAATTTTAATTTAAAGGGCGTAATACAGATGCTTAAAGATATTGATTTCTGAAGTGGGTCCGCTAACCGCCTCTGGACAGGCTAGCAGATTTTCTTTACCGGGGAGGGTGGAATTCATCATCCCGGCTTCTGCTGCCCACCGACCGCTGCAGCAACGTGAGTGGGGCTCTCCTCCAGGTCCGGGACGTGCCTCACAGGCTCACAAGCTGGGCTCACAAGCTGGGCTCACACCACCTTGGGGCTGCTGGGCCGAGGCGTGCAGCCGGGTGGATGCTCCGCTGTGCTATACCTGCATCTGGATCTGGACGGACATGGACGGCAATCTCGCCCAGGGCCCTGGCCGCGCCGCCCTGCAGCAGCACATGTCGTGTCACTTTTGTCTTTCTCTTGTGTTGGATCTGAATATGAGAACCAAAAGGACCCTTCGTTCATCTTTCTGAGCCCGATCTCTCCACCCCCACGCGTCGGCCCGTCGCGCATTTCAGATCTGCTCTTGGGCATGTACAACATGATTTGATTTTGTGGATAACACGCCCTTTCCCGTTTTCGTGGTCCCGTATTGCCACGCATCCTTACAGGAGGATCAAATCCATCTGTGCACCTGCGAAGCCGTCAGGGACCAAGGAAGTGCCCGCTTGGCTTCCCTCCATTATGGTCTTGACCGGAGACATCATTGCGCCGGAGAGCCCGGCCCTGCCTGCCCTCCCTGCCGACGATTTCTGGGGCGAGACCGAGTGGGCTGTCTTCAATGCCGTCCTGGACACCATAGTCCCAGCTGTAGTGTCCAAGTCGGCACTGACCGATAAGGAAGGCCAGCTAGCCATTCCGGATGGCGAGTACTCGGCCGTGTTGGCTAGGGCCGGGGCTACGACGCTCGAGTCACAAGATGAGGTATCTCTGAGGGCCTTCATGGAGGACAAGGCCTCAACGCACCCTGCTGTGCGCGAAGTCTCACTCCGGATAGCCGCCCGTCTATCAGATGTGCAGAAGGATGGCCTGAAGCGCCTCCTCAAACTTTTGTCGTCAGCAGCATCCCTTTTCACCTAAACCTCAGCTGGCCCGACGTGTCTTGAGCATCACTGACGAGTCGCAAACATACACAGGTCCAGCGTCGGTGCGTTCCTCCTGACCGGCTCATGTGCCCCCTTCCACCAGCAGCCCGCCCACGTGCGAGAGTCTATTGTCCAGGCTTGGCACAACTCCTGGTTTCCCAGGATGAGGAATCTTGCCAGGAGTTTTGTGAGGATAAGCCAGGTGAGCTGGCTGATGTCGTCGCCCACGTTCCGCGAAGTTACCGGCTACCCTGACATCCCGGTGAATTGGAAGCCAGGCCTTGACTTTGGCTACAAATTCCTCCAGTTCCTAGCCCCTGCGCCTGACTCTAACCATGAGCCTGAGTCTGAGACCGCACCGGCCACCATCGACACGGACGTCGTGATCGTTGGCTCGGGCTGCGGTGGCGCAGTCGCCGCGAAGATTCTCGCCGAAGCAGGCCATCGGGTCGTCGTTGTCGACAAGGGCTACAACTTCCCCACCTCAATGCTGCCACTTCCCGGCCCCGTCGCCAGCCGGTATCTCTTTGACAAGAGCGTCACCCACTCCGTGGATGGGTCCATAGGCATCGTCGCCGGGGCGACCTGGGGTGGCGGCGGGACGGTGAACTGGAGCGTGTCATTGCGGACCCAGGACTTTGTGCGCAAGGAATGGGCTGCCCGGGGGCTGGACTGGTTTGAAAGCAACGAGTACGACGAGTGCCTGGACCGCGTGTGCGAGCGCATGGGCGTGGCGACGGACCCGGTGGTGCAGAGCCACCGCGGACAGGTGCTCCTCGACGGCAGCAGGAGACTGGGCTGGAAGGCCGGCGTGTGCCCACAGAACACCGGCGGAAAGGAGCACAGCTGTGGCCACTGTACCATGGGCTGTGGCAGCGGAGAGAAGCAAGGCCCGACCCAAACATTCCTTCCCGATGCAGCCCGGGCCGGGGCCGAATTTGTCGAGGGATTTGCTGTCGACAAGGTGCTTTTCGACGAAGTTGATGGAAACAAGAATGCAACAGGTGTGGTGGGCACCTGGACATCAAGAGATTCTCATGGAGGCATAGGCGGACCGATGGAGGAGAGAGTATCTAGACAGGTGGTGGTCAAAGCCAAAAGGGTGATCGTTGCGTGCAATGCGCTGTTCAGCCCCCTACTCTTAATGAAGAGCGGACTCACGGTGAGTCTGCCTGAGTTTCATTCGCCCAAGTTGAAGGAAACAAAAGACTAATGGCAACAGAACCCCAATATTGGGCGCAACTTGTATCTCCATCCATGCAACATGGCGGGTGGCTTCTATCCTGAAGACGCCCGGCCCTGGGAGGGTATCTACACAACCCTCAAGCCACAAGTTCGCGCAAACTTTCCACCATGCTGACTCTCGTACAGGCGCCATCATCACAAGCTACTGCTCCCAATTCGAGGACCTAGACGGCCACGGCCACGGCGTCAAGCTCGAGACCACCAACATGACGCCCTACACGTGCCTCTCGGCCATGCCCTGGCGCAGCGGCCTGGACTTCAAGCTGTCCGCCCTCCGCTACCGGCACTTCGGGGCCTTTATCTCGGTCGCCCGCGACCGCGACCCAGGCAGGGTGCTCATGGACCCGGCGACGGGCGGCCTGCAGATTGACTACACCCCCTCGGCGTTCGACCGCGCGCACGCCGTCGAGGGCGACATCGCCCTGTGCAAGATCATGTACGCCACGGGCGCGCGCGAGATCAACCCCTTCATCCACGGCGTCGAGCCGTACGTGCGCGACGACGCGGAGCTCCAGGCCGCCGCGGAGGGGGTGGCGGGCGCCGGCGGGGGCCTTTTCCAGATCGACGACCCGAGATTCTCGGCCTGGCTCGACAAGGCGAGGCGGCTGGGCAACGTCCTGGGCAACCCGCCGTGCTCGTCGGCGCACCAGATGGGCACGTGCCGCATGTCCGCCTCGGAGGAGGACGGGGTCGTCGACCCCTTTGGGAAGGTGTGGGCCACCGAGGGCTTGTATGTGGCTGATAGCAGCGTGTTCCCGTCGGCGAGCGGCGTCAACCCCATGATCACTGTGATGGCAATCGCCGACCGGATTGCGAGGGCTGTGGACCGGGATTTGACGGGAGAGAAATAGTGATCCCATCAAACCTGACATAGGTTGAAAATGGGGCCGGCATGGCTTGACAATAACCCGTGGCTTCTGGAACCCATTTCGTGATGAAGGAAGTCAAAGTCGTTCTCTCTATCGTGGGAGAACTACTTTTTGCTAGTCTGGGGGGGGGGGTTGGGTTGCGCATGTAAGTGTGCATGCGGTGGCTAAGAATCGGCAATCAGGATACACACATGCACAGCTGGAGGGACCTATGCAAAATGTTATCCAGGTATTGGCGGAGGGTTGCGTCCCAAAGGAACAACCCGAGAGGTGGGACAGAAACCTGCCGAAGTCCCATATTGCAGGTTATTCCATGTATACAGTAGCTACCCAGAGGATTTATCCCGCAGTAGATCATCCTATAGGAGATCGCATTGTACGGGGTTGTCCCACAGGAAATGCGGAAGAGTGTGTACCGGCTGAGTTATGCCCGGGTGTTTGGGTACCCTGCGACCTACTGTATAAAAGGCTCAGTGCTCCAAGTTCAGACCGCCGTTGGTGATCTTCTGGGAGACTTCGTTCGCTACCGAGAGTAAGTTACGACAAGTCACTGTCTTTATTAGTGCGCCTGGATATAGCCCTTTGATCACTGGGTTATACGCGATCAACTTGTTATCTCGAGTAGGGGCTGAGCCATGGGATTGGCCCAAGGTCAGTGGCTGCGTGCTGAGGTGTAGATCCATATATATAGTAAGGTTGATGGCGGAAGGTTTTGGACGGAAGCGCTGCAATATTCTTCGCGGCACTTGCTGCCGTCCTCAGGCCGAGTTCATCTCCGGAAGTGGGCAGCAGTGGCGGCCGACCTCGAGAATTGCGTGGAAAGTCGCAAGACCGGTGACAACTGCTGGGCTATCATCTCGGGGTCAAGATCACCTTGACCTCCCAATCCTCGGATGTACTGGGACCCTTGTATGTTGAACAATGATTATATATTTTATGTCCTACTCCGATGTCCAGCATATGTGCTTCGGCAGCTCATCCACTCCACGTTTGCGCTTATCCTGTGGCGACCCAGTCGGTCTGCACGTCCCAGTCTGCATCCGCCCCGTGCAGCTTTCTGAACACGACCACCCAACTGCCATCCTCCCTCTCGCGTCCGATGATAGCGTCGTGTACCCGGAGCTCCTCCGCCAGCCCAAACGGCGCTTCTGTGATGAGGCCGCTTGGGAGAGTGCCGCCTGCAAGATGCTGCTGCTGTTGTGGGAAAGAAAGCGTGTCTGCCATTGCTGGCTGGAAAACATGGTTTGGCTGTGCTTGGCTCCCCGACATGGCCGAATAGCTCTGCTCGTCTAAGTCGGGGGAAGACCCGTCAGAGCTGGAGTGCGATGCAGAGTCACCCGTCGGGTGCCCAGCAAGTTGCATTTGCTTCTCTTGGTTCTGATACATATAAGAAGCTGTCCCAGCAAAGTCTTTTCTTAGGTCCTGCTGATATGAGCCCTGGCTGCTATGGTCTGATGGTTGATGCTGTTCATGCGGCCACATGTTGATATTACTGTCTTGCGAGTGCAAGCCACTTGCTGCCGAATCCACAACTGAATTAAAAGAAAAGCCGTCTGTTGAAGACGTGAGTGATGGCTCCTGACTGAGCGACGGGGGAACACGGCCGTCTGGATGGAGTGCTTGATCTGTGGACTGCTCTATGGGTCGGTCCGCGTCAAAATCCATAAATCTCAAGTCAGGTACCGGACGCTGGACTGAATTATTCAGCGTATCTGCTCTGCTCAAGTCGCGAGGCCTGTCGTGGCTTGGAAGTTCCGACCGGTATCTAGACTGTGGCTCCATGCTGCGCTCAGATGCGGTGTTGTGGCCAACGCTAGCGCTTCTTATGCTGGAAAATTGCGGAGAATGCGATGCAGATACAGACGAGAAACTCTGTCTCTGAGCCCATTGCTCCTCAAGAGACACGACATGTCCTGCGAGTGCTCCCATTACACTGGCCCGCCATAGGTTTTCTCGTCGGAAGGGGTCGTCGGAGCAGGTCGAGCGCCGAGCGGCGGATCAGGGGATGTCGGCATTTGGTTGCGACATAGTAGAGAGGGGGGATGATATGGGTTTCGAAAGTGAAGTTGCTCCCGGGCAGTTGCTGGTTGAAGCCCGAGAAGAGGTGTGAAGGGGCTGCGGCTGACCCAGATTTTTGAGGCGGGAACGCTGGCGGATTTTGTGGCGAGGTTTCGAGGTCAATGTATGCCGCTGCCAAAGGAACTATCGCGGCGAATTGAGCCAAGTAGTTGTCGTAGACTACCTCTGACGAGCTCAATGCCGTGGAGATCCAGATATATTGGGCATGCAGATACATTTGCAGAACCAAAAGTGTGTTTTCGGGCCCAGGCTTCGACCGAGATGCTTGGAAGAGTGAGAATGCGACATTGAACTTGGCTAGCCGGCAGAGGAGGCGGTCCTGTTCGACTTCGAGCAACTGCATCGTCTCCCGCGATATTGAGTCGCTGCTGTTCTTGGCCGGTCGAGCCCGATGCGTGAATCGGAATGCTTGCTCCATGAATTCGTGCATAAAATACCTCAAGTGATCCAAAGAGCTGAACGTGTCAGGGATCTCACCGCGAGACTTTAACGAGTCTGGTAGTGGCACGGGAGTGCCGCCAAAGAGAAACGATGTCAAGCTGAGCCGTGTGTATAGGGGAACAACGTGACGGAGGATGCATTCCATCTCAGGGCCATTATATCGCTCATCCAGCCGCGTCAGAAGCTGCCGGCCCTGTTCAAGGTGTATGAGAGACTCTTTGTCCTTTCCCTGCAGGAACTCGATGCACACGAAGAGAACACAGGTGAGCAGTGATGCCAGAGGCTTGGTGAGAGGGTTGTTCATCTGGTCCAGCAGACGCGCGATGGCTTTGTTGTACTGCTGCAACGCAAATGACTGTGTTGGGCAGCCATCTGTTGACTGGACGATCGTGCCCTGTGTAAGCCCCTCGTGCAGGGTGCTCACGGCGAGCACGGCATGTCGGACTGCTGGCTCGGTCTGGGCAACTTGGAGCACAACGCTCCTCCAAAAAATGGCGTCAAAGTCCCCCGATATACACGGAGCGGTCACATGCTGAAAGAAATAGAAGGCCCGCTTCTCCTCCGGAGTGGAAAGGTCGAGCAATGGACCAAGGATACGGTCCTGAGGCGTGGGGTCTTTTGGTCGGCGCTTCGAGGCTAGGTTCCGCGGATCCAGATATCCATCGCATTTGCGCCCGGTCTTTGTGCATCTCAGACAATATGGTTTGGTCTCATCACACTTGACTTTCCGTATCCTGCCGCGATGAAAGCACTGGTGAGCTGGATGTCCCATAAGTCACGCATCGTCAGGGCATTGCTTACTTGCAAGTGACGCAGCCCGTGCGGACCTGGGACACACGAAGAGCCATCAGCATACCCATCCGTGGAATACTGATTGAAGTGGAATTCTGCTCACCTTTTTTGAGCCCCTCCTCCCCGAAGAAGCTGCTGCAGAAGGGCTTGAGGCACTAGAGTCGGATACCATAGTGTCGAGGTGGTAAAAACTGTACAGGGAAGCACCCATCCCTGAACCCTCTCTGAAATGCTGACGTGATGGAATGTTCATTATATACCCTTCCTCGGGGCAGGTCATACGGCACTCCCCATGCGCCTGCTTGCAGAATTAGTGTGTGTGGATGCTGAGTAGAACATCATCGCGGGAGAGTTACCGGAGAGGGCTTTTGAGGGAGGGACGTGCTCCACAACCGAGGACATTGGCAGGGTGATATCGCTCTCTGCGGTTTTTGTACGTCTGCCTGAAGGATTGGGAAACCTAATGCCGGGGGATGTGCAAAAAGCCCACTCTGCATTACAAGGGCAGCTTTCCCAAAGTCACTGCCACTGAACAGGCGAGACGGCAGGAGGAAGGGTCAGCGGGTGGCCGGCACGGCGTCATGTCCGTCCAAGCAGGGGATGGCGCATTCCAAGGCGGGAGGGTATGCAGTCTAAGCCATGGGGTTGCCTTCTCGATCCGGCCAAAGACACTGAGGGTGTGGCGGTCGACCTGGACATGGCGTGTGAGATGCAGGTATCTTGAACGGTGTGTGGCCAAGCAAAACGCCTGAGAGGGTGCGAATAGCTGCCGTCTAAGTCGGCCTTGGCCCAAGGTTTCGAATCCTTCTCGCCCAGGGCCCCTCTCCTCGGGACCAATGGGGCGGGTGCCTCCAGCCCTAAATCTGCAATATCACAATGGCAACGGTACCCTGAAATAGACTTCGAAAAGATGATGAGCATCAGCACACCTGAAGCTGCGGTAAGAAAGGGGGGCTTTGCTAGCCCGTTTGGCAGCCGTTGCAACATCCAGGGACAGAAAGTGGCAGCCTGGGAGCCAAGCCTTTACTGCGGCAACCCCAGCGGTGGGAACTTGGCCGAGGGCGACTACTAGAGGCCAAGCGATTTTCGATCTATCATCGCAAAAACCGGGGCAAAACAGCTCCTCTCCATCGATGTTGACTGGCGATGTTTGCGTGTGAATCTGGCACGCGCAGCCGGGCGAAAAGCCCCGAGGAACAGGTGTCGAGCAGGAAATGACGCTCGGGTCGCACGACTTGCTTCTGTGCAACCGGGTTGCGCTTGCTGAGGTCGCTAGAGTCTGGCGAATCTCATAGGCAGGTGTCGTTTAACCGGTCCACTACGTATGCGCGAAGTACGTCGTACGACGTGATCCTCGTCTTACATGCTTCCAACGCATTTGCTCTTCCCCCTCCACACAAGTTTTCAAGCTGACCGTGGCATTGAGCTTACTCTCCCTTGGGGACTGAGTTGGTGGCTTCCCCACGCTCGCCCACAGGATTCGACGCTAGTTTCAATATACCGTTGCTTGAGAGAGTTCGTCTGACCAGACGCCAACCCGCAGGTCATCTTCGCGTAGCACACATGTGCGTGCTGGTTACACAAAGGCCACCTCGGGTCACACGGGGACTGAGAAGTCTCGTTCTGACAGCAGACAACCTGTCTGTTGGTAGAATCCGGAATGCGGTGTGCATCGTGGCGTCCCCCCATGGCCACCGGATCGGCTGGCCCCGTGGTATAATCGCCTGTGCTCGTCCTGGATTATCATCAGCCCTACCACCCCGGGTAAACGCCAACTCCTTGACGAGTCCAGCGTGCCGCCCAGCTCGGCAGGCTGCAGAGACCAGAAATAGGCATCGCGAACGTCCCAGGTCTCGATAAGGACAATGCCGACGGCAGTCTCTAGCTCGACTTCGCCTGTTGCAAGCCTACGAGGCGGTGGATGGCCAGAGTTGCGGTGCATACTGAGGACGATCAAACCAAGGATTATACGGTCGCCCCAGACCCAACCGTTTCCCTCAAATCCCGACTCACAGGTGGCCGTATCCACGTAAGCAGCTGGTTGTTCATGACCGTGTATGGCTGGAGTGCATTTGCCGCATCAAGTTGCTTGACACCGAGCACGTACAAGTGTCGATCAACAGATGATGCCGGTACCAATGGTGCCCGCATAGCCCTTGCTGACATACCGCCCTGAATGCCACTGCGGAGAACAAGTCGAGCTGGCATAAGCGTGGTTCGCCCTGCATTTGGTTGCTGCTGTGTGTTTGATCCTTCCAGACGAATGCAGGCATGGGGAGATCTCTGACGCGTTATTTCTGCAGAGGAAGGCCCCTTCGAGGCCAGAGGATGGGGGCCAAATCGACTTTCGGCACCGAAGGGAGCAACCGAGATCGAAGTTTGGTTGCATTCACCTTATCGCCAGGTCATTCATCTGTAGCGTAACCCTTCGGCAGACCAAAGAAACCGGAAAGGGCGGCATGTTAACACATAGACACTGGCCGCACACGTACTGATAGTGATACTGGCTGACTTCCTTGTCTCTGTTCGTGACACTCCAATGGCTCGGGGGAGAATACGCCTGGCATCCCAGACGTATATTGCGCCGGCCGCGACTGTGTCGGCGAGTTCTTCTCGCGCTTGCCCGACCCAATCGGATCCTTGTGCAACCGTGCTCCTGCACTTGTCACACAATCTTGAAGAGCCCAGCCCGCGCCGAGCAGAAGTAAATGGCCGGCGAGTTTGGGGGCGACAAAGGGACGCCGCCTCAGTACCTGTCGCGGAAAAAATCCCAACATGCCTCGCTCATTTTTCCGAGCAAGCGTATTTGAACGCCCTCGTTCAAACGTTGTGGCTGAAGAGTCGGACGAGGAGAGGATCAGGTGGGTGACGCAGGTTACAGACAGGATCGCTCAGGATGAGTGCAGATGCACTGCGAAATTCTGTAACATGCCCCAAAAACACTGTCTTGGGGGCAAGCAGATACCGCGATTGGCCGTGCAACTGGCCGTGATGGATTTTGAGACTGAGGCTGGGATTGAGATGGAGGACTGGGTGAAATGACAGCACTCGGGTCAAGTACGGTAGGAGTGTAGATGGATGGCAGTTGCTGTCTGTGGAAAACGAAACGCAGCCCCCCCCCCTGTCGCTTTGGTTAGCTGTCCCCCCCCGCACCAAAATTTGGCTGTGGAAACGAAATACGCACCAAGATTACTAAAGATACCCTTATTAACGCCACCACGCACCTAATTTAGCAAAAGAAAAGTCGTTATAAGTCCATTTTGCATATATTTTTAGAATGATTGGAAGTAGTAAAATTAACTTAAGCTTATTACGTTAAGGGGCATACACTCTACTAGCCTTGGCCTAAGGTAATTATAGCCTACCTAGATTAGCTAGTAACTGTTATGGGCTCGGCCCCAAAGGGGCTGCAGGCTGGCTAGCGCCTTCTCCCATAAGCTGCAAAGCAGCAACCTTTTAACTAAGCCAAAAGGTACGTAATAATCCAAGCTCCCTTGGATTATCTAGCCACACTATATAAGGCTTGGGCTTCCAGCCCAAGCCCATTACAGTAACTTATTCTAATAGCCCTTAAAAAGCAAAAACCCAGCTATTATAACCATATACCTATTTATAACGCTAAGTTATTTACTTTATTAATAAAGCACTTATTAATTAATTAATAATATTATTATATATAAAGAAGCTAATAATAAAGGTAAAAGCTATTATTGCTATAAAATAAAAACTAGCAACTTAATTAAAGCTTTTATAAGATAGGCAAATAGCTGCTTAACATGCTACTTAATATATTGCTAAGAATGCCAAAAAGGTTGCCCTTAAAGCTGTCCTTAATGAAAATAACGCTTTAAATAGCTTAAATAAAGCTAAGGGTATTTATATTAGCTAAGAAATATTAAGTATATTTAAACTATTATTATTAGCTAATAATGCTAAAAGTAGTAATATTAAGGAGCTAAAAAGCTATTTTTTGCTAAGAAAGTTATTAAGAAGAGCATTTTTAATATTATAAATAAAAGTTATTAATATAAAGGCTTCTTTAATGCTATTAATAAAATAATAAAGCTTTATATTTAATAATAATAAATATAAGGCTTTTAATATTAATTTATTACTTAAAGATTTTCTTTTTAAGATAAAAAATTAAGTTAAGGTTAAGCTTATTAATATAAAGGGTATAATGATTAAGCTATTATAAGTTTTATTTAAGGCAGGTTATTAGCTTTAAATAAGAATATTCTTAATTTAATTAGGTATGGTAAAAAGGATTAAAAGGCATTTAAAGAAAAAACTTCCTAGCAATAAGATTATAAAAATGCTCTCATTAAGCAAGGGTCCTTATTATCTTGTAATTATATATATTTATAAAGTAATACTCTTAGTAATGCAAATAATGCCTTATAATATTGCAATGCTAAGGCAACTAGGCATTAAGATCTTTAGGCTTCCCTTATTAGCAAGATTAATACCTAGCTTAGCAAACGATTTACCGGCAGCTAAGTGCTTAAAAAGCGTTCCTTTAGCAAGAAAATTACTATTGCCCTAAGGCCCTTAGGAAGGGTTAATTACTACCTATATGGTAATTATAATAAATAGCAATTAATTACCTTTCTTTAAGACCTATAAAAAGCTAACATAAACATAGCAATACTTTAAAAAACCTTATTATAAAGCTAATTATTGCTATTGCAATAAGAGGGATTCTTTATAATAATAATGCTATATTAAAAAGGATGGCATATATATAAATATTATTAATATTAATTTAAACCTATGGGTATAAGCGATAATTAATAGCAAGGCTGCCATTTAAGGGCCTTTAAAAAAGCTTTTTACTAAGTAAATAAAAGCTGCTAAAGCTAATAAAAGTAATAAGGAACTTAATAATAATAATATTAGCCTTATTATTATGGGCTAACCTTAAACTCGCAGAATAAAGATGCCTAAATAGAGTTAATATTTAAAGTGCAAAGGAAAAGGTTTACTTTCCATTTATACTTATATTAAAGCCTATTCTTATAAGGCTAAAGCCCGCTAATTAATTACTATAAGCATAAACCTAAACCATAATATATCCTCTTTCCTTAGGTTAAAGCTGCAAAGGGGCCTTTTTAAGAAGTTAACTATATAATAAAAAATAAAAAAGGCATTGCTTTAATCATAAATTAAATATTACCTTCTACCTAACTATTTAATTAACCTACAATGCTTTAACTACGCTATTAGGCCAACCCATATTATATATATATTTTTATCCTTTCCATACCCTATAATTTAATATATTAACTAAAGTAAGCTAATAAAAGATAATTATTTAAATGCAAGCTAACGGCTAAATTAACAGCATTTCTAAGATCCTCCAATCCATGCCTTTTATATAAGCTCCCTTACCCAAAGCCTTAAGGCCGTGGACTTATTATATAACCTACAATTAATTAACATTTAATCATAAACAATTTGCTCCATTAATGAAAAATTCCTAGGCCCTAAAAGTTCTATAGCGCCAAACCAGCTAGCATTAGCTAGCCTACTCTAAGCCCAGGCTAATACTAAGCTAACATTACTTTAAGCCCCACCCTATAAAAAAAAAATTTATATACTAAAAACAACCTTAATTAAGCGCCTTTCCCTTGCTAAGCCCAATCAATAATAGCTACATATAAGTTCTTCCGCGGCGATTTAAGCAGTTATATTTATAGTAATCAAGCTGGCTATAAGCATAATACTTAACTTTCCCTGCTAAGATTGCCATAATATTAATATTCATTACTTTGCCATTCTAAGATTAAGTATTATCCTTTGCTATTATAACGCTAAAAACATCCTTATATTACTATAAGGTAAAGCAAAATGCCTTAAATATCTTTAACTACTCCTTGTAATTAAGTCTTAACTTTATTAAAGCGATAAATTTATTAGCTATAAATAATATTTTATAATTATTTAGCTAAGCTTAAGCCCTAGCTATATAAGAAAGCTAATTAAAGTAAGCAAGAAAATCTATTATCCCCTCCTTATAACATTGCCACAACGCAATTAAGCTAAGCTTAATATACCTTTACTTAAAAAAATTCCTAAATGCAAAGCAAACCCTTTTTAAGAAGCTTTCCAGCTACCCCTTAAATATCTTTATAGAATTAATATAAAGTAAAAATTAATTACAAAAAGTTCTTAACTAGCTAAATATATAAAAGAATTAAGCTTCTTTAATGCTAATTACCTCCCTATTTATTATAAACTTAACTCTTATTTCTATTAGCTAAGTTACTAAACTTTCCCAAAATAAAAGCTCTTTAAAATAAAGAAGGGCTTAATGGGCTATTATTATTCCTTTTAAATCTTATTATATCAAGTTTTATACAATTATACTATAAATTTATAATGCAAGAGGACTTTAAATATATATTATAAGTTAACTTTAAACTTACAAAATAAAAGTGCCTAAATAAAGTTAATATTTAAAGTATAAAGGAGAAGGTTTACTTCCTGTTTATACTCGCGTTAAAGCCTATTCTTATAAGGCCAAAGCCTGCTAACTAATTACTATAGGCACAAGCCTAAACCATAACACTTATATATAAATAAAAAAAGCTTAAAAAGGGCAATAAGTAAAAGGAAAGTAGCATTAATATAATAATTAATCTATTAATTAATCTTCACGCCCCTAGCTTTATATATAAGCACTTAATAATGCTATTGCCAACATCATTAGCGCCTTTATTAATGCCTTTATTAACATACCCATTAAAGGGCTTTAAAGGGCTGTTAGCATTATTAACGCTAGCAGCTTTTCATTTAAGCAGCCTTATATGTTATTATTAACTACTTATACTTTTATTATTATCGCTATAAGTACTTAATAATTAAAAGGCTCTTAGTAAAGACTTTATATTTAAGGCTTTATAAAAGCATTTTTATATATTAATAAAGAAAAGGTAATTAATAAAGTTGCAAAAGGTAATAAAGCGTAAAGGCATTAATTTCTAAGCTTTATACTTAAAGAAGGACATTTAGTTTAATAAAAAGGGCTTAAATAGTATTAAATTAATTAAAAGGCTTATAAAGCTATATTTAAAGAAAAGAAAGAACTTTTTTAAGCTTTTTAAAAGCAATAAGAAGGAGGAGGACTTACTATTATTATTAATGCCAACGTAGGATGAAAATCATAATTTCCAATAAGCAAGAAGCCCTTTAACGTTAATTAATAATGCATTAATATTAAAAAGTAAATTTAAGGCATTTTTTAATGAATTTTAAGCATTTAATTAATATTATTTATAAAAGAAAAAGTAATATAATTAGCAAAAGAGTTAATAAAGTAATTATATATAAAAAAAAGTATTTATTTAAGTATTTAAAAAGTTAATTAAGAAAATTAAGTATATCTCTCATAATAAATTATTAGCTATCCCTTTTTAATTATTTTAATAATACTCTTTTTTTACTAACTTACTTATTATTAAAAAACTTACCATAAATAACCTTATTATAACATTCTTTCCTTCTTATTAACGCTACTTCTTTTACCCTTTTTTTAATTATATAGCATCTTTATTACCCTTTATTATCATTATTACCCTTAAATCTCTTTTCTAGCATATATATATAATAAAAATATCCCTTAATTGCCTTTATACGCTAGCTAACCTCTTAAGCGCTTAAATATAAAAAACTTATAAATTTCTTATTACTATTATAATTATTTATCTTATATTAATATTAATAATAAATATGCTTTTTTAAATCTTTAAAATATGCCTTAATTAAGTTAAAATTAAGGGAATATAGCAATAAATATACTAGCTAAATACCCCTTACCTTAATAACTATATAAATAGCGCAATTATAATGCTATAAAGCATTATTTATTATAAGGATTAACTAAGAGCTTAAATAAGCATTTATTTAAGGGAAAACCTTTTTAAGAAGCTATATTAAAAAGAACTTCTTTATTATATACCCCTTATATATTATAATATTAAAAAAACCGTTAATTATAATTATTAATAATAAATAAAAGTAAGTACCTTACTTAAGAAAACTCTTAACTTAAAAAGTATATCTTAATAATACTTAGCCTATTTTTCTTATATTATTATGCTTATTAAGTTTTAATTTATTATAAAAAATAAATATTTTAATAATATACTATGGCTTAAAGATCTTAAAAAGGTAATAGCTTTAAAGGTCCTTATTATGCTATTAAGTTAATATATATACTTGCTTATTAATTTAATTATATGCCTTAAGGGCCTTTGCAATAATTAATATAATAATATTAATTTAGCATGCCTTAGCAAGAAAGCATTCCATTTTATTAAAATATATATTTAACTTATTAAGGAAAAGATTTTTAAGCTCTTATATGGTAATAAAAGGGCATTAATAATGCTTAGCAAGCTTATTATACTAAAAAACATTATATACCTTTAAAGCTTATTGCTTTAATTTAATAGCATTTAATGGCAATGATAAGGGCACGCTTAGCGCTATAATATTTATAATTATAACCCTTTTTTAATATTGCTAAATTATTAATTTATTATATTAAAATTTAACTTGCAATTACTTATTTAATAGCAATGAGTTTAAGCATAAATAAAATTGCAATATTTATAGTTATATAAGGGTTAGCTGCATTATTATAGCCTCTTTTTTGCTAAATTAGGTATGCGGTAATGGCAAGGAGGTTATCCTTGGTAATCTTGGTGCATATTCCGCTTCCACAGCCAAATTTTAATGCAGGGGGAGACAGCTAACCAAAGCGACAGGGGGGGGGCTGCGTTTCGTTTTCCACAGACAGTGGCAGCGGGCCTACGCCTAGGAACCTACCCCGGGCAAGCACTCAGTAACGGGCAACGGTCTGTGCGCTCGAGTACTCGGGTGCATCCCCGAGTGCGTGACATCACCAACGCCGAGAGAAGCTCCCAAATTTCTTTCGCCGCATTCTGCCCCCAAAGCCAAACAGGACCGCCATATTCGCGACCAAACAAATCCATCTAGCCACAACACGCTCGCACACCACCACAGCAGCCATGGACCAAGTGTACGCCTTACCCACACCTCGCATTACCGCACTGTCGGATTGACACCCAGTAACTGACCACGTTCCTTGTCCGAACAGACTGGGAGGACTCAACGCCAACGAGCAGCGCGAGCTCGAGCAGCGCATGCAGAAGCGCCAGGTGAAGGAGTTTGTCGGTGTACGTCCTTCACCCCCTGGCCCCCAGGCAAACTGACTGACTGACTGACTGACTGACACCGGCCCTCTCCCCCCGTGTAGCTCTTCGGCAGCCTGGTCGACAACTGCTTCATGTCCTGCATCGACGACTTCACATCCAAGGCCGTCTCGTCGCGCGAGAATGGCTGCGTCGCCCGCTGCGTGGCAAAGACCATGGCCACACAGGCCCGCCTCGCCGAGCGCTTCCAGGAGCACAATGCCGAGATGTCCTCCAAGATGGGCGGGCAATAGGAGATCGACCGTCGCTGGGGAGCGGGGGAGCAGGCTCGGACGAGAGGGCAGGCAGGGAGCCCCGCGCGACAGCCGCGATCCTGACGGGTACGAGGATTTGGTCGCCCTGGGATGAGAGGCCATCGTGTCTTGGTTGGAAGGGCATAAGTATAGCTCATTATGCGATGCATACCACCGACAACGATGGGGTTCGGGCCTGGACATATGTATGCTGTGATTAACATTCGGGCTCGGTACTCTGGGGCTACGACGAGTTGTTCACTCATGAACATAACTCTATGAGCTACACCCCTTTACAATTATAGCCCGACGGGTCATCATTAGAGGGAGCTTTTTTCATGGCGATTGTGGTAACAGCGTAACTCAACCCAAATCGAAAATCACGAATGGGAAACTTTTTGACTTCTCAATGTTCTATATCATGGTATCAACTTTCCATCATGCTTGCCCGCTAGAATTTTGTCCGTCCAACGCCCATTAATGCCACAAGCCGAGTACAAGCACCAACTGGGGCAAGCTAAGAGTCGATTAGAATCGATTACTACGGCAAGCCTACTCCGTGTCCTCACCGAGCACCTCCTTTACAGTTTCCAGCAGGGACACCACCTTCTGCTCCAGCACACTGACGTCCTCGACCCCCGTCTTCATCGTCCTCCAGTCAGCCTCGCGCTGACCCAGGGGCAGTAGCCGCTCTCGCAGGATCTTCCGGCTCGTCAGCCAGTAGTCGACATTCTCGAGCACAGTGGCCGAGTCCCACAACACCTCCGGGATCTCGCGGTTGAATGCCGACCTGTATCTGCCCAACACCCGTGTCAGAAGGGCAAGAGAGTTGACCTCCGATACGCCGAGCAAGGTAACGTGATGAGAGTTCCCACGGGTCGTAGTCCTGCTCATCCCTGGAGCTTCTATGCGATCGACGCTGCTCTGCAAGAGATTGGGAAACTGATTGAGCACACAGGCAACCTCTGTGGCCACATTGGGGCCCAGACCCGGCGCTGACAGCACATTAAGCAGCAACGGCAGGATCCCCTTTGCCCAGATGTCGTAGCATCGTAGAGCCCCGATATTATCTGCGAATGGGGAGACATTCGGTCGTTGGATGTGAGTCGCGATGTTGGCCGACGTCAGCTGGCCGAGAAGACCGTCGGATGCGAGCTGTTCGGCGATGACAGGAACGTTGGATAATTGGACGAGGAACAAGATGCTGAGCTCGCCAAAGACAGGGTCACCCTTCACCGCTAATTTGTCCGCCCACGAGAGGAGGGATGTCGCAGCCTGCCCAACATCCTCGGAAACCATGATGTTGAGAACCTGGCCGGAGACTTGGTCAATGCCTGGCAAGCACAGACAAGCCTGCAGGATGGCAGTCAAGAGGGCCAGATCTTCAGGTAGGACCGTAACGACCGGGTCGTGGATAAGAGCCACTAGCGCCCGGAAGCCTTGAGCCACGACGCGGTGAAGAATATTCAGCACACACTGCAAGACCGCAACGATCTTATCATCGTCACCACTGATCTCTTGGGCTCGCTTGGTTTTGCCGGTCGCGCCAGCGTCGAGTTCTATTCCTTCAGCGGCGGGTGACGTCCGATAACCTCTCAGCACCACGTAGAGCATCCTCAACATCGTCCTCCAGTACTGAATCTGATCTGGGGTGAAGGGGTTGTCGATGCTATTGAGAGTCGTCCAAATGGTCTCCAGTAATTCAGCAATATCTTTTGCTTCAAGGGAAGCATCGGTCAGACGCTGCACGAGTACCATGGCCAGATTCGCACGGGATTGGGTGATCCTCTGGAAGATGCGTTCTGGCCCTTGGTTGCCCTGGTTGGAGACTAGGCACTGCTCCGTGACTTGCATCATCTGTTTGGTGATCAATTGTCCTTTTGGCAAGAGACAGCTACTCAGTTCTAGCAGCAAAAATTCCCAAGCGTGAAAGAGAGCCTGTACCCCGGATTAGTATGTGTGAACCTTTAAGAAACCGAGCCAAGACCGCTCGAAGATGCTACTTACTATCTGCGCGTCCACGAGAGAGAGGTTAAGATTGGCAGCCGCCATCTCGTGCCGGAAGCCGTTTCTCTCTCGTGGTCCGGCCCACCCTGGGTCAAACTTCAGCATCTTGTCTGCGAGGCCGAGAGCATAGTAATATTCGTCACCAAGTTCTCTCGGTGTCAATGGTGTCCGTTGGAAGCTCTCCAATGAGAAGCCTGGGTATTGCTTCGAGAAGTTCTTGAAGAAGTTGGCGTGCAGGGAGCTATTGTAGCCGGACACCGTTACACCCTCGCGCAGGTAGTAGTCGACGTCATTGACGAGCGCTTGAGCAAATTCCTCCTCCCGCCCTGTTTTCCGCAAGTGATAGAGATGCATTGCGAGCGCCTCTGCGATGTAGGCCGCGATACGAGCTTCATCACACGCCTGCCTGGGGTTGGTCTTCGCCGTCACAGATGCCGATTTGAGCTGACGGACGTAAGCTCGTAGCTCGGCCAAGCAGCTGTTATCCTCTTGAGACGCAAATACAGTCCACTGCCAGAAGTTATGGGCTGACGTTAGGAGATCTAAGATTGCTAGTGTCTCCGAGGTAGGCAACGTGCGAATGGATCGCAAGCGTGTCAAAGCGGTTATGAGGATGGAGTCCGGTGCCAGCTTGGACAGTTTACCCTCGCCGCCCAATGCTTCACGCGGGGTTTTGCCTGTCAAAAGGCAATTGGCCATCCAGTGTTGTCCATTGCGCATGATTGTAGAGAAGAATTTCCAGGTCTTCCCCGACACCGACGGTCTCTCGAAAGGCTTGTCCAACTGTGAAATCGCCTGCAAGAAGGAACGTGATATGTGGGAGCCCAAATATCCAAGCAGAGATGGTGCTTCCGTGTCTTCGCGACCAAGTCTCTCAGCCACCGCACCGAGCAGGGACAGCACTGAATTCTTGTAGGATGTATCCGTAGCACACAGGCGAGCCAGCAGTGACGAACACTTCAGGATTTGGTTCTCAATAGCAACTGACGGCTTTTCGAGAAGGTTTGCAACCCTAACAAGTGTCGTCGCAAAGTCCAGAACGACTATTTGACGTTTCGACACGATTTTCGCCCGTCTGGGGTATAGTGACGATTCTGGCATCCCAAGCGCGACGAGCATTGAGGAAAGAAGCGGCTGAAACCTAAGCGACGACGAAGTAGAGGACAGGAACCCCTCGACAATATGCCGTGCGGCAGGTTCCAAAAATGTCGCTAGGGCGCTGGACTTATTCGGGGCGCCAACGCCAAGCGAATATATGACAATGCTGTCCATCACTGGAATCAAATCTCCGATGAGGATGGACCTCTGGATTTCCGATGAGAAACGCCATGTCAGTGAGTTCTCGAGTATGTCGATAGCAGTATGAGCAATTGACAGGTAGACCTGGGTCATGTTTTTGTCAGAGGTACCTAGCCAGGGGTTCTCTTTGTCGGCTGAGCGCCCGCTGGCCTTACTGCCAACTGTCTTTTGAACGGTTCCCTTCATTCCATTTTCAACCAGGTTCGAAAAGAACTTAACCACCGTTGATAGGAGCTCGAATCTCTCATCCACAAGATCAAGCGTTCCAGTGATTCTTGACAGCCTTCCCGCCCTTGAATCGCTGATCAAAAGGTCACAGCGGTTCATGTATGACCACACACGGCCTGGGCAGATCGATAATGTGGAGTCCAAGAACTGCAGGCAAGTTGTCATGATGCGTATGTGAGAAGCCTCGAGGTTCGCCAATTCGCCGTCAACATAAGAGTCAAGGGTGTCACAGATGACACTGACGATATCTTTCGTACGCGGCAGCGCCCGACTGGCTTCTTGTAGTATGGCCAGCCCTGCTTCGCCGTCCGCAACCGACGACTTGCTCCTTGCAGACGCCTTTAAATTCTCGCAGCGGATCGCCGTTGCCAGGAGAGACACCGTCTCCGCGAGCTCATCAGCTTGAAGCGGGCCAAGTGCCAGCTCGTATGAATCAGGGGCCAGATTGGCTTCCAGTCGCTTGCCCAGCAAAGCAATGGTAGAATGCTCGAACTGGACCTGCGCAATGTGGCCGGTGTCGGAAGCAAGGTTTCCGTATGTCCCGGCAGGAATGCAAAAAGGCTCCTCTTCTCCAACGAGGCGCTTGCGATTGGGCGTTACAGCGAACAGTGGGAATTCTTGAGTAAGCTCCAGCTTGCCCAGTTCCTCCTCATCTGCCGTGAACTGCCAGTACGGATCGGGCAGGGGCATCGTCAGAGTCGGAGTCTTCAGAAGAGATTTCAGAATGAGACCCGAGCGATCGTCTTCAGCCAGGCATGTCGACAAAATCTTGCAAAGGCTGGTGAAGGGGAGAAATTCGTATGGGTATCTTTGCAAGGCTTGGAGAACGTAGAACTGAAGTATGAGCGGATCGTCAAGTGCCACGGCAACGACGTCTTCACTGAGTGGTAAAGACTTCCTGCTCTGGATGTCCCAGTATCCCTGGCCGGCTGAGAGTACAGCAAGTAACGTGGTGACAGGCTCAGAAATGTAGCCAGTCACTGGAAAGCTGATCTTCAGAAAGTCGAGAAGAACAAGGCGCACTCTTGAACCCAGAGACGGATGAAGGGCAGCATTCTGAGCCCAGCCCATGCTAAGAGCTATGTCGGTCATAAAGTCGTACAGCTGACCGCCGGCAGTCACAGCCCCAGCCATATTCTCAACCTCCTGCAAGTCCCATTGCAGCGAGTTTGAGGTGAAGGAAATTTCCAGAAACCGGTCATAGGACTGTGTCTCCATGGACACTACGCTTCCAGCAGACGAGCGCCTGCCCACTCCTGGACGTTCCTCGACATGCTCCAGTTCACGTTCAAATCCCTCCTGGGCCTGCCGATTTTGTTGCAGATCTCTCAGTTCAAGCCGCTCATGGTGCGAGCGTAGCATTCGCTGGAGGATAAGGGCCCAGGAAAAGATCACGGGCCCGGAAGTGAGCAGGCCTGCGTTGGCCGCGTTGACGACCGATTCGTGAATTTCCTTCAAGGTGGAGCCAGAAGTAAAGTAAGAATCTTCATTGGCCTGGAGCGATATCTCACCATCAAGGAACATTACAGCTCTAGCCAGATTGAGGATCCTCATAGAGATGATGCATACCAGGTGCTTTATAGGCTGTATCACTTCAGCTGTCAGCTCGTCGGACCCTTGCAGCTGGTCGAGAAAGCCGTATGCGTCGACGAATCTGAACCAATTGGAAACAATATCGGCGGAAAGGAAGGTCGGCGAGAGGTCGATGATCCGGAACATCGATGCCAGGAGATGCAATGTCTCTGTAAGAGACGCCCTTGTCCAGATAAGCTCCAGCTCTTCGGATAGAATATTCACATCCTTGAATGCGGCCGGCGAATGAGCGTCCGGATCTGCGAGGCACTCGGGGGCCAGTTCAAGATATGTGGAAACAAGCTTCTCAAGCGAGCGTGTGTCGCTCCTCACATCCCCTGGTTGCTTTTGGCCGAAGACGGCCATGAGCACCTGCGCAGATAGTTCTGCCTTCGCTGCATCCGTGTCCGGGGATGTCTCGTTCAAGGTCAGGGTGAGAATCCCATTGACAAAAGCCATGAAATAGCGCCGCTCCGACAGGCACAGATCAACAAGACGGCGGCGTCTGCCTGCCTGGGTGTTGAAGTCGACCCATATAGCGTCAGCATCGGCCGTGTCGGCCGCGTTGACGAAGGCCAGGAGTGTGTTTGCTTGCTTTCCATCGGCCCCAACGGCCTGGTGGAGATTTATTATGTCCTGAGTGGAAAATGGCCCGGCTAGGTGACTCTGCGGCCTGCTCTGGAACTCGATGACGACGATGCGCAAAGCTGCGACCTCGTTGATGCCGAAGCTGCTGCTCAACCACAACGAGTCCTCCTTGATGGCCTTGATGTCATACTTCTCATTAGGTGTCGGAGTGACATGTATGGCGGCGGTCTTGGTCTCGAACTCGGATTTGGACTGAGGAGTAGGCTTGGCAAATGCATTGGCGGGAGACCGGACCAGGTCTGTCACGAAGCTGTCTTGGAGAAAGTCTTTCACACATTGGCTGGTGAGGCGATCGGTGGAGGCATCTTGGAGAGCTGAGGCGACCAATCTCCAGGACCTACGGAATCATCATGGTCAGTTTTTCCCTCTCTGCTTCCTCGCGTGATTCAGTTCCGGCTTGGGCTGAGGTATGCTGTGCTGGGGCTGCGCTGCGCTGCGCTATGTTGAGCTGTTGACATACAAGACCAACTTGTTGCCCTTCAGGCACTCGTCCAGGGAAGGGAAATAGACGCCATTTGGGGGCGAAGCCATGGTCGCAAGGCTCAGCAAGCAATGCGCAAAAGCCTCTGAGGTGCGATCATCGACAACAAGAGAGGCAGTGCCAAGGTGTCGTCGGAGCTGAGGGCTGGGAGAGTTGGGCTCGCGATGTGAGGTGAGGTTTGGATGTTGGCAGACGCGCCAGAGACCGTGTAGGCTATTGTTACCGTAGCTTGGTCCAACGCCTGCGCAGTTCTCAAAATGTTAGCTGCCGCATCCTTGTCCCGTCAGAGCTGGGGAATGGGGAAGGCAGCCTATCAGACAGCAGCCAGCACCCGCAGCAGAGAAGACGGACCCTTGGCACGCCTCGCAGCACTGAGATTTGGCCTGCAGGGATCGCCAGTCGCCGTTCCGGCACCGACGCCCAGGTCCCCAAGATTTGACTCCCGGAAGGCCACGATCTAGAACTCCAGCCGCTCACCCACTTTGATAACCTTATGTGCTTTCAGACTGTCTACTTTGCTACTCTGGAGAGGTTCGACTGCCAGCCATTCACCCAACAAAGACAGGCTGAGCGAAGACGGGTCCTCTGATATCGCCTCAAGTCCCCTAGGCCGTCGCCATTTGGCACTTGCACTTGACCTGCCGACAGGAGGGGTGGCTGACTCACCTGGGTGTGCTCAGTGAAAACGGTTGCCCTTACACATTTGTGTTTCCTCAAGTCTTCACCCTCCGACTCCTCCGGCGCTTCTTCCTCATCTTGTCTTTTCAAGGATCTCAACATGGCTTCATTGGACATAATTGACCACTCTCCTCATCATCCGCAGCCCTCCGCCGCTGTGCCCACCGCCTCCAATCTCGTCCTCATTGACAACTATGACTCCTTCACGTACAATGTGTACCAGTACCTAGTCCTAGAGGGTGCTACTGTCACGGTTTTTCGCAATGATCAGATCTCTCTTGAAGAACTCATCGCCAAGAAGCCCACGCAGCTCGTCGTCAGCCCCGGGCCGGGCCACCCTCGCACAGATTCAGGCGTGAGCAGAGATGCCATCCGCCATTTTGCCGGCAAGATCCCCATCTTTGGCGTGTGCATGGGGCAGTGAGTCTACCCCAACCACCTGGTCACCTCTCAACTCTTCGTTGACCGACGATGCAGGCAATGTATACTAGATGTGTACGGTGGCGACGTCAGCCAGACCGGCGAGATTCTGCACGGCAAAACCTCGCCTCTAGTTCACGACTCCAAGGGCGTCTATCGCGGCATGTCTCAGGATCTTCCGGTCACGAGATACCATTCTCTTGCTGGGACTCATGTGTCAATCCCAGACTGCCTCGAAGTGACCTCGTGGATTGCCAAGGAGGACGGCTCAAAAGGTGTCATTATGGGCGTTCGCCACAAGGAGTTCACAATCGAGGGTGTTCAATTCCACCCAGAGAGTATTCTCTCTGCCGATGGACGGACTATGTTCAAGAATTTCCTGCTGACCCAGGGCGGTAACTGGAAGGGAGACCAAGAGCTCCGCAAGGATGCAGTGACAAATGGCGCGCAGAATCCAGGAAGCGCACCAAAAAAAAACAATATTCTGCAGCAAATATACGCTCACCGTAAAGCGGCCGTTGCGGCGCAGAAGCAGATACCATCCCAAAGGCCTGCGGACCTCCAAGCCGCCTACGACCTCAACTGCGCTCCACCACAGATCCCGTTCGTCGACCGCCTGCGACAGACTCCTTTCGACATCTCGCTGCTGGCGGAGATCAAGAGGGGCTCACCCTCGAAAGGCGTCTTCGCTCTCGATATCAACGCGCCGGCACAAGCAAAGAAGTACGCACTGGCGGGTGCAAGTGTCATTTCGGTCCTGACGGAGCCTGAGTGGTTCAAGGGCAGCATCGAAGACCTGCGTGTAGCGCGTCAGGCCCTTGAGGGTATGCCCAACCGACCTGCCATTCTTCGGAAGGAGTTCGTCTTCGAAGAGTACCAGATCCTCGAAGCGCGTCTTGCCGGGGCCGATACCATCCTCTTGATTGTGAAGATGCTTGACGCAGAGCTTCTCGAGAGGCTGTACAAGTACTCCCTCTCGCTGGGAATGGAGCCACTGGTCGAGGTGCAGAACGCCGAGGAAATGACGACTGCCATCAAGCTTGGTGCGAAGGTGGTTGGCGTGAACAACCGCAATCTCGAAACCTTTGAAGTCGACCTGCGTACCACGAGGAGTTTGCGGGGCATGGTACCCGAGGATGTCATAATCTGCGCCCTCAGCGGTATCAACACCCACGCGGACGTCCAGGACTGCAAGAATGACGGCGTGAATGCCATCCTTGTTGGCGAGGCCATCATGCGAGCTCCCGACACAGCCAAGTTCATCCAGGAATTATGTTCAGGTACCACGACGCTCTCCCCTAAAGTCGAGACTCAACCGCTGATTGTGAAGATCTGCGGAACCCGTAGCGCCGAAGCTGCCGCCGAAGCCATCGAGGCTGGGGCTGACTTGATCGGCATGATCTTGGTACCTGGGACCAAACGTTGCGTATCGCACGAGACCGCCCTAGCCATCTCGAAGGCAGTCCAGGACAGTCGCTCTCGCGGGCAATCAGCACAGCCGGAACTTCCACCAGATGAGGCTCAAGATTTCTTTGCAGGGGCCAAGCGTACCTTGACTGGCAAGGGCGCCTCACTTGTTGGCGTTTTCATGAACCAGCCTCTGCAAGAGATCCTCGAGAAGCAGATACTGTATGGCTTGGACGTTGTTCAACTTCACGGCAGAGAGCCTGTTGAGTGGGCCCATCTTATACCTGTTCCCGTCATTCGGAAGTTTCAACCCGGCGAACCTGGACTAGGGCTCCGTGGGTACCACACCATTCCCTTGTTGGACTCTGGCTCGGGTTCTGGTCAACAACTCGACCATGCCGCCGTTCGGAAGGACCTGGAGAAGGATGAGAACTTGGGCGTCCTATTTGCCGGTGGATTGAACCCGGACAATGTTGCCAAGTCAGTGTCTGCCATAGGTCCTCTCTCGGCTAGGATTGTGGGCGTCGATGTGAGCAGCGGTGTTGAAGAGGCTGGCCAACAAAGTATAGACAAAATCAGGGCATTTGTCAAAGCTGCCAAGTCCATCAGATAGACTAGGCTCCACTAGCGCTCGGTCTGCGAGTTGATGTTCGAGGACAGTGTTCACAATGCGATGCACGCCCACCTACCCACCTGCCGCCTCCCCGCATTGCTGCATTGCCGCTGATTTCGATGCCTTCTTCGCGTTCACGAATTCTGAATGGACTTCAAGATGACCCAAAACATTGTGGCTGTGGCGCAGCCGAAGTATATTGTACCCCCGGCATTGTTCTAGGCGTGGCTTGATTATGCTCCGAGGCTTCTGCGACTCTCCAAATCGGGTGATGGCGATGCCGTTGATAGCGTTCCACTTACAAGCCGGGCCAAACGGACCGTGAACTATTGGGGTCAAGAGCATCGAACACCTGCGCGACGCCCGGCTCATGAGGACGAACGCCCCGACAGGAATGCACTTGTTGATTCCGCGGCGGTTTTCCCGGGTCATTCCTCATTGGTAAGCCTCCACTTGCCCAAAGCCGGTGGAGGATGAGGTTCACACTTCGTTTCAGCCAGGTCAGGGAAGCCTCCCCGACTCATGGAGAGACAGTACGCATAATGCTTGACCATCTACACCTCCAACCATCTGTGCTCTTGGAATGCAATCCCACAACATTCTGATGCAAAGAGCCGTGATCCTAAGCGCGGACATATACCGTTCCCCGAATCCGATGTGGGCACTTGTACACTCGTCGTCTCTCCTTGGCCCGAGCCCCTGCACCCAGCTTGCTGCATTGATCCGCCTGCTTGGCTTATGCCTGTCTCGAGCCATAGAGGAGCTTACTACATGGACTATCAGCTTGGGCGTTCGACAGCTTGTGAAAGCGAGATGGGACCGTATTCGGGTCCCTGTCCCTATGAGTTACAACTATGCTCGCATACTTGGTACGACATATGAGCTTCAGCATAGTGTCACACCTGTCTACATGCGGCATCGCTCAACGCCCTCCGCTGCTTGTCGGGGTCCGGGCAAACACCGCGGAATCTATGGAAGCTTCCGCCTCGAGCTCCAAGCCGCGACGTCTGACACGATGGCACTCATTCATGCGTTGGGCGGGGAGGTAGCTGTAGCTCCATGATATAAAGGCACAGCTCTGCTCCCTCTTGGGGCAGCTTGAAGACCAGCTCATCAACAACAACCGCCTCAGATCCTACAGTCTCAGCTCTCTTCACACACCTTCACAATAACAGTACTTCCCGGAGAAGTCAAACCACCACCACTTATCAAGATGTCGACCTTTGTGAGCATTGGATGGATTCCCCTGGTGAAGGATGCCGACAGCAGCTCCGCGGTGGCCAGCCTCAAGGGTCTGAAGGACCAGAAGCTGGCGACTCCAGGTCTTGAGCACGCTTACTACGGCACACCGACCGACCCCAACGAGCCCAAGGCTGCCGAGATCATAGATGGTGAGTTCCCATGATGGACGGTCCAGCTCCTCTTCACTGGTAACTGACCTACTACAACAGTCTGGGCTTCTCCGGACGCGGCCAAGGCATTCGGCGCAAGCTCCCATATCGCGGAGGTCAAGAAGCTGTTCGACTCAATCACTGACACGTCCAACCCGAAGGCCCGCCCCGTCCACAACCTCTTCACCCTCAACGGCGACTTCGTCAAGGTTGCCGAGTCCCCCGTGACGCAGATCGCGGCCACTTTTGTGCCCACCTCGGTCAGCACCGCCGACTTCGAGGCCGCCTTCAACGAGGTCTTGAAGGCAGGCGGTGCGCCGCCTGATGGGTTCATTGCAGGGGCTCACGGATGGAGCCTTGAGGAAATCGATCACCCTGAGGCGGGCAAGGCCAAGGTGTTCCTGGCGACGAGCGGATGGGCGAGTGACGAGAAGGCCAAGGCGGCCAGCGCGGGAGCGGAGAAGACCTTTGAGCCGTTGAAGAAGTTCACCGAGCACCACCATGTGCGCACCACCGTCCTCACCAAGGAGAAGTAAGCTGGTAGCTCTATAGGTCATTCTCTGGGAAGATCTGGTTCAGCAATTCTGGGAAAGCGACAGACATTCACAGGTTACGTATGCACCGTACACTCACCTGTGGATTGGTATCAAAATTATAACGTGCCATATGAGCATCTTCTCCGGAGCTCTGAGGCTTCCTTCCGAACGTGTCGTGAACCGGGCAAGTTGGTCAGCATCTTTTGTGTCAAACGGTCTAAGAAAGCCTTCTCACCTTTCTCTCTTCGGAGCGCGGTTGCTCTAAGCTTCGGTGGACTGAACGCGCCTCGTTTCCCAGCTTGAATGTGGCCCAGACTACTGAACAGAAACATTCCCTTTATCCTGCCAGTGTTCGGCTCTGGCTCAAGTTTTCCAAGTCAGACTCAGGCATTCGCGACTGGCTGACCGTCTCTCATGTCAATGGCACTCTTTCCTGACCTTGTGCTCCTTCCAGCCATCACCTGAAGAAAAAGACCAGCATCCGCCCTCAACATCTCTTCTGACTGCGCTGGCATCATTCTGCAGGCACTCGGAGCATTTTTGGCGTTTGCTGTCTGCCCTGCAAGCCCAGCATCTTCTCTACCGGCAGCTGTCTCACCCAGGTCGTCTTTCTTGCTTCCCTACATCGAATTTCGGGTCAGAGAACCTTTTCTCTTCCAGATACTTCCCCATAGCTTCGTCCTTGACTCCACAAGCGGTCCTCACCCTCACACATTCCAGCAAGTCCCAACATTCCCCCTGGATCATATCGGTCTCAATGGTTCTGTGAACCTTGCAGCTTCCCAACTTGGCTTTCCGTCGTCCGGAATCCTCTTCAGCACACGAGGTGCCCGTACGGTTCCATTGCCTCTTTGCTCTCGCTTGATTGAGCAACCAATCACATAAGCCCTCGCCCCGTTCCCACACAGCATGCATCATCACCTCGACGGCGTCGTCGTGTGCATTTGGTGACCCACGCTTCGACAAAGACAACAATCGACACATCCGTGACCAATTCACCGAGGAGAACGTCAGCAGATGGCTGAAGTACCGCGGCGGCAAGCTCGTTGACGAAGTCACCAAGGCTACCACTCATCTAATCTGCTCCAGAGCTACCTTCAACAAAAAGGGCAACCCAAAGGGTAAGTTTTCCGGCCTGCTTGTGTCGAGCTATCTCTGTTTTTGAGCCGGCGAATGTTTGTTGAGCATCATCTGACCATGTTTAAACACACGTACAGTCAAGGCGGCTCGGAAGTATGGGTGCGAAATCGTCACTTACGAGTGGCTGACTGACACATTCCAGCTGTGGGACTACCAAAGGAAAAAAGCCCCGCCCAGTCTTTATCACCCCGCAAAGCCTCGCGATGGCGATGCCATATCAAATCTTTTCATAAAGAGCGAGACGAAACCTAAAGCTGCGAAGAAGGAGTCACCTGCTGCAACGGATGCCACTGCTGTGAAGCACGATGATGATGCCCGAGCCGCAGAAGAAGTTGCCGAAACTGGGATGAAGCGCTTAGCTATCTCCGAAGAGAAAGACTCTCAAACGGGCTCCGAAGAGAAAGACCGTCATAACGTCTCTGAATCTGGAGAGGAAAAAGACACAAAAGTAACTGATGACATGGAGGGAGCAAGCACGCCCGTCAGCAAAGAGAGCGGCAAGCCGACTGGGAAGCCGGAGAAGAATGCAAAAGTCACGGTTGAGCAGCCTCCCGTTGACCTCAGCCTCTATGTCATCTGCAAAGACGAGTCCGGTCTACACCAGATTGAGGTTTGGAAACCTGACAGGCATGGAAACCGGCGAGGCTGCCGATGGGTCCTCGAGCTGTACGAGTCGAAGTCAGAACCGAAGACGTACTTGTTCGGCGCAAGGAAGTACCCGATGCAAGGCTCTAGCGCTTGTACCACGCGCTTCTCAAGCGAGGCTTCTGGAGACAAGAGGCATGAGTTCAAAAAGTACAGATCTTCGTTTCGGCAATGCACGGGGGTCCGCTGGAACCAAAGGGACTCGATGCCTAGCAAGGGGCCGTTTTACTATCGGTTCCCAGTTGTCCCGGGAAACAAGATTGGAAGTGCCAGCCACGAGAATAAGTCGAAAGAGCTTGGAGGAGAGAAAGTACAAACGACAAGCCACGTGGCCGACCACCGCGATCACGAGGCTTCTTCCAAGAGGAAAAGGACTTTCTCAGAGGAACGACCGGCCAAAGCCTTCAAGGTAACAAAGCCTTCGGTCGCCAGCAACTCGGCCAAGGGCACCAATGGGGGGTCCAAGACCGTTCAAACTTGATTTGACCCAGCGTGGTAACGTGAGCGGAGTGTGTCTAATCACTCATCATCGGATTGCTCGTTTCTCCCATGCTTTTGCTTCCAGTTTCGACTGAATGGTCGGTAAGATCTGGCCAGTCTCTAGGGCATGTTGGAGGAGCAGAGGCGCCTAGACGGGAATAAGTCGCCTCACGGCCACAGTGCAGTCTTTTGCTTTTCTCTCCATGCGCGACTCCACGAGCAAGGCGCATGCGCTGGTGCTGGATGAAACGGGGTACGGCGATGGCTTTTTTGAGAACCATGATTAATTGGGTGGTGCCTTGGGTTGGTCGGTGGGTGTATACATGATCGACGGGACGCATGTGGAGTGGCTTTCAGCGTGAACTGGACGATTAAAACCAGCGAAACAACAGACAATGCGATGAATTGAGACATTTTTGACCTACTCAAGAGTCTGCTGCATCGACACAGGTAAGACCCCTCGAAACCATGATGGTATTATGACCAATGACCGGTCTTGCAGCGCCCTGAACGCCCTCTTGCTCTTGATGCAGTGTGAAAGACTATAGTCAAAGCATTGCGTGGGTATCAGAACCGCAGTTTTGGCAGCACAAAAACAACGAGTACCAGCACGACCATCAGTCCGTAGATCCAGGCATACAGTATAATCCGTCCCCACCAGCCCTTCCCTTCCGTCATCCGCGTCAGCGCCCCCATCCTCCTCGCGGCAGCCTCGAGGCCGAGCTCGTTTTTGCTGAGCCCTTTCGCAGCCTGCTCGGTCATCTCCTTGTCCTCCTCGAGCGCCTCGCTGAACCTTAGGGACGACAGTTTCAACTCCTTGGTGATCTTGCTCATCGCCTCCGTGATTTCTTCCTGCTCTCTTCGCTCACGGTCGAGAATGGCTTCCTTCGTGGCGACATCTGACACGTCTGCAGAGCGGTCCCCCAAGAGCAGGGATCGTTGTGTGGTGGCGCCTGTGGTTTGTGCTGTGTCCAAGTCTTGGTTTGCTTTCTCCGGATCTGATGGCGCGGGCTGTTGGCCTCTCGGCCGGAGAGTATGTGACGTCAGGGTGTCCGGTTTCTCTGATATTACTTCCTCCAGCGTCTCTACAACACGTCCGCTGCTTCCATTCTGTCGCGGTTCGGTCGGCGGTGGTGCCTGTAGTATGTTGTTTCCTTGATCTTCTTTTGCCGTGTCTTTTTCGAGTACATCTGTCGATCTGGAGTCCAAGCTCTGACTTGGGGTCGCAATTATCCCGCTCAATATGTCGTCTTCTTCCGAGCTTACGTCGTCATCGTCGCCGACGGCATGCGCGCTCAGCTCTTCCAAGTCCCTCAGCCTATCCGTCACCTGTTCCAGGAGGTCGCGCTTCCGGTTGAGGTCGGCCTGTACCTCCTGTCTTCTCGCAAGTACTTTGATTCCCAGCGCATCTTGCTGCAATCTCGTGAGCAGCAGCCGCGCATAGTCGATATTCTGGCGCAGCACATCATGTTAGTCTACAGCCATGCTTGGATAGCGCGACACTTCATCTTACGACAGTGACTTTCTCGCGCTCGAACTCGCTGGTCCTGAGTCTCCGTTCCCGTTCCGCATCGGCTCGAAGAATGGTCTGGCGGAGACGGCCGAGCAGTCGATCCAAGTCGATCAGCGGGTCTGTTGGTTTAGATGTTTGGGAAGGAGCTAGAGGATCGAAGGTGGTTTGTGCCATGGCGCACAGGATGTGGAGTTATTGCTGTCTAGGAGATGTTTGTTGTTGTTCTTGGATCGGCCATATATGCTTTCAGGATTGGAGAGACGGCTCGTCGTTGACAAGCAATGAACACTGTGGCGCGAGCTCTCCATAATCCAGATACTGGGGATCGGGCGTGGCTGACAGGTGACGGGCATCCCCTGCGCATGCTTACAGGTACCTGGAGGCCAGGGTATCCGGGTACCTGGGTATCTGGACACACAATACACTCCTGACCAGGCTACCGCCTCAAATGCTACCGGCGGGGGTTCTCGTGTACGGTGAATTTGCTAGTCTTCCATACTCTCAATACCATCACCTTGAGTTGGCGTTTTTAAATTTCATATGATACTCACATGGTACTATTTGTAGTGTGTGTGTATTCACTGCTACTTGGGTGAATGCATGCTGAGACTACCTAGCAAGTACCTCGATACAGGTACCCACCTCCGAGTGGGTTAGTAGCGCTGACCTTAAAACAACCCTGCGCCCCAGCTGGTCTTCAACTTTCCGGGCCTGACACCCTTGAGGCTCAACGGCCATCCCTCTCCAAGGGAACTTCTGCCTCGCCTGGGTATCTTTGGGTACTCCTGGATATCCCGCATCACATCTATTGTTTGACGCCAAGAGTCATTCCCTCACATCCTTACCGGCGGTCATTGATCTATCACGGTCCCGGCACAATGGCGAAAGAAAAGCAGGTCGCGACTGACTTTCAGAAGATCATAACCGAAGGTGCGCCCTTGTCGCACGTCGCACGTCGCACGCCGCAAACCCTTTGAGTCGCGAGCCTAACAATGCTTTTTTGGTATCTACAGGTCGAGAGCGCAAACAGGCCCAGGAACTTGCTGCGAAGGTCTTTAGGAGAGACCGTGTCTCGTCAGCACCTCCCAAACTCAATGCCACCGGAGGCTCCCTCGCAAGCCGCGCCGGGATCAAGAAGGTGAGCGCTGCCCCGTCGTGATCAGCTCGGCACGGCACAGCACCACTCGCGCAGAAGCTGACAAAAGGGCTCGCGCCCGATGCGAACAGCGAGCACCAGCGTCGCCAGCAGCAGCAGCACCGAGACCCGGCAGCCTCGCTGCTCGCATCCACGCTCCTGGGACCCAACCCGCATCTGCGACCACAAATACCCGGGCACAACGCCGCGCTGAGGCTCGACAAAATGCCCTGCTGCAGGCGGAGCACGACTCGACCCTCGCAGCCCAGGTGAACCTGGTCAACAGCAGGAACAACAATGCGAGTCTGGGAGGCAGGAGACGGGGCGGAGGGCTTCAGCAAGTGGCAGCGCGACCATCGCCACAACCACTGAACACCGGTATCACCATACGAGGCCTGGCTGGGCCATTCGTGGTTATAGCCCAGAACTTAGCCCCCGGAACAACGGCTGGTGACCTTGAGAGCGCGATGATGCCCGTTGGTGGGCTCGTCAGCAAGTGCCGGATCATCAAGACCCACCCAATAGTGATCGCTGAGATCGAGTTCCAGACTAAGGAAGGTGCTGATCGGGTCATTGAGAGGTTCAACAACCAATTGGTAAGAACAAGAGCCATGACCCGTTCCATGCGGCTCGCACATGACACACAACACGGTACTGATGCGCTCTCTTAGGCCGACGGACGGGTTCTACACGTCTATGCCAAGGTTGGAGGCCCGCCAACCAGTCCCGCCCGAGCAGCCCCTCGCGCTCCAGCCTCACAGGGTAATGGTGTCCTAGTTGATGGCTCATTGGGGTTTGAGCCCATGCAGGTGGAGGAAAGCAGCAACACAGGACTGTACAGTGATGATCTCGTTAGCTCGACGACTACACAGGCCTACAACCGAAGGGGTCGAGGATTCCGAGGCGGTCGAGGTGGCAACAGCCGTTAGGGACGTTTTGCTGCCGATCACGACGGGAACTCGCGACGCACAGATCATTTTGATCGGTTCGAAGGTCATTATCAGCCCAGGAGTTGGTATGGTGACAACACATGGCCGGATCAGTATCAAGACCGATCACCAAGCAACTCGGGCTACGCTTCGGAACAGAGGCCACACGACCGGGCTTATTGAAACTGGGCCATATCAAGCCCAACAGCACACGCGCTTCGTAAATCCCCATCACACGGCTGCGACGGCAACCTAGATAATACTACGATCGTGTTGTCATGAACGAGTCCGAAGAAGGCTATCAATTGTTCGCGGCTCGAGGGATAGCATCAATGGCCCCTTCGTTTCAGGATTGCTGAGGAAGTAGACGGCAAGATGTTTATGTACTGATAGGAGATTATCAATCCACACGGCATGCCTTCATCTACTCATTGTCTATGCAACTCACTGAACTGGGCGCATGAGCTTCGAATCACCAAAGAAAAGTTGGGGGTGAAAGAGAAAAAAAAAACATGAAGACACTGCACTCCTGGTGAAGGAGGTATGACGAATCAATACCTTCAGAGCTTGGTTCATCAATTTCTCACATTGGCGTTGCTGAAATAGTCGCCTTCAGCAGGGATTATGACATAGAAATGAAATGTTGGGGGAAGAGGAACGACATGGGCTGCCACCAATATGCCCGAACTGCAGAGCATAGGGCCACTTGAGCTGAGCCATGTGGCAAAGAGCCCAGCCAGGTTGTAATTGAACCACAAGTGCGTGTATTCCCGAGTATCTGCCACAATGCTACCTTCTTCGACATTGGACCAACAATGGGCATCCTTGAAATTACCCATCCTCCCTAGTTTCTTCTTCAGGCGTCTGGTGCTCCTGACCATCGTTGGCTTTAGTGGCCCTGCTTGGGTCGAGTGATAACTCATGCATGTGTCTATATTTGAGAGTTGCGATCATCACCCGTAAATCGACTAGAACATTCTCATTTCATACCCACACCAAGGTAGGTCACCTCGTTGTGAGAAACAAGTGAGAAGATGAAGAGGGGGGCATCAAAATCATTCGTCCATCTAGCCCTTGTTCCTTCAAGTACCTAAGTATTCATACCTTGTCTGACCCTCTTCAACTGAAGAATCTTGGCTCAACTGCGTTACTGTTTCATGAATGATCGACCATAACCTGTTTGATGCCTAATGCTCCTACTTCCAAGGTTGCTACTCTGCCATTATTGTACCTTCGTTTTTCCAACGCATACATCCCTTGTATGATCAAGTAATTTATAACGACATCTGTTTTCTTCAAATAAGACTTACAAAAGGCTTGAAAGGTGGCCCCGATGGCAAAGGATTCTCGTAATTTCCAAGTATTTCCAGCTCCTTCCTTTCTTCCCTACCATAGCGGGTCTTGGTCGAGATCTGAGCTCGTTTCAAGAGAGATAGCAATGGAACTATTCTGAAAATTGAAATTCTGTTCAAATACGGTTATGCTTGCAAATACTACCTGTGAGACCGCTGTGGTCCCCGTATATTTCCGTAGCAAGTGATTTGGGAATGCATCACCGGGGATTTGGCCCGGTTTATTCAATGGTCAAAGAATTCGTCGATGTGAGGATTTCCAGTAAATCGACGGAACAGACTGACCTAATCCTACTCGACATCACTATCTCATATTTAAGTCGGTGACATGAGGTTTCATATCTCCATGAATATTCCGCTTCACTTTATCAGCAGACGGTCGGTCTGCCTTTGATTGAAAGGGGTCCAAGCTTGATGGTTTGGAATTAGCGAGGTCATCTCTACTCAGCAGTCAATCGATCGTAAAATGGAGGGTACCGTTCTGTGCATGCCATATTCTCTTGAGATGTTAGCAATGTTTCAGTTCGGTTACTCTCTGCCATAAATTTGCCCATGGGGGAATCAACTGTTGCCACTGTATAGCAGGTTTGCATCAAACACTTTTTCCAAACATAGGGCAGGACCTCTTTGGTTTCAAAGCCCGATCACTGACTAGGATTCTGGCATGCTTTTGAAAGACTGAGGCACTACGAAGCCGTGGACGATGCGCTACAAGCACATTGAAGCTACCTAGGTAATCTAGCCCCGTAAGGCTGATTCTCGATCGCCGTCACTCCAGTGCCATTGACACACAAACAACAAATGTACTCAGAACCGTGCGCACGGGGGACCATTAAGCCAGCCGTACCAGGCAAACAGTCTGGAAACCCCGGTTGTCTCCGTCTCAGGCGGCACAGAGCCAATACCTCAGAGCAGACAGGTGAACTTGTCACGCGATGAAGAACACAATGCCGTTGTAGTGCACGGCAATACACGGTCAGGACGCCCCCCAACACCACATGAGCTTCTGAAATTTTTTGGTCCATGCCCGTTTCCAACCGAAACAGAGACATAAGGATTCCAATGCCATCCTTGGAGAGGTAAAAGGGGGGTTATCTGTGTTGACATCCGCTGCAAATTGATGTCCGAACAGTGATACGTACTGAAGGGGAGATGGACAGGCTGGACCTGGCAAACAAGGTGCACAGCGGGCGAAGTGAGGGTGCCGAATGGGACAGATCGATGCCAGGCATACTGTAAGACAGCTCAGTATCTAAATCCTCGGGCATATGTGAAGCGCAGTGACACAGTTGGAGATTTCTGTGCCGTCGACTGCAACAGCGTAATCTGTACAACTTGTACTATGAGAACTCTCTTGTGCCTGTGCTACACCTCATGCATTGTGGCTGTCGAAAGGACCAAATACTTCTATACTTGTGGATCACCGTGGTATGGCCATACGTAGAATAGGTGTTGCGACGTGGCAGTTGCGTCGTCATTATGTTGGGGCGGAATCCGTCACCAGCGTTGGTGTCACGCGTAGTGCCTTCCACCGAGATCAAGGATGCAGCAAGTAGATCAGCACGTCCAAGCAGCTGTAGCTGGATTCAAGTCTTATTCTCAGGTCTATGTACACGGGACTCCCAATAGACCCAGTTCAATGGGGTGGGTGAGGCCGAGACAGCGGCGGAGTTTCGCCGACTCCCTCCACATCTTCGAGGGGGTACGACGTTTGCGGCAGCGATTGGAGGTGCTCGCGGTGATGCTCGTTGGCCTAATAAATTAGGTTAGCCATGTTAGCCCGTGTAGTTGTGTGCGTGGTGGCCCAGCCCGTGGATGTAAACGTACGTATGGCAGGCCGCAGTAGTTGCAGACGGCAATCTCGGGCTTGTCGGTGTTGATGAAGATCCGGGGGTGTCCGTGAGGACCGCCGCCGCCATCACAAGACACAATTCGGTCGTGGGTCCAGCGGACGGGCTGCTTGTGGATGAGCTCCATGGCCGAGTAGGATTGGGGCTGCGGTGATGGTTAGCATCTTGTGAGAGTCGCGGCCGCGGCCTGTCCTCGCAGCATGCGCACCTGGAGATCGAAGTCTGTCTGCTCGAAGCGGGGGCCCGTCATGGCCTCATTCCGTGGGCGCTGACTCCGGGACCAGATTCCCTTCCTGTTTGGCGCCTGGGGCAGCTCTGCCGGCAGCTGGCTCTCGGTCTTTGGCACGGGAGACTCTGTCGAGGGCGTGGGCGCCACGGACTTGGTGTCCAATTGGCGGGCTGTGGTGGTGAAGGTCCGTGGCGCGAGCCGCGCCAGCCCACGGGCAGATCGGAGGCAAGTCGACGACAGCATGGTGAATGGTGGCCTCGTCCAATGCGTGGTTCGGGTCGTGAGAGTCGCTGCTGAGCTCGTAGTGTTGCGATGTCAGGAGCCTTGGAACGGTCGTGCGTAACAGAGGACGCTGCGGCAAATCACCGGCTTGTGATTCGCCAGTTGGTCCTGGTCAAAGCTCCACTGAGCCGCAAGCGGGCCCATGTCGCTAATAAACCCATGCATGGGAACTTTTTATCTAGGTGAATCGCAGCGGGATTCCAAATCGCGCTGTCTTGAATTTCTATGCAGCTCTAAAAGACAACCAAGTTACGAGCACACTTATCCCGCAGTCTTCTCCAGGCGCACCCACGACCGGATCCAGAAGCCAATCGCGACCAGAGTGTTTCTTTTTGGCACAGCCATCTCGCAACGCCGTGCTCCGTACTTCGGCGCAAGGCGGTCGAACAATTGTTGACAACCGCCCCGAGACATAACTTGCCGACGCAATGGCTTCTCAAACGCCCACGGGCGCCTCCCAGAGGCTTCTCACAATGAAATTCATGCAGAGAGCGGTGGCAGCAGCTTCGTCACCATCGTCGCCGAGCACCCCGACGTCCGACGACGGGCGCGCTTCCAAACGTCGCAAGACCTCTGGCCAGTCGCCGACGGGTACGCCCCAGACACCAAGCTACCTCATAGATCACAAGGCTGCGCAAGCTGCAAGGGAAGAGGAAGAAAAGAAACGACAGGAGCATGCGGCGAGGCAGGCGGAGAAGCTGGGCGACTCGCACTGGGTTCTCGACGCCGCGAAGCTCCCCGGGCCAGACCGGCAGGCTGGCAAGCTCCTCAATGTGGTGCAGGTCGGGTTCTCACAGATTGACTCTAGAGGAGGGGTGGAGGACGAGCAGGCCGGCGTGGAAGACAACATCGGGACAGACGGACCGAGCCTCAAGACATATGGCCCCAGAAAGGAGGCCATCAAGAACGACGCAAGTTTCTAACCACACTGCCTGACTGGGCACATGCTGATATCTATTCGAGTTACAGGAAAAGAGCGACGACGACTCGGATAGCGACTCTTCAGATTCCGGATCATCTGATTCGTCCAGCGAGGACTCAGCCAAAGAAGCACCCAACCAATCTGGCAGGGCCAGCTACGGCTCACAAAAGCGCCGCGAAATTCATTCCAGGCAAAGTGCTGAACGTGAGAGAGTCCAGAAGCTGGCCAAAGAGCGTCGCAAGAAAGAAGTCAAGCTGAACACACTGACTTCGATTTCTGGTGGCTCAAACAACTTTGGGCGACGCAAATGAGCAGAATCCTCTGATCCAGAGGAACTCCCCTGATCATCACCCATATTTAAACGTCTGAGCCGTCTAACATACATAGAGGTGATTTTTCGACTATGTCTTGGACCTGACTCTTACGTGCAGCTGGCAGAAGACATGGAGTAGTGGGATATGAAGGCGGTACGGACGAGTGGTGTTGAATCCGGCTGAAGCTGGTGTCAACTAAGGAAAGTATGGAATGGCGGATCTCGCCGTGGTTTCCAAGCAGGTGGAGGTGCTCTTGCTACCCAAACATTGCAGAACCAGCCCTCCTTCATGGACGTCGTAATGATGGCGCAACAGCCTGCATGCATCCGGTCGCTTCTCGAGTATCTCTCGGGCATGCCGAACTTCAAGCGCGGAACACCGTAGCATGGCGCGTTCCAGTGAGGCGGTTTGACTTTGCCAGCTGTGGGCTTCCGACCTAAGCGTTTCGACGTTGCAGTCTTCCGAGACCTGTTCTAGGCCATATGACTCGCTGCTATGGTTTCCAAGACAAGATGCCTTCAGGCTAGGAAAGAAACATGCCGAACACCACCCATCAGCCAATATCACAGAGCACATATTGACATGGCGTGTGGTTCTGGTAGTTCGTACGATTTCTGAATTCAAAAAGCTTATAGCTCCGTGGGCATTGGCATGCGTTCTAGTCGAGACGTGTTTGAGCGCGAAGCCACTATCCCTCTCTAGTTCTTGCTACTGCTTAACTCGGCCCACTCACTCCTCCGAAAGTCTAGTGCATGCAACCACGCTGTTGCAATGTCCGCGTTCAAACGAAACCTAACTAAACGATAAGGCTGCTTGGTCTTGATGACTGGCCCGTGTTCCATGCGCAGACGAAGCACTCACAGGTAGCCCCGAACATAGAAAACTTAACCAGGGTCCCGTAACAGACCTGTCGTGGCCAGGCCTGCTTACGGGAAGCGAGGGCTTCAAGTCTGACGGGATTATCTACGTACCGCGTACCTTAGGATACACTGCCATGTGGGGGAACTTTGGTCATGCATACAGGATACTCCCGACTACCTTTCCGTGATCTCGTTCTCGTACTCTTATAGGCCTGAGAAACATTCGCTAGTTTGGGATGTCTGCAAGCCGTAGATCGATCAAGGTACCCTATGTTACGCCAACTTGCTGGCAGGTCCTTGGGGGGATCTCGACAGCTTCCCCGGGTCTCGTGAATCCAAATCAGGATCAAAGTTCATCCAAGTCACAGTCGGCATAACTGCCGAGGTGTCACTATTGCATGTCATCTTTGACAAACGTCCCAAGGTGTCGCTCATCAGACGCCTTTACGCCTGCTCCGCCCCAAGACACGGTCATCGAAGGTCTCAAGCTTCGTTGTCAGTGGAATAAAACGTCCGGGCGTGCTTCGTTGTACCCGGTTCGCACTTCATAGGACGTTGTGCATGCTATGCCGGGCCGAATCTGCCGGCAGTAGCCTGCCCGGGTTGGATGAGATATCGGGCACGCCTTTTCTCCAACTGCCCGAGTGATAGCGTCCATGGGCCCGTAGCAGTGCATATTCAGCTAGGACTTGCAGGGCAGGGGCAACAGAGGTGTGTTGTGCATCTTCTGCTCACAGTCGCAAACTCGCCCCGGCTATCACAGGAACCAGCACCGGGGAACCACACCGGGCGCTCGAGCGGGCGGGCGGGCCTTCGGCCGGGTACGAGTTATGGGAACCCACGAGATGTCGAGTCGCCAACCGGGATTGCCCCGTGTTAGGAAAACCGCGGAGCCGCGCTGGGTATCATCTTGGCCCAGGTGCATGGCCTGGAACGATGATCTTACCACCTCGCAGTCGATGTCCCGCCTGTGACGAACGCGGACAAGATTCTCGAGACGTGCCATTGCCACGAGCTGAAAAAGGTGCTTATTATTTCAGGAACTGGCGGCCGCCCTGCGCACGTCCAATGGCATACGGCCCTGGGTACCTTCGGATCCGACTCATGGGTCAAGATATTTCGTCTGAGCTTTTGGGACTGTTAGGCCATAATGATGCGTGCTGTTTGTGTCCACCGAGAATTTCAACTTAGAACACACAGCCAAACGCGGCCGACAGATCTGCGCTGCCGCTCGCGTCTCATTTGATGCAGCTCGTCCCTGGATGCATGACTTGCACCAGCAAGGGTCATACATGAGCACGATGTGCTGTATGTATGTACATTTTTATGTGTCTATGTATGTAGTACGGTGGTTCGGTCGAGACCACGGCACATCTGGGCCAGCCCGAACCTCTATGGTCCCTCGCCAATATCGCCCAGTTGATGCTTGTCAAATCCGCAAGGTGACAGCTTGTGCTGACCTCGTCCATCGGCGAGTCCCAGATCAATCGAGAGCCGGCATGTTCGTACTCATAGTTTGGGAATCGAGCGCAACTGGTGACCTCTCTCTTTCGAGGCACGGCCTGGAATGTGCATGAGAAAGGATTGATTGCCACACCCCAGTAAGGTCTTGATCCTTTCTGCTGGTGTCAACACGGCAGTCAAGGAGCTAGCGTGCGCTGCTTGTGCCGTCCCGATGGGTCGGATCAGTTCCCTGGGCGCGGCACAGCTTTCAGAGCCAGGTTCACAGGGCTAGTTCAAGCTGACTTGGAGACAGGATGCAGCGCCGCTGGCCTCAAATCCTCCGTACCGCTCCTGTTGGTCTGCGTCCCCATTGCACTGGTACTTGACTCCATGGCGGGACAACACGTCCAAAGGGCCAGCGTGCTGTGCTGTTACGGGACCAGACAGATTGGAAGTGAAACCGATGATCCCAGGTGCCAGTGACGGCATGGCAGGCGGTGTGGGGATATTCTGAGGAAGACAACGGGTCACATTTGTTCGTCCCGACTCATTGACGGCGCTTGCTGGCTGGTCTGCTGGTCCGGCGGGGCTTTTGATCTTGAGCGGGCGCAAGGAGAAGCCCCAGCTAGCTGATGGACGTGTGCGAACAAACAGCTGCCGCTCGTCCTGTACACGTACTGTGGCATCCTTGGGCGTAGGGATGTGTTGCCATGGACTGGTGTATGAGCGATTCAGCCAGCAACAGTCTAACGTGGTTCCAGACTCGTGCCCAGCGCCTTTGGTGAGTGCGGTGGTTGTGCTGGCGCATCACCTTTTCGCCTCGTCGAGGAGGAGGCGGATGGATTCACAAGGAGTCCCTGGGCTCCCCCATCGACAGCTGGGGAAGGAGCTTGTGGTTGTACCTGCCTCAGGGGTGTGGCGTGGGTTGGGAGCTGTTAGGCACGGGAAGTGGTTCAGACAGCATATGGCTGCCCACGTGGGCCGGCACACTAACATCGGGTGCGTATCTGGCCACTCGGCGGCACCAAGAAGAAAACGCAACGCAGGTTTGCCTCGCATCATTCACACCACCACCTTACCTGCCTGTACACCTGCTGCCGACCATTCAGTCGTACCTACCTACCTTAGTATCTAGGATTAGCTGGACTACAGTGACAGAAGCACTTCAAGCACCACATCCCTGGATTCTTGGAGTTGAAAATTACCAAGTGGCGGATCCAGTCTTCTCTGCGCCGCCACTTTGGGAGGCCGTCTATAATTGTTGCTCCCGCAGGACGCCAGACCAGCCCTTGCAGGCCGCTCTCGTGGCTACAGACAGTCCTGTTAACTGACTAACTGGCTGGCTGGCTGGCTGGCTGGCTGAGCGACTGACTGACTGACTGACTGACTGGGCCACGCAAACCGAGACCTTGCCTGGCCGGCCCGCTGTTGTTAAGAGGTGCACAGGGATATATTTATATATATACAAATATCTATGTGTATGTATATATATTCTCCCGAGAACCTCTTTCTCACATCATCCTGGCGTTGCACGACCTGCCTGTCTTGCCCACATCTCCCCCCCCCCCCTTCCGCCCCCTCCTCACAGACACCGCGAGTTTGGTAGACTACCTTGGCCACACAAGGCGCTAGATGATATATCGAAATCACGCGTCTCCTGCTCGTGGTCGGATCCTAGCTCTCATTCCTAGCATCGGCAACGGAAACGGGTGCGGCTGCGCCAGGTCCTCCATCTCGGGTCTAGCTGCACGACTGCCTCGGTCGAGACACACCTTCTCGAACCTCCCCTCTGCTGCAGTCAAACCTGCCATTGCCCTCCACCGACAGCTCTCTCTTTGTTACCCCACCAGAAAGATCCAGTATGTGCAAATCCAGAGCGGCTACCTGCAAATAAGAATGGGCATCCACACTCTCAGTCTCCGAGGTTCTTAGGCTCTCAGGCCGCCTCGAGAGACGAAAAGCCTGCCCACCTCTAAGATCTAGAACTCAAGACTGACTTCATACTACAGGGGCCTGCTCATCGGCACCCGCCCTGGCCATTTTCCGCGGATTCTGTGGATTTGCAAGAGACAGGGCAGATCTACTCGATCCTAATTCTGCGGCAATCTCCCGGCCCAAGATCTTCACTTCGATCGGCGGGAGCGCAAGACCAGCGTCTCCACAGGCAGGTTGCACAGACGCGGCTCGTACTCGCGCAGCCCTCCCACCCGTCTACCTTCTGACAGCGAGCCAACCTTCCGGATACGCCTCCCCACTACCTCCTCTGACAACTCGGCCTCGTGTGCTTTCACCACTACTCCACAACCAATCGCCTGTGGGGAATTCGGGGCTCACACTCAGGCCTTCTCCGCGACGCCACTTCTCAGCTCTCTCTTCTCACCCCAGGCTTCGGGCGATCCAAGGCAGCAGCATGTCGGTTCCAGAACATGAGCTTCGCCCTGCGGAGCTAGTGACGGATCATCTCGAGACCCCTTCTCTGGATGATCGGACCTACCGCGTCATCCGCCTTCCGAACCAGCTAGAGGCCCTTCTCGTTCACGATGCCGAGGCCGATAAGGCCAGTGCTGCTATGGACGTCAATGTTGGAAACTTCAGCGACGAGGTGGACATGCCGGGTATGGCACACGCTGTTGAGCATGTGAGTTGCATCGCGTCCCCGGACCCCAAACCCAGCTGGCGAAAACTATACTAATGCCTGACCACAAAGCTGTTATTTATGGGTACCAAGAAGTATCCCGAGGAAAATGCCTACAATCAGTACTTGTCGGCGCACTCTGGTACTTCGAATGCGTACACTGCCTCGACATCTACCAACTACTACTTCGAGATAGCCGGTCGGCCCAGTGACGACAGTGAGCCATCGGCGACCAACCCGTCCCCGTTGAAGGGCGCTCTTGATCGCTTTGCTCAGTTCTTCGTAGAGCCCTTGTTCCTCGAATCAACCCTGGACCGGGAACTCAGGGCCGTGGACTCCGAGAACAAGAAGAACCTTCAGAGCGACACATGGCGACTTCACCAGCTTGAGAAGTCCTTGTCAAACCCTGCGCATCCCTACTGTCATTTTTCTACAGGCAACCTTGAGATCCTCAAAATCGAGCCCGAGGCACGAGGAGTCAACGTGAGGCAGAAATTCATCGACTTTTACGATAGTCATTATTCTGCTAATCGTATGAAATTGGTTGTTTTGGGCCGGGAGCCACTGGACGTCCTCGAGTCTTGGGTAGTGGAGTACTTCTCGCACATCCAGGACAAGAACCTCAAGCCCAACCGCTGGCCCGACGCTGCACCCCTGGGCCCTGAGCAGCTGGGATTGCAGGTCTTCGCAAAGCCAGTCATGGACTCGAGGGAGCTCGGCCTCTCTTTCCCATTCCTCGACGAGGATGAGCTTTTCGAATCCCTCCCAAGCAGGTACATAAGCCACCTCATAGGGCACGAGGGCCCAGGAAGTATCATGTCCTACATCAAATCCAAGGGTTGGGCGAATGGGCTCAGCGCTGGCGCCTATCCAGTGTGTCCTGGTTCGCCCGGGATTTTTGACTGCCAAGTACGGCTGACAGAGGAGGGGCTGAAAAACTACAAGGAAATTGTAAAGGTTTTCTTTCAATACGTTGCTCTCTTGCGAGAGACGCCACCTCAGGAATGGATATTCGAAGAGCAGAGAGGCATGGCCGATGTGGACTTCAAGTTCAAGCAAAAGACACCTGCAAGTCGTTTTACGAGCAAGATCAGCTCCGTCATGCAACGTCCTCTGCCCCGAGAGTGGCTTCTGAGCGGTTCTAGTCGGCTGAGAAAGTTTGACCCAGAACTCATTCGGCAAGGAATGGACTACCTACGACCCGAAAACCTGAGGATGTCGATCATTTCCCGTGACGTCCCTGGACAATGGGAGAAGAAAGAGAAGTGGTATGGGACCGAGTACACGTGCGAGAAAGTTCCCAATGATTTCATGGAGGAGATCAGGCAAGCTGCGTCGAGCAGCCCTGCGGACCGCGTCTCAAAGCTGCACCTGCCACACAAGAATCAGTTCATACCGACCAAGCTCGAAGTCGAAAAGAAGGAGGTCAAAGAGCCCGCTGTGGCACCCACCATGATCAGGAACGACGGTCTGGCGCGTACATGGTACAAGAAGGATGACAGATTCTGGGTTCCTAAGGCAAACCTCCTTGTCAGCTGCAGGAGCCCCATCATCTTTGCATCGGCGGAGAACTCTGTCAAGGCTCGGTTCTTCACCGACCTCGTTAGGGACGCGCTTGAGGAGTATTCTTACGATGCTGATCTAGCTGGCCTGCAGTATTCTGTGTCCCTGGACGCCCGAGGGCTTGTCATCGAGGTTAGCGGTTACAACGACAAGCTTTCAGTCCTTCTGGAACAGGTCCTCAAGACGATGCGAGACTTGGACATCAAAGAGGATCGGTTCGCCATCATCAAAGAGCGCCTGAGCAGAGCGTATCGGAATTGGGCCTTCCAGCAGCCGTTCCACCAGGTCGGAGAATACACTACCTGGCTGAACACCGAGCACGACTTCCTGGTTGAGCACTACAACGCTGAGCTGGACACGATCACTTGCGACGCGACGAGGGCTTTCCAGAAAGAATTGCTATCGCAGATGCACATGGAGGTTGTAGTCCATGGAAATCTGTATAAGGAGGACGCACTCAGGCTCACGGACATGCTGGAGCAGACGCTCAAGACCCGTTCGTTGCCGAGCTCGCAGTGGCCCATTTGGAGATCCTTCCTGTTCCCACCTGGCTCGAACTATGTCTACAAGAAGACTTTGGGGGATCCTGCCAATGTGAACCACTGCATCGAGTACTGGCTTTACGTCGGGCAGAAGGATGAGCGAATGGCCCGGGCCAAGGTTCTCCTGCTGGACCAGATCCTCCACGAACCAGCCTTTGACCAGCTTCGGACTAAGGAGCAGTTGGGCTACGTAGTGTTCAGTGGCATCAAGACCAGCGCAACGACACTGGGCTTCCGGTTCCTTATCCAGAGCGAGAAGACCGCGCAGTATCTGGAGACCAGAATCGAGAATTTCTTGAGCAACTATGCCCAGACGCTGGAGAAGATGAGCGATGCCGACCTCGAGGGCCACAAGCGCAGCCTAAGCATCAAGCTGCTCGAGAAGCTGAAGAACCTTGACCAGGAGACCAACCGGATCTGGGGCCAGATTTCCACCGAGTACTACGACTTTGAGCTCTGTAAGTCTCCATCCTGGCGCGCTGTGTGACTCGGCACTGGACGATAGCTGACCATCAAATTAGCAAGCAAGACAGCAGAGCTCGTCAAGGAGCTGACCAAGCAGGACATGATTGACTTCTTTAAGAAACACATCAACCCTGCGTCGCCCGAGAGGGCCAAGATCTCGGTGTGGATGATCGCGCAGGCCACCAGCGACGTGTCCACCAAGCAGATCTCAGAGCTGGTCAAGGCGCTGGAGCTCAACTCCCCCGAGAGGGAGGCCGAGGCGGCGACAGACCTCCAGGCCAGGCTGAGCGCGGCGGAGCACGACGAGGCCAAGGAGATCGAGGGCCTCAAGGAGTACCTGCTGCACGACCTGAAGGTGGCCGAAGACAAGATCGACGCGGCGGTCGAGGCGTGGAAGAAGCTACATTCCAAGACGAACGGGGTGGTGGGACACCAGGACGAGGACCCGCCTTCGCTGAACGGAACCAAGATCTGCTTCATCGAGGACCCGAGAGACTTCAAGGCGCGACTGCCTGTGAGCGCCGGGGCGAGCTCTGTCAAGGACCTGACGGAGTACGAGGAGTTGGACCCGAAGCTGTGAGGGGGCAGCTGGGCAGCGCTGGCTGGGAAAGGGAGGTCAGGGGAGCGGAACGGAGCGGGATGGTTGGACCATGGGGCGCCTTTGTTAGAGGATACATACGGCAGTCATGATAAACTTGATGTATGAGCATTATGGGCGTGCGGCAGGTCGGATAGATGCATACTGCATGTTTTTGGAAGGGAATGCATTCAAGATACAGATGATGATTTTCCCTGGACTCGATTAGGTGAATCGATACCTTCAACGCTGCACTTATCAGCGGGCAACATGCCTTCGATATTAGCCAGGGAGTGTGATGATATTGATGTTTCTATACTTTGGAGCTGAAGGCGCTTGACTACAGCCAAACTATGGGGAGGAGATTCAAGAGATATAGGGCGAGCAACCCGAGGACGCCATCTTGGTTCAGCAACGGCTGCGAAGAGTTGCAAGTCTGGTCTGTGCCTCCTCCGTGCACTTCTGCTGTGTAACTGGGTACCTACCTACCTAGGTAGTGCAGTACAGGCAGTCAGGGCAGTTGAAGGCAGCTGCCGCAAATAGAACTAGACAGACGGCCTAACGGCGTGTGTTTTAGCGGTTGTGGACCTGACAAAGGAAGCAGAAGGAGAGCGGCCCCTGACCTGTACCCCCGCTAAGGTTCAGATTTTGTCCCAGGGTCCACTCGCCAGTTCAGGGGATCCTACAGCAGTCTAACAGAGCAGGTACTGGTACCGAGTCCCACACAGGAATCCGCCCCCAACACCAGGTACCCAAGCAGTGACGACAGCACTTGCCCACCTGCCTGGCAACCCGCAACCCGCGACAGCACCCGTGCCTGTGACTGCGCCTGCGCCTGGCCCAAAGGCCCTTCCCATCCTCCGACCAACTTTGGAGGGTTGACCGCCTTTGGACTTCTGACCTCATCCTCGATAATTTTCAGAGCGGCAGGAACAACAGACAGGAGCAGTGGCAGCGCAGCAGCAAATACCTAGGAATGCGCTTCCAATCATCACCGCCCTGTAATCCACCCCCATCTGCACTGCCAAACCCGCCCGTCAGGGACCACAGAGTATTCGCGCTGACTCTGCTCTGAGCCGGGGAAGACCCAGGGAAGGTAAGCAAGCAAGCCCATTCATTCTCTCACCTCCTCAGCCAGCCCTTCAACGGTGCATGCATTGCGTGCATTGCAGTCAGTGCAATGCAGTGACGAGCAGCCAACCCCACAAACAACTTCCAAGGGAGTCTGCGCTGCGTTACTCGCAACATTCCGCCCGCCATTTGCCCGTCGCCTCCTGTCAGCCTTCACTGTACACCCACGCCCGCGCTGTCGTGCCCCTCCGAGACAACTTCTCTTCCCTTGATGCCCACATGCCTACATCTGCATTTCGCCTTTCTGCAGCCCAGCACTTCCCTCGGTAGCGGTAGCGGCAGCAGCAGCGGACCTCGACCTGTTTCTCGCCTCTTCTGCCGAGTCTTCTTTTACTTGCAGTACTTTGCCCTGTTGGATTTTGGTGTTTTACTAAGCGCTCCACCAGGCCTGACAACAGACTATCTTTGTTATCCAAAGATTCTGCCGCCTTGCATCCTATTCCATCAAGGGGACGTGGACCACAGACTTGCCGGCCCTCTCAACGACACCCTCATCCTCAACGGCCCTCGATAATCCTTCGCCCTGGAGCTGCATAGGCAGCTCCCTTTCACAACGTCTTCCACTATCAAGAAACGGAAGATGTCCCGTCCAGAAGATCTCCCCCGATCGGCATCCCCCTTGAAGCGCAGAGCCCCCAGTCTGCCCCCCGACGAAAGCCCCGCCCCGAACGCAGACGCCACCGAAGATGTCGACATGATATCCGTTCCTGCCACCAGCGACGACGTGTCCATGGGCGACGGCGAACCCGTCCGCGGCACAGAGCACGGCGCACGAGAGGGGCATCCTGACACGCCCAAGGCTGGGGCGCAGGACTCGCCAGGACTTGTGGAAAATGACCAAGATATACCCGGGCGCTCAAGTGGTCTGGAGGCAGATCGTGCAAGTGTTGAGGAGACGCAAGCTGGGTCTGAGCACGAGGAGGATGTCTCTGCCGTCGGGGCCCCTCTTGCGGAGGACGCGCAAGGCCAAGACCAGGACCAGGAGCGCGGGGGAGACAATGGCAATGCCACCGCCGACCGCAAGGTGCAGGGCCAGAAGGCGTTCAGCTCCAACTCTGAAGACGCTGCCGATTCTGACGCAAAGACCGTGGACACTGTTGCGACCAGTGCTTCTCTTGAGCCTCTCAATCAATCTCGTTGGTCTAAGTCCAACCATTTCATGTCCAATGCCACCTGCTGACCGACTTCATAGCCTCCCCCGCAGATGCGTCTCTGGAATCTGTGATCAATAAGAAAGCCAAAGCAAATCGTAGCGGCCGCAACAGCCCTGCCCCCTTGAGCCTGGGGACTCGTGGCCGACACGGCCAATCAGACCGTATGGTGGGGCAAACTGGGCTCAACAACCTGGGAAACACCTGCTACATGAATTCTGCGCTCCAGTGTATCCGGAGCGTTGAGGAACTCACCAAGTACTTCTTGGCAAACGAGCACGAGGAGGAACTGAACTACGACAACCCTTTGGGCCACAATGGCGCCATTGCTCGTGCCTATGGGTTCCTCCTGAAGCAGATCTACAAAAGCCCTCCGCCTTCAACCGTCGCGCCAAGGTCGTTCAAGGATGCTGTTGGCCGCTGTGCACCTCAATTCTCTGGCTGGGGACAACAAGATACCCAGGAGTTCCTCGGATTCCTGCTGGACGGGCTTCAGGAAGATCTTAACCGGATCAAGAAGAAGCCGTACATTCCGAAACCCGACTCCACAGACGAGATGGTCAATGACCAAGAAGCGATTCGAGAGCTCGCCGCCCAGGTCTGGGACATCCACAAGCAACGGGATGACTCTATTATCAGCGACCTTTTCACTGGCCTGTACAAATCAACCCTAGTGTGTCCCGAATGTGCCAAAGTCAGCATCACGTTCGACCCCTTCACCAATCTGACGCTGCCACTGCCGATACAAAACGTCTGGAGCCGGAAGGTGAAGTTCTTCCCTCTGAACGACGTACCTGTCTTCCTCAACGTGGAAATCGACAAGACAGCTAGCATCAAGGCATTGAAGGATTTCATTTCGATTCGTGTTGGAGTACCATCTGAGCGCATGATTGGGGCGGAAGAGTACCGAGACAAGTTTTTCAAGATATACGAAGACGACCAGCAAGCATCGGGAGAGATCACCAGAGACGACATTCCGGCTTTCTTCGAGCTTGAGAGCCAGCCGACCAACACGAAATGCAAGACCAAGAAAAAGCCGAAGATTTACTACCCATCCTATGACAAGGAGGACATCCCCGGCTGGGACGATCCATCGGCTGCTAGAATGGTGGTTCCGGTCCTGCACAGGCTCAACCCTAGGTCCAACAAGGAGTCAAGAATCCAATCTGCGAAGAACTCTGAGAACATCTCACCTCCACACTTCATCATGCTGAAACCGGAAGAGGTAATTTGGTCATTTCATTTGTGGCTTTTCGTTTGGGCTGAATGCTGATTTCGAACAGGCTCAAGATGAAGACATCATCCGTCGTAAAGTTCTAGAGAAAGTTGCCACGTTTACGACGTGGTCTGCCCTATCCTGTCTACATCAAGAGGACACGACAGAGCACACTGACTCGGATCAACTACTCGTCACTACCTCAGACGTGGACTCGTCGGGCGATGCTACAGTCACTGCACAGTCTGTGGAGGGTGAGGATGACTTGGTGGACGTCTCTATGCAAGACATTATTCAAGGTGACGCTGCGTCTCATCAAGAGGCAGAGAGGTATGTCGCCGTCGTAATCACCCCAGTATTCAGGCGCTAATCGGAACAAAGACCCCAAGGAACCCTCAGGAAATTCAACCGCCGGCGCCCGGACTGGATCAAACCTGACGTGTATCTTGATGGACAGCTCCAGAATTTGTTCGACATGAGTTACTTTTCGGAAGACACACTTGTCCCTACTGGATGGCAAGCTGTTGGGACAAATTCAGAGCGATTGTTTCCCAGGCTCGATGCCAGGAAGCCCCGGCCTAGCACGCCGTCGCACAGTGACGAGGATATGCCTAGCCCTTCCGGGTCCGGGACGGCATCCGAGGAGAGCGGTACCGAGGAGAGCGGCGATGTCCCTGAGACCGCAGCACAGACCCGGATGGCCGACGAACCCAGTGAGGAGGAAAGCGATGCCAGCCTTCCGGATCTTCAGGCATGTTTGAAACCGACCTGGAATTTCCCGTCCGCTGGAACAGTGCCTAATGACGTGCAGGACATCAACAAGGCCCCGAATCTGCCTCTCAGACCACAGAAGGACTCGAAACTCCGTGGAGGAAAGTCCGGGGGCAAGAAGAAAGTCAAAGGCCACAAAACTTACTCCAAAAAGGGCACGAAGCGGTGGAAGCAGCAACAGCAGCAGCAACAACAGGCTGCCCGTCAATCTTTCAAGCGCAACAGTTACGTGGATGAGGATCCTGAGTGGGGCTCCAAAGCGGACGGTGGTCCTCTGGTCCGTCTCGGCGAGGGCATCTTGGTTGACTGGGATCCTGCAGCATGGGACGTCGTCTTTGGCGGCCAAGAGGCGGGCGGCGATGCTAGGACGACAGCAACAGGCAACCCGACGTTTCTGAATCTGGATGTCCTCAAGGACCCGCAACTTGAGGCCAAGAGCCAAGCCCGGAAGACCCGTGCGAACAGGGGCATCAGCTTGGACGACTGCTTGAAGGAGTTTGAGAAGGATGAGATCCTATCGGAGGATGATAAATGGTATTGTCCCAGGTGCAAGGAGCATCGACGCGCGGCCAAGAAGTTTGATCTTTGGAAGACGCCGGACATACTCATAGTCCACCTCAAACGATTCAGCAGCAGCGGGACCCGTCGCGACAAGATCGATGTTACGGTCGACTTCCCGATTGAAGGCCTCGATATCACACAGCGAGTCCTGGAGAGAGAAGACGGCAAGCAGGAAATGTATGATCTCATCGCCATCGATGATCACATGGGCGGCCTGGGCGGCGGCCACTACACAGCCTTCGCCAAGAACTTTGTGAACAACGAGTGGTACAAATTCGACGGTACGTGAGCGTTCTTCATGACCAAAAACCTGCGGTAATACTAACCTGAATGATTAGACTCGTTCGCGACGCCTGTCAAGAACCCTGAGAGCATGATCACATCTCACGCATATTTACTGTTCTATCGACGACGCAGCGAACGCGTGCTTGGTGGCACCAGGTTCGAGGACATTGTGCGCCGTTTCGACACGGCCGATGAAGAGGACGACGACGATGCCGCTATTAACAGCCAGGGCTCAGAGTCTCGCTAGTCCCCGAGGACCCAGAATCACAGCTTGGCAGCAAGACTCATGAAGGAGTCTGAGAGACTTGCTCCCTGGCTCCAGGGCCTTGGTCATCGTCTAGACCGTCCCGTGCAGCTGCGCAAGAGTCAAGCCCTCTGTGTCAGGGCCTTGAAACCGTGGCCGCGAGTCTGTCCCACTCTCTCGCGGAGACCAATTGACCAAACAAACGTATTACGAAAAGCCATTTATTCAACAAACTGTTACCGGTCTGCGCTAGCAGATGCCGCGGGCGCAGGATTGAAGTCCCGACGCATTCACAAGCGGACGCAAGAGACGGTACTCCCTAGACAGAGCGGAGCATGTGGACACCGGTAGACTAGAGGAATTACCATCCCATAGAACATAAGACTTACTGTACAAACAACTCTTTTAACGGATCGTCCATAGGTGCCTTGTTGATATATGCCTGCCGAGAGGGTATTAAAACCCCACCAAGTAGTTGGCATCAATCACAATATTTCTTACCATGAAGAGTACTGGCGGCGTTCCCTGCCATGACCCCCAACTACCAAACTTCACGGCTACCAAGCTCACCCGCCCTATGTCGTCTGGTCGGGGACATGCTTTATTCCTGTCCCTCACGTCCTCTTACTCGCCAGCCGGGTCGCTCCCGGCGCGCGCTGCCTCGTTTGGTCCTCGAGGCTCAGGCTCCGCACGGGGTCGCGTCTGTGCCATTTCAGAGGCGACAGCCTTTCGTGTGCAGTCCAGACCATCCACCTCCTTATATGACTTGCATGGCCCTCGCGTTAATATCTTTCTCCGCGGCGCCCAGCCTCCATCCAACCATCCCTTCCTGCGCACATGCAAGCCCGGCCGCACGGTCGGACGAAGGCACGACGTTGCTCACAACCCCATGGCCCCGGGATCGGACCAGGACCCTGGGAACAAGTGACGATGATCTTTGATCTTTTCCCCGCTACCCATGCCCTCTTTCCCCGAGCCTCACAAGTATGGTGGATGGGATCAGCCAGCCCCACACCCGACTTGGTGAGGGTGTGTGGATGCTCATGCCCAGGCGCGAGGGATCGCAAGTGGCCCTTTTGGGGTGGTGGGGGGTCGAGGGGGGACAGAGAGGCTGCCCGGGCATCATCGCACGACACGGGTTGCTTGCTGCACAGACGGCAAGCTGATGGGGAAGGTGCACCCGTGAGCGAGTGAGCGGGCAGGTGTGAGCGTGGCAGGGTGGGTGATTTCCCCGGCCGTTCGCCTCTGCCGTTATCGTCCCATCTTTCAGCATGCATGCTGTTCTGTTCACTATTCTCGCGCCTTTTTCTTGATTTTTGTAACATCTTTTCTCGCTACAGTAAGGAAGTTCTGCCTTGAACTTGCCGTTTCAAGGAAGCTGGCATTTATACCAGGAGGCGGGTTTGTCAACGCTGTGCTGGTCTGTTCGTTTGTCACGTCTGCTCAGACAAATGTACATGACCCCTGCGTCGAGAGGGCATGAGATGGGACAGATGACGGGTGCGCCGAGAAAGCTGGGGCCGAGCGTGGCATGACTGGGTGATGGTGTCCCGCGCGTGTTTACACAACCTGGGTTCACTGTCGAAAGGCGCAATAAGGAGGCACGTGGTGAGTAGCATCGTGCTGCCTTGCGCAATCGATGTTCCCAGGGGCGAGGGGAAGGGGAGACCGCTGTTGTGGATGGCGAGTTGCAGAAGCACTGGCCCATGAGTGCTATCTCTGGGAAGATGGTCGTCTTAGTTAATGGGCAGAGTATTCCGCTTATCAGATCAAACGTCGCAACGAGAAAGGTACCAAGCTACAGGAAGGGTCTTCGTGACTACTTTCCATATTTATTTTATAGGCTGGGGGGCATTATCTTATGCGGAAGCCTAGATTATCTGACTGGTCCCTTAATTACTTCCCTTACTATGTCGCTTTATCATATCCGCTGCTTCTCATGGGCTGAGTGTTCATAATAAACCGCAAGCTGTTCGCCTCGGGGCTATAAGGTTTAGTATCGAGACGAGCAACGATATCAGGCCATAGCATTACATTGCGTGTCCCGCTGTGTATCTGCAGTGTAGCGCACAGGCTACACTTTGCAGAGAGATCCGGGGAATAGACTGCATGCTCGTGTAACAAAGTTGCGGGCAATGTTGCACGAAGTGGCACGATTGGCAGTCGGTAGCGGTCGAAGGTTCTTCCTCACAAGCTGGGGGAGGGGTGCACTGTTGCTCACTGTATCACGGCCAACCTCCCCGGGCGTACGACGCCCCAGAGCGAGTCAGAGGGTGACGAGGAATTGGGTGGTCTCGGCCTTCGGGACGTGATAGTTCGGACACAACGGCAACTGGGCTCCAGAATCGACAAGGCTCACGAACAAGGTTCTCAGCGCTTGTCGCGCAGTCCCTGGGGCCCTGGGTGGGAAACAAGGCCTGTTCACCCGTGTCTCCTCTCACCCACACCTTCACCATGCCTGCTGGACGGCTGCACCGTTCCGGCCGCTATAGGCGCGCTCGGTGGTTTCGTCGCTGCGTCGGGTAGCGTCTGTTGAGCGGCCGGACCTTTCTGTCGAGCGCCCGCTTCGTAGGGCAGCGACTGTTCCGGGCGGGAATCGGCCTGGGCTGCCGAAGGCGCATGATCGTCGGCAAACTGCCGACGGGCCTGAAGATCGTGCTGCCTCGGTCAGTGTGTCGTGGAGCGAGGCCGCAAGCATCACCCGGAGGCGGATCCGGCATGGAAAATAGGTCTGAGTTTTGCGTAGCGCGGGGGGGGGGGGGGGGGAAAGGTGGCTCGTGAGGCTTGTGCGCTGGAATAACGAGGCCAAGGCTGTGTGTGACGGGCCCGACCGGCTGACGGGACGGCATTGATGGAACCCGCAGATCCCAGTCCAGGATGCGACTCACCTGGGATCGTGGAAACTTCCATGGTGTAGCAGGTGGCGGCGGCGGAAGGATAATGACGTCGCCCTGGGGTATGACGGCAGACGGGCAGACGGCCACACAGGCTGCCACCACAGCAGCCCTTGCTGTGAATCCGACGCGACCCAGTCCTTTTCGCGGGCTCGATCTGGCTTTCTGCTCGGGCTGAGAGACTGACTCTGTGCGTGCAGGGCAGCCAAACCTTCATTCATGAACGCATGCCTAAACAGGCACACTGAGCAACCGGATTGGTGTGCTTGCTTCGAGGCTAGCCCAGAAAGGGGCTTCCGCTCAAGTGGCAGGTGTGAACCTGCGCCGGAGAGTCCGTGGTTGCGGCATGGGGGGCGACGACATCGTCATTGTCATCATCGTGTCGCATGCAGGCTTTCTTTTTTCCCCCAAGGTCCATGACCAAGGCAAGGCAAGGTGTGCCTTGGAGGGTTGCGCATGTGTGGGCGCCCTGCCTGCCTGCGTGTGCCCATCGAGATCCGGCTGGGCAGGACAGGCCAGAGCCTAACAAGGTGTCAGGGACAGAGTCTACAGGAGGCGAATACATACCCCTGGTAGCCAGATAGATAGATGCACCTCATCGATGAAGGGGGCTGGGGGTCGAGAATGCGTCAAAATGGGGTGTGATAGACGTGGTTTGTGGTTTGCGTGCGTGTGTGCTTGCGTTCAGAGACAAGCGTGAGCGGGTCGGGTCGGGCGGTAGCTCGACGTACTGTACTACACATGACAAAGCATGCGGGCTGGTCCGGGCTGTCACTACCTATCTGCAGAGTATGGCTGTAGCTAGCAAGCAATCGGCCGCTTACCAAGGGTCCTTAGAGTGAGACATGGCAGCCTCGATTCGAGGTTGGACAACGGACAGACACGCTTCAAGGTTGGTGCGGCGCCGCAATTGGTGAGGTGCTTGATCTCGTGGACAACCGGAGACAAAGGCAGACACCATCAGAGTCCAGGTTCAGGTTCAGGTTCAGGTTCAGGCTCAGGTTCAGGCTCAGGCTCAGGCTCAGGCTCAGGCTCGGCTCAGGCCAAGTCTCGGGTTCAGTACCAGTCAAGCAGGCCGTTGCAAAGGCCGTGAGTGGGTGGATATCTCCGGGGGGCCGAGGTCTTGATAGCCTCATCGGGAAGGTCGCAGGTCAAGAGATGCGCGTCTCGGAAAAGGGGGATCGCAGCCTAAGGCCAAAGTGGAAACGGCCCAAGCCTTGGGTGCTCTAGGGACAGATTGCCTCCCGGCCGCCGGGCGAACTACAATCCTGGGGCAAGGCCCCGGCCGAGAATGACGAGAATGATGAGCAATGTGATAGATCCAGACGGCGCGTATTGCTTTCGCAATCGCAAATGCCGGCATTGGCATCGTCGGAGATGGTGGGAGGCCAGGGAGACATCGCCCATTGGGCCGTGGGCCACGGGCTAGTAAGCCCGGACCCGCGCTGGACATCGAAATATCGCGACCGACAGCCAACGACCACAAAGCACCCAGACTGACTGCCAGACACAGACACGGGCAGATGAGCGCGCAGACGCGGTGGTGGTCTTGGTGGAGAGCTAATTGACCATCGCCGCCTGTCTGCTCGGAGCCTTGCCAGTTTCATCATGGGCGAGTGACAGGTCAACCGGCGATCAACACCATCCTCCACCTCGCGCTCGAGTCGAGCCCACTCCCCGACACAGTACTGTAATAAAAGCCATCGAGTGCACGGCTTGTCGTCTCCCGGCTCGTCCCCCAACCTCTTGCGACCGGTGTCCTGTCCCGACCTGTCCTGTCCCGTCCCGCGTTTTAGTTCCCGCGCGGGCGGCGGGCAGCTGGCAGATTGACGACAGATAAGCTTGTTTTGGCTATGAGGACGAGGATCGTGAGGCGGATCGTGAGGTGGCGTGAGTGAAGACAGCCAGGGAGACATGACAGACGCCGTGTTGCTGGGCAGAGAAAGGGTCGACGCCCGTACCGCGCCAGTGGGCGGTGGGGCCTCGGATCGGCAGCGCTGATCGCATCAAGCCAGCCCCAAGACGGCCAGATGGCCTGCGAGGCTGCGCGGCATTCAGCACGACAAAGGGCCTGCGATAGCAGATCCTGCAGATCTGCTCATTGCTATTTACCAGGCGGCTTTGGCACTCACTGGCTGGTGTGGTGTGGTGATGCAGGTCATGGCCGTGATGGTGGTGAGGGTTTTGCGTGCGCCCAGCACTGCGATCTACCCATCCGCATCGACCTAGTCTTCTGTCCTACTCGTACCGTGCCCTGGCCATACCGGAACGCGCTGCACTGTGTTGGGTTGGACCGTACGCGTACTGTTGTGCTGTAGATACTAGAGTACACCTGCTTTGCTGCGTTGTTGGTGACGCGCGATGACTGTCGTCGACGGCGAGTACGTAGCAGTGCGGGTCTGGGTCGACTGCCCGCCGGCTGGCTGCCCAGGTAATGGATGCGTGTCGTGGGCAGTGGTACTGTACGGCTGGGACTGGCAGGAGGATTCTAGGTACTGTGGAAGTACATGCATCCTACCAGTCAGCATCAAAGTGAGCGCGTCCTGTGGCGGTGGGTGGAAGCCCTAGAATGCTTCGACGGCTTCGACGGCTTCGAACGAAGATTCGGGCTGACGTTCTCGAAGGCCGGTGGAAGGCAGCCAACGCACCGGAGTGGCCCCTTTCGCGTTATTTCCAGCCGCAGATCAGTGGTGGGGACCGGCACAAGCTCCACACAATGTTGCAGCCTTCTTCCAAGGTTTCCAAGGGACCCACGCAGGGACCCACTCCCGCCTGTCCCATTTGCTGCTTCATTTGCGCCGATCCATTTCGCCCAGCCGCGCGACACACTCAGACACTCACATCCAGCACCCTGCCCAGCCTGGCCCTGCGACCCTGCGACCCTGCGACCCTGCGACCCTGCCATCCCCCCTCCACCACAGCCACTGACTAGATACTACACGTACCACCACCCACCACCACCTTCATCCTCTGCTGCTCCTACGGTGCTGCTCCCCCATCATGACCACCACGGCGCCTTGTGAGCGTTGTGGAGGTGTGGTGGCCCGGCAGCCCAACTAACTAGCCTGCCCCCGTCCCCGCCCCGGCGCCCGCCCTGACGTCTGGCATCGCCTCCCCGATGACGACCAATCTGCCAGAAGACAAAGGGAACATGGTCGACGCATCTGCCGTTTTGCCTCTGTCGTGTGCGCCGTGACTCCTCACGTCTTTGTCTGGCTGTGGAACCCCGAGGCAGAACCACACGGCCCTATGTACACAATACCCAATGTATCGCACCCTATGCAATGTACAACACACAATTGGTGACAGGCAGTGGGCAGTGGGCAGCCTCGAGCTGGGGGGGGAGGAAAAAAGAGAGGGGCTGGGAGGGAGAAGTGTCGGCGTCTACATTACATGTGTAGACACATCACAGCGCGTTGCATGCCTGAGATGCAATGAGCAGATTGCGCACTTGCAATTTAGAACACTCCGTAGTCTACCCGGTAGAGCAGCCGTGGCCCTCGAGGGAACAAGAAGAGAGAGAGAAAAAAAGACTACAAACTATTCAACGTGTCCTAGGATATGCTTTGCCCCTTTCCTCTCGCGAAAGTCCAACCGGCATTCGAGAGTTTTGACTTTGGCACTAAACAGGGAAGACGCACAAGATATCTCCGCTGTGGTTCGTGTGCGCCGGTGCCCGTCTCGCGCTGTCCTGCACAACTTTGTTGTTATTCTCCCTGCGCAGGGCCTGCCATGCGGCGTTGTGCCTGGGTTTTTGCCTGGAGTTGCGTTGCCCCGGCTTGCTTTTTTACATTTTTCAGAACCGACGACGAGGATGAGGACGGCGGCGAGGCCGGCTCAAGGACGCCCGGCCATTACCAACTTGAAACATAAAACGGGGGGAAGGAAGCCCCATCTGCCGCGCCTTATCTCAGCTTGCGTGTGGCCAACCCACTGTCCAGCTTGCTCCTGCGAACGCGCCTGGGCAGCTAACAGCACATGTGCAGGCAGGGTGCCTGGGGTGGGTATCCACCCGCACGCCGCTGGACTGTGCATGTACATTGCAGTACCTGCCTGGGCACCTGGGCTGTCCGGGTTCCAGGTGGCTGACCAGGGGCATGTACCTAGAGATCATCAATCGCATACCAACCAGAGCGCCAGACCGACCGGTTTGGGCTTACGGGGTACTCCGTGTCCAGCCCAGGCCCAAGGTCTGCCTCTCGAGTCCAAGACCATCATCTATCTGGGTTCTGGGCCGCCCAAAACCACCTACTACCTACCTACATGCATATCTGGGACGGGCCTGGGCACTATCGAGGTATACAGCATCGATAATGTACCCGTGGGCACGGCATGAGCGTTTCCAGGTCTTGAGGCGTGTACCGGACGGTCTCTCCCTCTTGAGCACCAGGGGTCGCTCGGCACTCAACTCACAAAGAGGCATGTACTACCAATCTAGCTGGGAGACAGGCGGTCCAGGTTTCTTTGTTCTCTCCCGCGCAGGAGCTAGGCCGGGCAAGACAGAGCAGACAGCCCATTCCGTGTCTACACAGCATCAATTATCAGCTGGCATGTAGCTAGCACAGTCCGGAGTCCAGCCGCTACTACGCAGCCCGGGAATCCACAGCCCACGATCCACGACCGAGAGCTCTCGACCTCGGGCGGTGCTAGGGGTGTACAAGACGACCTGCAGAGCCCACGCCAAAACCTCAAGGTATCCCGGCATCTTCATCTGTGATGGACCCCTGTTCCTGTAGCATGTAGGTCTCTCCCGAGGCCTTTTTTTCCCTCTCGCTCTTCACCTTAGTCCTCGAATTGACGAGGAAAGAAGGAAAGGGCCTAGGCCAGGCAGGCCCTTGTCCACCCCAAGCTCTCTCTCTCCTCCTGCCCACCCCGTTGCCGTTGCCTGTCCTCTCGACTCGCCTGCAACCCGCACTGCACGGCCTGCACCCGCACCGCACCGCGCAGCATCCCATCTGGCTGTACTTGCATGCACTTGCACTTGCACACGCACTGGCACTGGCACTGGCAACCGGGGCAATCGTACTCGCGCTGCGCAAGTAGCAGCAGACTCGCTTTGCTACCTTCCTATTCCTCCCAATTAACCTGGCCTGCCCTGTCCTGTCCTGTCCTGTCCTGTCCCTTCCTTACCTTACCTGCACCCGACCCGACCCCGACTTGACCTTGACCTGCCTGCCTCTGCCTCGCTTCGAATGGCTCGCCCCGATGTGCCTTCCTGGCCTTGACAGTCTGGAATCCAAAGACCAGCCTACCCATACCATCCGTCCATCCCCCATCCCACTCGATCCCCATCCCCGACCCCATCTCTCCTTCACTTTGCGCTCTCTTGTCGCAATTCAATTCTGTCCCTCACTTTTGTGGTACCGCACCGCCGCACCTCGCCAATTTCTGCCTCGACCTCGATCTTGACCTCGACCTTGACCTCGACCTCGACAATTGACTCTGACCCTGGCCCTCACCTTTAACACCAACCATCCTGACCCAGCGCCGAGACAACCGCTTGCTTGCCTCAGCGCAGCCACGGGCACACGACCACCTGCACCCTTCCCTCTGCCTTTTCTATTCCATCCTCGCCGCGCTCGCCTGCCATCCTAGACTGCTACAACCTTGACCCTCCTTCCGCCTCGATCTTGCTTGTTGGCCAGCCTCGGTACACGCGCGGCGCGCGACGTAGGGAACGAACCAGGGACGGACTACACGCCCAATCCATTCCCCTAATCTACCTACCAAGTCGCAATTCTCCTGAATCCACTCTATATCCGGTCCGAACCCACACGGCATACGGCGACCTTCCTTGACCATTACTCGACCCTCCGTCTGCCTCTATTCCCCCCCGGTGCTCATACTCTCATTCGCATTCTATGTCACCAGCACCAGTGACCTTCTATTCCGCCGACACTTGCGACAGCCCCTGCCGCCATTCCCCCACCTGGTCTCCCCCGATTGCTTCGACCTTGGCTTCCAATGCCTTGTTGAACCTGACACTGCCGTACTCATATATTGCCAATCTAACCTTGGCAGCGCAATCCCCCCGCGACTTATAGGACTCCCGGCCGCCCCCCCCCCATCCGCTTGCGAACGCCTACTCGAGCCAGCGATCACAAAAATTTGGTGCCTGGGCCGACAATCGCCCGCGGTGTTGGGAGACCACCGCCCAAGTTGGATTGTCGGTTGTTGGGAATTCCAGCCCTCGAAGCCGTCTCGGGCTATCTGCACCACGCCGAAGCTGCCTGGCCCAGCTTAATTTGTCCCCGGCAAAGGCGCACCAGTCGCGAGACTGGCCGCGGTCTTTGGAATCAACGCCATGGACAGGATCGGCGCGAACATCATTTACGTCGATCGTAGGGCGGTTGAGGATCAGACTGCCGACTTTGGCGTCGATGATAGTGTCGCGAGCAATGGCGCTCCCGCTGCGGAGACAGAACACTTGGAACAGAGTATCAGAGCGCTGAAAGATGCATTTGGTGGTGGTATGTATTGCCAAACCCTTGGTTGAGGTACTCCTTTTTTTTAACTCTCGCGCAGTCCAAGTTTGCTCAAGTAGCGCGTCCTGTCTCTCTGCTCTGACGGCTCTCCACCACGCCTCCACGATCGACCAAATACCGACGATATTACTGATAGACACGCCCTACGAAGAGAACGTGACAGACCGAACTTCCCGATCCAGGTCTCCATCACCGCATTCGCGGCCAGTGCAAGGAAACGAACACGAGGCCCAGATATCTGATGTCGAGCTCTATGGCTTGCGCCTTTTGCAGAGGGTTGTCGCCGAGGCAGACATGTTGAAGCTACTGAAGCTCGTGGTGCCGATACCCGTTATTTCTCCGCCTGTGCTGCCCCAGGCTGGTCCCGCAACTGCGCCGGGCTCGGTAGAGACGGGCGCCATTGGCGAGACCATGGCATCGAGCTTCTCGCATACCAGGCCTGAACTGGTCCGCAGATGTCTTGAATACGGAGCAGCCGACGTTATGACCAGCCCTCTTCAACAGCAAAACATTGAGAGCATCGAGGTTCATGCGTACAAGGCTCGTCAAGCCGCGACAAGGGAACGGGAGGCAGTTCTGCAGGTCCGGAAAAACAGAAAACGTTCCTGGGTCGGTGTTGACACGGGAGGAAAGCCATTCGCCTATCTCCGCGAAGCCATGGTGTCGGGTTTGATGAAGGGAATATGCAGGTTTGACGACGAGGATGAAACCTCTCTCGGAACGTTTAGGATATCAGTCCCCGCAGAAAGACAAGCGAGGATCGCACAGGCGGTTGGCCAGTGGCATTTCTGCGCACACGACTTCTCAGATGACGAGCTTGTTGTGGCCGCCTCGCTCATGTTCAGTCACGCCCTCTCCATGCCCGAGCTGGAGCAATGGAGAATCCCACCAGGTCAGTGGTAGAACGAGCTCCCACATCCTCCCAGCTTTCATGATCTAGGCAACCCTCCAGTCTGTACGATGCGCTGACCCCCCCCTTACACCTAGACCAACTCACTCAATTCGTGATCGCCTGCCGAGCTGCCTACAACAGTTTTGTGCCGTATCACAATTTTCGGCACGTCGTCGACGTTCTGCAGGCTACTTTCAGCTTCCTTCTGCACACAAACACAATCATGCCATACATTTACTGCGACGCCTCGGATGATGCGCCCAAATCTCCCGTGGAGGCCTTGTTGACGCCGTTCGAGGCCCTAACACTACTCATCACGGCCATCGGACACGATGTGGGACACCCGGGCGTGAACAACGGCTTTCTTGTTACATTAAATGCGCCCCTTGCACAGCTTTACAACGATCGTTCGGTCTTGGAGTCTTTCCATTGTGCGGCCTTTTCGCAAATACTCCGGAGACATTGGCCGTCCGCCTTCGAGGACAGGAAAATGCGAGGCCTTATGATCAGTTCCATCTTGGCAACAGACATGGGCCTGCACTTTGACTACATGAAGAGGTTGGCAGACTTGAAAGAAAAGCTTGCGGCCAATGAATCTACCGAAGGATGGAACAGCCGCATGGTCGAGGAGCAAAAAGGCCTCGCGTGTGCCTTGCTGATCAAATGCGCAGATATCTGCAACGTGGTAAGCATCCGGTCCATCATATACGTCAGGAGTCTTCTAACCCACGTTGATGTAGGCACGGAACCATGACACGGCCTTGCAATGGATGGATATCCTGGCCGACGAATTTGCCCGGCAGAGATCTATGGAGAAGGAACTTGAGATCCAGACTTCACTCATGGCGCCCCCTCTGACAGAGCGGGCTTCTCAGTTCAGATCTCAGCTCAACTTCATGAACATGTTTGCCATACCACTCTTCCAAGGAGTGGCCGACGTACTGCCTAACATGAGATACTGCGTCACCGAGCTTACAACCAACTCGGAGCTCTTTCAGCAGAAGATTGCAGATGCACTGGCCAAAACGCATCCAGAGCGCCGTACTAGCCGCCAGGACCCGCCTCAACACAGCACACACGCGAAATCAAACTCCGGGTCTGCCCAGGCCATGGACCAGATAGCCAGGTCGGCAAGCACTCCAGAGCTGAGGGGCGGCTACAAAGCGGTAAATGGCATGGGGCCTCATTTCGAACCGGTCAAGGAACTCGCTACCGGCGATGACGGGCCTACTGGACCGGAACGGCAACGCTGCAGCGAGACGACGACTGAAGGAGGTAGCTTTGCCCAAGTGAACGGCGATTGTGCCAGCAGCGCAACGACCGGCAAGATGCCCCTCTCACCTAGTACGAAAGGAACAAGCGTTGTTAGCCAGGAATCTATGGAGCGACCTAAAAGCAACCCCATCCCAATGATTTCAGCACCGGATTCTGCGAAAAGCATGACCGAGCCGAAGATGGATGGTCAACCGATTTTCGAAGTGGAGACAGCAAGTACCCTCAAGTCGACCGACGATCGATCCGTCAAGAAGAGACCAAGTCGCTTCCGGATGAACGCTTTTCAATTCTTCAGGAGACACAAGTCTCCTGGTCCTGCTACAGAAACCCCTTGAATATACCACGCCACGCGAATGGTTTTCTCCCATCCTGGGCGGCCGGATCCCTATTTAACACGTTCCTCACGTGGGCGGAAAAGTGGGAATATCGGCCCTTTCCCAGAGCGGTTGGCGATCGCCAACGAGCGCACGACGACACGACTGGATTCTTGCACAGCCAAGTATCAAAGCAGATTGTCCGTGCCCGGTGATCGACCTAGTCGCCCCTGTGCGAGTAATGCGGCAATATGGAGCGCAGGGCTGGTTGGAGACCAGAGGGCATAATGAAGACGCCCTGCATTGCGAAATAACATCGATTGTCTCATCGATACTCCGTCATCCAGCCATTCAGCCATCCAGTCATTCGCATGCTAGAAGAGCAAGGACAAGCCAGGCATCACTCCCGTGTCCACCAGCGCTTCACAGCACGCAGACCACGTGATGCATTTTCGAGTCGCGCACTCCGAACTGGGTCCCGATTCGGCCAGACCGATGACATCGGCCTGGCCGGGCCAAGAACCATTGGACAGGCGCTGTTTTTTGTTCATACTGTTTTGGTTATGATGGCAGCCCATCATCTGTCATCGCCTATTTTAATTCTTCTACCTATTTCACTCCACATTCCGGGCGAAACAGTACCTGGCTCGGAGAAAGCCCTCTGGCACGGAACAAGAAACATCCCATCTTGTTCATCTTCGGGAAGCGGTGGAGCACCATGCCATGTCGCGCGAATTAGACCACGCCGCCTAAAATCGGATGTGCCATCCACAAGTATGGCCCGAGGGCCGAAGAGGGAGGAGAGCAGACGGATGGAATGCTAGCATAGACATCGTCGGAGAGAAGGGTATAAAGAGAAGGAAGGAGACGTGAACGAGGGATTGTTTTTGCTGAAACCTCGTCAAGACCGAGCGTCTTATGTATAAATGTATGACAAAAGATATCCCATTAAGCAGTTTTGCTTCCGATATATTTGACCCACTCAGATTGGTTGGTGTTGAAATGTGACGGCAGTGACTGTTAAGCCGAGGTTGACCACAAACCAGTCAGACTTGAGATCTGCCTTTGTATGCTGTTGCACAGATCTCCCTAGGCTTATTCATTCATGAGGAGAAGGACGGACGGAAATGGTCAACCCATTTGATGTCACTCGATCGGTATCAGTAGCATCAACCGTTTGACCTTACTGTAACTTATAAAACAACTCTTCAACGCCCTTCCAAATGAACAATCCGGTTGACTTCTTAATAGCCTTTTGTTCATACAAGCCCGTCGAGGAATGAGATCTCCAAGCCCCAAGGCCAGCGTGGACCCGCTGCAATGACTTCGAAGAGTAACTACATCTGGTCACATCTCAACTCAGCTTCAGGTTAGTCAGTGGACAGATAGCTATACTGTCGCCCATGCTCAGTCTCTAGTTTATGCCTCTCTATCCCAACAAAAGGAGTCCGAGTCAGAGGGGCAAGATGAACGCGAAAGGAACATGTGTCTAGATAGTGCTGGAGAGTCGTAGTTGAGAATTGAAGTGCCATGAGATACCCAGCGTTCATTCCGCAGCGAACAAGACTGTCCACACCATTGTAGTTCAAGCTTGTGCCGTAGATGACGGGTCCTGTTTCACCTCGACGAACAGACACCATAAATATTGTTCCCGGCCGAGAATTTCCACGTCCCCAGTGCCTTCAACCCGTGTACTGTCAGCTCGCACCTCCAGGACACTCAACCGGGGCCAGCCTGTCCCATGGCAGCTCTCCTCCTCCTGCTGCTGCTCTCCCAGGTGCTCCTGCCAGATTGGGCCAACTGACGTGCCCGAGGTAGGTTCTTATGTGGATAGCAGGGCAGTGGCCAGACCCTATGTCACTTGTGACCGCGTGCTTGCCTTTTACCTTCTTTCCTTCCGCACTTACTTCCTTCCTTGCCCAGGAAAGCGCGCTTTGATAGACCATGACTGAGCGAGCCAGGCACGTCCCGGTGTCCTCCTCGCCGAGCTCAAACTTCTTCCTTGCCTTTTCAAGTTTGCTCTCAAATTCTCAGATCCTTCTTCTTCCCATCTTCCATCTTCTCAACTTTGACCTTGACATCTACACTCATTCCAACTCCGCTTTCGACGGTTCCTGCAAAGATCATCGTCTCCATCCAATTCTGCCTTTCTTCCCACCTCTATCGACCTCTCAATTTCATCCCCATCCCAGTTCTGATCTGGACGGTCACCACGGACGCCTTGTCGAAAGCCTTCAAGCTCATCCAGCTTGTCTTCGCGCTTCCAGTCATGCGACGGCAGCATGGCAACATGTGAGTTGTTCCCAAGCTCTTAGTTCTATCCATTCGCCTCCACATTGACGATCCCACATGCGTTCCCTCCAGGTCTCCCTGCTCCTTTTCCTGGTGTTGGCCACTGCAAGATCAGCCCATAGGGATATCAATCTACTGCAAGATCAATCAGCTTCCTCAAGAACCGGTGACACGTCCTGTCCATGTGATTTCAGGCCCCATCTGCCTTTTTCTTCCCTTCTCGTCCGCTGGCATCTTCTCAAGCACCATCGTCTCCGTTCACGTCAATCCCCCATTTGATTTGCTGTTCCTCTTGATGCATTCCAAAGAGATGGCTTGCAAAAGTCTTCGTTCACGCCTGTCCGAAGTGGTTGGTGCGGAGTGTCCGCCACTTGGACCTGGCCGATGGACGTCTCCGCCCGCCGTCTGGCTTTGCCAACTTCGAAAGATCAAACAACTGCCTAGCTCCCCTGGTTTTCATCTTCGTTGGCCAGTTCCCACAGGCAGCACGCGTACAAGGGGCAGCTTCAACTAGCAATCGGCATTCCGACCTCCAGAGGCTGTCTTGAGAACCGTGGTACATTTCGTCCATAGCCCCTTAGAGTGGCCGAAAATACACCCTCATGCTGGCATCCAAGTACTTGAACAGCTCCATGCTGTGACCCCTTATACGAAGCTGTGAACCACAGTTAGAAAAGTAAGCCTAGTAGAGGAGCTGTGTATGGCAGGTATCAGACACACTATTGTTGGAGATGCTCACTGTTGGGGTGGGACAATTGGCGACCTTGCATAGCCTACCTGTCGACCACTGGCACTGTACGGCCTTTGTTTATTTTGTCCAACTGGCATCCTTAGATCCCCTCCGTCTCTAATAGTTCTGTGTATTCATCTGCATCTGCTTTTGCCTCCGAACCTCTCTGGTGACAGCCGTCTACTTGCCCTGCCGCAAGACCGTGATGAGGTCAGCTGCGGCTAGGGAACCCGACCGCGCCCTACCCTTGGTGTCTCGAAACTCTGGGCATATTTCTATACTGTCAAAGCTTTCACTTCGGCGAGAAATTGGCGAAAGGGAGTCAGTGTGCAAAATCAAATATTAAAAAAATCCCTCCGGTACACAAGGCAAACCATTTAAAGGGAGGTTGGTGTGGAGTCAGAGAGTCGGAGAAGTGCATAAGGCTTATGCGTATTCAGAAAGGACGGACCAGCCGGACCAGCCGGACGACCTGGGTGTTGAAATATATAAGATTGATTGACCTGCCCGAGATTTGCACTCGGTACTCCCTCTACGATCATGAAACGAGGGCGTGTTCAATTTACACCATCAGGCCACAAGAATCGCTAGATTACCAAGTTTATGGACTTGGAACTGAAGGTGGTGCCATCAAGGTACACTAGACACTTGTCTAAGGAAGTGGCCTTTAATAAAAGTAAAAAAATTGACCTGTCCGAGATTTGAACTCAGTACTCCCTCTACAAGCATGAAATACGAGGGTATGTCCCAACTACACCACCAGGTCACAATGCTTATTGAATTATTCAATTCATATACCTTGGACCAAGCATAGTATCAGTGAGAAACACTAAATAATTAGCGGAAGAGGTAGCCTATGATAATGGGCTGATTTGAGAAGGCTGGCGCCATAGGGCCTTCGCAAGGGTCATGTAGAGTGTGAGCCTTGATGTCACTTATTCTATGCACAGATCCATCAATCCACGATCGTCTTTCGTTGGCTTCAGACACTACCTAGGTTAACAGCCACCGGTCCCAAACCTGGCTTCTACATCATCACGAGAATATTCATTTGTTGTACTGTTCCTGAAGTCTCTGCGGAACAGGAACCCCAACGCAAAAACGAAGCTTTCAAGGCGACGAAACGGTGACTATATTTTTTTCTCTTTCGAGCTGATACCGGATTCAAAGGTGATGTGCATCACAGATCCAGAATAGTCAAGAGGATTTCTCCGGGATCAAGGAGTTGGGCTTGTACGCGAGCATGCACAAATAACCAACTACTCTCTTGTCGATGCTATCGCAGTAGTTGCATGACACATTCGGTGCGATCATCTTCCCATCGCCCGAACTAACTTTAATCACACTGTCGCGTTTCTGATCATCTGTCTGCGATGGGCTCAGGGGGTGGGCCAGGTAACGCTAGTATGAGCCCTGCCAGGATTTTGTTCCCGGCAACATGACGATTTGAAAAAATTCATTTATTTTTTTTTTTTCTTTTTTTCGCGTCTACGCGTAACTTGCTCGTCGACATTGTGGCATTCGACTCTGAGAAGCCAACCTTGACACGTTGCCAGCGATTAGGCAAATCTAGAAAACCGCCAACATAGACCCGGCGTGTCCGAGCACCACGAGCTAGCATTAAAATATAAATCAGAGATTGTTTCCACCTCTCTGAATCGTCTTGGGCGTCACAAGGTAAGCACTCTTTCTTGGGAGGGGGCGGGGGCAGGCATTCAAAAAATTGAGCCCATGATGACATTTCCATAGGATCCACTGTGGCGGTCTGTGGTGGCTGACCATACGTTGCTCATACATCGGGACGACGAATTCCACCCTCCCCGGGCGGACGAAAACGATAGTTGTGCCAAACACGGCTAGCGTATCCACTTCAAAAAAAACATCTCAGAGCAACTTCATCACTCCCAAACAAAGCCTCCCAAACAAAGCCTTAATTAATTTAATTCTCAGGCTAACAATTAAAATTAAGAAAGGGCCGGTTGGGGCGAGGACGGATGGTGCCAGTAGGCACCGCCAAGCACCACTTAAGGCCCAACCCGATACTCTTTATATTCCTCAAAATGAGCAAGATACGTTTTCTAGATCGACTTTAAATGCCAAGGAGGAAAATTGGGTCCGCTAACCGTGTTTGGAACAAATATCGTTTTCGTCCGCCCGGGGAGGGTGGAATTCGTCATGCCGCTCATACATACGCTTGCGTTCCAGGATAGGAAACCCGCGACTACCTGGCACCGCTGTTTCCATGAATCTCTCTCTTAGTCTGAGTTGTAGGATAATTACCTTATATAAGATGATCTTTACAGGGTAGATTGCTATAGGATGCGATGGTATATGTTCTAAGCCAATCGATATAACTGTCATGACCCCTTCTACAACAAGCCCCGATTGGATTGGACGATGTCTTCCAAGAATAATCTTCACGTCACACTATACAAACTGCAAAGCAGCGCAATATGCGGTAGGGAGGTCAAGCGCTCGATACGTGGAGGGACGTTGTCATTCTGATAATTCTAACACAGGAGAAAATTCTCTCGGACTTCGTTGTGGTACGTGACTCTGCAATTCGATCGGGACATTCAACACCTGGTGTCATCCACTGAGCACTAGCCGGTCTATCAATTCAATTTGTCTGGCTGCTGCTTTACGCATACCATTCTCCCCCGATCCATCTCGTGTAGAAGTCCAGAGCAGGAGCGGGCTGGTCGTACGGGACCATGTGGCCGGCTCCGTAGATCTGGATGAAGGTGAAGTTCCCGGAGGACTTGATCTTGCCGTACTCCTCACCGTCAGCCTTGAGGGGTGACAGCTTGGTGCTCTTGAAGTCCTTGTGGCCGGGCCAGTCCAGCTCGTTGGACCAAGCCTCGTTACCGAGCCAGTTGCAGATGAAGTCGGCGTCACCGGCATAGATGAGGACAGGGATCTGCTCGAGAATGCCAGGGACGAGCAGGTGGAATGGCTGCATCCAGTCGCCCTTGAAAAGGAAGTTACGGTTGATGTCGAAGTTGCAGCTGTCGTAGCTATCGACAGTCTCGACGCCGAGGGCTTCCATAACGTCCTTCTTGTTGAGGTACTTGTCGATGTTGCCCAGACCAGGGTAGCAGAGTGAGCCTCCCTCGCATGGAATGCGCACATCGTAGGGGTTCTGGCCTGATCGCTGGTAAGTGCCGAGGATGTTGTTGTTGCAGTAGATGGATGCAGGTACGCAGCTGAACCAGCTCTTGCTTTCGTAGCACTGGCTGATCATCGACTGGCAGCGAGGCAGGGCATTATCCATTGACTGGCACTCGCTCTCGCTAAGCACAGCGTCGTAGCCACCCTCACCGCAGGCCATGGGGCGGTAGTAAGGGTACTGAGTGTAGGGGTCGGTCAAGCCGTTACCGATCAGCACGGACTTGAGGTTAATGTTGCGGTCCTTGTGGGAGAGAATCTCGGAGGCAAAGACGGGGATGTAGTGGCCAGCGTAGCTCTCGCCGGCGATGTGGAAGTCTTGCTTGGCGTACTCTGGGAATTGTTGGAAGAAGAGGGTCAGCAGGGCATAGACATCCTTGCCGGCGGCCGTGGTGTCGCTGACAGAGCCTCCGCTGTAGGAATAGCCAACGTTGACGGGCTGGTCGAGGAAGATGACAGAGGCATTGGCGTTCCACGAGTGCTTGTTGTAGACGACTTTGACGTTGTCGTCAATGGAGGAAGGGCCCAGTTCGAAGAAGAGACCGGTCAGGGACGAACAGCCCGGGCCGCCGTTGAGCCAAAGGACGACGGGGTCCTTCTTGGGGTCATTACGCGACTCAAAGAACCCTAGGTGAAGGAGTCAGCCGATGCCGCGAGAGTGTAGTAGAAGTGAGGAGTCAGGGGTGATGGTGCACGTACAGTAGAAGAGATGCTTGTCATTAGCTTCATCATCCAGATAGCCGGAGTACTGCTTGACGGTATCGACGCCAAGCTTGGATGGGTCGACGGCCTTGGTGCGCAGGTTGTAGGCCTCGAGGTCTCCACCAACCACCCTGTGGCTCTCAGCGTCGGCGGTGCTCTCAGTCCACAGGGCCTGGACGTCGGCACCCTTGGTGACAAAGTCCCACTTGGAGTCAGGCTTGCGCTCATGCTTCTTTGGCTTTGTCAGGGGAGGGAGTGCGTCGAATGCGTTTGGAACGAGCATCTCGACCTCGTCCCACAGGGCCTTGGCCTCCGATGTCATGGCGCCGAAGACGGCCTCGTAGTCCTTGACCTTGTCAGCCCACGAGGAGGCGAGCTCCTTGACCTTGTCAGTAGCATCGCTGATGACATGCTGGGTGTCCTGCTGCAGGTTGACAGCGGAGGCGGCGCCGACCAGCAGTGCTGAGGTGGCGATCCTCATGGTGAAGGTCGGAAGTGGTGACGACGGCACGGGACGAGATAGCTAGGCAGGTGTAGATAAGCTGCTGTACTGCGTGGGCCGTCTAGCAATGGCCCCGGAGTGTGTTGATGATAACGATGATCAAGCCAGAAGATGTTGAAGCAAAGGCAATGATGATTGCCAGTGATGATGATGATGCAGTAGGAAGAAGACGAAGGAGAAGAGGGTCGGATAGAGGCTGGGGGATAGAGGATGGAGGGCGACAGACGGGGGAGGTCATGAAGCTCTGGGGAGCTGTTGGCATGGTACCATGTCACTGCCCAGGTACGTACCGCAGATGGGTACTTTGGGTACCTCTATGTCCGGGGCGCGATGAAACCGGGTAGCGCCTGCGGTGTGTTTGCGCCGTACACACAGCCAGGAGCAAGCTCACACATCAGAGTGCTGAGTGCCTGCCGTTGCCGAGGGTACCTGCTTGCCAGCCTGCCAGGGCCAGGGCCAGCACGGGCGTGGTGCCTTGGGGAGGGTCGTGTGACCGTCTAAGTGGTTGATCCCGCAGCCTCGGGCCCACGCGGATCCTCTGATACACCCTGTCCTGCCTGATAAGCGTCATCGAGCGCTGCCCCTGGTCCCTCTGGCTGTCGCTCATTGAGTTGGCTACCTCTAGAGCTCCTGAACATACCTAGGTGCGGCAGCTAGGCACAATAGATATCTGCCTAGGGTAGATACAGAGCATCAGGATTCTCAAGGTCTAATTAGAGAATCTCAGGCTTAGTACCGTGGCCAGAGTCGAAGTTGAAAGATGAATCGACGATACAGTGCTGTCGGTGGGCCCCGCCCAAGGGAGCGTCTCTCCAAAGCGGTACGCATAGGGTTTGCTGCATACCATACAACAGCTTGAGTATTTTGAAGGGAACAAAACACAGTACCGAGGTGATGAAATCCTACAGGAGGTCATCCTAAAGATGGTCATCGAAAGGATGGTATCCCGCGGGAAGCTGTCCCAGAATTGTCTCATTGGAGGCTGTCTCACACGAGAGTGTCCAGTCTGTACCGGTCGGGTTGCACCTAGACCTCTGCGATCAATGTGAGCTGCGCTGTTACGCACTACGCTACAGGGAAAATCTCACAGTCCCAAGTACTCATTATCCATATCTGATCGTGAGGTTTCGTCCTGCTGCCACTGTAATAAGGACTAGAAGAAGTTCAGTAGTCTTGTCCGACCTGCGAGAGCAGATGCAGACGCCACCGCCTATGCAGCAGATACCCAGGCGTTACGTGAGTGCGAAGAGTGCCCTTCCCATGCGATTCTATCGAATCTTACCATGATGTAGACATCCGCAATGCCTGTACATCTACAGCTATTCATATCGGACGTCACCCTGCAACCAGTTCGTTCGTGGTGAGAAAGGAAACAACAGCGTGAGCTGTTGCTCTGCCGTCGAGGGTCAGCCAGTTATTATTAGTCATTCGCCGAGTGTGAATCAGAATGAGCCAGCAATTTTGGTCAGCCTAGGCAAGCATCCCACCCCACCCACCTGCCCGCGCGTCATTATCGACCAGGAAAAGTGCAGCTCCAGCCATGACATAGCCCGTGGCTAATAATTAACAAACACTCTCTCTCTCTTACCTTGCCCTACACGCGCTGTTGGGCGGAAACAGCTGTATCACCTGGTTTTTCTCGGACTTCAACTGCAAGGGACACTTCAACAGAGAAAGCATCTACGAGACTTATCCCCTTCACCCACCGCGGGGCAGCAAATCCCCACCGGGAGCCCTCCCAGACATCACCAAAACTCCCTCTCACAACCCTCCTCCTCTACCCTCACCACCACACCCGCCACGATGTCTCGACAAATAAACCAGCCCTCGAACCAGATCAAGCTCACGAACGTCTCCCTGGTGCGCCTCAAGAAAGGCAAGAAGCGCTTCGAGATCGCCTGCTACAAGAACAAGGTCCTCGAGTGGCGCTCGGGCATCGAGACGGACCTCGATAACGTCCTGCAGATCCCGAGCGTCTTCCTGAATGTGTCAAAGGGCCAGACCGCCCCCTCCGCCGACCTGGCCAAGGCCTTCGGCAAGGACGTCCCCACCGACGACATCATCCTCGAGATCCTGAACAAGGGCGAGCTGCAGGTCGGCGAGCGCGAGCGCGCCGCCCAGCTCGAGCGCGTGCACAACGAGGTCGTCGGCATCGTCGCCTCCAAGCTCGTCGACCCCCGCACCAAGAGGGTCTACACCACGGGCATGATCGAGAAGGCCCTGGACATGCTGAGCCAGCAGGCCCACCAGGGCCAGGGCGACAAGGACAGCAAGTCTGCCTTAGCCTCCGCAAGCGGCAGCGCAACGCCGGCCGCCGCGGAGAACGGCGAGACCAAGTCAAAGCCTATCGTGTCAGCTGCCGCCGCCGCCGCCGCAGCAGCAGCCGCAGCAGCAGCGTCGTCATCGTCGTCAAAAGAACACATTTGGACGGGCGTGACGACCACCAAGAGCGCAAAGAGCCAGGCCCTCGAGGCCATCAAGGCGCTTATCGCCAAGCAGCCCGTGCCGGTCGCCAGGGCGAGGATGAGGCTGAGGATCACCTGCTCGACCGGCGTGCTGAAGCAGGCCGTCAAGGCGCCGGCGGCCGAGAAGGGTAAGGACAAGAAGGGGGCCAAGGGAGGACGAGGGGATGACGATGAGGACGAGGGCGAGAAGAAGGCGCCGGGGACGGTTAAGGATAAGATACTGGGCTACGTGGAACAGGTCGAGAACCAGGACGTGGTGGGCTCCGAGTGGGAGGTCGTGGGCTTCGTCGAGCCCGGCGCATACAAGGGGCTCTCGGACTTCATAGCGAACGAGACAAAAGGACAGGGGCGGGTGGAGGTCTTAGATACGGCAGTTACCACTGAGGATGATTAAATCCAAACTGCCTAGGCACATTGATAGACGCTTAGCCATGTCGACTCTAAGTGCGTGCATACTGGTTGGCTTTGAATCACAAAAGTCTCGGCGACTTGGTGTCCTTGGTGGTAGCCGCAACCGTAGAAGTATCCATCACAAAATTTGGGTGTCACGCGATTTCCCTCATGCGAGGTTCCCCGTGGGCTCTTGTCGTAACTTAAACTTTCAATTTCCGCAATTCCTTTTGTTTGGGTGGGATACCGGTTTCATTCTGTCGATAAGCCCAGTGCGGGCGGCAACGCCCTTTTCATAAACCAGACGATGCAAGCCATAACACGCCTGATACCGTCCATGGTATAGCAGCAATGCAACCGTGTAGAAACAATCGTGTGTATCCCGTCCAACCATCCGAGACGCCAGCAACCGCCTTCTTCTTTAACCACCCTTCTTCTTGGAGACACCGACGGTCCGGCCACGACGGCCAGTGGTCTTGGTGTGCTGGCCACGAACACGGAGGCCCCAGTAGTGTCGCAGACCACGGTGGGCCCGGATCTTCTTTAGGCGCTCGAGGTCATCACGGAGCTTGGAGTCGACACCGTTGGCAAGGACCTGCGAGTCCTTGCCGTCAACAATGTCGCGCTGTCGGTTGAGGAACCCTGGATTGCCACTAGTCAGCCCAATACTTTTTTTCCGTCTTCCTTTCTCTCTCGCCCTGTGTCACGTCATGTTCTCGCCTGCTTCCACCATTCGGGGCTGGGGGGATTCGAGGTTTGGGGTTGACGTACAGCTAGGAATCTTGTACTGGGTGGGGTTCTGGATGATGGTGACGATACGCTCAAGCTCCTCGGCTGTGTGAATAGCGTTAGCATCTTCTTCTGACTCCAATTCCGGCTGGCCCTCGGGGCCTCGTGTGGGTGTGGGTGTGGATCGTACAGGTAAGCTCTCCGGCGCGCTTGTTCAGGTCGACATCGGCCTTCTTGCAGACGAGGTTGGAGTAACGGCGACCGACACCCTTGATCTTGGTGAGGGCGTAGACAACCTTTTGCTTGCCGTCAACGTTGGTGTTGAGCAGACGCAAGATGAACTGGAAGTTCGACTGCACGCGCCAACCGTTAGCATCTCAAATGAAACTCAGGCCATCGACCGGGCCAGACGAAGTAAGTCGCATTTACCTTCTCGCCCGACACGAGAGACATGCTGGGCAACCTGGTTGATGGTGTTGCGCCAAAATGTCGTTGTCCTGGATCGCTTGCAGAAGGTAAGGTGTTTGGGGAGAATTTCTGGTGGGCTTTTTGGATCCAATTAGCGGATGAATCCGCACGGAAAAACACGTAGGTCCGGCCGTTAAGTGGGTCCTAAGTGCCTGTGCGCATAGGCTGGTTCTCCAAAAGTGACTACGCCTAGTGCAGATGCGGCCTCCCATGCACCTCAGACTTTTCCCGTTCTCACTGCGCTGCTCCGCCTCTGTTCTCTCGTCGAAGTCGCTGATAACAAAGCTCGAGATCCAAGTAGTTACCATGCGGTCAAAATCCGTCTGCACACGAGAACCCTAGCCAGAAGGGCATCTGGGCTCGTCCTGTTTGTCTCCGCTCAAGATCCCGCTTACTCTTGCAGGTCCACCCGCCACTCCACCATGTGTAGACGTGCCAAGTCCAACCACCTTGCCACCAAGTGGCCAGTGATTCTCCCAGGTACTCACTCACTCGTGCTCCCGTGCTCTGGCAGCGGCTGTGATAACTTTTGTTGGACGACCTGCAGCGGACATTCTTTTTGATGATAGCTTGCCACAACCTCAGTGTCTCCCTTAAGCCGCTTGAGGGATCGCCTGAAGGCGTCTGTTATGTCGGTCGACAAACGAGGCCGTAGATTCGAATTGTCTGACAGTGTAAAACGAAATATCTCGACTTTCATGACATCCAAGCATACGTGAAATCAGCCAGAATGGAGCACGCTGATCCAGAATGTATTTTCATTCCCCAGTAAAGCCCAGTTCACAATGCACCATAACTATACCTCTAGCAACGCTTAAGATTCTATTCATACTCGTTGGTCTCGTCTTTTTGTAACTTCTATGAGCAACGCCACGCGCGACGCCGTTGGAAAATGCATGCATCTCAAGCCTTAGGTGTTGTAGAAACAAGGTGGGCTTATGCAAACACGACAGATGATGCCGCGGATCGACCAAGATGCTCCTGGAACGGGCTTCGAGACCAAACCGATTATGTTCAAACAAGGGCCAACCGCTCAATGTCGACCTCTTCAATAAACCACAACTGCTTCTGCTCTTTATTTCGGGCTTACCAAAGAGCCGGCACACGGCTCGTAGGCAGCGTCTCTTGGTCATGCCCATTCGTGCGACGCGCGATCCCGTTAACCAACCCGCCTTGAGCGTGTGCTCTCCAGGCAGGTACTGATGCCCTTGAGACCTCAACCAGCAGTTTAACATCTCTGTCTCTTGGTTTGCTGCCTTAGTGAGCGCAGACTTGCCCTCTTGCCCAGCGCTTTTCGAACCTTTAGCCCCACTGGGCGCTGGCGTTTTGGACGTGTTTGTTTAGCACGGCGATGCCCCGGGGCCCTGGGGGCAGGGACATTTATTTCCTCCTCGACCGCGTCTTCACAGCAGGGGCGGGCTCCTCAGCCGCCTCCTTGGCGGTGTCCTTCTTTCTAGACCCGCCCTTCTTCGCCTTTGGTGGCGCAGGAGGCGGCTGATCACTGTGCAGGTACCCCAGCTCCTCAATGGCCGTAGTGTTCTCCCATTGCAAGCAACGATACTGCGGGGTCGGCTCTGGTGTTGCAGCATTCCTGGTCCTGGTGGTCATCCGCTTGCCCGTCGTCCCGTTCGTCTTCGTCTCCTTCTCCCTCTCCTCTTCAGCAGCCTTTGCCTCTGCCTCGTTGGCTGCCAGGTACGCCTGACGATTTTCCATGTGCTTGAGGATCCTGTCGCTAAAGTTGACCAGTTCCTTGCGCAGTTTCAGCTCGTTGAACCCGCGCGGGTCTAGCCAGTCAATCAGCTTTTTGACGTCCTTGGGGTCGTCGATGTAGCCCCACTGGCGGGCCGTGAAGACGCTTGTTGGGCCTTCTTCCTTTGCCTTGCGCTCCGGGACGGTCATGTTGAAGATGGCCTGATACTCTTTCTGCCACTCGGGAGCCAAATCAATGTAGCCCTCGCGCTCGAGATCGTCCGGCCCCTGGATCCATATGCAGCCATTTGCGTAGCCGGCGTCCGCTGTGGAGCTGTTGGGCAGGCCGCCGTATGGCATTCCATTGCGCTCAAACCAGTAGTACCGATTCCAGAACCGATCCTTGCCCAGAACCCTTGTTCGCGCGCAGTCGGCCTCTCGAAGGTCGTTGTCGATGACGGCGATTTCCTCCTCGCACTTCTTGATGAGATCTTCCTTCTTCTGGATCTCCTTCAAGACCTTCACGAACTGTTTCGACTGCTTGGGTACTGCCTTGGCGGCTTCGGCCTCTTTCCTCTTCTCCTCTTCCCTCTCTTTTTGGCGCTGCCGTTCTGCAGCTCGGTCTTGGCCACGCCGGAGGCCACGAGCCACACTCCGGGGCGGCTCGTCCTCCATGTCGACTGCCTCATCTTCAGCTGGCGTCAGCTCATCAACGTCGTCCATCTTGACGTCTCCGTTGGCATCAACCGCCTCATGGGCAGGTGATGGCGGCAGGTTTTCTGGCAGCAATATCTTTCGCTCCTCATTCAGAGCCTTCAGCTCCTCGATGCTGGTATCTCCTTGTTAGCTGCACCGCAATTGCACAAAGTCCCCACAAATATACTTACGCCTGTTTCCTCTGTCGCTGCCACTCGATCTTGTCTTTCCTGAAGCCCGTCATATGCTCACTGCAGTCCTCCATGTAGCCGCGAATGGCTTTCGTTTCGGCAGTCAGCAAGCAGATAATCTGCAAAGCCTGGGCGCGATAGTTGACGTCCATCGCCGCGTAATGTTGCCGGATCGTGTCTTGCGTGGCCTCGACATCCCTAGGTACCAGCTGGATGAGCAGATCCTCACATGGAGCCTTTCTTCGCTCTTCCTTTGACAGCTGGTACAGCAGACCAACCATGATCGTCTCCCATCCGCCGTCTTTGAAATTCCTCTTTCTCAGATGATCGATCCAGTCGTAGTCAGCCAAGAGCTCTTCAGCGCGGTGCTTCGGGGCATTTTCCAGCTGCCTCTCCTCTCTTTCTGCAGCAGCAGCTTCTGCCGCCAGCCTTTCGGCCTCCATCTTCGCCATGCTACTCCGCGTGGCACGGGCGGTCGGCTGTGGTGTGGGCTCCCGGCTCTCGTCTTCCTCCTCTTCCTCATCGTCATCCTCGTCACTGTCTTCGTCCGACTCTAGCTCAGGCAGCCGAAAATTGATCTTGCCCCCATCAGCCTCCGAGTCCACCAGGATTTTGAGGACCGCACAATGGATCTCATCAAACAGTTGAACCTTGGTCTCCTCCGACGCTACCTGCATCGCCTCCAGAAAATCATCAAACGTGAAGGAGTCAAGCTGGAATATTTCGCAGTACACATTGAGGGTGTCCCAGGTCTCCAGAAGGGGGCCGACAGATTTCATGAGTATGTTTTCGCAGGAAGCCGACGGCTCCTCGACCTCGATGGGCGGATCGCTGCACATGTATCGGATAGGCGGCCGGACCAGATGCGTTGGCTCTACTTTGAGATCCTCGATAGGGTATTTTGGCGGTGGCGGCGGCGGCGGTGGAGGCTCCGGCTGTGCGTACACGGGTGGCGGCGGAGGGACCTGGTTGTGCCGGAAGGATAGAGGAAACTGGAAGGGGTTACCCGGAAGTGGCAGGTGGACGAATTGGCCCGGTTCAGGCTTTTTCACAACTTGCCCGTGGGGACCGTGGTGGTTCTGGTTCTTGCTGGCCTTTGGAGGCCTTGCTGCGGGCTTGAGCTCTGGTAATCGAACCGGGCCCTGGGCCTGGAAGGAATTGGCTATGCCGGACACGTCCTGAGGGTGTGACATCTGGTTGGACAATCGTTTTTGCGACTGGGCCTGCTTGCGCTCCTGGACCTTGGTCTCGTAGCGCAGATGTGTCGGGATGCGCGTGTCAATCTTGAACTGAGCTGCGATTGTGTCTTTGACAAGCCAGGGAGCCCCGGTCCATGCGTCTCTTGTAACCGTCTTCTTCACGAATGAGCGCAGGACGGATTTGGTGAAGACTTTGCGGTCGCGCCAAATATTGTTGTCGTCGACGACTGCCTCGTGGTCATCGGAATCGTCCAGGCTAACGAAGTATCTCGAGAAGGGTACGGTGAGGGTGCCATCCGGGAGCATCTTACTGCCGAACCTGGCCTTGTCCCTCACCACCCCTGTAAAGCGCTCGCCGGTGTGAATAGAAACGGTGACATGCTCGCCGGGGTAGAAATCGCCCTTAAACTCCTCGTAGAGCTTGTCAACCAGGTTGTCGATCCTAGAAATCGTCTGGAACTGCACGCGCCGCAGGATGGGGCCCTTCAGGGGCTCGGGGAAGGCTTGCTCGACTTCCTGTGCGCCAGCGAGCTGGTGGGGATCAGGGTCAGCGCGTAGGAAATCGGAGGAGAGGCCGGAAGACCTTACTTCTGACTCTAGGGCCTCGAAGAAGTTCAGACCCGAGTGACCGGTGATTTGGCATATGAAGCGTTTCTGTGGGTGTTGTTAGTGACGTCGTTGAGGGTCCCGCGTGGTTCGCGGCGCGACTGACCTGCTTATAGAAGTCCAGCCTGGGCCGTATATTAGCATCCAATGAGTACCAAGTGAAGGGGGCGAGGGCGTCATATACCTATTAAGATAGTCCTCATACGTAACAAAAACCTCGCCTGTCTGGGGTATGTACCACACCTATGGCAAGAATTGGGGAGTGAGCAATGTGCACGCGGTGCGGCGCGGTGCGGCGCGTCGCGGGATGGGGAGGCATGGACATACCTCATGGTCGTTTTCTACGGGCGGCGGCTGCAGGAACTGCACCGGCTTGCGCTTGAAGAGGACCTTTGAGAGAGGGTGAGCAGGGCGGACAGGAGGATGCGCCGGGTTGCGGACGGGGTGTTGGGGCCGTACCATGGCGGATGGGGGCAGGACTGCAGGGTGGCAGGAGGGCCGAAAATCATCTGCAAGGCTGAGGTTCAGCCTTCCGGGCCTGAGGGGGAGCTCAGATCAGGATGGAATTGGAGTGGCGGATGTTGTATTGGGGTGTTGTTGTGCCGGCTGGGACGCGATCGTGTCCAAAAGGCAAGAGGGCAGAGGCGTGGAGCAGGCCCGGTCGTGGGTAGACGTGGAGGTGCAGAGACTGCACGGGACTGGGGTGTGCAGTCTCCCGGCGGGCCTTGACCGATCCCAGGGCCGGCCTGACTTAGACGAGGCTGCTGCTGGTGCGGGCGCGCAACGGCGTTGGGGGCGCCGGCAGCGATGGCTTTTGTCGAGGGTGTGTGGGCGGCGGGCCAAGGTGCAGGACTGGCTGGTGATGCTGCGGGAGGGGAGGGGGAGGGGACGAGTGTTGAGAAGGAGAGAGGGTAGGTCGTGAAACGAGATTCAAAATTTGGGAGATGTCCAAGAGGGTAGGTAAGGTAGTCTGGGTGGGTGTGGGTAGGTAGGTAGGTCGGGTAGGGTAGGCGGGCGGGCAGGTAGGCAGTCAGTCACGAATGCATGTGCGGTACTCGCATCCCAGTATGATCTGGTCTACAATCCGCAGTATACGGTACATGGCCTCCTGCTAGCAGCTACCCTGTCCGCCCGCACACGTACATCTCATGTGTACCTGCACCCGCGCGTACTTGGTGTACAATGGCGGGCGACTATGTACAGAGTGGATCCCGGCTCGACCAGGGCCAAGACTAGCCTGGCCCTCCCGGGGGACGGTGACAAGAGACAAGAGGATCCCGTCCCCATCGCCCACACCCCCAAACGTTCCCTCCCTCTTGCTCCCCTGATCTGTCCACCACCACCGCAGCTTTTATGTCCATGTTTGTACTCGTTCTGACCGCCCTTGACCGCACAACCCACGCCACACCCATTGACGTCTTCTCGCCCAAGCACATCTCCCTGCTATTGATATATCTCCCGCTGCCACTCCCCAAAAGGGGCCCTCCCACTTCTGCACCACCCGCAACCGCGCATATGCCACATCACAGCCTGCAATTCCCGCAGTGCAAGCGCGCACTCTGTCCAGCTGTTCGTTCCTACAACTCTCAAGTCTGCTCTCCGAACCACCTGCCCCGGAAGTCCGTAGCGAGCTCAAGCAGCGACGTCTATATGTGCATATATAATTCCGAGCGCGTCGCGTTGAGCCTCACCCGGCCGCGCCGGATGCTCTCTTGGTAGATCATGTCCCGCCTCAATATTTATCAATTTCCATATTTTTACCTTCTCTTCTACCTGACAGTATTGTCCCTCGGCTGTTGCGGGACATCCCCCCAAGACCATACCGTCTAGGCGCCGAATCTGCATATATCTATACCGTAGGCAGATCGATTTGATGTGCATCTCCCGTTCAGCCTCCCAAACATCTGTACATGCCCGCTACATATCTGCAAATATGGCGATGTCACTTCCCACGGGTCATTCACAGGCACGAATTGTTCCAAAGCTTGGGTCTGGAAGAGCGAGGATACGCGACCAGAGGCAGAACAACGAGGGCATCGCGACAGGCAAGTGAGTACAGTCGTAAAGTTGAAGTGTAGGAGGTGCACAGGTACTGACGTGGTAAACATTCAAGGATACATTCTGTGCCGCCAGGCCAAAGTCACTTCCCGCTGCTGAGTTATGGAACACTTGCGGCACAGCCTTGCGCACGCCTCGGGCTGTGGTGCTACCTTACCAGCGATTCAGGGCGGTACATTGTCACAAAGGAACAAGGCCTGTCTGGGCCGGCACACGTGGGGCGCCATGCCTGTTTGGGGCTTGGGGAGTCCCTGCCGCTGTGCTCAGCCTGTGCAGCGTCCCTCGCTCTCAGACCCAGACCCTGCAGCATCACGTACAGGTGCTAGCTGTCTCGCAGTGGGCGGCTGGCAGCTCTGGTGCTTTGTAGATTGTCATTCATTTTGGAATTGATCATGTCTGGCTCTTACTGCCTGTCTATGAAGCAAAATACACCACATTGAATCCAATCCAGCTGCCAACCACTCCCAGCGCCGAGTATGCGCTGGTGAACATCAACGGCAAGAACTCGTAGCTCTGACCAAAGACAAGCTCGTGGATCAGCGAGCAGTATGCGATCAAGGGTATGCTGATGGCAATGTAGAGCGTGTTGCACCTATCGAAGAGGAAGAACCTCGGCCTGCCGGAAGCTGGCGCGAGACGATCAAAGACCATGAGGAACAGGATGAGCCAGAAGATAGTGTAGACGGTCTTGATCGGAAATTCGGCCGGCGTGAAGAGCAGCGGAAACAAGGACACGTGCCCTGCGACCGCCAGTGGCCGGAACGCCCCAAAGTACCGGCGGTCCTTGAGCGCGATCAGGCTGAAGGGGATGATGACCAGGAGGACAGCCTTCTCGTGCACGTGGTAGCCAAACAGGAACGAGGCGTAGCCGCAAAGGGTCACAGCCCCAATGAAGCCATCCCAGGTCGATTTCCAAAACAGCTTCACAAGTGGCGGGGCCATGAAGACCAGTGTGAGCATAAGACACACCCGGGGAGTTATGTCTGGGAGCACCGCAAACGACGTGTCGCCGACGAGGCCTCGTGTCACACTGGACAGTGCATCGAGCTTGACTGGCAGCCCAAGGCGCGGCGCAACTATTTCGAGGGTTTAGCCTGCGTCGCCTAGGTACTCCAGGTGAAAGCAGTACACTTACGATAGATGAGGATCCGATCAGAAAATGAGTACAGTGCCCAAACATTGGGTGCCCAGTAAGCATGGCATAGTCCTCGACCAAATGGGAAGAGCCTTTCTTTCATCTGCCAAAGCTGGTCCACGTCCTGGAGCGCAAATGGGCCAAAGGCGGCAGCGAGGATAGCAGCGATGCCGCCGCCCAACTTGATGCAGTTGAGCCACTGGATGCGAAAGAAGGATCTCGGGGACAAGCAATAGACCCGGAGTAGGTACACGAAGTAGGCCGGCGCCAGGTAAGCGTAGATGTGCTTCATACATAGAAGCCCTGCAAAGGCGAGCCCGCTGCCCAGCAAACCGGATTGCTTTCTTGCTAGGACAAGAGATGCGATGAGGAGGCCGTACATGCATCCATTGTACTGGAAATGGATATGGTCAATGAGAAGGAGCCCTGGAGAGAACAGTATTGAAATGGCGGCAGCCTGGGCAGCTCTTTTGGTTGCGCCGTGAGACGAGTCGACGAAACTGGGGTGCGATGAGGTCAGTACAACCTGGGCTCTCCCTGAGACGGCGGGATGAGTTTCACTAACAGTTGTAGGGCGTAGACGAGCAAGAGTTCTGTGACCAACACGGACGACCTTTGGAAGTAGACGGTCTGCCAGCTGTCGTATCCGAGGTTGTAGACCTTGAGCATTGCTGGATCCACCAGCTTTGCAACCTGGGACAGGACCCATTCGAAGTATGCAAAGAACGGAGGGTAGTCCAGGGTCCATTCTGATGTCTCCTCAAAGTACCATTCCCAGAGCGGGAGGTTGTGCGTAATGGCCAGCCAGTTCCGATGGACTTCAAAGTCCGTGGATTTGCTGGCAACAGGTTGGTATATCAGCACCGCAGGAGCTGGAGGGCTTGGTTTGGAGTAGTGCGCGGTACTCACTAGGCTGGGAATAGAAGAACCTTGAAGGCTGTGGCAACTATGGCACACTGAGTGAGTGATGGATAAATCTCAGTCATCTTGAGACCATATCCCCCGCTGCTGTCAATGGCACGGGCGTGTGGGTTATGGTGTGTGGTGTGCGTGGTGTTGTCCAGTATCTCGCAGAGTGCAATCTCACAAAATCCACAGCTTCGTCCAAGGTGGTTTCGAGAACCTTGAGCTCGGGCCAGAGCTGGATCTAGTGCGGTCTTCCCGGGAACTGCGTAGAGGGACCTGACAGCTACCTGTAAGCTGCGATGGCGAGACAAGCCCAGCTCTACCACAACACACTATATAAGTGTCGAAGCCTATGTGGAAATGGCTGCACAGTACCGTCCATGTTTTCTGTATTTGTCTCTGAGATCTAGCCTCTCGCAGGACTCTCGCGAGGTCATGATACCACGCGGGTGTTGATGCTTGTCACAGTACCTTCTGTGTCATGGAGCCACCCTGGACCCCACACTGCCGTTGTGGTCAGTTGGAGAAGCTCCCGAGGGCAGGGGTCGAGTTCTTTCTGGCTTCGGAACAGCTCGCCAGATCTCCAAAGTGCTTGTGCTCATACCGGATGTACCTGTGTACCGGCCGATTGACAGATAGGCAGGAAGACAAAGGCTGAGACTGAGACACGCGCGAGTCTCGATGCATCTATTCTCTCCCCATCACTGCCAGAATCAATTGAGTAGACTACCGTTGTTACTTGGAACCTTCTTCTTTTTATAAGACACTCAAGACCGTTTGTCGGGGCTCTTTGTCCTCTTGAGAAGAATTCCACTTCACCCTCTCATTACAGCTGAGCTCCGGAGCTCGAGCGCCGAGGTGTTTTGGAGTTAGGGCCACCAGGCCAGGTCAGCGCCGCAGAAGCATCCTGATATTTCGCCAGAGTGGCCTCAACAGCAACACATCACCCTCGTGTCGCATTGCATAAAAGTCTGTCTGCCGGGGCACCACCTCTGAGGGCTTGCTGCACACCTTCCAGCATCCAAAGGGAGCTCCCATACTCGCATATATCACCCAGCCCACCATGCGCTCAGCGCTGGCCTTCCTCGCCGGCCTCTCCCCGGTGGCAGCCCAGTACCTGGTCAACGAGCTGAGCTTTGGCTACAACAACAGGCAGGCAGACTCTCTTCCCCCAGCTCGCTCTTGCGACTGTCACTGACACCCGCCAACAGGATAAGTCCTAACAACGACAACTCCATACCGGGCTTCTCCCTCCAAGGCAACCCTACCTGGCCAGAGATCCTCTCCAACAAGATAATCCTAACCCCTCCTGCACCTGGCAACCATCGCGCCTCCGTCTGGGCCGATAAGCCACTCCAACACACACAATGGGTTGCGGACGTGGACTTCCGCGCCAATGGGCCAGAGCGCGCGGGCGGCAATCTCAACATCTGGCTAGTGCGGGACGGGCTGCAGGACGTCGGCCTCAGCTCTATCTACACGGTTGGCAAGTTTGAGGGTCTCGCGTTGGTGATCGACACGTATGGCGGAAGTGCAGGTATGGTACGAGGATTCCTCAACGACGGAAGCAAGGACTTCCAGAAGATCTCCGTGGACGGGCAGTCTTTCGGCCACTGCAACCACGCCTACCGCAACCTGGGCCGGCCCTCCCAGATCAAGTTCCGTCAGACAGCCAGCAACTTCAAGGTGGATATCGATGGGGTCAATTGTTTCGAGAGCGACAAGATCAGCATCCCCGCGGGGTACAAGCTGGGCATCACAGCCGCCAGCGCTGACAACCCCGACTCGTTCGAGATCTTCAAGATGGTCCTCATGACGGACAACATCGACCCGGGCCAGGACAAACAGCAGCAGGATACGCAGCAGGCCGCAGTCCAGCAGGACGGCATGTTCGGCAACCAGGGCCAGCAGCAGCAGCAGCAGCCGATGGGAGGGAACCCCCCCTCCGGCCGTTGGGACTCGGGCTTCGAGGACGACATCCCCGACGCGACCGCCGACTCCATCACCAGCTCAAAGGCCCAGTTCGCCGACCTGCACACCCGGCTCCAGAGCGTGAACCACCACCTGTCGACCATCTTCCGCACCGTCGCGAAGCAGGACTCCATCGGCGAGACCCGCCATGGGGAGATCTCCGGTCAGATCTCGGAGCTCAAGGGCCTGCTGTCCAAGCTGGACCGCCTCGGCGAGCTAGAGAACAAGATCACGAGCCTCGAGTCCGAGGTCCGCAGGCTCAAGGGCGACGTCACGTCCAAGGTGAGCTCCTCAGAGCACGCCATCAAGGGCCTGGTCAGCGACAGCCACCAGACCATCCGGGACACTGTCAAGGAGCACGCGTCGCCTGGTCACGGGCGTCTGATCGCAGTAATTATCGGCAGCCAGGTCGTGCTGGTCGGTGGGTACGTGTATTACAAGAAGAAGAAGTCGACACCCAAGAAGTATCTGTAAATGGGGCTCTACTCAGAGGTGTTGGCGGTGTACAAGATGGGTGGTTAGGTACTTTCTCTATCAGAGGAAAAGCGATGGATGGAAATGAGGCGGCGTTTGGTTCTTATGTGTTTGTGTAGCATTCCCGGGTACTCTTAGCATTGCGAATTCGAGGCATTGACGGGCATTTTTCCATCGCAGCTAGTGCCCTCCGTTCTGAGGCCATTTGAGCCTCCCATGAGTCCGAGGCAATCATGGCCATGAGCCCCGTGCGGAGAGCGAGCAAGACTGTAGCAAGCTGTCCTGCATGCGCATACATGTTGGCCCACTGCGCCGCCGCCTTTTGGAATATTTTGAGCGACTGATCTAATATTATTTATACAGATAGGCGGATGACTATGTACGAGCGGCCGTGGCCCTTTCTACTATCTTAGTATACACAGCTTCTCTAAGGCTGTCTCAGCAAGAGAAACCAAGATGTCCCAACCACCCTAGTTGCCATTGATCACACGCAGCATCTCCTTTCCTTTCGGCGCCGTGGTCAGGTTCTCATACCCGTCTTCTGTCACCAAGATACAGTCCTCGATCCGGCACCCACAGACCGGATAGTATTGTTCCAATACATCCATGTCGACGTACGAGGCCAGTTTAGGGTTGTTAGCAAAGAACCACTCAATGTATGCCCGGTTGAAATAAAGACCCGGCTCGCAGGTAATAACCATATCCTTCTGTAACGGCGGTGAGTAAGGATCACCTCCGCCTTGACTGGCTCCCACAGAATACCCTCCCTTGGTGAGAGTTTCAGCGTGGGAGTCGAGTCTGTCTAAACTCCAGGCTTTGCCGCCCAGCATGCTGTGGATGTGGACGCCGCCAATTACATCGTGGGTGTCCAGCCCGACAAGATGTCCAAGCCCATGCATAAAGAAAGCCCTGACAGCCCTAAGGATAGGATAAGGCTCCCCACCCGCAAGGCCGAAGCGTAAGATGCCCAGCCTTTCCAGTCCATCCAACGCGACCAGCTGGGCCTTGGCCGTGATGTCCGACCACGACGCCCCTGGCTTGATCATCGAGGTGCAGGTCTCCTGCATCTCCTCCACGATAGCGTACACATTCTTCGCCTCGGGGCTGAACGCGCCGTTGAGCGGGAAGGTCCGGGTGACGTCGGAGGCGTAGCATCCCCACTCGGCCCCAGCGTCGAGGACCATGAGCTGCCTGTCGCCGAAGTCCTGGTTGTTGGCGCCATAATGCAGCGTGGCCGCGTTGGGACCGGATCCGGCGATAACGGGGTAGGCCTGGATCAGAAAGTCAGCTCTTGGATGTTTGTGACATAGTACGGAGTGTGTAACTCTGAGGTTACCTGTCTCTTGGCTCCGAGGTCGCGGCATTTGGCGAGGAACAAGTTTTCAACTTGGGCCTCGCTGGTCAATGATTTGATATGTTTCTGGACGTGACGGTGTGCTTCTGAGGATATCGCGTTGGCCTCGCGGATCTGGCTAATCTCATACTCAGACTTGACGGCCCTGGAAAGGTCCATGGCTGGCTGCAAAGCGGAGTGGTCGACCGTAAAGCCCGATGTCGGACCGTATGGTCTGGGCGGTGTTTGGCTTTCGTGCAGAACATAGAGAGTCGTGTCTGGGGCCAAGGTCCTTTTGAGGTACGGCTTCAGGTCGGTGATGTCTTTGACAAAGTCGACATCATATCGGGCGGCGCACTCTTCTACGCTTGGCAGAGCGCCGAACCAAATGATCTCCTCGGGCTTCCTGATTGGGATCCAGAGCGTGAGTATGTCCTTTGCTATATCGTATGTGACAGCGCACCCGGGAAAGTCTGCGCCCGAGAGATAGAATGTGTATCTGCGCTGCCTGAAGGGTTTCTCGCTTGTGACTATGTTAGCATATTGATGTTCCCCGGGGGGGGGGTGCGATTAGAATGAGAATAATGATCAGGTATGATGCTCTGGAGACAGATGTGATGTGGACAAAGTCTTAGACTATGTTCTGAGAAGAGTGCCTTGCAGCATGTGTAGGCACTTAGACACGACGCATCCAAGCGCACCGGGCACTTCGTCAGAGCAACGTAGAGTTGTTCCCAATCCACAATGTTTTATGCTGGCAATATGTGGAAGAAAGGTAGGGAAAGAGGGAATGCAACGGAGATTTTAAGTACCCATCTGTATCCTCATACTGCTCTGAGTTCTGGCCGGGCAGGTAGATCAAGCCTGTCGAGGAGGACGAGTCGGAGGCAGCAAGCTCCCTCTTGACCTTGTGGGCATGGGTCTTGGCCGGATACTTGACGGCTTCCTTGTGGACCCTGAGCTGGATGGAGAGAGACGTGGACTCGTCGATCTGTGTCATGTTGACTTATACAATTGTAGAGTACAGGTCTACTCTGGTGGTCGTAATCGAAGGTTGGAAGATGACCGAGGGTGGGCAGTTGCCGGAACTCGTATAACTGTTGATAACAACTGTCACGGCCCCAGAGGGGGGTGGTACTTGCTACCTAGGTAGTCTGCCTAACCCACTCGGTGGATGAGTGGAAGGAAGGACGGCTGCTCACCCTGGCACTGCCGTTGGCTGCAAGACTCCCAGTTCAAGAGCAGCACTTGCCTTGCGCTCAAGCTTATATCCCCTTCATTCAGCACGCTGTCCCCCGAGCCTCTGCTGTCGAGATTAAGATTCATATCGTCTTCCAGGTTTATCATGCCAAACGTTTATCCCATCGCTGCGTGATCTTGCTGAGAACTAGAGGGAGAAGGTCATCCTGGGGCGCTTATCTGCACAGGAGCGGCAGTGCAAGTACGGTAACCCAGCAAAGCCAACCAGGCCGCCCTGTCCGTACCGATTCACGTCTTTACCGACATTCTAATTGTTTGCTTGGGCTCGGCTTCCTTCATCAAGATCACTGCAAGCGACGTCCGGTCGTCCCTCTGTGACTTGTGCTGTAGCCAAAAGCAGCCCAGTCGACGGGCTAACAAGTTCAAGCACAGACGGCTCGCACACGGTCTCCGCCCCCCAGGTCTATTGTGCGCCTTGAAGCTCAGCTCCTCCTCACCGTTCTTATCTACCCGTTGTTCACTCCATCTGGGGGTTTCATCTCAGCACCTCGCCGCCAACCACACCAACCACGGCCGTCTTGCAGTCTTTCTTTTCTTTGCCATTTTCCTCCATTTTAAAGTCTTCCTGCCAATCAGTAATCTAATCATCCATTTCCCTTTCTCTTTGCTGCTCGCGAAAATCTTTTGGGCGGAAAGCAAGCTTGATCGACATCGATAACGACGTCGGTGTCCCCTTCGTCCAACTGCAAGATGGCTGCGACGGTGCAATCTGGCCAAGGGCAGGGCCATCTGGCCGACAACCTTGAGAAGCAGTTGAATGAGATTGTAAGAACACACATATCATGGCAAAGCGGGGCATGGCATGGCCTGTACTTCACTGTCTCATGGGCCTTGCTGACCATCGTCCTCATCTAGTTGGTGCAGATGGGCAGGATCTTTCAAGCCCGTGCTTCGCGTTCAGAGCGTGTGCCCCAGATCATCCTGAACGCCGAGAAGAAGATGGGAGAAGCTACCGACAGCTTTCACTCAACCCTCGATGAGATGGAGATGGAAATCGTAAGTCACGGGCCTCCTATCTGGTGTCCAGGAACCCACCACCTACGAGCACAGACTCGTGGCTTACTTGGCGAGATCCTGGGCTGCCTGGACTGAAGCTGATTACCCAACAGATACGCGCAAAAGCTGTCTACATGCGAGACCTTCAGAAGTTGCGGGATCAGCAGAAGGCTGCTGTCCCTGGTCCAGCTCAACCGCCCGCACCCATGGTCATCGATCTTGATCCCCCAAAGGTCGAGAAAGCATCCGTCCCGGTTGCGCCTATGATGGCCTCTGTGTCACCATTCATGCAGAATCGACCAACGCCCAAGGTCCCGGAAACCAAGCCAGTTGCCCCCTTTCCAGACATGGGCATGGGCACTCCTGCGCACGCCGCGACCGCCGTCCCTTTCCATCCCGTCAAGCCCACTGAGCCTAAGCGCCCGTCTCCAAAGCCAGCTCCCAAGTCAGGCCCGCCCTCTGGACGTCTAGCGACCAAGCCATCCCCGCTGGTCAACTCCCAGAAGCAGAAAGTCCCTGCCACCGTGCCACCGGCCGCATCTGCTGTGGTCCAACCCCCGGTCCCAGCTCAGCAGCCAGCTTCCAACCCACCGCCGCCTGCTCACAATCCCTTTACCAACGCAACATTCACACTCGACCCAGTCAACAACGAGCCACCGGCGCAGCCAGCTGCCCAGGACACCATTATGGACTTGACGAGCTTCGACAACACAACAGGCAGCCTTGACAGCCTGGGCTTAGGGGTACCCGCCCCCGGCGGAAATACCGAGCCTGCTGTCAACAACAACGCCAACGCTGTAAACGACACTAGCATGGATGATCTGGACCGCTTCTTCGACCTGGGTGAAGAGACCAACACAAATTTTGATGACAACTTCAACAGCATGAACAGCATGAACGAGTTCATGAACGACGATTTCGCCTTCGACACATTCGAGTGAGCGGCAGAGGACATTGGGGCAGGTATGACTGAGCAGTGCAAAGTGATCGGTATCATTCTTCTATCGCAATGCATTGAACCACTCATGCACGTGGTTCATTAGGGTGACTTCATGCTTTATTACAAGAAAAGTACTGCGATCTCGGCCCCCCTTGCTCAGGATGGAATCGCGTCTCCTCGTTTCTCCTATTGATCCTTGTTTTCCTCCCCGTGCCTGTCTGGCAGAGTGAGAGAGCGAGCTCGACAGAGGTGCATGCTACATTTGCGTCATATGCTCATTCTATTCGTGGGTGATGGCTGGCAGTGAGAAATCGATGACAGCTATTGCTGAACTTTTCACCGCACACTCGACCAACATCAGGAGACAATCCTATTTTTGGAAAGCTGACCTGTGGAATGTCACGGGGTGGACGCCACTGCGTTGGTAGGTCATTCTCAACCTTTCTGTATGTTTGAGCACCTGCACAAGCTTTGGAGGTCCCTGCAAACTGTGGCATCAGAGAAAGAGAGGTTTACCCTTTTTCCATGTTATAGAAGGGTCTACAACCGCAAAACTGCAGTGGGCTCATTTGTCATAGAGCTTATAAGTCCTAAAAGTGATGGGACTGAATGAGGGCTAACTACTTTACATAGCCACCATGAAACTGCAACGCTGTCCTGACCTGCAAGTCATCAGAGAGAACCAAACTCCTATCAACTCCATCGCTGACGACCGATCCATTATTGTGATGGGCCCTGGCTGACGTTCCACATCTGGCCCAGCATGCCGGGGAACTTCGGGTTGCGCCACGTCGCCCAATCCTTGTCCAGCATGCCCCAGGTCTCCTCATAATCCGTCTGCGCATTGCGCGCATAGTACGTCCCCTGCAGGGCCCAAACGGCCCAGTCGGCGTCATTATTGGTCATGTACTCGACCAGGCACGAGAGGTAGCTGTCGTCGTCGTCGCTGAGGCCGTCATTGTTGCCGCCGCTCATGCCCACGCCGAACTCGCTCAGGATAAGCGGCGCCGTGTATTCCTTGCCCTGCGTAAGGAGGAACCCGTCGAACACGCCCCACGCGTCCTTGCGGAGGGAGCAGATGCCGAAGTTGATGTGGAACGTCACGGTGAAGGAGTACGCGTGGAACTCCCACACGTGCTTCCCGCTCCACGCAGAGAAGTCGAGGCTGTCCTTCTTGTTGAAGCTAAGGTCCGTCGCCGAGTTGACACCACCGATGATGACCAGCGCGTCCGGGTTCGCCGAGTGCACGGCCTGTGCGCCCTTCTTGACGAGCGTGTACCAGTCTCCGAGCCCGACGAGCTGGACAATGCCCTGCCTAATCTCGTTCCGCAGCGACAACCCCACCACGCCCTTGCGTGAGGCGCTCCACGCTGCGACCGACTGCAGGCCCTCGAGCCACTGCGTGGTGTTGAAGAACCGCGAGATCTGGTCGTTGTGGCCTTCCGCCTCGTCCCACCACCCGTTCCCGTCGGTTAGGTTGCAGCACCATCCGGCCTTGGACAGGTGGTTGTCGAGGACTGCAGTATCACGAGTTAGCTATCAAAGAACCGAGGTAATGGTCTGTGTAGATAAGGGGGTGGCTGAGGAAACTGTCTGCCCATAGTGTGTCTCAAAGGACGCAATCTTACAAACGGCCTGAAGACAGACTACGCATATGGCAGATGGGTTCTCCCTGGGAATGTTAAGAAAACTGCTTACTGGTCATGACGCCCCTGTCCCACAGCTGATCAATCACCTCGGCAAAGACGTCCTGGGTTGTGGCGTTCTGCAGGAACGGGTTCTTCTCCAAGGCCTGGGAGTAGAGGCCCAGCATAGAATCGGCCGACACCTGGGCGGCGGGCGCGGCGTCTTTGAAGGCGTCGGCGACGGCGACGGTGGGGTTCAGCGCCCAGTCGATCGAGTAGGTCAGCCGGACGCAGTTGAACCCCTGGGCGGCGATCCAGTCGGCCAGATAGCTGATGGACTGTTTGTGGAGGCCCTCGGGCAGGTTTGTCTCCATGTGGCCCGCCCAGTTCACGCAGCGGAGCTTGACCCGCTCGCCGCCGGCGTCGACGATCCAGCGGCTTGTCGTCGAGAGGGGAACATTCGGGGCGGCGAGGGCAGAGTTGGCGAGGGCTAGGAGAGCCAACAGAAGAGGTAGGAATAGAAGCATGGTTTCACCAAGCTCTGGTTGTATAGGTGCGTTTAGCAAAGAGGTCTGTGTTGGTGTGCGGTGGCGATCTTGTCCTCAGTGTGAGATCCCGGGTCAAGAAATGATTATATTGGGAAGTTGTGCCGTCGAGCCAGGTCGGAGTCTTAAGTAGCGCAGTCGAACTGTTTACAAAAATTGAATGAAATGTGACCATGTCAGTCAATGGACCTTATGTGAAGCTAAGTGTGTGTATATACACGGTGAATTACGCGATATCAAAAAATTGCTGGATATACAACAAGTGAAGCAAGACTAGTGACGGGCAACTAAGCCAGCCTCGAGGTAACCCGGATTGTGAAGAGAGCGAGTGAGAAGTCGGCTAAAGCTCACAGAGAGCAGCCGGGTGGGCATCGCAAGATTCATACATCAAAGATATAGTGGTAGCAGTCCATCGAGTATTTATTCCCCCTGCCCAGCTCCCTCCCCAGCTGAGCAATGCGCCTGCACCTTCCCGAGGGGACACCTGCCAGCTAGTCGTGTCCGCCCCAGGCCATCGTGACCGACATCATGATTCGGCGGCGGAGCACGCTCTATGGACGAGCCCATTGGGGAGGGGGAGCCAAGCGGGAGGTGGCGGCGGCAGCTCACCTATCAGGTACGCGGACTGCGTAGAGTGAGGGAGAGGCGGATATGGGGCCAAATATCAGACCCGCATGAAATGCAGACGGGGGGAGCAGGCGGACAGGGCAGGGTGGGCGTTGTGGACATGGTGGGTGACGGCAAGGGCAAGCCCGTTTTCCTTTGCATGACACCGCGGCATTCGTCTGATCTATCGCACGCGGGGCGGTCCTCATGGTCTGTTGTTGCATCTCATTGGGGCTCATGTGAAATGGGACAGACCTGTCATACCCATGCACGCCGTCCGAGATGGTGTGTGGAGGAGGCCAACGGCGCCATCTAAGTGGACAGAGGGGTTCGTGTGCCCTGGCTTTTGGACATTTGGTCTGGTAGGTACCAGCAGCTTAAGTTAATGAACCGCAGCTAAACTGGTGTGGTTCCCCGGCCCTGGACTAACAAACAGTAGTAAACGCTTGCTCGCTTTCTTCCCCCAAACTACCGCATTTGGTCCAAAGCTTCCGACCAGCAGCTCACACAACCCTGTCAGTCCGTTCCCATGTAGATTGTCTCCTATAAGCAACATACAACATGTTCGCCACAGAATTGCCACATGCTACTGCTGAACTTCATTGTCGCCGCCCTGCCCTACAAACTAACCACAGTATTCGTGCAACGCTCCTGTCACCGGTAGCTTGAGCTGCCGGAATGTCACGCTCAGACAGATTTGGAGGTATATCTGGATACCACAGGATATTAGCTTGCAGGTGCAGGAAAATGTGCTATGTGAATTTTGGGCGGTGCTCCCTTGGAAAATGGTATCAATATTCATCGTTCATAGATTCGTAAATACAGGAGCATGTGTGCATCACATGCCTATTTCCAACAAAAGAAAAAAGACAAGGAGGTAGGTACAGAAAAATGATTTGACCTAAATACTCCCGTGCTCTCCTCGTGCGTCCGGCAAGCCGAGTGCCAGCCACGTGCCCAGCCTTTGCAAAAAAAAAAAAAAAAAAAAAAAAGGGGGTTGGCGACACAACAAGAGGTAGCGCGCGCTCAGTGTGTGTCGGTCAGACACAGTGTGTGACATTCCCCCCTCAGGAAGTATTTGTGGTTGTGTCGCTGGCAGCCATCTTGGCTTCGAGTTCTTTCCTTTTCGCCAGGAGACTCTTGAAAGCCCCCAGGCACTTCACTAAAGATTCCTCATCATAGGCGCAGAATCGGTAGCTCTTTTCTTCCGTAATAACTTGCAGACAGTGCGTCTTTGTTTTGCTCATCGGGTCGATATCAACCACGTTAAGAATCATGCCCATGTGGACAATAAACTGCACGGTGTACTCCGACTCATCCTTGTAAAGGATGAGGTTCCTGGGCCGGAGAACAGCCCAGCAGTTCTTCCACTGGCGCACGCCACCTTTATTGCGAAGCCACCGAAGCCAGCCTTGCCAGAGGATCCGATCAGGGTCTTGTTCGATGTTGATACCACTGGCTTGACTGGCGTTGCGGACTCCCGGGTTCGGCCTGGGACTTGCGGAAACGGCAGGAGGAGGGGACTGGACTGCCAGGCTCTCGATTGCGACACCGTGAACTCGTTGGACATCCGAGTCCGAGAAGTCCGAGTGTGACGCCAGCTCGGCCCCTGAGAGACCAGATGACTCGACGGTCGTGGATGGCCGTCGCGGGTTGTACGACGGGCGTCTGAAACTGGTCGTGCTCCTCTCGACCGGTTCCGGGGAGCTCGAAAAATATGTATCGCGGTCTTGCAGGATCGGGCCCGTGCCTGGGCCTGGTTCGGCCTGGTCGAAGGAGCCAGCCGGCATAAAAGAGTTGCGACGGATAACCGGGCTGGCCAAAAACATCTCCTCCTCTTCCTCCTCTATTCTGGCATCGCTGCGTATCAAATCAACCCATGCCTTGGCTTCGACGGAGCTGGAAGCCTGGAAGTGGAAGTTTTTTGATGGCGAGAACAGGCCGAAGACGTTCTCTCGTTTGTTCTTGGGATCCTTGAGGAGGGTGACCGCAGTGAGGTCCGATAAATATATTTTGTGGCGTAATTTGGTCTCCTGGTCGTCCTTGTAAATGCTCAATGTGTTTGGCCGGTACACCAGGTAGACAGACTTCCACGTTTTGGTCTTCTGCGTCCGCTTCTGGAGGTATCCGCTCCTGATTACACGGTCGAACTCGAAACTGCCATTTTGGTTGACCGGTGAGTACGGATCGAGCGAAAGCTGGCTCTTCAGTCGAGAGGTGGCGTTTTGTGGGGGCAGAGAGATCGACGTCGGAGGGATGGCGATGTTCGGTGATCGTTTAATCGGGTTGCTGGCGGCCAGCCCAGTCGGCCTCGCTTGTACTTCAGCCATGACGACCGCCGATGTGCACGTGGTTGTATCCGAAGCCTGGGTAATAGGGAGTCGAGAACCGAGGCGTGCACAAGAGGAGAAGCAAAGTGTACCAGTGAGGTGATAATGTCGCCAACAAGATAGGTCGGGCGCAGGCCTGCCGCAGGGATCCACCGCCTTTTCGGGATTTAAGGAAAGTATTAACGATTGACCAAGTTGGGAATTGAGAGAATTGTTGTGTAACGAGAGGCTAGGCGGCCAGCAAAGGGACCTATGGGAGAGGACGGGAGGAAATAGAGGCTGAAGTCGAGCAGATCACCGCGACGGTGAGTTGTCGTGCGTTGGGGCAGGTGGGTCGATGGAGCGACTTGAAGTCCAAGTGTCAGGTAGATTTGTATTTCCTCCTGCTGGACCCAGACCAAAATAAAACATGGCTACAGCCCATCGGGGGCCAACCCAGTCGAGGCCTGGAATCGATTTGATGTGATCGGGGCAATGGAGAGGGCAGGGAATGGGCAGTGTGGTGGGCTATAATGCTGCCAGGCGAACCAAAGCCCCAGAGCAACAACAGGCTCAAACAGGAGTAGATGATGAAACCTGGGCAGAAGGAAGCAGGCGCGAGAGGGTGACAAAGATGGCAAGGTGCACTGGCGGGGCACAAGGAGAACAAGGTTGCGGGCAGGAAGGGCACAGCGCATGAGGAAACGGGCGACCGCAGGGTTACTGCAGGGTGGGTCCTTCCGCCGAAGAAGCAATATCGCGCTAGTGGGCCTGTGGGGAAGGCACTCCCACGAGACCGGATCGCCATTGGCCGGACCCCCAGCACTTTCCATCATGCGTAACATTCAATTGAGGTAATCTCGGCAGGCACATGGGCCCCAAGACCCCCACCCAGCACGGCACTGCTCGATTGCCCAGGCGCAAACATCGAGGTTCGGACGAGGCCTTGGACGAGGCCCAGAAAAGGTGGGAAGGGCCAGCACGAGGAGCGCATGTCACGTCGACGAAGTGATGAACCTGACAGCACAGCTGTTCATCGGACCAAGTTCGAGATCGAACAGCGATATGGAGGAGTAGGCATCATTCAGCCCAGTAGCCTCGGCCAACCCCACCGTTGACACAGTTCCCGTTGAGGCCGACTCGACGCGATGCAACTCGCCAAAATGACTAGAAGACTTGGAACAGACGATCGTTATTTGTCGATCCTCGGTTCACAGCACGTCTGATGATTTCTGGTCCCTGAAACTGCGTCTCCGAGTGCTGCATCCCGGCCGCAAAAGGTTCTAGGCCCTAGACTCCCAAGGATCTCCATGAGCACTCGATCAGCTCCCCTTTTTGGTCTTCCATCTTGATATGCGGATGACTGCGCATCACAGGTCTGGTAACGTCGAGATCGCGCCTTTCCAATTGTACAAAACCAAGGCTTGTTCTCGTCTTTGGAGCTGTATAAGTGGTGCCTCGGTGCGATGTTGGACGGCACGTTTCCAAAGGAGATGGGTACCTAGTTACCACTAAGCAGCCATGACTGGAACAATACAAGCTCGCCGAAAGACTCATTCGGCCTGTTTCCCGTTAGCTCTGCAGCCATGTCGAGCACCAAGCCGCCAATGTGTCCAGCGGCTATAAAGAAGCTGTGTTTCGTAAATGCAAGCAGAGGGTATCACGATGAGGGTCTCAATTGAGAGGCATCGGTGTTGTATCTCGTTCTCTTTGATGACTGGAGATTTACGTCCTCATCGCAGGGCCTCTACACTTTGATTCTGCAGCTCACTCCTCATACAGCCATCTTCATCCCCACCGTCTCGACATGGCCGAACCAACGCCAGACGAGATAGCATCCCAAGTCACGCAGGAACTGGGGCAGACCGCATTCGCTTGCACATCGCTTACTCCGCTCTCCGGCGGTAACGCGAACTTTATATTTAGGGGCAAGCTACAGAAACCTCTAGATGACGGAACAGCCGAGATTGCCATTAAACACGGGGAGGGCTTCGTTGCCCTATCCCCAGGACTGAAGCTCTCAACTTCCCGTTGCGTAGGCTGAAACCCATCAGCCCTTCCTCTCGGGTGGGACAGCCAGGCTGACTGGATCTGAGAACAGATCCTCGAGGAGAAGTGTCTTCAGGCGCTGCAGAAGCTGGCCCCAATGACGAGCCAGTCGTACAGCATTCGAACGCCCCATCTGTTCCATTTCAATCCGGATTCGAGCACCCAGATCCAGGAGTATCTGCCCAGCTCTCTTAACCTCAAACACTATGCGTTGAAGCGCTTGCTGCCCTCCACGCCTGAGAACCTGCGGCCCAAGGTCCTCGAATTAGGGCAAGGCCTTGGTAGATGGCTGCGTAGCTTCCATGAGTGGTCTAGTCATCCAGAGCAGGAGGCGTTGCGAGAAACGGCCAAGACAAACAAGGAGCTACAGACAATTAAGTTCACCTACAACTATGAAAGTCTCTTCTGGCAGTCCGATGATTTCCCGTTCCTCAAGGAGTCCGAAAATGTGTTCAAGGAAGTCATCGCAAACGCGAAGCTAGAGCTGGAAGACGAGAGCAAGCTGCACGTCATCCATGGAGACTTCTGGACAGGAAAGTAAGCAATTACTGGGCTGTTGACTCTTGAGACAGGAAAAGTGCTGATGACAGCTGCAGCATTCTGCTTCCCGACCGGGATCTCGAATCTGATGACCAAGTACCTGTTTTCGTGGTTGATTGGGAGATGTGTGAGTTGGGTGTGCGGCCTTTGGATCTCGGGCAGATGATTGCAGAGATGTACGAGCTCTTCCTGTACAAGGACATTGCGGCAGCGTTGTGGCTGATCGAGGGTTTCGCGACCGGCTATGGGTTTGTGGATGACGACTTTGCTTTCAGAGTCGCCGTCCATACCGGCGCGCATCTTGTCGGCTTTGGCACGAGTGTCCCAGGCTGGGGCAGCACTGAAGCCATAGAGAGAGTCTGTAAGGCAGGAAGGGATGTCATCACGCATGCCTGGGGGAAGGATCGGGCTTGGTTCGAGGACCATGACTTATCGCCCCTCTTCAGAGAGTAGACTCAAATGGCCAGTTTGTTTTCCTGCCCTCACTAATGTGCCAAGACCAAAGTGACCGCATCTGAACAAAAGAAGCTTTTAATGATGACATGTATCAGGCAAGAAATCTGACAGGGCGGAGGAATTGTGGGATTCGATCTTGTACCGACGAGCAGGAACCGACGGGACGGGACGGTCCATCTCGCAGAGATTTAGTTAGTGCTCAGAAGCAACCGATGAAGAATTTCGCTTGTCCTCACCAACCATGTTGTTTGCCACAACCAGATTTCAGTTTTAAGAATATTCCTTGCATAACTTTAGCTAGCGATTTCTAAAACCTGTAAAGCGTTGAGAGCCAGAGGCCAAGATGACGACAGTCGACACGGGTTCGAAGGTCTGCCGACGGTGCAACGAAAACGAGTCCACGCACACGATCCGCTCAGAGCCAACATGCGGGTCCGTGAAGCCAACCTCTCCCCGAAGCCAATACTTCAATTGCACTTTTACTAATGTTCCGGCAGCTGCTGTTACCGCCGATATGTGCAGATGAAAGCCGTCAAACGGCTCGAGGTGGCGTCCAAGGAAATCCGTGCCGCGCCTACACAGACCAAGAAGGTCCTGGTCGGCCTGTCCTTTGGGGTGTCGTCGTCCTCGCTCGTGAATGTCCTCGATGAGAGCACCAAGAATCAGCTGAAGAAGAGGCCCACCCCGGCCTACGACCCGGTGGTGGTACATGTCGATACGGAGATGGGCGATCATACCTCGTCATCGCCTTCAGAGGCCCAGAGGCTCCTGGACAAGTTCAGCGAGCGATATCCACGCTTCACATTCCGGAGCTTACCGCTGGCCACCGCACTGGATCTGGATACTATCGACTGGAGCGCCCTACCTGTCGCGCCGAGAAGCGGTGAGGATGGTGAGAAGGGGCCAGGGGAACGGCTGCATGACTTCTTCGCCCGCCTGCCCTCCACAACGTCCAGGGCCGACATCATGCGGTTGTTCGTGCGGCACATCCTCATATCCGCAGCGCTGGCCGAGGGCTGCCACGCCTTGTTCCTGGGCTGCAGCACCACGGCCCTGGCGGCCCTCACCCTGGGGGAGACGGCAAAGGGGAGGGGTTTCACGCTCCCGTGGATGACCAACGACGGGCCCCAGCCGATCCACGCCTTCGCCGCCGTGCCAGGGAACAGCTCAAGCTCGGACAACGGAGCCGAGGCGACCGGGGAGGAGATGGCCAAGCTACCGATCTACTACCCCCTCCGCGAGGTGTTCCGGAACGAGCTCGTCGCGTACGCGGACCTCGTCTCCCCGCCGCTCACGGACCTTGTCCTGCCTTCCGACGCGGCCAGGCCCGGCTCCGCGGTCGTGTCGCACAGGGACGTCAGCATAGACGACGTGATGGCCCGGTACTTTGACGAGGTCGAGGCGAGCTACCCGTCCATCGTGGCCAACGTGGTGCGGACGACGGCGAAGCTGGAACGCCTCGGAGAGAACGGGGATGACATATCCTGCGGCCTATGCGGGATGGGGCTGGACGAGCTTGGGGACGAGAGGTGGAAGGGTGAGATAGGAGACGCGGACGCAGGAGAGTACGGAAGATTATGCTACGGTTGCCAGCGGTCCATGCGGAATTGATCACTATCTAGCCCCGAAAACTTTCCACCGGGGGTAATCTCATGGAGGCGAGGTGAACAGATCTCTGCTTCCTGAACAAGCCCATCTTGCGCGAGTGCTTTCCTGTGAGGTGATGCTGAACGTTCCTGTGGGCATAAAACAACATGATTTCGGCGCACGATCGAAGCAACAGAAACTGTCTCATTTCCTTCCACCTGGAGGATCTATGATGGTTTTTTCCTACCGTGAGACGCCCATCTTCATGCAAAGGGTATCATATACAAAAATACAGGTACAATTCAGCGGTCACCCCAACTCCTTTGACACAACATCGTGATGAGACATTCCCACTACCGCTTAGGCATGGGGGTCAGGCAGCCAAAACTCCAACTGCTGGTCTGCTGTCGCAAAGAAGTTGAACCGTGGGTTGTAAGCCAAGACCGCCGCTTCCTTCTTGTCCTCCAGGACGTAACTTGGCTCCAGCACCTTCTTCTCGTTGGTCGTTCCCAAGACATCCCACACAAGAACATCCTTCTTAGAGCCGCTCAAGACGTACCTACCATCCGGCGTGAAGCAGCATTCGCCACTGCTCTCCATGTTGGTGGGGTTTTCGGAGGGCGGGCCTCTCAGGTTGGCCTCGCCAGGGGCAGCCCTTCTAGTGCCACCGTCAGGCTTGCGCAAGTAGGCCTTTAACTCGCATGTGAATGCGTCGAGCAGGAAATGGCCCTTCCCGTTGGCCCCAAGGAGGATATGCTTCCCGTCATTGGAGAATTCGAGCTTCGTCCAGCCCTGCATGGTGTAATGCGTGTCGACGGGGTGGCATTTCTCGACAATGTCAAAGACATTGAATGGTTTGACATAATTGCGGTGGTCGTAAAGCAGGATGCTTCCGCTAGAAGATGATGCAACTGCGAACACCTGGCCAGAGGGATCGTAGGCGGCGAGGTAGGGAGTACGGAGGTTGATCTGCGCGGTCCAGAACTTGGTGTTCATGTCCCACAGCCGTACGGTGTTGTCGCGCCCGCATGATATGAAGTTGTCGGCACCGGGGTGCATCGTCAAGGCGGTCACCGGGCCTTCATGGCCTTCGAAGTAGCGGATGAAGGAGTTGTCGTGCGTTGCTAGGTAGCGGATGGCATCTGCAAGATGGCGGGTTAGTGGCTGTTCCAAAACGAATCCAAATGCGCCAATGCTGCATGACTGACCGTTCTGCTTTGTGCTGGCATAGATGATGCTGGAGCTGGCGTGGGTGAATCTGGCCAGCTTGACTCCGTACTTCTTACTCAACAGGGTCTTGTCATGGCGGCCCTCTTTGACATTGTAGATTTGGATTGTCTCGTCACTCTCGGATGTCATGCACAGCTCGCCGGGATCATCGTAGTCGATCGAAAGAATATATGATGGAGGTTTGCCCTCTTTGGACTCATCTCGTTTGAAGAGCTGCAGGTGAGCTTCATGTTAGACACTGGGACCACCGGGGCATCAAATGCGAATCACAGCTAGGGATGTATACCTTGGTTGGCCTGAAGTTGGCAATGACCTCGCTGACGGCGGAGGTGGTGCTGACGTTGGTCCCTAAAGTCCTTGTTATATTCAATTGGGGAGCCTCTGCCGGTGCCGGGGACGACTCGGCATCGATGTCCATAGGAGTCGCCGACATGGTGGTGAAGGGATGCTCGACGCGCGACGCGGAATTCAGAGTGATGCGAAGAGCTCAAGCTGTTTTTCGGGTCGGAGGTAACTGAGGGAACGGCAAGGTGGGGCTGGACATTCGGCCGTGATGACCTACCTGCTCTGTGGTAGGTATATGTACGGCCACACCGGGCGTGGGGCGCTAAGAGATCCACCGGTCGATTTCTGGGGGAGCTCGGGACCTGGTTAGCCCTGTGGGGACGCCTATGACATGACGGACCCTAGCTGCCCAGCAGCTCCGACAATCGCAGCTTTCAGGAGTTACTGTGGTAAGTTCTTTTCTGCCCAAATTTCCCGCGGCCTTGCGCCGTCTGACTCTTTGGCACAAATGTTTCTGACCCAGGCATTACGGATCCACCGGTGACCACTTAATTGTCAGGAATTGTCAGCGCTATGGTGTGGCTGTTATAAGAATTCCGCCTGCACCAGTTTCCTGGCCCTCGGTCGGCTTGCCTCGGCGCGTGGCCGTCGCACACCTCGACCACGAGTGCTCACTCACCAACACCGCATCCACACTCAGTACCCGGCCCTCGAGGCCCCTTCCTTTCTTCAAGGCCATCTGTACTTCTGCAGTGGAATTCATACCCATCCTTGAAGGAACTGGTTGATATTGCCGGAATGTCGACAACAGCAGGGTACGACCAGAGACCGGCACTTCGGGCTGTTCACCCTCCTCACTGATGAATGCGCTGACCTCGTCGCAGTGCCTTCATTGCAGGCGGCATCGCCGCCTGCGGCGCCGTTACAATGACTCACCCCTTCGAAACTGTCAAGATCCGGTATGTGCGATTAGGCATTGTGTTCGCGGTGCTCGCTGCTTTACCAGAGCTGACGGGACGGTTGTGATAGCATGCAACTGCAAGGAGAGCTTCAGGACAAGGGACACCAGCCACACCACTACCGAGGCCCTTTCCACGGCGTTTCGGTCATCGTACGAAACGAGGGTGTGCGAGGCATCTACCGAGGTTTGGGGACGGCGTACACATACCAGATCCTGCTCAATGGCTGCCGACTGGGCTTTTACGAGCCCATGCGTAAGACGATTACGTCGGTACTCTTCAAGGATGCCAATGTCCAGTCATTGGGTGTCAACATGTTTTGCGGAGCCGGGTCTGGTATCATAGGCGCCATGGCCGGAAGCCCTTTCTTCCTCGTCAAGACGAGATTACAGAGCTATTCGCCGTTCCTGCCAGTCGGCACTCAACACACGTATCGTAACGCATTTGATGGACTGCGGCAGATCTATTCGGCTGAGGGTGTCCGAGGACTTTATCGCGGCGTTGGCGCGGCAATGATCAGGACCGGCGCCGGGAGCTCGGTGCAACTTCCGACTTATTTCTTTGCGAAGAGGAGGCTGATGAAGCATGCGGGCATGGAAGAGGGTCCTGCGCTGCATTTGACCAGCAGCGCCGTCAGTGGCTTCGTCGTTTGCTGTTTCATGCATCCCCCAGGTCAGTATTTTGGTGTGCCAAAGGGCTGGCATCGGGCTGGAGACCGCTCTAACAAGCAATTCAGATACCGTCATGTCACGCCTCTACAACCAGCACGGAAATCTGTACAACGGCGTCTTGGACTGTTTAGCAAAGACTGTGAGGACGGAGGGCTTCTTTGCGATCTACAAAGGCTTTCTGCCTCATCTGGCCAGAATATTACCACACACCATCTTGACCTTGAGCTTAGCAGAGCAGACGAATAAGCTGGTCCGCAAGGTCGAGGGTCTGATATTACCAATCGCGGAGACGAAGCTATAGAGCAGCAGTAGACGGACGAGGTGCATTTCAAGGGCATTAAAAAGCGTCGGTGCGGTTTATAAAATAAGGAACTTCAACGTGCATATAGAAAGATACCAGGCTTGGGTTGGAAAACATGTCCCCGGTGTGGTCCAAGCCTTCGGACCAGAGTTGTGACAGTATCTGTGTATTTTGTATTCCAAAATACAAAATACATAAATACATGTATTTATATCTGTATTTAAATACTGTATTTATATCTATATTTATATTTATATAGGCCTTGTATTTTATATCTATATCTATATTTATATTTATATTTTTAAAATTTTAAATCTATATTTTATATTTAAAATATAAAATATAGATATATACAAGTTATATAATATTTAATTTTAATCTTATGATTTTAAAATAAAAAGAAATTATATTTAAATTCTATTTAATTTAAGCATTTTAAATATATTTTTATTTAATTTTATTAAAAATATATAAATACTTTAAAAATGAAAAATTTAAGGTAAAAACTTATTAAATAAGAAGATAAGATTTAAATAAGAAAATAAGGTTTTTTTTAAAAAAGTACTTATATATTATATTTAATATCTTTTTAGAAAAAAAAAATAAAAATAAAAAAAATATATTTAAATAGCTAGTTTTAAGCTTACTTTAAAAAGATTTTTAATAAATTTAATTAATGTCAGGGCCGTGGGGCTGATCATGCGCAGGGGCCCTCTGGGCCCGTCTGGTTGGCTTATCTTATCAGCCCAACTGGCCTCCAAAACCACTCTGATCTGCCCTTTCGGCAATTCTTCCTTTTCCTTTCTTTTTTCTTAGGCAAACCTAGTTGTAAATCAACCATTCTTCACTGTCACATTGTGCCCTTGTTGCCATTTGGACGTGAGGACCGTCTCAATTAATTAAATATTTATATATAATGTATTTTATATTTATATTTTATATTTATATATTTAAAATACATATATTTATATTTATATTTATATTTTTATATTTATATCTATATTTTGTATTTTTAAAATTTTATGTATCTATATCTGTATCTGTATTTTTAAAATTTTCTATATCTATATCTATATCTATATTTTGTATTCTGTATTTTTTGTATTTTCACAACTCTGCTTCGGACATGCAGGCCGGCAGGCTGGGCGGGGCCTCAAGTTAGATCTACTGTACAAAAGGCGTTGGGACTGAGAGCGAAGGATGCCTCATTTCATCTGTGGTTAGGCAATCTCCCCGTTTTGTCGCTTTTACAAGTGACTCGAAACCATATTCGTCAAGAGTAGAAAAGAGTGAGTGTAAAATGCTTCGAAAATAAGAGTTCGAAAGACCAAAATATCATCCCAAATTATACCGCCTGCAAAGTAGACTACTTCACAACATCGAAAAGACCTAGACTTGAGCTCATCCCTGTTGCCGGCCGCGGTCGAACCCCACCAAAGACTGCACTGCTCTTTGGATGCAACTCCAGCTCTGGATTGCAGCTACCTAAACTGTCTCCAAAATTACGGCCAAACCCTTCTACCAGCAGTCATTCAGCACGCGCCAGCTGCTCCCCGTCCTCTCGCGAAGAGTCTCCGGCGGTCAGGTGAATGCCTCACTAGCCTTGAACACCTAAACAGGCAAGGAACAGCACAGACAATGCCGTACATACTCACGAGCCAGGAGTGGCTCGCCCAGTCCGCTCTTCTCATCGAAGCCCGCCCAACAACCGTACGTCTTCTCTCCTGAGTATGGCCCCCGCCGCACCTACGCTGGCAATCCTTTTACTCACCAAGCACCGCCCCTTGTCGACAGGCTCGCGTCACCACAAAGTACAACATCAAGCCCGCGAAAGCACGTACGACCAAGAAGGCGAAGAAGGATGGCGACGACGACACAGCCATGACGGACGCCGACGCCGCAGCACCAGCGACGAAGCCCCCTCGCGCGTCCCTGATCATCAAGACCTTCGACCCCCACTCGGGAGTGTGCCTCAAGTACAAGACCACCAAGGCCGCCGAGGTGTCGCGGCTCGTGCAGCTTCTGGGCTCCCTGGGCAGGAAGATGGCGGCGCTGCCCGACGCGCCCGCGCCCTCGGTCGCCGCTGTCGACGACGAGGCTGCCGCTGGGACCGCGACCCCGCCGGCTGGTGGCCCCGGAGGCGCGGCGGGAGCAGGCCAAGCCGCACAGCAGGCGCAGGCCGGGGCGGGCGGCGGTGGTGCAGGGTAAGAAGAAGAAGAAGGGCAAGCGGTGAGCGGGCCACGGTTAGGCCATGCGATCGGGATGACGATGCGGTACCATGAGGAATTGGGACTCGTTTCTTGGGCAGGCCATTTGCGGTCCAATACCACACATGTGCACCCAGGGGCCGGCGTGTGTTGAGTCTGCATCCTGTGGGCTAGGGAGAAGTGCATCTTGGGAACGAGCCTTCTTTACAAACAGCTCAGGACGCTGCAGATCACGCGATGAGGAAGGAGAGCAGTAGTCTTCTTCAAGACATTGATGCCTGCCTAAAGAATATCTACTGTTACATGTTGAGAATCCCGAGATCATGTTTTCCCGCAGCTCCCTAAACCGTGATCTCATGACCCATCGCGAAATATTGGGTACTACCGACAATGACAAACTCCACCAACGCCAGTAAATGACCAGAAAAAACCACCGTGGCGACCAGGATTATATAGACCTTGCGGTCACCAACCAGAAATCATGGCGAACGCCACGGACACAAGAGCCGCTTTCTCCCTGTCGTCTATACCCAGAGATGCATGTGCGGGAATATGCTGTGATATACGAACCAAGTCATCTCGAAGACATGGAGGGGCATGATTAGGACACGCTCAGAAGTCTTCGTCGAAGGTGAAGTCTCCACCGTTCTCACCCTTCTCCTCAGCGACGGTGTCGTCAGCAGAGACGGGCTTCTTGGTACTAGCCATGACGCCGGCCTTCTGGTAGTCACCGACACGCTTCTCGAAGAAGTTGGTCTTGCCACCAAGAGAGATGTTCTCCATGAAGTCGAAGGGGTTCGACGACTTGTAAACCTTGTCGTTGCCAAGAGCGACCAGGAGACGGTCGGCGACAAACTCAATGTACTGCTTCATGAGGTTGGAGTTCATGCCGAGGAGGGCACACGGCAGAGCCTCGGTCAAGAATTCCTTCTCGATAGCGACAGCCTCGGTGATGATGTCCTCGACGCGCTGCTTGCTTGGGCGGTTCTTGAGGTGTGAGAACAGCAGACAGGCGAAGTCGGTGTGCAGACCCTCGTCACGAGAAATCAGTTCGTTGGAGAAGGTCAGGCCAGGCATGAGACCACGCTTCTTGAGCCAGAAGATGGAGGCGAATGCACCGCTGAAGAAGATGCCCTCAACGGCGGCAAAGGCAACCAGTCGCTGGGCATAGGTGGACTCGCGATCCTGGATCCACTTCAGAGCCCAGTCGGCCTTCTTACGGATGCAGGGAACTAAAAGTCATGTGTCAGAAGACGCGTGCCAGAGTTCTTGGTTCACAGTGGGGACTTACTCGTGTCAATGGCGTTGAGGAGGTGCGTGCGCTGGGCGGGCTCCTTGATGTAGGTGTCGATGAGCAGAGAGTATGTCTCTGAGTGGATGTTCTCCATCATGATCTGGAAGCCGTAGAAGCAACGGGCCTCGGGGATCTGAACCTCGCCGCTGAATCGCTCCACCAGGTTCTCGTTGACGATGCCATCCGAAGCGGCGAAGAAGGCGAGGATGTGGGAGATGAAGTACCTCTCATCGTCGGTCAGGCGGTTGCTCCAGTCGTGCATGTCCTTGGAGAGATCGATCTCCTCAGCAGTCCAGAAAGAAGCCTCGTGCTTCTTGTACATTTGCCAGATCTGTCGTGTCGATGTTGTTAGTGTGGGTCCACTTAACGCGTTGGACTTGGGGGGGGGGAGGGGGGTAGCAGGGCGCGTCGCGTACCTCATGGTATTGGATAGGGAACAGGACGAAACGGTGGGGGTTTTCCTTTGAGAATGGGCTCCTCAAGCTCGTCATCACGGAGGTCAGGGATCTTTGCTGGCTCCTCTGGTGCCTTGGTGATCTCCTTTGTGGCGGCGTGCTTCGCGTCGAGGTCCTGGGCCAGGGTGGCGACAGCAGGGTCTTGGAAGTCATTCTCCTTGTTGGCAATGCCGAGGTCAAGCTTCTTGACTGGAGACTCCATCTTGAGGGACTCAATGCCAGAGGCAGCCTGTGGAAGTTAGAGCCAGTCCATTGATGAGTTGCTGTGGTTTTCCAGCGGGAGTGGGCAAACGCGTGCTCACCTGCTTTGAGGGTGTGATCTCCACAGACATGGTTGACGTATGAAGGGAACTGGTTGAAATTGGAGGCAGGAATGACCACAAAGGATTGGAGTGTTAGGACCAGGACTGGATGACTGAATGTGTGTCTGAGGTCTGTCAGTGTTGTCTCAATATAGGACTGCAAGTGGAATGTCTGGGAGAGGTGAAGATGTTGAGACGGGAGGTAGTACGGCCTTTAAAGTGAAGGAAAGGCAGCAACAGGCGCTAGGCACTGTGGGTCTCACAGACGCGTCTGGTTTTTTGGAGCTGGGTCAAAAGCGCGTCGACAGTGCCCTTGCCCCCCCCCTGTAGACTACCTGAACAAGACATGCAACAATGCGGCACATCTCAAGACACAGTCAGGGCACCATCCACCCACTTTTGTCGTCGCATTGGCCCGGGTGATCAGATGGCTGGTCCCTCTCTACTGCCTTGGCTCAGCTGTGCACTGGGTCTCCCCAGGCGTCGGTTATTATTCACCTGCTTTTTGGGGGGGGAGACAAATGGGCCCAGTCCCTGTCAGAATCGTCAAAGGCTTATCAGATCCTTTGATCCCGCTCCGTTTCCCCTGACATCACCACCCACGCACCACCGATCATTACACTTTGCAAGGTCTAGCCTGTCCTCGGCCTCTTCTGCCTGGCCATAACGCACCACTCCCACCTAGGTCTGTTTCATTGTTCTGCAAGCCATCATGGGAAAGAAAACTCTGTCAGTCATGATCTTATGTTGCAAATGCTCTTTGATTGCTCTCTGCCACTTCAGGTACTAAGGTAAGGATGAATGGAACCGCGCTGCAAAGTACATTACAACTAGTATTGACCAAACCAATCCCCATTGCTGTACCCAAGTTCCGTGTGCTTTTGCCCAGCCCCGGTACCGTGTCTTCGTACAGTACCCGACCCCACCCACCCGTCCGATCTGGTACCGAAATCCACCAAGTAAGTCATGTTTTATAAGACGCGTCTCTGAGACGCGTCTTGAGGTACAGTACTCACCCCATTATGTGTGGCTGCGATGTCGCTCGGATTAATACATCTCTACTGCGGTTCGGTTTCCTGGCCCTTCTTCTCTCATGCCTATATCAACGCCGAGTCCCCTTCATCTTTTTCGTTGGCTTTGGCGGCTGTGGTGCAGACGGCCGTGCTGCAGCCAGTCCTTGTTCAGGATCGTCTGAGTGTCGCAACTGCTGCGGATTCTGCTCTGCTGCGGCCTTCTTGACCAGGTAATCTTCCAATAGCCAGGTATTTCGCGAGTTTGCCTTGTATAGGGCGTCGGCAATGTCCCCGAGTAGCGGTACCAGCCCAATCGCAAAATCGGCCGCGACGTTGAGGTACATCCTGCTCTTGAGGCTGCTTGGAAGCCCGCCCTCGATCTTGTCCGCCTTGCGAATGATCCACCAAGCCAATAGGCAGTCGACGATATCGCCAAGTCTACACAGAGCGGTTAGTAATGCTTCGCCCCTAGTAGCCCTGATCATGGGCTTGGGGAGATGGGCAAGCGGAACTTACACTGGGACGAGTCCGATGATGACGGACCATCCAAATCTGAACCCACACCAGTGGAAAAGGCTCATGTCCAGATGCCATGAACGCCGCCGCACACTGGCGAGGATATTGTTGTCATGGGCAGAGACTCCGGGTGCTTGGTACATCTTGCTTCCCATCAAGCCATTCTTGTAATTCTTGAACTTTCTGCCCTTCTTCTTCTTCTTCTTTTCAGACAACTCGCCTGAAGCCTGGTGGGGATCATAATAGTAGAAGGGATCCTATGTGCTGGTCAGAGACGAAGTCGCACCTATGCGGAGTGATCGCAAACTTACCTCAGAGTCGAAATTCTTTGCGAAATTGTTCAGTGTGTCGCCTGCAGCCTGCTTGGCAGCCCCTGCACACACACAAGGTAAGTCACCGGCCAAATGTGTGAAGACGCAAGATATGTGCATTCCGCTTCCAAACGGGATGGTAGCGGCGCGAACAACTGTTCGGGGCTCACTTACAGACGGCAATTTTGGAAGTCATGTTGTGCGATTCTTAGACCGGTACAAGATGGATTGCAGTGACGGTGAGGTAGAATGGAGGAGAGGGAGTATTGTAAAAAGTAAGAGCGCAGATGCGAGAGACCGCAGCTCTGACTTTCGACAGCCTCACTTTTTAAGAAAAGGTTGCCCAGCGTGTTGACAGAAACTACTGGGTGAGACGTGAAGGCCGATTAGTTGGCTGGGTGGCCGCTTGGTGAGAATAGCTAACGAGTATCAGGAGACGGCCCTCGGCGGCGAAACAAGGGGTCGGAGGGCAGTCACAGGCCTGGCGCAATACAGACCTGGAACACGGAACAAAAGACGTGAAGAGACGGCGTTGGTCCAAGAGAGCAGAGGTACGAGAAGGTGGGAGTGAGGACCTGTTTATGACCCTGTTTGATGTTGTACTGCCAAAGGAGGGCGCCAACTCACTCAACGGGGAGATCAACGGCAACGCAGCGCAGCGCAATGCTCTGCAATGCGACGCATGTTGCACCGGCCAGTCAGTCGCTGGCCACAGGCTACCGCAATACCGGATTTGCGACAAGCCCAACCCATGAAACCAAGCTCCTGGCCTGCATTACGTCAAGAGCTTCTAGACCCCTTCCGATCCAGGCTACTGTTAGTACGTACTGGTGTGCAGTACACGACGTAGTCAGGGAAATAGGCGATCGACAAAGTACCGCACTATGTACAATAGATGGACTGACGGACTAGACGAACTGGGGCCATGGCAAATTGTGGCTGCAGCTCCTTATGAGAGTGTTGCCATCGCTGGCATTCTGTATCTAGACTGATGTTGGCAGTTGTGATGCATAGATAGCGGCCTGATCTGCTTGAGAAATCGAAGACACAGCCACACCTAGACAAGGTTCGTCCTTTGCATCGAGCCACGATCCATCGCTCTCGGGCTGGCGGTCAACGGATGAGACTGATGAGCTAAGCGGGCGGCAGCCCACCAGTCGCCCCCCTGCTGCAATCGCGCTTTTGAGGTTGAGCCCGCCGGCTGCGAAAGCATTGCCTCTGCTGCCGACTGGACATGCCAGAGCTTGCTTCGCCTGCGCAGCCCGAACTGCACAACCGAACTGCACAACCGCAACAGAACGAATCAATCAATGCGACCTACCCTGCCTACGTGTTCACCAACCACCATTCCACTTTCAGTCCTCGACTCATACTAGCAGCCATCAACAGACATCCAATTACAGAGTATCATCACTGCTTTCATCTAGCGCCCCTCACCTCAAGCCGCCATCGCAGCGCAACCTAGTCCCAGTCATTGACCCGCTCGGCCCAAATCAACAAGCGACCCACACCGGCCTGGCAACAACGACGTCGCTGTGCGGTCCTTCCGGTGCTATAGCTTCCTTCGCACCGCACCAGACCGACATCACCTCCAACATCCCTAGATTCTCGCAGCGCTGGTAGATATGATCAACAAGCCCAACCTCAATAATGGATGCATCACGGACCACCTTAGAAGATTGTAAGCTCTCTCAGTTGTGATGACACGCGGCCGGCCTTGCAAGCCATATGAGGCGGGCAGCCTGCTGACTGAAATGGCTTGTGGTCAGGGCTGGACGAGCTTTGTGCTCGCTTCCTGAACAACCTCCCCAAGGAGGAGTTGCAGGAATTTAGCAGAATCGGCATGCATCTCGAAGAAGCACAATGGTTCTACGAAGACTTCATCCGCCCCCAGAACCCCACCACCCTACCCAACCTCCGAATACGCGATTTCAGTCTGCGCATCCTCCAGCATTGCCCCGTCACCTCCATTGCTTCGCTCGACATCCTCGAAAAGGCGTACGACAACTGGGTGGCATACAAAAAACGTATACCAGTACGGGGTCTGATCATGCTGAACGAAGCCATGGACTCGGCCGTGCTCGTCAAAGGGTGGAAGTCGAGCGCCAACTGGAGCTTTCCCCGAGGCAAGATCAACCAGGAGGAAGATGATCTTCACTGCGCGATACGTGAGGTCTACGAAGAGACCGGCTTCAACGTGGAGGAGGCGGGCTTGATTCCGCACAGCCGGAAGGTCAAGTACTTCGAACAAACAATCAGAGACCAGCATCTGCGTCTCTACGTGATCCCGAACGTACCCATGGACACCTACTTCGAACCGAGAACAAGGAAAGAGATCTCCAAGATCCAATGGTATAAGCTGGTTGATCTTCCTGGACGGGTCAAGAAGAAACAGGCACAAGATAACGCCACAGGCCCAAATGCTTCTAAGTTTTACATGGTAGCGCCTTTCATGGAACCTTTGAACAGGTGGATCAAGCAGGAGCTGAAGAAGAAGGATAAGATCAGGAGCAGCCGCCGGACTAGCCCTGCTCTGCAAGCCGAGATCGACGAGATCATGACGGAGGAGGAGGGGGCCGCCACGGAAACCAGGACCGACCTGCCTCCACCCTCAGATGCCAAAGATCACGTCCACGAGGCTGCTACTCGAGAGCTTCAAAGACTCCTCAAGATTCAGCCACAGACGCAAGATCCCCAGCCGGGCCCGCCAGAGCTACCCCAGGATCGGGGCCAGGCTCTTCTGGCAATGCTGCAACAGCAGAGGGACGCACCAGGTGACAACCAGGCTGGCAAAGCTCAGTCTGGTGTTCATATACCTCACACACCCCTGGATCATGTGCAGAACGTCGCTCCCATTCCCCAAAACCCCCACCACAATCATTCCTCGCATCGACTTCCACCGTACCAGCCAGCGCATCATCCCTTTCCATCTCAGCCTGACATGAACAATCAGCTTCTATCTGTTCTGGGGGCTGCGGGCGGCCCTGCGAGGTCCGGGTTGCAGCAAGGCCAGGCAGCGTATCAGCAGCCACAGGTGCATCCTCCCCTGAATAGCGTCAATCAACCAGGCTTGATACACCCTCAGCCTCTACCCCGTCAAGCCAACCACCTTTTGGCGAATGCTCTTGGCCCGAATACGACCTCTGACAACAGGACGGGCCAGATGCATCAACAGGCCAACATGTGGCCACAGTTCGCTGCAGGCATGGCTTTGCCGCAGCAGAATGTATCCAACTCTCGTCAGCCGCCGGCCCCTCTGGACAATACCCGTCAAGCTCTACTTGACGCTTTCAAGAAGGACCCTACGCCGACACAGCAGCCTGCACAGCAGAGTCCATCTTCGCAACAACGTGTAGAAGGAGTCCAAAGGCCAAAGCAGCAGCTGACAGCGCAGAATTTGGCCTCCTTGGCGTCGACCTATCCTCCCGGGCAGCATGGTTTCCAGTCTGCGCAGATCCCAACAAATGGTAGCCCTCAAATCGCTGCCGCCCAAGCAGCTCTGAGGCCGTCAAACGTGCCAGAAAGCCAGAGAAATGCACTGCTGGGGATATTCAAGCAAGCCGCAACTTCGTCTCCTACACGCCAGGGGGCTCAACTGAACCTGAAGGAGAACAGCTCTCCAAAACCCCAGCAACAGCATCCTGCTCTCTTCGGCGCAGGCTCACCAGCCGCACAAGTGAACAATGGGTCGACCCAGGCAAACCTAGGGCTCCCTTATGGTGCGCCTTACGGGGCTCAGTATGTTGCGGCTCGTGCTAGGGAAGGTGATCAGAGGAGCCCACAACCGCCACCACAGCCAGTCCCTGTACCCCAAGCCATCGAGAATATCGGTCGTGTTCCTCACAACACCATGACTGGCCTGCCTTACAGCAGCACCTCTCAGCTTGGGCAGTCCACAGCACAAGGTGGCATGCCCTCGCTTCCAAATATCATTCAGCAGCACCAGGCGGCGGATCCTCAGCAGCTGCAGAAACTCATGTCTCTGTTCAGCAAACCGTCACCAACACCAACAAGCACGCACGTGCCTCCCCCGAGCGCGTATCCTCCGGCCCCAGCGAGCAGCAGCAAGGAGCCCGCCTTGTTCAACATGGGAAGGCTCGCGGCCCAGCTACCCAACACGAGCTCGCATCTTATCCCGCATGGGCCCTCCCAGGGCATGGACGAAACCACTGGCTCTGCGTCGTCGCGTCGTGGCAGCCAGCAGGCGCCAATTTCACCTGAGAACGAGAAGTTCCTGCTTAATTATCTAAAGACTGTTAGTAGTTCTGCGAAATAGCGGGACTTCGGTGGTAGCCGGGATGGGCCGGCGGGCGGAGTATGGTTCGAATTTTGGCGATGACTTCAACCTGGTGAAACGTGATTCCGGAATGAACCCTCAACGATCGTCTGCATCGTTGGCGAACTTGGGACATTACATTGCATTGGTGACAACAAGGTCATGGACGGATATGGGGCATTTCTGGCTGGAGACATGTCATAGCGTTGGAGTACGCGATCTTGCAAGCTTGGTTCGAACTTTGGGACGGGTCAACGGTAGCTATAATATCGCGGTAGAATCAATTGTTGAAAGCGGCCTCACTACTGGGTATGTTGTCACGTTGCTCCAGTGGGTCAGGCAATATCATCTGCTTAGTAGCTGCCTTGGTCAGGCCACATCCATGCCCCAAGAGTTTGTGTTTGCGATCTGCCGTTGAGAGTCACATAAAACCATACCTGTGTTGACCTAGTGCGGCGCGACGTGCTCTTCGTCATTTCAACCGGACATGGCGCGTTTGATGTTCGTCGAGCCGATCATACGGTTAGTAGGCAGCCGACTGACCTGCAGGTGATCAAACCATGCATGAGCCGGGTGATGGAGGTGGTCCAGCGCAGTGTGCAGTCCATGTCGAATTGAGTTTCTCGAGTTACCTGGTTGCAGCGGAGCGGAGTTTCGATGGGCTTTCAGACGAACCCTGAGGCCCTGGGACCCTTGAACCCCGGCCGATTTATCCACCTGGACTGGAAGGGTCGATCTAGGATTCTAGGTACTGCAGGTGCCTGGACACTGCGTACATTCCATACTGTGTACACTGCATCCTGGATTCTGGCCGGCTGTCTGGAGAGCTGGGTTGACTTGTGGGAGGCAGACTCTAGTGCCTTTTTGACTGTACACTCCGGAGATGAGCTGGCGTTGGGGGCCCATCATGAGACGGCTCTGATCTAGACTACCTATGTGTAAAAACTACCTCGTAGGCATCTACCTACCTAGATATCTATCCTTCAAACTGGCTTCCAGTGTATATATATATATATCGTAGGTAGAGACTGCGAGTTTCCCCAGCTCGTTCGTTGACTGCCGACCGCTGTGGACCCCTGACGTTGAAAGTGGGTTGGCTGCCCCCCTGTACACGCTCACGCGCTAGAAGGGCGCGGAAGGAGAGCCGCTCGTCAAGCTGCACCTCGCCTGTCCAACGAGTTGCTTGCCCAGGCCTACCTGCCGGGGTAGGTACAGTTGCTAGTTGGTCCTGCCTGTCTGGTGTAACTATCATACTGGGCCTGGCGAGTTGGGATCTCGTCCTGTTGTGATGCGGACCGACTTTCCTCTCGAGCCTCGTTTGTCCAATTTTCACCTTCTGGCTTGTCCCTCAGATCCTTCTCGTGGCCTGCCATGTCGGCCTCAATCGATACTCAATTGGTCACCATTGACCGCGCATACTTCGACACGCTCGTCCGACGGTAAGTCTCCAGATCCAAGCCGCTAGCTTCCTCCAGCTCCCCCAAGATTCGTTCGTTTGCCCTAGCAGATCTTTAGCCTCAGCTGCACGTCTGCTTGCACCTCGGTCCGTGCTGGAGCATTTCGACCTCATTGGTCTCGAGCGCTGATTTTACCCTTCTCTTATTTCCCAAGCTAACGACTTCGTACAACTCAGTGCCAACTTTGTGAGTTATAGATGCCCATGCATCATGAAGTGCTCCAGCTGTGATCTTGTGGTCTGATCCACCTCCGAGAACCGCGAAGATATCCTCAAGAGCTCGGACGTTTCCATTTCCAGGTCAGAGTACGATGGCCTGAAGCAAATCGCCGCCAAATATGGTACGCTCACACAACCAAAAGTGCAACGGCTGCCACATTTATCCTCTGACGTCCCTTACAGCAAACTTGAGACAAAATTTGGAGCGAGGCGGCGTCGATGGGGCCACGATTGATGTATGTGGTATAAAAGGAACATGCCAAACGCCCACTCATCCTCCTGTCGGGCAGGCCTAGTGCACAAGGAACCTTGCATGTGCTAATGACGGTATTTGCAGCTTCTCAGCAAAGACGATGCCACGCTCGGGCAGCAGACAGCAACATCTACCCCAGCTACTGCCGAATCAAACATCGATACTACCGCGTCCTACACGCCTCAGTCCCCCTGTTCTCGCGTCCCAGCGCCTCGGAGGGTGTTCAACGACAGCGGAAGTCATGAGCACAAGGAACAGCACAAGACACCTGCTCATGTCCATTCTCCGGTAGATGAGGATGCAGATGATTACTCAGTTTCTGGTGGCGGACCCGTTGGCAGTTTCCAGACGCAAGCCTACAACGGTCATGCTCCGATGCGGCCGCACTATGAGCGGCAATGTGCAAGATCCATTCTCCTGAGCAAGCTACCTGACAACACTACCCATGCCGACATCACCGATGCCGTGCGTGGTGGCCAGTTGCTGGACATTTACTTGCGGTCCAATGATCGTACCGCGGCCGTGTCATTCCTTCTCGCAGCCGATGCCAAAGCTTTCTATGACCACGTCAAGCGTCACGACTTATACATCAACCACAAGCGGGTGAGTGGGCCCTGGCAGCACATCAACCGCTTTTGGGGCTCTTTAAATATAATACTGACGACTGTTAGGTTGAAATTCGTTGGAATGATCGTCAATTCATCTTACCCGGCCATGTCGCCAGCAAGGTCGGCATTGGTGCCACTCGGAATCTTGTGATCCGGCGCTGCGATCCGCGTTTTACGGAGTCAGTACAAAGTCTCCCATTCTCAGCATTAACACCATTTCCCGTCTTTTGAGTTCCCGAAGTTTCCAGTATGCTTAACTTCAGGTTTCGAAGCCGGCTACTAACACATACCAGACAGGGTATCAAGGACGATCTTGAGCACATTCACAACCTCGTTGTGATCAAGGTGGAGTTCATCGGCGGCAGCTGCTACATCAAGACGAACTCCGTGCACAATGCAATGTTTGCCAGAAGCTGCATGATGAGTCGAGCGCAAGTGTGATGCCCCGAACACATGCTGGACGTTGACTAACTCTACTCCCAGCAAATACAAGGGCAGCAAGATCGATTGGGATGTTGACGAATGTAACCAGCCTTTTGCGACCACGGCACAGCCCAAGGCTCGTCAGCAGACGCCAACAAACAGCAGAACCAACGGCGGTGCAATGACCAATCGCTTCAACCTCCTGAATATCGATGATGATGGGGACGCCTTGACGTCGCCCGACTTTGGCACCGCCAAGAAAACCATGTTGGCTGCTTAGAAGGCCAACGCTTGAGGAGCTGGAGCGGTATTACATCGTCCCGGCCCTTGATTACCACGTTGTTTGAATCTGGCGAGGACGGATCAGAGTCATGTTAGAGCATAGGATGATGGACCTCTTGAGTTGGGGCACTTCGGCATTCCTTCGGACCCCTGGGGTGGTTGTCACGGCTGCATCGAAGACCCCTAGAAAATTGATACAAGGCGTGTGGAGTTGTGGATACCCCATGGCTACACATGTAGCATACTTCTCATTTTTCCTTTCCCTTTTTGGGACGCTCAAGGCGAGACAGTATGAAAGCATTGTAATCCCTCAGCCGCCGGGCACTGGCAGCTTTCGCTCAAGAATTAGCCTAAGAACGTGTTGCACTGCGTAGGTAACTGCTTGTGCCGCCGACACAGTCTCATCTTGAAGGGGGGCCCTGCTGCGTGGAATAACCATTTCTGCTAAGCACGTAATGTAAAGAGCGTGGATATCTTCAGATGGGGCAAATGTCATCGGCGCGACAGCGTGGCCACGACTTGTTGCACAATCTGACCTCGGGATAAGAATAGGAAAGAATCCCACGGCCCGAGCTGGGTGAATCGCGAGGCCGGACACGGCTTCTGTGCGACCATGGTACACTTCGACTCGACTCTTAAGCCGGTATCCTCGTGTGGGGTGTGGTTGGTTGTACCGGAATCGGGGGAAGCAGTGTTTAAGCTTGTTGTACCGTGACACACGGAAAGGGGAAGGGATATATGGACTACATGTGGGGCTGTGATCTTGACCTGCTCTCAAGCACCCGCACCCGAGCTTGTTGAAGACTTACCTGAGTATTGCAGGTTTGTAAGTGGATCACAACTAGTGGTGAGCGAGACAGCGTGATGCTCATATTGTCGGTGGGAATGGATCGCCGTCCTATATTTGTTGTCCTCGAGCCCAGTTGATCGGTCCTCTTCACATGCTGAGTTGTCACCTCCAGTGTTAGGGCCGCAGTAAGGTTTGTGGAGCCCCGTCGATCAGACCGGGTTGATGGGCACACAGGACACGCTAGTCTTGCACGTATCCCAAAGCATTGGACAGCTGAGAGGAAGGTGAGTGACGCGAAGAATGATGAATAACTAATAAGCTCGTGATGAGCGAGACGATTTCTCCAGACTCCCCCTCGGTCAGTTGAGGAACAGAGTGCGAGGTGTCCATCGGGAAACAGGGAGACGAGCAACGACTCACGCGGTTGACCTCATGTAAATTATTTTTAGCAGGGGTTCACGGTCCCCCCCAACACGAGAAAACGGGAACATGGTGCTGGGTGCCAGGTGAGCCCCATTGTGGGTAATACGAACTGGGCCGGGATCCTGAGTGGCCAGGCCTTCCCCCCACTGGCCATGCTGGATCCACCGGTATTGCCACCACCACCACCTCTTCCAAGGCGAGACATCATGCGCGGCGCTGGACAGCGACAGCACAGCCAAGCAGCCATGTCCAGATCTGCCGGTAATAAGGGCAGAGAACTGCCCACTTTATTGCGAGGGTCTCAGTCCAGACCCTGCAGGACTACTGTGTAGTCCACACACTCGGACACTATCGCGAGGTCTGGTGAGAGCCAGCGGCTGACTGACCGACTGAAGCGAATCCAAGAATTCAGACGCAGGGCCCAGGGACTGGCCGCTCGTTGGGATTCCGGAATCCGGACTGGGCTTCTGCAGGGCCTTCCACTCCAGGGGGAGGGGGCAGGTGGGAACGGTCCTGCTAGTCTGAATGGTCTGCTCTGATTCGGCATTCTCTTCTCGTCACCCCTGCAACCGATCCCCGATGCTTTCTGTCCGTCCCCATCGCCTTTTTCCTGTCCGTCCGCACCTCTAATCCAACCTCCCCTTTCCATTCAGAGCCGTGTCCTTGTGCAATAACCACCTTCGCTTTGTTGTTCATCCCAGTTGCTCTTTGCGGCCGCTGCCTGACATTCGCTTCAACCCCTCCGCAACGTTCGCTCCGTCAACAACCCACGAGCAACAAACCCGTCCGAGCCCTCACCGGCCCCTGATCCTCGACTCATCAGACCCGCCAAGCTTGTGTCCTGCTCGCCAGCCAACCTTGCCTGCCGTGCCCCGAAAAGCCCATTACACCAGCACGCCCCAACACGTCTCTTGCCATTCCAGCGTGCTTCACGATCAGACGCCACCACATCATCGTTGTCCACCCTGCCGGAATTTTGGCGGGATTGATTAAGTTTCAACGGGTCTCTCGGTCTCGGTTTCCTGAGGTGGGAGGAATTGACATTTCGGATCCGAATTCGCATCGCGGACCTCCCTGATTGAGGGCGTTTCTTTCATCTAAGCCTTCTCGTGGCCTATCAACAGCAACGAAATCCGCCACTATGAAGGCCGCACACTTCACCGCCGCCCTTCTCTCCCTCGCACCCGTAGCATCTGCATATGCCTGGCCAGAATGGCTACCAGAGCTCGATGCTCTGGTTGTGAGGCAGGACTCTGACTCTAGCGGTATGTCTCACACTCATGACACGGAGTAGAGCCACGTCTCGGGTGCAAATTGATGACTGACCCAAGACAACTCGCACAGCATCCTCCCCAGCACCTACTGCCACCGCATCAGCAACCGATGACCCTGCAGACGCCGGGAACCTGAACACGGCAGGCATCACCACAGCGAGTGATGCCGAATCTGCATCCGCGACCGACGATGCAAGCGGGTCCGCAACGGGCACGGGCACGGACAAGGACGCGAGCTCAACGGGCAAGAAGAGCTCAAAGACGACGACGGCGAGCGTGAATGCCGACGATCCGGCCGGCAGCGCGGTCATCTTGACACCACAGACCACCATAACGAGCGCCCTCTACCGCATTGGCGAGTTTGTCACCTTGGGCTGGAACTACACAAACGTGCAGGTCACCCCCACGGCAGTCGACGTCGTCATATCGTGTACCACCGCCTCCGAGTCTTGGACGCTGACGTCCAACATGACCTATGAGACCTCGGGTGCATTGACCTGGGACACGGGTGCTTTCCAGAGCGACTCGGTCCAACAGCCTTTGCTCGTCGAGCAGTACATCATGTACATCTACGACGCCGACTCGAGCATCAGTGCAACCGCCGGGCCGGGCGAGCTGACGGCCGCTGCCGCCATGACCTTTGGCCTGTACACCGGCCAGCCGTACACCCCGCTCGCTAGCGGCTGGGTTTGTGCTACCTGCAGTGGTGCCATGTCCAGCAGCGAGAGACAAGCCATCGGTTTCCTGTTCACCGTGGCGGCAATTACCGTGGCGAGCTTCACCTGGTTCGTGACCGGTTTGTGGTGATCTGCCACGACCCATACATCTATACATGTGGGCCTGGCGTGGAACGTAATGTGTGATGTCTTGTGAGCACTAAGCGGTAATGGCGTGTGGATATGGTCGAGCGATTATATGGGCGTGCGTGCATCATCTTTGGACATTTAGGCGGGAATTAAACCCACCGGTTGTTTAAGCGGCGTTGGCATATCTGGGTCTTGATCAGGTTTTTGGGGTAAAAAGTCCGGCGACACCTTGAGGATGTACTTACCAGCCCGGCTGCACACGCATGCAATCACATATAGTAATGATGCATCTGGTGTGTTGAATGGAATATGTGGATGGACTAGGTAGTCACAAGTAACTACGTAATGAACAAAACATCAACATATTTCCCTCGAAGCTGTCCAATCATAAATCGAAACTGACTGCCCATGTTACTTCCGGATGGGCTGCGAGGATGAGAGTCCCATCGAGTAGGACGCCGCATGCATCACACCATCCTCAGAGAGAACCCTCCGCCTCGTTCCTCCTTCTCCCTTCCTGTGAAAATGCCACTGAAATCCACCGCCCCGAGCCCGACGGCGTCTCCACGCCCGGGCGCGTTCGGGGTATCTCTCCGCCGGCGCCGCTCCTGGCCCGCCTTGCTCGGGAACGTCGGGAACATGGCCTCGGACTTGGGCCGCGGGTCCTGGCGGAAGTACTCGTGGTCCAGCATCTCCCTCGCGCTGGGCCTCTTGGCCGGGTCGAGGGACAGCAGGCCGTTCAGCAGCGAGGCGCCCGCCGCGGTGAGCAGGGGGAACTTTGCGCGGATGACGGAGCCCGTGCTGTTCCCCCTGCTGGGCGGGAGGCGCAGCGACCTGGCGTTGGGCAGCCTCCTGAACCCGGGCCAGGTGTCGTCGGTGGGGATGCCGCACAGCTCGAAGATGCGCGTCAGCTCGTCGACCTCGTTCTTGCCCTGCAGCAGCGGCTCCCGCGTCAGCAGCTCGCCGAAGATGCAGCCCACGCTCCACATGTCCACGGCCCCGCCGTAGCTCGCGGCGCCCAGCAGCAGCTCCGGCGCGCGGTACCACAGCGTGACGACCAGCTGGGTCAGCCTGGGCGGCGGGTCGCCCACGTACCGCGCCATGCCGAAGTCGGCGATCTTGAGCTGCCCGCGGTTGTTCAGGAGGAGGTTGGACGTCTTGAGGTCGCGGTGCAGCACCCAGTGGTCGTGCAGGTACGTGACGCCGCCCGCGAGCTGGAGGAGGAGAGTCTTGACCTCGCTGGCGAGGAACGGCTGCGGCATGTCCTCGAGGATGGACTTCAGGTCGTGTTCGAGGAACTCGAGGACTAGGAAGATACTACACGCAGGAAAAACGAGAGGCACGCAACGTCAGCATTATGGGTCACCGAAGAATGGGAGCAAAAGGGTTTCCGTGTATCACGCACTTTTCTATCTTGGCCGTGTCCTCGCCGACCACCACCTCCTTCAGCTTAACAACGTTCCTGTGCTCGCAGTCCTTGAGAATCTGGATTTCCCGCAGCCCCGTGACGGGCAGCCCGTTCCGGTCGTTGGGCTCGATCTTCAGCCTCTTCAGCGCGACAACCTTGCCCGTCGAAATCTCCTTGGCCCTCGCGACCCAGCCGTACGCGCCCTCCTCGATGTCGTTGAGCTTGTCGTACTTCTCCACGCTGTTCGACCTCCCGAAACCGCCGCCCGCCTGAAACCGCAGGAGCCGTGGGGCCGCACTACCACTGCTGCTGCTGCCGTCGCCCTTGGCTCGTTGTTCCGACGGCCGCTCTGGCGTGAGCCTCCGCCTCTTGGCTGGCCGCCCGTCTTGGTTGTCATCGTCCCCCTGGGCTGTGGCTGCAGCTGCTTGCCGCTTGCTCTCTTCCTCAGCCCTGCGGGCTGCCTCTGCCTTCTCTTTCTTCAGCCTCTTTTTCTCCTCCTTCTCTTTCCTGGCCTTGGCCTCTCGCGCGGCGTCCTCCTCGCTGTCGGCCCAGCGCGACTTGCCCTTGCCGGACATGGTGAAATCAAAACAGCACGAGGGCCAAATGCAAGGCTCGAGGGGCGACAGCCAAGGGTGCGGGGCGAGGAGAGGTTCGGACGAGTGGCGAGCAGCGATTGTGTGTGGAAAGTATAAGTTGAAAGAAAGAAATGCACCGACACACCAGGAAACTGTAGCCAGAGGGACAGTGTGAATGGATAGAGTGATGTCGACACAGGTTGCCTGCCGGGGCTTGCAACTGCCGTACCGGGGTCCTGGGTGTAGCTGCAGGGGTACAGGGGCAGTTTTCACAAGCTTGACAAGCTTGGAGCTAGGTATGAGAGCACAGAAGCACTCACCTAGGCCTACCTTGGTTGATTCCTAGCTTGAGTTTCCACACGTTGAGGTCACGAACTACCCGAACTACCCGAACACCGAGCTAGTGATGTTCCGCTCATGATGAAGACGGCTGGTGTCCCTTAATTCTTGAGCCGGCCAACTTGTCAAGATGAGGCCGTTTTCACGCAGGTTGGCCTCTCGTGGGCTTGGACTGTCTTCAGGATGTGCATATCGCCAAGGCATTGTAGCCTCTCAGGGCTTCAGGGCCCTGTCGATGACGGCGTCAAGGCGCAATGAGGATGCCTCCAGAAAGTGGTCCACGCCCCTCGCAAAGCAGCTGGCCCAAGCTATAGAAGTTTGTGTGCTCGGGGGGAAACACTATACTACACATATGCAGAAAGACTAATGGTTGAATCAGATGACGGGTCCTGTCCCTCTCGCGAGCTACATGCGCATGTGCCTCACTGGCGACCTGGGAGGATACTACACCGGGGCCATTGAGCAGGGCAGGGACCAATTTGGTCAGAAGGGAGATTTTGTCACGTCGCCAGAGATCTCCCAGATATTCGGGGAGCTCATTGGCATATGGTTTGTGGCCGAGTGGATGTCTCAGGGCCGCCCAAAGTCGGGCATTGAGCTCATCGAGGTTGGCCCTGGGAGAGGCACTCTGATGGATGACATATTACGGGTACGCAATGTCGCCTAATTTTCTCTCACAGTTGCTGTAACAGCCTTGCTGATCATGAGTACACAGACCATATCGAATTTCAAAGAAATGGCTAGTGCTATCGATGTCGTCTACATGGTCGAGGCCAGTTCCGAGCTGAGGGTCACTCAGAAGAACCTCCTGTGTGGACAAGACCGACACATGACGGAGTCCAAGAGTGGCTACCACAGTACATGCAGATATGCCGATCTTCCAATTGTCTGGACCGAGACTGTCAGGTCAATCCCTCAAGGTATGAGACCCAGAAATAGGATCCTTACTGTAGGAAGTGAACGGTGCTGACCCCAACTAGGCTCAGACAAGGTCCCCTTCATCGTAGCGCACGAGTTCTTCGATGCCCTACCCATACACGCCTTCCAACTCGTCACCGTCCCTCCTTCTCAGACGCCTACACCATCTCCCTCCCAATCATCGCGGCAGGCACCAGACACCACAAAACCGACCGTCCAATGGCGCGAAATGGTCGTCTCGCCCACGCCCCCCGGCTCGACACACCAGAGCCTCGGGACGCCCAAGTCCCAGTCCACAGATACACCCGTGCCGGACTTCCAGCTCACCCTCTCACCGTCCTCTACCCGTCACTCTCTCTACCTGCCCGAGTCATCCCCGCGCTACCGCGCCATGAAATCCATCCCGGGGGCACTCATCGAGATCTGCCCGGACGCATCGCTGTACGCGACAGACTTCGCGACGCGCATCGGGGGGTCCCCGCAACACCCCAAGCACAAGCCGTCGGGGGCGGCGCTGGTCCTCGACTACGGCCCCGGCGACGGCACGGTGCCCGTCAACTCACTGCGGGGCATCAGCAGGCACCGGCGGGTGAGCCCTTTCGCCGAGCCCGGGCAGACGGACCTGAGCGCCGATGTGGACTTTGCCGCCGTCGCCGAGGCCGCGCTCAGGGCGAGCGACGGCGTCGAGGTCCATGGGCCTGTCGAGCAGGCGGCGTTCCTCGAGGGAATGGGCATCAGGGAGCGCGCCGAGGTGCTGATCAAGGGCCTGAGGCAGAAGGGCCAGGACGAGGCAAAGCCCGACCATGTCGAAAAGGCGTGGAAGAGGCTTGTGGACCGGGGCCCGGACGGGATGGGGAAGACATACAAGGCTCTCGCAATACTGCCCGAGAATGATGGCAAGAGACGGCCGGTTGGTTTCGGGGGTGACGTCGGGGCTTGATACCTGAGTCCAAAGCCCGAACGCGAGGGTCCTTCGGGTTGAACCCAAGTCATGTAGTATGCAAACCAGCCTTTTGTCATTAAAAAATAACGAAAGCTTAAACAACCATACCCGGTGCCCAACCCCATGCCCGTGAGCACTCTCGCTTGAACGCCAATAACATTACAACGCAAGTGTATCGCCTTGCCGGCCTGTGTCCGCTCTCACTTCGATACTGTGATAACCCTTATGGTTTCCGGGAAGATATCGCTGTTCGACAGTGGTTATTTGCCGCTGCCTTTCACCAGTCCAGCGTCCTCATCGTCGTCGTCTGAGAACTTATCGTCATCTCCAATGGCGAAGATGGTCTCACCGTCCAGCGACGCCCGTGGTCGCTGGCTGTTGCCATTTGCAGGCGGCGCACTTGGTGTTGCCTGGCAGTTTTCCACCCCACTCGTTTGACCTCCTCTCGTGGTGTTGATGGCTGGCTTCGAGCCAACGTTCGCCTCCTCATCATCTGAATCGTCTGGCGCCCCGATATCCATGTTGTTGATCTCAAAGGTGCCGTCGTCATCCTAGCACATATGTTAGCATTACCACAAATCTAGTAGCCCTTCACAGCTGAATATGGTAGACGCACCTGTGCAATCTCGTCCGACATGGCAAAGCGACGGTTGTTGGCAGTGGGCCGCCAGACATAAGCAATCCATGCAACATCCGCAAAGTAGACCAGGTTCAGCCACCCGTCGAGGACAAACCACCTTGATTTCCAGTGGAAGGGGACATAGTCAGGGTCGCTCGCCGAGGCGAATGAGAAGCTGTTGAAAAAGAAAAAGGCAAAGATGACGAGAATGCTGAGCAGAATGCACCACCACAATTTCTTGTACATCGCCTCTTTTGCGTGTTGTTTGCGCTCCCGGAGGTCCTTGAGGGTGAAGTTGAGCGAGTTGAGCGTCCACACGTAGAATGCAGTCAGTGTTGCTGCCAAGGGCAGAACAATGAGGAGTACGAAGGGTCCTAGATAAGCTGAATAAGTCTCATATCCATCAGCCGGGTATCCTGGCAGTGATTCTTACCTGCACTGTCAGGAGTAATCAAAAGACTCGTGATGGCGTAGACCAGACCAAAGACGAAGTGTGCTATCGCCAACCACCGCACGTAAATCATGGTGCGGCCCAGGGTTGGCTTGACAACACCGTAACCCATGCAGACGATGAGCAGCAGGAAGAATGAGAACGAGTTTCTAGCAGCATTCAAGATGCCGACTACGACCAGGAGAACCTTTGACCCAACGTTGGAACCGTTACGGTTCAGGTAGTCTGGAGAACGTGTTAGCCTTTTGTCACTTCGTGGCGCCCTTCATCCGTATCAATCCATACCATAGAAGCCCCAGGTCATGAGCATTTCAACAACGAGGAATAGCAGGATGGCCGTGATGTAATTCTGCACAGCCACTGGAGATCTGTCAGCACACGTCTCCCTCCAGTCATACAAGACACGGTAGCAGACGTACAGATGTCCGCATGATGCTGGTAGTAGAGGAAGCCCCAGAACACGGCGACCAATGCATAGAGAATCGTTATTCCTCCATAGAATGGCAGCTTGGGTATCTGGGTTGCCGGCAGCTCTCCATACGCGTTGCGGAATTCGACGACGGCAGTGTAGTCGTTTGCGGTATACTTATCTGTAAGCACGCAGTAGTAACCTGTCTTCTTGATCTCATATTTGATCGGCTTAGAGTCCTTCAGATGTACTGCGTCGGTGAGTATGAGGTTCTTGGATTTCTCCGTCGCGTTGGCTGCCAGAATGAACTCTCCGATGTTCTGCTCTTCGCAGAACCCGTCTTCGATTTGCTTCTCCTCGCAGATACCGACTTTCTGTGCAGCATGTCAGATATCCATTCCACGACAGTTCACAAGCAGCTGTCCCATACCTGAGGGGCATCTGGGCTTGGATATACGCCAATCAGATCCTCGTCCTTCCACTCAAAGACGACCAGGCTAACGATGGGGTCTTGATCGCTTTGCTGAGGGAGGAACTTTATGAGGATGAAAGGGTCGACGGGTCCGCCCCAGGCTGATTTACTGTACATGCCAGCACATCTTTGTCGGTTCTCCTCGGTCTGGTCCTAGATGGAGGGGAATATACGTAAGCAGCTGCGATGGCAAGACAGCAACACCCGTCGGGGGGTGGGGACCAACCATCTTGACCTCCAGGCCTTGGACGGTCCATATTGAAAGCGCCAGAGACGCTATTGCGGAAAACCACCTCATTGTATCTGATTTGGATGTGCGTGATAAGCAAAAAGGCCGGAGTCGTGGTCGACGGTGGCTGCAGGGAGTTGTAGAAGCCGGCGGGAGAGATGGATGGGGCGGCGGCGGCGGCGACTGAGGCCTCGGTAAAGTGAGACTGGTCTCTCAACAATTCACCTAGGCAAGAACTCTGGTGTCTCCGCGATGAATTGACTGCTGAGCGGAACAACCGGGCAACCATAGTCGGAATAGACGATGGGGGTTCAAGGTGAAGACGTAATCGCAGACGTAGATGCAGCAACGACTGCGTCCTCCCTGGCTTTGGACAAATTGCAGTTAGCAGCTGGCGGCGCAGATCCAGGTCCATGTCCGGGATAACAGGTTACGGAGTACAAGACCATTGCGCAAGCTTGGCTGCGACATGGGGCTTGCTGCGCATCGGGCCACCGGCGCCCTCGGAAGGTTCTGTGGGGTCTTGGCAAGGATCTCCAGAGCTGCAGCTGTCGCTAAATTTGGGGTCGCATGGGCGGCACGGCACCTACTGCAGGCCTAGCCTGACCTGCCTGGGTCTGGCTGGCAAAACATTTCGTCGCATGCGACTCCAACGTTGCGGTCAAGTTGTTTTGTTCTCACTCCAAACCGCAGCCAACCAACTTCTGCTGTGCGTTCCCCCAACACCAAACAGCGACCTTCCATCCGGTGGCCGACAAAGATCTGTTTCGGAACATCAGGCGACTCCACACACCACCAGGCAAGGGCGCCCACGGCAGACACATTGACGTATTCGAGCGAGCATACGGGACAGCACCTCTTCGCGACACAGGTCACGACCGACGCCACACCGAGCCAAAATGGGCAAAGGCACGGACAAGCTATACATCACGCACAGCGAATGGTCGTCTTCTGATGCTTATTCGGCCAGTGTCGGCGCAGGAGCTGGGGCGCGCGCTCAGAGAGCTGGAGCGAACTTCAGGCGCCTTCCCTTCAACTTCTGCGCCGCAAGCCTCCAGCCGTTCAAGAATCCCGTTTGCACACCCGAGGGCACAATATTCGATGTCGAGATCATCGGCTCATGGCTCGACAAGAACGACACGAACCCCGTGAATGGACAGCCACTCAATCCCAAGGACCTGATCAGGCTCAACTTTGCACGCAACGCCGATGCCGAAGCGGATTCCAACGCAGGCCCCACGGATGGGAAGGGGGACATGATAGACCCAGTGACCTTCAAAGTGTTCACCGACAACACGCATATCGTCGCGATACGGCATGGCACATACGCAAATGTTTTCGCTTGGGAGACGATCGAGCAGATGAACATCAAACAGAAGAACTGGCACGACCTTGTGGACGACAAAGAATTCGGCCGAAAAGATATCATTACCCTGCAGGATCCTCAAAATGCTGCGTCCAGGAATCTGAGCGAGTTCCAGTACCTCAAGGATGGCGGCGAGGCATTGTTGACGCCTGAACAAATAGAAGAGAGGAAGCAGGGTAGCGTGAACGTTGATGCTTTGGGAAGAATCGGCGACAAGGTGTTGCGGGCAAAGGAGGCGGTCGAGAAGGCAAGACGGGAGAGGGAGACCGGTGGGGACATCAATCGCTCTGCCAAAGCCCTACAGAAGCCATCCTCAGCCACGACGTTTAAGAAGCCCGCCATACAGGAAAGAAAGTTGGCCCATAATGCGGCCACATACACGACGGGCAGAGCAGCTGCGAGTTTCACAAGCACTGGTCTCACACCGGAGACAAGCGGCGAGAGAGCTATACTTTCCGACGAGGACTGGATGTTGAAACCAAAGAAGATCAAGTTCAAGGGCTATGCCAGGCTGGAGACCAACATCGGAGAGGTCGTCATCGAGCTGCAGACCGAGACCGCGCCAAAGGCTGTATGGAACTTCGTCAAGCTTGCACAGAAGGGCTACTACCGCGGGGTGCCTTTCCATCGCAACATCAAGAACTTCATGATCCAAGGCGGCGACCCTACGGGAACTGGGAAGGGAGGGCAAAGCATTTGGGGAAAGAATTTCCAAGACGAATTCGACGGCCCTCTCACGCATAGTGAGCGTGGGGTTGTCAGCATGGCGAATAAGGGCAAGAACACGAACTCCAGCCAGTTCTTCATCACCTATAAGCCAGCGAAGCACCTCGACCGGAAACACACAATCTTCGGCAAGGTCGTGGATGGCCTGGATACTCTGAGCAAGATGGAGGCTGTGCCAGTTGACGAGGGCAGCCGGCCCCTGAAAGAAATAGTTATCAAAGACATTGTCGTGTTCTTGGACCCCTTCGAGGAGTTTCTCAAGGAGAAGGATCAGACGGAGAAGGCTGAAGCCGCTAAGGCTGAGCTCAAGCGTCAGGGCGGCACTGATGACGACAAGACCACATGGACTGGAAAGCGCATCCGTGGTGACGGCACGGTCGAACAGGCTGGCAGCGGGGTTGGGAAGTATCTGAAGTCATCTCGCGCGGACCAATCCGAAGCTCCGACAGTCGCAGACGACGCGAATGTTGATGCATGGGAACCTTCTAAAAAGAAGGTCAAGACGGGCGGCTTTGGTAACTTTGATAACTGGTGATATCCTGTAAGATTTTACACGCAAGAAAGGTCTACACCTCGCAATACACAGTGCGTTAACACGTCCCAGGTCTTCGCCCCAATTATTCATTCGCGTGACGGTGCGAACAGGGCTCTAGAGCCTTTACAACCTGTCCTGACAGCGATCCACGCGCAATTCTGCCAAGGATCTCTCGACGTGGAGACCTTGGCCGTTGATTGAACCTTTCCGGCGTTTCCTTGCCGGGCTTTTCCCTTAATTGCCATTGTGTAGGGTCCGCTACTGACCCCTCCCGCCTGTCACGCGACGGGTGAAGCGAGATCGTGAGCAGTGTGGTCTTTTGGCCCGGCTTACACAGGCAGCACCATTGTCTGTTGTTTTCCTTTCGCATATTGACTTTCCCATCTGTTGAAATTTGTCGAGCCGCAGGCCTTGGGCCTTCGTACTGATGACTCGGGGGACTGTTTACGACTCGCAACGACAGCCGCAAGGTCTTTTGCCTGAGCCAGCCCTGTTTCGTTGTGTATGGCGTGTAGCCTCTCGACTACAAATGCCCTCATTGCGTCCGAAGATGCTGTGGACATCCCGACGAGGTACAGCGGCCAGACTAAACCGTTCGTAACAGAGGACAAGAGCATGAAGCGCTTGGCGCTCGCTTCCACATCCTTGACTTGCATGGCGTTGTTGAGTGAAGGGCTTTGGCAGTAGTTGTCCTCTTCGTCCAAGTCGTGGGAGTCGGAGCCGCCGTCTTCTCCAAGCTCTGCACCCCAGCCTCTGTCAGGTATTTGAGGCCACGCGTCGTCGGCGGTCGGTATGGGCGCGAATGTGCCTTGGGCGCTTCCGTCCAACGGCACGAGCCCGAAATGCTGGGGAACGCTTGCGAGGATTGCGAGTGCAATTCTCTCCAGCTTGAACTTTGCCTTCTGGTATTCATATTGGTGCCGCTCCGGTACCTGAGCGACGGGCACGCGCCGGAATCGATCTCGGAGTTCCTCCAGCATCGTCTCGATGATGAGCATGCGGCACGTCCGCAGACCGTTCCATATCGTTGACACTCGGAGGCTTGGGTAAGAATGGCAGACGTTGTTGAAGAAGCCCGGCCGGAGGCGCTGTGTGAGGCGGTATTTACTATATTGCCACTCGTCAGGGAAGAGGGTGACCACCCTTTCGAAGTCGTCCTCCGCCTCGGTAAACTTGTCCAGCATCTCGTCCAGGTCCGTGACGATGTTCTGCTTGATGTCATACTGCAGCTGCAGAACCTTATACATGGCGCTGCAGATTTCGAATCCGGGTTCCCTGCCGTTCAACTTGAACATTACACCGAGCTGACTGCGCAGATCGATCAGGTCCTTGGCTGTTTGATCTGTCCGTTAGCAAACTGACGATCAAGTTGTGTGAAAGGGCCAAGCGGCCTCAATTTCTGGACGCGGGAAGAAACGTACGCATCGGCAGCTCATTCTGAATACAGCTGATCATTGTGTTCTGAGTGAGCATGAAGAACATCCGAATTCCTGCGCGGGACCTGAACTGGGCCATGCCCCTGATTTTGGCGAGGGCAGCGGCGCCGTTGAGGTGCTTCTGCCACGCCTCGGTGGTCCTCGCGCTCGAGCCACCGATCATCTCGAAGAGGCCAAGGATGAGCACTGAGAGCATGGTGGTATCCTTGACCGCCTCTGTCTGGTCCCGAAGTGCGGCATTCGTCAACTTGAGAGCCTTGCCGTAGCTCTTCCGCGCTGCGTCCAGGGCGGTCTGGGACCTTGTCATCTGCGCGACGCCGACGAGACCGACGGCCGTCACACTCGCCAGGACTGGGTCACTCTCCTCATTTGCGGTGCTTGGGTTCCAGAGGTCGAAAAGGCTGCAATGTCCGGTTAGTATCAACCAATTATCGGGTTTTCTCAGGGTCGGAGCAGCTCACAAGTCATATTTGTGATGGCAAAAGTTCTCGCTCACGCTGATGTAACGGTTAATGAACAAATTCACGCCTCGCTCTTGGTAGCTGGGTGAGAAGTGATAATATGAGGGAGTGAACAGGTCCTCAGGCGAGAGTATATCGGGTTCTTCTTTTAAGGGCCGCTTGTCTGCCTCGTCAAACTTGAACACGGGGGACCATTGAAGCTGTGAGGCAACGGAAACTTCCCGCCTATGTGCCGTTGAGGTCGAAATCGAGGGCGTTACCGGGAGTCGCCTCGGGCTAGAGCTTGAAGTGGACTCTGGCGGCGACCAAGTCAGTGTCTTCGGCGTGGGGACCGGCCTGGTCGGCGAGGGAGTAGTAGTCTTGTCTGGCGACTGGGTCTTCCTCTTCCTGGATTTGGCAGTCGCTTTCTTGATCACATGAGAACTCTCGTCCCGAAACATAAGATCAACCAGATTCCTGTATCCTGGACATTGTTGCTGTCGCTTCTCACATTGCCCACAGCCTGGCTCTCGTTGATCGCACTGGGTCAGCATCAGTCAGCGCTTTGTCTTGAGAGTGGGATCGTCGGAGAGGAGGTCATTCCCCAACAGGCCCTGGCACAGCGGGCGAGTTTGCTGAGCCAGCCCATGGACGCGGAGTTTTTCAAAACCCGACTGGGTATGTCGAGAATGTGGCTTACACGGATCTTGCGTTCGCGACAATTTGAGCACCCCTTGGAGGGTTTACCGCAGTAAACCATTTCGACTGTGTGCACCTCCGGATGTGAGGCTGAAGTGGGACCCAAGCCAAGACAGGAATGCTGCGCGGTGGGATGCGTGGGCAGTGTCGGGGCGAGGTGCCACTGACTAGAAGTTTTGTGCTAGATTTGAGGTGCGGCTGACACTAACGCGCCGAGGCCCTTGCTACTGGATTGAGATTGAGAAGGGAGAGATCTGGACAAGCTGCGACGTGTGGTGGTAGTCGACCCGAAATATCGGCAGACTCGGAGGGAAGCGTTGCATACATGTATTCCGCACGCACCAGCCCCTAAAAATGAAGGAAGCAAGTCCGGCTCAACTCTCCGTTCACATCACGACGGGGTGCCATTTTCGGCGCGATGCATCATAGAGAGATCTGGGACAGATCTGCCCGCTATTAGCATCGGATCAACCAGACGAGCACACATCTGGGGCCGTTATGCACTCTAGCGGTCTGCCCCTGGCCGTGCCCCTGGCCGTGTCCTGTTGGTCCTCCACTGGTCCGCTAATAAAACAATAGCAGACCAGCATAGCCTAGGCGGGGGGGGGGGGGTAATAGCCTACTACCGTAGTACGCCCACCATCTTCCGGATGTGCCCAGTCTGCCTTTGCCCATCCTGCCCACAGAACACCGCGGACAGCACGGGGGAAAGAGCACGCTTTCGGCTTCAGGGGCTGGGTGCTAGCGGTTGGTGGCGGCAACCCCCGTCAATGAAGCTTCCAGAAGCACGGTTGCACGGCAAGGGGGTGGGAATCGGAGCTTCATCAGGGTCTTGGCAGATGTGCATCAGACAGCTGGCTGCCCTGGGCAAGCGGGGGGCTGGCTTAACCTTGGTTGACGTCGACGGGCATTGCAGGGCGTCTCCCAGGGTTATGCACTAGAAAGGAGTTGCTGCCACAGCACGTTTCAATGTTCGTCTCATCGCATTCGACAAGCACGCAGGCACGGTCAGAACAATAACAATAACAACGGCATCTCAAAGGACCACATGAATGCGCGTTGTCTGCTAGTCTGACCTGACCCCACGGCCTCGGCCGGCTCTCTTGAGGATCGCGCTTACGCAAAAGAGTCTCGAGCGATGTGCGAATGGCGTCCAGGGGTACGTATGTTGGCTCTTGAGATTCGCGAACCATATGATCGTGGGCGGGACAGTGGGTCCAAGGCTGGAGATAAAGATTAGACTAACAACCCAGTGAAACCCGGCCCTTCAGAGCCCATGGCCAGGATATACGGGGCACAGCCGCATGCCCGGCAGCATCACCCGAGGACCACCCATGCTATATCTGTCAACTTGCTCAGGGCCGATGTCAACACGGACGACTTTTGAGGACGGCCCCGTATGTAGTCCGTGTCTCCACTCGACCCTGTTGACAGTTCCGATGAAACTGGGCTGGGCGCACGCGTAGCCTGCCAGACAGCTACCTCGTCTCATCCGAAATATAAGACGGTCCGTCGCAACGGTCCGAGAATCAGGTACAATTAGGAGGAAGGTGGTACTGGCGGGACTTGTCAAATGCCACATCACATGGACTGACATTGCATGGCTTCACATGTCCTCGCATGGCGTCGAAGCTCTCCTCCTGCCCCCCGCTCCCCGACAATCCTTTTCGGCGCGGTGCAGAGGCTGGCAGGAAAGCGCCAGCCCTTTTCGTTTCACGGCCCTTCCGGATCTGCGTGATGTGAATCAATGGCTGCGGCAACTACCGTGGGTTGCTCGGCTTGGCTTTCCGGGGGGGGGGGGTATTCCGCCAGTGCCATGCTCTAGGAGACGAGCACTCCTAGTAGACCTTGAAAGTTGTACGGCGAGATTAAAGGATCTACTCAGGTCGAAAGCCAATCGAGCATGGCGGCGTTGCGCAGGCAGGTGATGAGGCTCAAGTCCTGCACCAGAGAACACAAGCCTCTTGTGGTGGCTGGCGAGTTCAAACGGCCCGTCTGGTGGAGATTGACAGATCGCTCAAGCATCGGGATGCCATCTCTCGGCTCTCATCCGATGTCTTCCTCCTGTGTCGTCTGATGTGTGCGCAATCTAAACGCGACCTGGCTCCGGTCGTTCCGTTCTCACCTTGAACCGGGGGCGTGATAGGGGTGCTGGGAGGGCACGCCTGATGCCATGCCGCGTGCGATTGGAGAAGGATGTCTCGTTTGGCCTTTTGACAGGCGGCTGGCCGAGGTATCACCTGTCTTACGCCATCGTGTCCTGGCATGCTGCCAGCCAGGCCTTGCTTGCATTCATGGCATGGCGGCTGTTTGTATCAAGTGTCGTCTGCCATCTGGCTGACCCCCACAATGTTGCAACGGAGCCTCCAGATGCATATTCGACACACGGCAGATCGCTTTCGGCTAATTGCCCACATCGAGAAGGAACCCACAGCATCTTCAAGCTGCAGGCTGACGCATGTGCAGCAAGAAGTACTTTGTTGCTAAATACAGGTATGATGGGTCTTGCCAGTTGTCATACCACTGAATGAATATGCATACATACCCCATCTCGAACCTTGTAATCGTGATGCGAATGCGATCGTCCGGCTGGGGCAACGGTGGTCTGTTGATGCATTCACACGTATCGTATAGTGAGAACCTCTTCTAGGGCCCAACTGGCGGCTACCAGGCAGACAGGGTGGCAGACGGGCCAAAAGTGAGCAAACGGACAGATAAGAGAAGTGAAGCACTGTCCCAGCTCCCAAGTTGACGGACCTGACAATTGCTGGGTTGAGATCTGGGAGAGCATGTCAGAAAGACCATCCCAGAACTCTGTGTAGCAATGGCACTGCGGAGTACAGTGGATACCTAGGTACAATTTCAGGTACCGAGTATCTGTGCCCAGGCGATGAGATCTGGAGTCTCGCACCCTGGTCCCGGATCTTTAGCCCCGCCATCTGCTGTCGCCGAGCCCCACCAAGATTTCGACCGCAAAGCTCTTGATTGTACGTACCTGCGGCCGTGGCAGGCGGTCGTCGAACCAACTTGGGATCATTCAAACTCACAATGCCGGTGAGTACCGTCCCCTTTTCTCCCAGGTCCTTGGGTTGTCTCGCGATCGAACCAAGGCTCACGACGGCGGGTCTTGTGCACAGCTCATCATCGTAACCGGTCTGCCCACCGCGGGCAAGTCCACGAGGGCAAAGCAGCTGTACGACCACCTGGCCGAGAGGATACAGACCCAGCAGCAGGGCGCCAAGTACCGGCTACACCTTCTGTCCGACCAGACCCAGTCCATCAGCCGCACAGTATACGACCTCTCCCCCGAAAACCTGCCAGCACATACCCGCTCCGCCAATGCCTCGGAGAAAGATGCTCGCGCCTCACTGTCGAGCGCCGTCAAGCGCGTGCTGTCCACCCGCGACATCGTCATCCTCGACGGCCTGAACTACATAAAGGGCTGGCGCTACCAGCTCTACTGCGAGGCCAAGAACCTCAGCACGCCCAGCGTGCTCCTGCAGGTCGGGTGCCCCCCGGACAGGGCCAGGGCCGTCAACGAGGAGCGACTGCTCCGGCGGGAGGAGGCACTCACGGCGGGCAGGAGCGTGGCGGGCGACGACGAGGCGCCCGAGGGCGCGTACGAGCCGGCCAACTGGGAGAACCTCGTCTTCCGCTACGAAGAGCCCAACCCCATGAGCCGATGGGACAGCCCGCTCTTCACCCTGATCTGGGAGGACGACGAGGCCCAGACGAGGAAGGTCTTCGGCGAGATGTGGGAGGCCATTGCCGGCGAGGGCAGGAAGGTCATCAGACCCAACCAGTCGACGGTGCAGAGGAGCCGGGACGCGGGCGGCGACTACCTGTACGTGCTCGACAGGGAAACCCAGGATATCGTCAAGAAGATCCTGGAGCAGCAGCCGGATGAGGGCGGTGGCGAGATCAGCATATCGAAGAGCGGAGACTCCGGGGGCGAGATGCTGGTTGTGGAACTGCCGGGCAAGAAGGTTGGGCTGCCCCAGTTACAGAGGTACCGACGCGCGTATGTGAATATGAACAGGGGTGGCATTGGTCTCGAAGCTGTCGGGAACATGGCCGCCAGCAGGATGAGGGAGAGCTTTGTTGGGTACCTCAACGACGCTTTCGAGAAGGAAGAGTAGGTGACAAAGTGCTTGTACACTTTCGCTCAGGTTTCAATGTAATTATGATACCCTTTTCTGCCGAAGGTCTGTGGAAAGACGACTCCTGGAGTTCAAGGAAGCATGAGGTTATCTGCTTGGGCTAAGCATGCATCTGTCTATTGGCCAGCCTCTATCCCACCCACTGTCACGGGATGTCCAGCAACATCGCAGACATTCGAGGGTCTGCTAGTTGCGGCAAAATATGCGGGTCAAGATGTTGAATCTTGTCATTCAAATGAGTGTGGGATAAGTACAGAAGAATACTGCGAGACGACGTCGTCAAATCCACCATCCAGTCGCACCAACCGAACCATCTCAAGCTGGCATACCGGTCCGTTCACCTACTTCTTCCCACCAGCACCACCGCCCCCATTATTCCCCTGCGACCCCGTGTTCTGGCCAGCACCCGAGTTGGTGTTATGGGCGGCCCCGGATTGGGCTCGGGCGGCAAACCCACCCGAGCTCATGTCGCCGCCACCCTTGGCCTGCAGTTGACGATGTATCAGTCCTGCGCACCTCATCTCGGCGCCTTCGAATATCAGACGATGCCTAGCACGTGCTTACCTGGCTGCTCTGGATGCGAGATGCATCGCTCTGGGACATGGGATGCTTGTCGGGCATGGTGAATGTTCGATATTTTGGAGACTGGAATGGGATGGTGTTTACTTCAGGCTGCAGGGTCTGGAGGCTTTGGGAAGGAGGAGCGAATCTGGATGGCCTTGAGATGGTCTGCCGATTTATATAGGCGGAGCAAGGTAGCAGGCGCTGGTTGAGAAGCTTTCCTGCAGCATTGAGGCCTACCGGTCGACCATCAGAATGATGCTCTACAGATCTGGGAGGGTCGTTGCTTCTGCAACATGTTGTGAGGCTGTGCCCGCTCTGCAAGAATGCATCTTGCATCCAATTATGCTCTGGCATCGGAGTCATAGACGTCAGTATTATCTGATATCTCGTCTTCAACCTATCGAGAGAGCTTGTTGCGGTATGAATGTGGTAGTACTGAATACTGCCGGAGGCCTTCTACTGCGGGAGGCCATCCATCTCCGGATCCCTCCGTCTCCACGAGGCTTGACGGGACTGGCAGTTTTCAGCGGAACCCGATTTCCAGGCCAAGCGAGGTGATAGTGACCTTCTTCTCTAAGAATGAAAACAGCCCACAGTAACTACACAGTAGCCAAAAAAAAAAAAAAAAAAAAAAAGAGAGAGAGAATGTCTCGACGCTTTTCGCAGCATCCAACGCCTAGGCTGATATCCCACGGGCCTGAAGTTTTGCAGAGCGGTTTTCAATTCATCTGGAATTTCTGAGACCAGAGTAGGTCCTAGTGATGCAGAACGGCGAGAGATCCCGACAAAATTGGGTCGGCCACACCTACAACGTCTATTGTAAAGCGGTGCGCAGCAAGTGGATTCAGTACCAGAACTTGAACGAGCCTCTTCTCAGTGAGGAGACTACCTAACCAGGTACATCAATCTGTGCCTGGGTCGCGCAAAAGTCAACCAAGCTCGCCTCATCCCAGAATCCAAGAGTCTTCTGAGGGCGAACCGCGGAGATTTAGTTCCGGGACCATGATGTGCGCAACTCGTTCCTGCCTACGCCAAACCCTGGGCCAGGCTTCGAGGAGTCCAACGAGACTTCCATCCCAGAGAGCTCCTTTGGTAGGAGCGGCTTAGAGCCCAACCCGAACTTCTTCGCCTTGTTGAAGGGGGCTAATCTGATGTTGTTACTTTTCACACCACCGCATCGTTTAGGCAGCTTTACCATCCGTCACATCGAAAACATCGTCAGCCACGAAATTATTGGAACTTAACTCGTGAACATAGACGGACCACAATTGTCAGCCTTACATCCTGCCGATCCACCGATAAGATGCCTTCCACTCCTGTCACACCAACGGGCAGGACTCGCTGCTGCTTGGCCTGCCCCGGAGGCGAGAACGTCACTCCCAAGTCGGCCGTCAGCCAGGCCTCACCCTCTTATGGGTCGATGGGTCGCACTTTGGGGCATCGATCTCTGGACGCAGTCCGCTCTGTCAGGGGTTCCATAAAGGGCCGACGGGCACTGAACATGGCCACCAATGCCATCACAGCTACGTCGAGCACAAGTTGTTTGTCAAGCCCAGTAGGCTCTGCCACCAAGCAGAGGTGGTATGATTCCATTCGCTCGAGGAGTTCCCAGATACCGATGCCGAGCAGCCCGTCTTCATCGTCGCCGACTTTGAAACGACGGTTGTTCAAAACCGCCACCGTTGAAACTGACGAGAAATTGATGGCTGCGCCAGCTTGTGAGGGCGACGTCTCACCCACCGTCCTGGCAAGATCCCAAAGGTCTGCTCAAGCACAAGCACTTCGAACTCCCCTTCCGAAGCTTGACCTTCCGGGTCTCGACCCGGATCTGCGAAGGACTACGACCTTCAGAGCCTGTTCCGAAAAAGTCATCCAAGGTGAGCTTGCTCCTTGAATCCCTGATCTTGCTCCGTATTTCCGGTTGGTGGCACCAGCACACCGCTGACTGACTTCGGTAGACATTGGAAGGCAGTACGATGGCACAACGCATGGCTCCATGCCGAGGCTCGACGCAAACAGAGATATCATGTCAGCCACGGGCAGCATGAGACTCAGACGTGCTGAGGTTAAAATTAGGAACGTCTCTCAGGAACTCCAATCCATCTTGGGCATGAAGTGTGACGTCCATTATCCCTTGATCCCTTCGACGCCCTCCCACACTGAGCACTTCGAAGACACGGGAGCGGCACTTTCGAATTACTGCCTCAACAACATGCTCTACGGAAACTCAGACTACAGCAACATCATCCTCTGGACTTTCCACACCTCCATGACGTCGCCTTCCAAGGTACAACAAAGCTTCACCGTCCTTCCAAATTATCTCAAGCCGGACCGACATGCACTAGGCGCCACCTACCAGTGGGCAATAATCGTCTTCAGAAATGGTCCTGCCCCGAGCAGAGTGCCTTGTGTAGTAAGACAACAAGAAAAGGCTCTGCAAGCCGCGGTGGTCAAAGTCGTGAACATGGGCTATCACATTGACGTCTGGACCAAATCAGACAACTACTCCTGGAGAGAGGCCAAGCTGCAGGCTCTCGGCACTGGAGACTGCCAGGGCCCTGACCAGTCGCTTCGTGAGAAATACCAGGCAATGGTCGGTCACGGTATTCCAGGCTTCTCTTGCCACGAGATTCAGACCTTTGACGAAGTGTTGCGTATTCGAGACCCAAGCTTGGACTCGGGAGACTCCGAGAGTGTGTCGTCTGAGATTGCTCTGCAAAGCAAGCCTAAGACTGAAGGTGATCCTGGATGCGGATCCGACTGCGAGTCTGAATTTGGCGGCTTCCTCGAGCACCAGGAAGAGAGCATCTTACCGGACGGCTCAGAAGCCCAGTTCAAGCTTTATGATGACTCCCACATCAGCGGAGTCTCAGAGGACTTGGACATGGCGGCGAGATTGGGAGGGAAGACGGTCACATGATATGCTCAACACGAGACGATTCCGCTGCCAAGATGGACTGCGATGGTGCATTACACAGCGTCAACGAGGTCTGAAGTTCCCTTGTGTTCATGTATTATTCTTTCTGTCACTGACAAGCTTCGAGCTGGGGTGGTGACTCATCATCAGGGGCATTCAAGTATTTTTATCAGTGCAGGAGATGGGCACACCACGAGGACTGGTCTCGAGATGCAGATTCAACTGTTGGGTGTGTATGGAGAAGGGAAAGCCAGGGTGTCTTGTTTGTTTGTACACGCTCGTTGTCTCATTAGATATTTTCTCTGTACACACGGCCGTCGGTCCTCAACCGGCAGGCGCGAATTCACCATCGTCTCCATCTCCACGGCTTTTCTTAAAGCCTAGCCCTAGCTGAGTGTTCTTCTCTAGGGTCCGGTGAACATAGTCGTTCATGATCTTCCGCCGGATCAGAATGACTCTGGCGTCATCCGAGCCCCGCTGCACTAGGCTTTGAGAAATCATTTTATCGCTGACGGCAACGACCCTCTTGGCAACGTCAAGGAGTGACTTTCGTCCGGAATAGTCACGCTTCCAGGTCTCCTCAGGCGACTTGGAGGCTACAGCGGTGTCTGAGAAGCCTAGGGCATTCGTCGCCAGCCTCAGTGGCTCCCACACGCGGTCGATGGCGTTGAAGATCTGTCGGCCGAAGGCCAGCTTGGCCCTGGATTCGACCGGGTATTTGGATCTGTCGTCGAACTTGCGGTAGTTGCTCGTCGCGACCTGCAGATAGAGCTTCATGCACTCGGCGTCGGGCGTCCTCATCTTCTGCATCATGGCGTCGAAGATGACAGTTGCGTTCTCAAACGCCTTCTCGTTGTAGGCGTCAAAGTGGCATATCAGCAAGCCCCGCCTCACAACGAGGCCTTCGACCATCTCCGCGGGCATGCTCTCGATTGTCCGGGCTGCTTTACCGCTCGCGGCCCCGGTGGATAGGGAGTCGAGGTAGTGTTTGTAGTTCCACTTGTCTGGGACGATGCCGAACGTGCTCGTCAAGTAGTCCCAGTACCTTGCGGCCAGCTTTGTCCTCCTGCTCAGACCCAAGACTTTCATCACGAGCGATAGCGTGTTCTTGCCCGCCATCGGATTTGAGGGCCCTTGCAATTGCCGCTGTTGCTCTTGCTGTTGCGGCGGTTTCGGTTCTGGGGTCGGTTGTGGCTCGTCGTTCTGATCGCTGCCAGGTTTCTGCCCTGGGGCAGAGAGCTGCTCCTGGTCGAGCCTCGGTACACCAAGGACGTTCAAAAGCAAGGCGAGAATGGACTCGGTCTCCTTTGCGCCGCCGAGGAGCAACAGCCGACCCATCGCGCACATCAGCTCCTCGTCCATGATGATCTCGTTCTTCTTCCACCGGCTCATGACCTCATCCCACACCAACTTTCCTCGCTGGATGGTCGTTTCTATGCTCTTCTTCACAGCTTCACCATCCGCCCCGGACCCGTCCGGTAGATCCTTGTAATTGGAAGGTTGATGGCGAAGAGCATTTAGTATGATGGTGTAGGTCCAATTGTTTGGGGCGCGGGCCTTGTCGGCCGAGCGCAGCGTGACGAACATGGACTCGAGGTCCTGAGCTCGAGAGCAGACGTCGAGGACCGCGTTGAGGTGAGTGATGTTGGGCTTCAGCCGGCTGCTTGAGAGCATGGTGTTGTAAATCTTGAGGGCCTCGCCCACGGCAAGCTTGGGATGCTGGGACTCGGCGCAGCCTTTGAAGATAATAGTGTAAGTTTGCGCATTTGGAAGCTGAGCTCGCTTTTTCATCTGTGGCCATGATAATTAGCTTCAGGGAAGCGGGTATTATTTAAGAGATGGGCGTCTGATTGAAGGTCACCGACTTCATTGAACAGCTTGATAGCAGCGTGCAGCTTGTTATTCTTGAACTGGTACTCTATACAATGGTTCCAGCTGACCACACATTGCTTGTCCTTGCTTGCCTCCCGGGTCAACAATAGCGCCTTGTCGAAGTCGTTCTCCTTTAACTTCTTGACCACGTTGTCGGCTATGTGGTAGGGGTCTGTGGTGTACTGAAGCTCTTTCTTCATCGCTCGTTTCGCCCTTTCGAGCGCCTTCTTCTTGTCGGCTTGTCTATCTCCGGGTGTCTTCTGCCTCTCCACAGAGGCTTCGAATTGGGCGAAGCCATCTTCCTGGTCCGGTCCCTGTCGCAGAAACGAGCTCGTCACAAATTGTCTGGGGAGGACTGCCAGGCGGCTGTCGGCGTTTGGAGTTTGACGTAGGATAGAGGTCGACGTCCGCCTTGCACAGGCTCTGCAAACAAACATGACTGAGATCTCACACTATTAGGCGCATGATGTGGTGGGCAGCAATCAGTAGCCAGAAGGCGCATCTCGGGATAGGCAAAAAAAAGTTCGATTTGCTTGGACACCCCTGTTCCGTATGACATAGCATTCTCCGTTCCGTTGCTGAGCTGTCAGGGGTAGGCGGTGAATGACCGTTTTGATGACCCAAGCTCGACAGAACGGTCGGACCCGCCTGGAGCACACATGTTACAGGGATTCGCGTGTCAGCGTACTTGGGGGCACATCGCGTCTACAAGAGCATGGCGCGTCTCCCCTGCCACTTTAAATCGATGGCAGGTCTTGCGCACTCTTCGCTTCACACATGACTCCACCACCAAAATATGACCTCAGAATACCAATAGATTCTCCCTCACGTTTGGCCTCTCGGCCAATTGACCATCTCATTATCCCCAAGACTTGCCAGACAAGCGGTTCACTATGCCCAAAGCCGACAGGCGAGCCAAGCTCGCGCAGCTTGCTGCACTGCGAAAGGCTGGCAAGAAGACCTTTGACTCGTATGAGGTGGAGCAAGTCGAAGAACTATACGAAGAAGTTGACGAAGACCGCTACAAGAAGATCGTGCGAGAGCGTCTGAACCAGGACGACTTTGTTGTCGACGACAATGGCGAGGGTTACGCCGACGACGGCCGCGAGGACTGGGACCGTGTGCAGCAGTACCAGAGTGACAGCGAGGACGACTTTCCAATCCGGGGAAAGGAGAAGAAGAAGTGTGAGTATACCGGGATACTATGTACATAGATTCCACCTCTCTGACGCCTGAGCCACAGCCAAGAAGCAACGCGAGGAAGACCAATCCAAGCGAGACGCAACCGACCGGGATATTAGCGAGTTCTTCACCAAGGGCGCGACAAAGGCCCAGCCAAAAGCCAAGGTAGGAAGGAGATCAATGATCCGAGACTCGATGACATGCCTCTGACACGAGACAGACCATAAAAACCGAGGAGGATGACCAATTCCTTGCCAGCCTGTTGGGGGAAGTCGACCGGAACGTACCATCTGCCGCACCTCGCCAGTCCAAGAAGAGAGAGAGGTCACCTGAGAAACGCCGTACCCGAATTCCTTCGCCAGCGCCTGAGCTCAAGCGACCAGCAACAAAGAGGGCCAGGCGAAGCACCGAACCCGTGATCTCGACACCACAAGACGACGATACTTTCATGGGTGACGACGACGCCTTTCTCCCAGCTATGGATGATGACCTGCCTGCACCTCTCCCTGCGAATGATATCCCGACAAGCGACCCAGCCCCGTCGTCGCCAACAGTCGATGCAGTTGGGCGCAAGACGAAACCAACGGCTGAGACCGAGGCTGAAGACGATGAAGACGAGGACATGATGGAGTTCGCCCATGCCGGTGCCATCAACGCTGCTAGCGTCAACCTGACTGCGGCCAAGGTTCCCAAGAGGTTGATCAAGGCCGATCCATATCCTTCTCCTGCAAACTCATCACCGCCTCAGGGTCCAGCCGAGGCCGCAGTTGACTCTTCGGCATGGAACGACATCAACCAGCGCCTCAACGTCGTCAGCAGCTCTCCCGCAGAAACAAGAGGCATCAACAAAATAGACTACAAAGATGCAATCGAAGAGGATGGAAGTCTGAATATGTTCTGGACAGACTACACGGAAGTCAAGGGTAGCCTCTGCTTGTTCGGTAAAGTTTTGAACAAGAAGACACAGACGTACGTCAGTTGCTTCGTCAAGGTGGACAATATCTTGCGGAAACTCTTCTTCCTGCCGCGTCAAAATCGCGTGGAGCGCGGAGTGGAGACAGACGAGGAGGTTGGAATGATGGACGTCTACAAGGAAATCGACGCCCTTATGTCCAAGATGAACGTCGACATGTTCAAAATCAAGGCTTGCACGAGGAAATATGCTTTCGAGCTACCCGGGATACCGAAAGAGACACAGTACATGAAGCTCTTGTACCCATACACTAGTGAGTCGCCCTCCAGCCTGCATCGAGGGGACTGCACTGACACATCACAGGGCCCGCGATCGAGATGGGAACAACCGGTGAGACCTACTCGCACGTGTTTGGTACCAACACTGCTCTGTTTGAGCAATTCGTCCTGTGGAAGAACATCATGGGTCCTTGCTGGCTGAAGATCCAAGACGCCGATTTTGGTACACTCAAGAATGCTTCACACTGCAAGCTCGAGGTTCTCGCGGAGCATCCCAACATGATTTCCCTCTTGAGTGACTCGGACAATCTCGATGCTCCTCCGTTGACTGTGATGAGCATGGCAATGCGGACGACGTTCAACGTCAAGGACAACAAGCAGGAGATACTCTCCATCAGTGCCAGAATATACGAGAACATCTCTCTCAGCGACACAACACCAGCAGACAAACTACCATCCCGGACCTTCACACTCATCCGACCCAACGGCCCTGCATTTCCAGGGAGGGTTTGAGCAATTGGCGAAGACTCGAAAACGTGGCCTGATCAAGACTATGAAGCAAGAGTCCGAAATGCTGATGTTCTTCCTGGCACAAATCGATGTGGTGGACCCCGATGTGATACTTGGTCACCAGCTGGAAGGCGTTGATTACTCCGTCCTTCTCAGCCGGTTACGAGAGAAGAAGATACACCAGTGGTCTCGTCTCGGCAGACTCAGGCGGACCGAATGGCCATCATCCATAGGGAAGGTCGGTGGCAACGTGTTCGCTGAGCGCCAGATCATCGCTGGCCGCCTGCTCTGTGACCTTGCCAACGAAGCTGGCAAGTCGGCGATGTACAAATGTTCGACCTGGAGCTTAACGGAAATGTGCAGCCTCTATCTGTCTGGCGACAATAAGCGGAGAGATGTCGACAACGAAGCGGCTTTGAAGTCGTGGGCGAAGACAAAGGACGGCCTGATGGATTATGTCTCTCATGTGGAGACTGACACATACTTCATCACCGCCTTGGCACTCGGGGTCCAGCTCCTGCCACTGACCAAGATCCTGACTAACCTGGCTGGCAACTCTTGGGCAAGAACATTGACCGGTACGCGTGCAGAGCGAAACGAGTACATTCTGTTGCACGAGTTTCACCGCAATAAATACATCTGTCCTGACAAGCAGCCCTTCAAGGGACGACAACGCTTGGAGGATGAAAATGCCGAAGAGGAAGCTGGCGACGGCAAGAAGAAGGACAAGTACAAGGGTGGTCTCGTCTTCGAGCCCGAAAAGGGTCTTTACGACAAGTTCGTCCTGGTTATGGACTTCAATTCGCTGTATCCCTCCATCATCCAAGAGTTTAACATCTGCTTCACTACCGTGGAACGGTCTTCATTGGTGAGCAACCGATCTTGCCCGTCCCCTCCAACTCAATTCTTGGATTCAACTAACTCTGTGACAGTCTGAGGACGAGGAGGCTGTTCCCGAAGTCCCTACCGAACAAGACCAAGGCATCCTACCCAAGCTGATCGCCACTCTTGTTAGCCGCAGACGAGAGGTGAAGAAGTTGATGAAAGACAAGACCGCGACTACTGAACAGCTCGCAACGTGGGACATCAAACAACTTGCCCTGAAGCTGACGGCTAACTCTATGTACGGATGCTTGGGTTACAATAAGTCACGATTTTATGCGCGTCCTTTGGCTGTTTTGACAACATACAAGGGTCGTGAGATTCTCCGCAGTACGAAAGATCTCGCAGAGAGCAAATCTCTTCAGGTTATTTACGGTGATACCGACTCTGTCATGATCAATGCCAACGTCGACAACGTTAAAGATGCCTACAAGGTGGGCAACGAGTTCAAGAAAGCAGTCAACGAATCATACAGGTTGTTAGAAATCGACATCGACAACGTCTTCCGTCGCATTCTCCTCCAGGCCAAGAAGAAGTATGCCGCAATCAACATGATTGAGCAAGACGGCAAGTTCATCGAGAAGATGGAAGTCAAGGGCCTGGACATGAAACGACGAGAATACTGTGGTCTGTCCAAGGAGATCTCAAGTCGCCTCCTGAACGAGATTCTTTCCGGTGATGACACGGAAGTATCCATCCAGCGTATCCACGACTACTTGCGAGAGATCTCAGGCAAGATGCGTGAGCAGGCCATTCCTGTGCAAAAATACATCATCTTCACACAGCTCGGCAAAGCCCCCAAGGAGTACCCGAACGCCGACTCGATGCCACAGGTGCAGGTTGCTCTACGAGAACTCGCCAGAGGCAAGACGGTGAGGAAGGGCGATATCATCTCCTACATCATCACAGGTGACAGCAAGGGCTCCGAGACGGCTGCCAAGCGAGCGTATACCCCACAGGATGTCCTCAAGAAGGACTCTGGCTTGGTTCCGGACGTGGAATTTTACATTGGCAAGCAGATCTTCCCGCCTGTCGAGCGTCTCTGTGCCAACATTGTTGGCACCTCCACAGCGCAGCTGGCCGAGTGTCTAGGCCTTGACATCCGTCGCTATGCCAATAACGCCAACAATACGAACAGTGGCAACAGCAACGACCTCGAGATCCACCCCCTTGAGTCTCAGATTCCCGACGAGGTGCGCTTCTGCGGATGCACACGCCTACAGCTGCGTTGCCGCTCCTGCAAGAAGTCGTCGGCCTTCGAGGGTCTCCTCGCCAGTCCTGACCGGGTCGCACCCGCCGGCGTCGTCTGCGGCTCCTGCGGGGCCACCATTTCAACGCTCTCCGTGGTGGCACAGGTGGAGCGCGCGATCCGCACCGCGACCGCTGCATACTACGAAGGCTGGCTGGTGTGCGACGACAGCAGCTGCGCGAACCGCACGCGGCAGATGAGCGTCTATGGCAGCCGCTGCCTCGGGCCCAAGGGCCTGGCGCGCGACTGCCTGGGCCGGATGAGGTACGAGGTCTCGGAGCGGGACATCTACAACCAGCTCGTGTACTTTGCCAGCCTGTGGGACGTGGACAGGGCCAGGGCCAAGGCGGGCGGTGAGGGCGCGGTCCCGGACCGCGAGACGAGAGAGAAGATCCTCGCGCTGGCTGAGCACAACCGCACGAGGTTCGGGACGGTCAAGAGCGTTGTCGATAGGCATTTGGACAAGTGCGGACGGCAGTGGGTTGCGATGGACACGTTGTTTGCGAAGTTGGGTTTCACTGCTGCCTGAGCCAACAATTCTGTATCTCAAGTTGGATTGTTGTTCTTGGCGTTTTGATGATTTGCATTGGGGGCAAGACGCAGTGTCCGTTTTCCGCCATAATTTGGGTGACGAGGAGTTCAAGGGGCCTTTAGCAATTATGGTACTCGCATATGTCTTCATAATGTTCGTCTGTCCGAAGTGCATGTGGAATTGGGCCGATGCTCAAAGATCCCAACGTCTTAAATCTATGTCGCTAGGTATGCGATCAGCAGTCACTGTCTAGGAAAGGCTTCCCGGTCACTTGACTTGCAAGGTCGGTGAGATTTACGTGTCTTACGTGCGGAAGTACGTGTGTGGGAAATAATTACAAGGGCTTAAGAAGTTTCTTCACATTGCCCGAGACATCTGAACATCAGAATTGATTAATTGCTGCTGTGCTGCATCGTATAACATCTTCAAGTCCACAAGGGCAACACAACACATCAATAAGCAGAAGCACCTGTCCGATAATAGAAAGACAATCCCTCATTGCGGCTGCCGGCTTCTCCTCCCCGAATTAGATGTGATAGTCATCATGATATACACGGCGCTTCTCCCTCTTGAGAGGGGGATATTGCACCTCAAACCCTCTTCAGCCTGGAGCAGGAGACATTATCCACTGTTGGCGACCAGTGGTGGATCTCTCCTCTCCGTCAGCCCACTATCGCCTTCCTGCACCTTTCGTCGTTTTGGGGAGACTGCCTGAAGCCGGCAGCACCAGCGGCAGCAGCAAAATCGAGAAGAAAAAAACGCGTTCTGTAAACCCTGTGAACTCCGAGAAAATACCCTTGGACTACCACTGGATCGTTGCTCTCAATTACCTAATCCTAGCCTGGTCCGTTCCTGAGATATCCCGGCGCTTGATCGTGGCGTGTCTGGCAGTCTCTGCCCATTCATCACAAGCGTTCCATCGTTGTCCGTCATGATTTGACCTTCGATCCCAGTCGGTCCCGAGTAGAGTGGGTATTCCTCGTCCCTTGGCGGGGAAGACGGGCGGGCTCAGGTGGCAGAGAGCAACTGGACCCCATCACTGCATGGAAAAAGTCCAGAAATGAAGAATAAGAAGGTGAATGCGAGGGAAAGCCCATGTCTGAGATCGTGTCTGCAGACGAGCCTTCTGTCTATGCCGATAGAGGTATCATGGAAAAGGGGAAATCTGGCGAACTTTTGACACGTATTTTTTGACCCCGCCGTAAATGCAGAAACCGCCTGCCCAATTTAGGTGTGCAGAGAATGCTCTAATGCGTATTGCGAACATTGGAAAGATGAAAGAATCAGTCCGCCTCCTTCTTCTCGCCTCCAGCCGGAGCGGCCGGCTTAGCATGGTTGAGCGCTGGCGAGGCCGACACGGAAGGTGGTGATGCAGGGTTCTCCGACTCCATGTTGGCAAGAGCACTGGGCCTGGTGTTAGCATTGCTGTCTGACCTATGGGGGCTGGGGGTGCGTGGACTTACGCAAATGCATTCGTCGATGCCTGGGTGGGTGGGGTTCCAGTCCGCGACGAGGCTCCCGAGTCCTCGGCACCACGAGCTAGTGCGCCACCTGGGCCCAACCTGGTGTTACGCCCGCTGCTGCTGCGGGAGTTGAACATGGACGTCGGCCCGAGGGTGACGTTGCCACTAGCAGTTCTTGATGCGGAACCCTTCAGGCGGCGCAGATCATCCATACCCACGTGGTTCGAGGTGGGCTGCTGGAACTGCAGCGAGTTCCTTGCATCGCCGCGTCCACCCGGATGGGAACGGCCGCCAGCCTGGCCACGGTAACTGCTTCTCGCATTCTCGGCAGCCTTCTGGGCCGCAGCAGCCTCCGCCTGTTGGTGGTTAGCATCAGATCGAGGGGATACTTCAAGGAGTTTGAGCGTTGCACAGCGTGCACTTACCTCTGCGCGGATCTCCTCTCGTGTCTTGGGGCCCTTGAGGCCGTCCTTGGACTGCCACCTGTCCCTTCGCAAGTCCATGATATCCATGAGCATGAACTGGAGTCGGCTTGGCAAATCTGGTGTTTCAACCAAGGTGGAGATGCGCTCGAAGTAGGCGTTCATCATCATCATACCCTTCTCGGTACTGTCGAGACTGGCACCAATTGTGCGCAGCAGCTTGCTGAGTGACTCGATCTCAGCCTCGTCGGGTTCGCCCTGGAAGTCGAGAAGCTTTCGGACACATTCGTGCATGATGCGCTCCGTGAGCATACCAAGCTTGAAGAGCTCGCCAATGAACTGAACCAGACCGAGCCCACGACGCTTGATAGCCATGGCCTTGTAGTATTCGTCGGACAGCATGGCAGTCTCCTTGGACTCGCCCTCTTTGGGCTTGGGCATCTCCACTGCCCACCCATGCTCGAAGTCTTCTTGACACCTGTTCAGGAGGTACTTTCGGAAGAGAGCACCGCCGCTGACGACGTTCCCGTTCTTGTCCGTGATAGTGACATCCTTGACCTCGGGGCTCATCGTCTCCAGCATGCGCTTGCAAAACTTGGCATACATTGCAGCCCAGTGCGCCTCGTCTGTTGCCTTTTCAAAGGTAAGCTGGATGACCTGCCTAAGAGTGCGACCATCCTGCTCGTCCTTGGACTGTGCCGCAATCTCAAGGATTTGGTTCGAGATCTTCTCGAAGTTCTCGGGGGTCATCTTGTTGAGGTTAGACTTGACCTTGCGCTGGACAGTCTCGGGGTCCATGTGGCCGGGAGCCTCTGCGTTCTGAGCAGCAGCCCTGCCGACGCTCTTTGGCTTCCAGCCCGTAGCCGTAGTCTGGATAGGCTTCAGATCCATGCCCGCGGTAAGAGGCATGGTCTTACTAAGCTTAGCTTCTTGGGCGGCGTCGAAGCCTCCACGCTTGCTACCTCCACCGCCGCCACCACGCTGCGAGCGGCTGCCCGAGCGAGAACCGGACTGAGCCAAGTTGGACGATGATGTGCGCGACATCTGGCTGCCCCCGAAAGAGCCACCCCGGAAGGAAGAGATGGGGCCTCCGATGGCTGGACGCGGAATCTGTCCTTGAGACATGGCAAATCGCTGCTCCGATGTTGTGTTGGGCGGGAGCGGCTTTCCGGCAGGCTGCGCGAATGCGCCAAAAGCCCCAGGTTGGCCTCTAGATCCCTGGCGACCACTGGCACCGGCAGGTGTCCTGACAGATGCGGACCGCGAGCCATCGGAGTCGCCAATCAAGCTCTTAACTTGCTGCGAGAACTCGGTGGATGGCTGCTCCGTGAAGACCTTCTGGAACTGCAGCAGGAATGCTGAATCGTACTTGAACGAGCCACCCTTCTTTGCCACGGCGGCATTGACAGCCGGATTTGGGCTGGCGATGCCATTGGGGTACTTGACCTCGTCTTTGACCGTCAGGAACCGAGCAGACTTCAGAGCCTGCATCGCTGCGGTTGGCGGGGCTGGCTCGACGCTGTTCGTCTTGAGGGGTGCAAGGTTCAGCGCTGCTGGTTTGGGCTTGCCGGTAGACTTGGCCGACGATGGCGCTGAGCCAATGAGAGATGTGTCCTTGTTGCTTATGATCGTGAGTTTGGAGGTGTCCTCAGTGCTCTTCTGCGAAGCGTTCAAGTCCGAAATCTTCTTCGTCAGGACTTCTGACATCGACTGGGACTGACCGCCCTCGGCCGCCAGACGTTCCTTCTCGCGGGCCTTCTCCTTCTCTTCTTCAAGGCGTTCCATCTCTCGCTCTTGCTCTCTGAGCTTCGCATCGTTCGCGGCAGCGTCCGCGAGGCGTTTCTCGTCCGCCTTCTTCTTTTCGGCTTCCTTCTCGAGTTGCTTCTTGGCCGTGATCTTTGCCTGCTCCTCTTCACGGAGCCTATCTTCCTCTTCCATTTCTCTGATCATTCTCTCCATGTACTCTTCTTCGGTCTCCTTTGGTGTCTCCTCAGCCTTGGCAGCATCGGCCTTCTTCTGTTCCTCGGCCTTGGCCTTTGCCTCTTGCTCTGCCTTGGCAGCTGCTTCTTGCTCTGCCTTTGCAGTCGCTTCGGCCGCCGCCTTGGCCTTTGCTTCTTCCTCAGCTTTCGCTTTGGCTGCCTCCTCGGCCTGCTTGGCTTCAGCCTCGGCCTTGGCTTTCCTTGCGGCTTCTTCGGCGGCCTTGGTTTCTTCGGCGGCCTTCTTCTCGGCCTCTGCGCGCTCTTCCTCCTTTCTCTGCGCATCCTCCTTGGCCTTCGCCTCGGCCGCAGCCTCGTCATCTGGCTTGGAAGCATCACCTTCCTTGGACTTCTTTACCTGTTCCAGGAACGCAGCCTTGATCTCGTCCGGCTTGGCTGTGGAGAGGCTTTCGGTGCGGCCATGCGAGGCGGGAGTAGTGGCCTTGGGCGGAGGCGTTGGTGTCGACGCAATGACAGGGGGGGTCCTGGACTGTTGGGTGCTGGGCGCTGGGGACGCAGGGGCCTTGAGGACGTTGAAGTTGACCACCTCACCTTGGGCGTTCTTGATGGTAACTCCGGACTTCTTTGGCTTCTGGAACTGGGTCTGGCTAGGAGTCGACGAGCCGGTAGGTGCTTTAGGCTGGGAGCCATGAGCCTGGGGAGTCCCGGAGACGACCATAGGGCCCTGATTCTGGCCTGTGCTAGAGGCGGGCCGCTCTGACAACTGTGAGTTATTACGCGACATGGGCTGGCCTTGCGGAGGGGCGAATTGTCCAGTACCGTATTGGAGTGGCATGCCAGCAGGGGCGGGCGACGCTGGAGGGTACATGTTCTGAGGGTGGAAAGGCTGCTGGGGGTATTGGGGCACGCCCATGTAAGCCCTGCTATCGTATGCACCCGGGTAAAAGTTCTGTTTTGATGCAGTCAGCATCCGCTCAACGCGCTCAAAGCCGCCATTTGGGCCTGGCGAAAGATCCAGGCCGTTTTCACTCAAGAGAAGGAGGGGGGAACTATGAAAAGGCAGTTGCTGGTCAAGAGACGGAGCTCGGCCACGCAGAGGCCCGCGGTCGGACGTCGAATCACGACGCTTGCTCATGCGGCGATTTCTTCCGGGGATCTCCTGCCTTGAATTTGAAAAAGAAGAATCCGGCTGCCGGTGATGAGATGGTCTATTCTCTGAATCCCAGCGAGCGCCCTTCTTCTTGTGAGGTTTTGAGAATGGGGGGAAGATGTCTTGACAGATGGGGAGCTTTACATGTGGGGGGTAGCCGCTTTGCTGTTGAAAGCCACCCTGTTGTGCGTATCCGCTCATGGGCGGTGGGTACTGCTGACTGTAGCCCTGGGCGGGAGGGACAGGCATGGCAGCGTTCATGTTCGGTGTGCCTTGGCCAGGCATCACCGGGGTGAGGGCAGGGCTGCCTCGTGCAGGCTGTGGTGAGTTGTGGTATCCACCACCACGAGGGTTGAACTGCTGTGGAGGCATTCCGCCGCGACCTTGGCCTCTGAAGGACTGGTTCGTGTTGGGCGGGAACCCTTGGTGGTTGGGGTACTGGTGGTTGTTGTACCCGCCACCGCGGCCGCCTCGTCCACCGCCAAATCCCCCTCGAGTCGGGGCCGGACCATGATGGCCCATGTCACTGTGCTGGGACACGGCCGAATCGCGTCTGGCGTGGAAGGACATTTGCGACATCGAGTTTGGGCGTCCGCCCATACGCTGTAGATGTGTCAGCGCATTCTGAAGCTTTCTGGAAGGAGATACGGGGAAGGGGCCACCGGCGCCGGCGAGCCGAGCCTGCTGAATACTTACATCGCCTTCGTTGGTGAAACTGCCAATCTTGAAGGTGTTCTCGGTATTACCAGGCCGTCCACCACTTGTGATGTTCTGCGGGATGGGCGAAGGGCTGGGGTGTGGTGAGGGGCCTCGTCCAGGTATGTTTACTGGCGCGGATGCGTTGGGCTGGGGGGTGCTGTGTGGCATGGCAGGAGACGCCTCAGCGTAGCCGAATTGCAGTCCCGGGGGCTTGTTGCTCACGGCACCTCCGTTCGCCAAGTAGCTGGTAGGGCCGTTGGGCGGGATGGTGACAGAACCATTGCGGGCGTGGTCGCCAGAGCCTCCGTTGAGGTTGGGCGTGGCGGCGACAGTCGGGACGGCGGGGACAGCGGGAGTAACAGAAGGCCGACCGTTCACGTTTGAGGCTGACGGGGACGGGGCATTCTGAGGAGCGGCTGCCGAGGAGCCAGCCACCGCGGAGGGGTTGGCAGCTCCCACGACGAGGGGCGTCGAAGCAGACTTCTTCACGGCACTAGCGGTACCAACGGCAGAGGCATACGAAGGAGCCGTCGAGGCAGCAGTGGTGTTCGGCGCCGGGGTTGTGTTGGGTTGACTCGCAGTGGAAGTCATATGTGATACCGGGTCGTCTGGAGACGGTGACACTTGTGGTATGGTTCGCGCGATCGAGTGGGAGGGGTGTGTTGGTTTGGATTGGGTTGATGAAGACGATAGCTGTCGACGAAAGCCAAGCCTCGATGTGATGATCGGGGGCGGACAGACGAGCGATCGACTGTTGGCGAGGTGTCGTTTGACTAGGCGCGAGAGTCAAGAAGAGAAAGGCGCTGCCGTGAACCAGTCGCGAAGTGAATCTGACCGATTGAAATGCAGATCAAATCCGACCTGACCAAGGGGTTGTGGATGAGAAATATTCCTGACTTGTTGCGGACGCTGGGTCACTGTCAAGGAGTGAAGTGAAGGCGAGGGCAGGGCTGTTTCGCCGCTGCGTGTCGACTCTGGCCGAGATGGACGAACGGGATGGGAACCGTTCGGCGGATGGGGTCGCTTGGGTAAGCCTTTGACCTGTGCTCGCTCGCTCGCAATCGAAGAGGGACGACTGGGACGAGGAGGGGAGGGAGAAATGGAATGCAGCGACTCGACGAGAGAGACCTGCAAGACCAAATCAAAAGGAAAAACAAGATTATCTACCACTACCTTTCCTAGGGATGGAGGTTGGTGGCGATGGAGGGGGGTTGTTCTGGTTGATGATGGAGAGGGAAAAGAGAGAGAGAGGGAGAAACTCTGGTCTCAAATTTTTCTGCCCTGGTTGAGGTGCAATGGGCGAACGGGCACACACGGCAAGCCAGCCAGCCAGCCGGCGAAAGGGCGATAAAAGGTTTTGGGTGGTTATCTCTTTTTTTTGGGCAGGGAAAGCGCGAGCTTGGGGCTTCGCGGCGCTGGCACTGGAGTGGTGAGGCAAGGCTGCTGATTGGCTGGATGACGTCCGAGACTCCACTAAACCTGAGGTACAGTTGAAGTTGTGGTAGGTCCTGTTTTACAGCAGGCCCTTCCTACCTAGATACCTAACATCCTAGGGCCCAGGCGCATTACTCCCAATTGTTTTTGTGCTGGCCAGCCAGCCAGCCAGTCACCTGTGCAGTTACCACTTCTCTCCTTTGCTGTCACTGAACTGACTGCAGGTTTCGAGTAAATTTGTCTGTGCCTTCCACACCCACGCAGACAACCCACACAGACATTACTCCTCCACCCGCACAAAAAGTCTCACCTTGGGAGGCTTGACTTTGCCAACCAATCAATCACAAGCCAACACAAAAAAAAAGTCAATGACTCCAAGTAATCCATGTCTTTCTGGGATGACTGCAGGACAGACTGGCAGCTGCCTGTTGATACAGTCAGTCTGCTGCCCACGCAAACAGTCATATCCCAAGTCAACTGTTCTGAAGACCGCTTCACGAGCCATCTCGATAGCTTGAGCGCCTGTTGGGCTGGGCTGAGGCAATGTCGACGCGGCTCTGTGGCGCTGGTCATAGTAGAGGAATATCGTCAGGGTTTCGCGTCTACAAAACACGCGAAAGTGCTGCCCAGGTACTCCATGCCTGGCCGGGGTGACTGTTGGCGTGGTTTGTCTACACCTGTATTGATGAAGTGGTATGCAGCACCTAGGAACCGCAAGCCGTCACTGCATCTATCTCTTCCTCAAAACACGGCTTAACTCGTGCCACTTTGCGTTGTCACATTGAGCCTGCTTGCCATTGTGGGGTGACGGCAGGGTTGAGCAGCTGGTACTTTGTAGTCCAGCACTGGCTGCCTGCTGCCGGGATTTGAGAGTACTCGAGGGGGAACAGTAATAGCCACGTTCCTGACGGTCGGACCCTTTAGGCTCGCTCGGCCGTCCTTCGTCGATGGCCACGGGGAGAAGGTGGCGAAGGGCTCGGTATGAACAGCAGTGATGGTGTTGAGCCAAACGCACTGCTGCCAAAATACCTACCCCTCTTTCTGCGCGCCAGTACGTATCATACGTGTTGGCCCCATCGTGGGCGCGGGGCATTTGATCAGGGCGGCCTGGCCAACACATACCCGGCAGAATCCTGGGCCCCACCGCAGGGCGTCACCGAGGCCTTATCATTGCAATCACGAGCTGCAGCAGCTTTACGACGTGTATCATCCATCCAAGGGGAAACGGTCGCGGTGCAGGTTGGCATGGTACAACTCGCACTCAGTTTTGCTCACAGCACGAGCCTACTGATTCTCGTGAGAACACGCAACGAATGTAGACTATACTGGCAGTCTAGAAGCCAGTCGACCTACTACTGAACAAGCGGCTAAAAAAGACAGTCTTACAGTGGCAGCACTCATGGACCAGCCAAATCTATACGGTCGACCAGAAAAGCTTCCAGAATATGCAATATGACGACAACAGTCCCTCGAGGTTGCAAGCAACGCCACAGGCAGATAGATAGTGGGTGACGCTCACAGTAGGTTTGGCAAATCATTGAAGGGGCTACTCAGACTCTTGGGGGACACTGCAGGGCAGGGTGACACATCCTTTCCTTCCGGCTCAACGCTCGGGGTTAAGCTGCGACCAAGCTGTCAATTGTCAGCTTGACGGCCCAAAAATAGACCCAACTCGCGCATTCCTTGTCGTACGACCGATGCACACAATGTCCCTGCACGGGGAATTTCAGTGACTCAATCGCCTCCGCTGCAATTCCCCTTTTCGCGCATTTACTCGGAACCCAGCAGGCAGGCAAGGCAGGCAGGCCGAGCAGGAAAAGAACGGCGCCCAGAGAACGGATATCAATTGTCCACGGCACCACAAGTGGTCATGCTTACGACAGCTGGGTGGATTGTACTATCTGCGAGCCCCTGAATACCGACGCTGGCCTGGGAAAATCGTGCCGAACAAGGCATTCTGTCGCCTGCATCGCCGTGACTGTGTGTGTATCTATTTCTCCCCTCCTCTTGGCAAACCAACCCCTTTCATTAGTATGGCCCAGAAGTCAGGGTTCGCAAGTTGCTGTGTATCATAATGAGTCAATCATTGCTCAGTTCTCCTCAACCTCAACCTCTTGGTCGGAGCTGTCTGCAGCACCGGACACGTCTTCCGCATCTTCCGCATCTTCGTCGACTTCAGGGATCGGCTCGATCTCCTTCTTCTGCGCATCAACGACCTGCTGTATCTCCGTCTCCGAAGGCAATCCCCTCTCTGCTTGCAGCTGCTGGATCTTAGTAGTTGTCATTTCAAACACATACTGGCCCAGGTGCTCCACGCCCTCCATGGTTGCCTCGCCGGCCACCGTCTCGTTTGCATCCTCAGCCACCTTGCGCTGTGACGGCCAAAGCTCTCCTGTGACCAAGGTCAACTTGTCTGGCCGCTGGAGGAGCTGCTCAAAAGCCTCGCGAAGCTCAAAGCAGCCCTCGAAGATATCGCGTCGGCCCAATATATAAAGACCTAGCTTCGCTCGCGAGAGAGCCACCGTAAGGCGGCGAATGTCACGAAGATAGCCCACGCGAGAGGTCCTTGTGAGTGATAGAATGACGTCTGCACAATACATTAGCAGCTAGCATTTGAGTTTTCGGGATGACCGTAGGAACTCACAATCATTCTGCTCGCCCTGGTACTTGTCGACTGTAGTCACAATCTTGGGCAGGCCGAAAATGGGATTCCTGGCACATCGATGGCCAAGAACATCTCTGATCAGTGCCCGCTGACCAGCGTAGGTGGTGAGGATGCTGATTCTGGAGGCGGGATACCCGAGCAGGCGCATGTACTGGTAGATGGCCACGGCGTACTCGGCTTCTCCCAAGTTCTGGATGAAGTGGGGCGTGGGCTCGACTTCGCCCTTGCCCTTGTAGTCCGGTACATTGATGAATTGGTAGTCATATTTGAAACCAGCATTGGCCACGAGATATTCCTCTGCACTCTCGACATGCGGCAAGTTACCCAGATTATTATACCGCCATTGGTAAATCTTGGCGATGGATGGGCGAGCCCGGCCCTGTTGATCAAGCGTGATAGCTGGTACGCCCAAACGAATGAGGCGAGAGAACAAGGACTGCTCCAGATTTGCGAAGTCACGGAATGCGAGATTCTGTACGACAGGAGAATTCTGGAAATGGTCGCCACAGAGCACAACACGCTGTAATGGCATCTGTCCATCCTTAGGCTTTTGCATAGCCAACGGGATAAAGTTCTCAATCTCCGTGATCTGGGCCGCTTCCTCCATCACGACATTGTCGTGGAATCCGAGTTGTGCAATCTCGCCGCGTCTCATCGCAGCGTGCGTGGAGGTCATTGCAACTATGCGCGCCTCATTCGTGAGCAGATAGTTTGCCTTTTCCCGGTCACGTCGCAGGATCTCGAAAGGCAAGGCATCTGCAAGCTCAGAGAATATCTTGGAAATGTGTCGGTAGCACCCGTTGGCGATGTCCAAGGCCAGGTCACGGTCTGCCTCGGGCGGGAATAGGGGTTGAGGGGCATTGGAGAAGTAATAGTGGAATGGGAATGTCGCCGCGATCTCTTCCACTGAAATAGTCTCAGACGAGGCTATTTCAGAGAACTTGGACCACGCGGGCTGGATATAGACAGAATTGAAGTAACCCGCAGTCTCCGACGAATTGCCGTGGGCTCCTGGGGCTCCGATGCTGGCAGCTAGACGAGTGACTTCCTGAAGGTACCTATCGCGGTTTTCGAGAAAAGAATCCACTCGCCCGTGCTTGCTGAAGTTGCCCTCTGTGCCGAGGTCTTCCTCGCCGTGTCCCAGACGGAGCAAGTGACGTTCATCAATGTCAAGAGCCACTATTTTCGCGAACAACTGATTCAAGGCCTGGTTGCTGTGCGCTATGAGCAGTGTTCTTTGCTCTGGGAAATTGTGATAGATATTGTTGATGATCTGAGTTGCGACGTCGGTCTTGCCAGTACCTGGTGGCCCGACCACGACGGTGAGCCCAGGTTGCGTACCGGACATGATGCCCTCGATCTGAGCAGGAGTGAAGCGTACGGCATTCAGCTTTGGAGCATCCACTGGGTACGGCCCGTTGTTTGGGGGTTTGTAAGTCGAGACCTTGACAGTTTCAACGTCAGCTAGCAGGGCTGGTTCCGCATCTCTACGCCTCTTCTTCGAGGGCTTGGATGGCGGCTGCTTTGCAGGTCGCTCCGCGGTCTCCAGTACATACGGCGGCCCAAAGCTGCCAGTAACATCATCGCTGGGTTCGATGATCTTGCCTGGCATGCTTTCTATCAGGTGTTGCCAGTCGAGGAATGTGTCCCGGTAGTCAATAGTTTTGAGGCGATTCGGCAACTGCTTGTACGAAGCGCCCGCTGGGTCGCCATAGCCCAGGAACACTTCATGTAGCCATGACGCTAGTGGGACCTCTGACAGCGTCAGGTTCTTGATTGACTCCAGAACAGGCTTGAAATTGTTCTCTCTGCCGCTCCTGCGCATGACGAGGTTGATGTTCTCATAAACGTCAGGTTTGCCAGCGGACGCCCTTTGTTGATCGGCTTTGTACATTTTCGCATCCAGCTTGAGTTGGATTTTCCTGACCGGGCTCCGAGAATGGCCATCGAAGTAGGCGGAAGTGTCTCTGATCGCGCGGCCCTTGTCATCTAGGATCTGAATAATTTCGCCACATCGTACAGATCGAAGACCCAGCTTTTCGGTCTCCGTCGCTTCAAGCGACTTTTTCGATTTTGGAGCTTCGACCGCCAGGAGGAATACGACATCGTCTGGTCGCAATGCTTCCCATTCCCGACGGACGTTATCAGCGAGGCGGCGGACATCGACGACAATTTCAGCCCGCACCATAGCAGGCTTGTCGTCACCCACCGGTGCAGGCATAACTTCTAAAATTGACGGCTTCGAAATCGAAAGAGCCATCTTGGAGAATCCCGGAAATGCCACGTCGCCGTACCTTCCAGTCTCCGGCCTCAACCTGCGCAGGACATCCTCAATGTCTCGCCGAATGCCATAAAATGACTCACACCTGTAAAGGATGAACGACCTCCAAAGAAAATCCCCTACAGACAGATACTGCAAGTTTAGCTTCGGTATTGCCAATGGATGCGATCCATCGTAGGAGTCAGTCCTGACGAGGCTCTGTTCGAACAGGGTTTCTTCAGTCGGCAAGATACTCATATCCCGGGCCGTTTCTTGGAACGTTTTGCGTCTTTCAAAAGTAGAAGATAACACCTCGAGCAAAAATTTGCGATCGACAGTTAATCCTGTTGATTCGGGGTAAGTCGTTCGCAAATCGAGCAGGGCTGATAGTTGCAATATCTCCTCATCGATAAGAGGTGCAAGGAGATTCTGGAGCTCTCTCCTATCGTCGATGGAGGCATAGTTTGAAAGGGCCAGAACCGTCAATTTTTCCTTGAAATGTTTCAAGGCAGTCCTCTGTAACTTTGCAAGGCGTGCACAATGTCGTTCGTACGCCTGTGTCTTGCCTTGCTGAGCTCCTGTCTGGTCGTCGATCGTAAAATGCGTGTAGTGAGACAGCAGGGCAATAAGATCGCGTAGGAGTCCGTTGTCCTCGTCGTTGAAGGTGGGCGACAAGGCAGCTGCTGGGAGGATGTGTAGGTCTTGCAACAAGAAGTTGACGTACCGCCGTGTCGGTAATTGGCTCTGAAGATCGGAGAGGAATTCGGCGAATCGTTCGCAGTACAAAACGTCATCCTTGGAAGCGTTCTCGGAGTACAGCATGCTCAAGAAGTCCAGAGCAAGGGTGTATAGCCAGGACCTGTCGAAACGCAACCGAGCCTTGGTTGGCTCGTCCGCAGAATCATATCTCTTCGCCGACGCCCTCCAAGCCTTGCGCAGTTGGCTGTACTCGTTAAGCTTATCATCCCGTTTCGTCTCTGTCGACAGGTTGTGCCACATGGATATCGATACTAATGGAGCACACTCCTTGCGCACGATGGCGTAGTCCAAACTCTGGAATGCGTGAATCACAAAAGAGAGGATGTGGGTTCGGACAGCGACCGGAAGTGAGCGGTCGAGGCTCATGGAGAGTATCCGCCGAAATAAGGCGGAGAAATCGTCAGCGCGTTCCTCGAAGATGCCTACAGAAGGTGTCAGCACGACTTCGACGCGATCATTAACGTCCTTGGACAGCACTACAGACTTACCCCATGTCTGTAGCCGCTCCCGCCGTTTCGCATTGGTGATTAGCACGATGAGAAGGACATGATGGTTCGAGGATGCGTCGCTATATCCGGGCCAAAGATAGCTGCAGCGTCGCGTCAGTATCTCGACGAGACTTGGCCATTGGGGAAGCCTTACCTTTCCAGGACCTGCAGGCTTTCCAGCTCCACGAGTGCCGCCGATGGGAACTTTTCCTTCTCCAGAGGGTCCCATATATCCCGCTTCAACACATCATTCTTGACCTTCACTTTCGTTGCCCTCTTGGATTGCTTCAGCCAGTGTTGCTTCGCGACTCGTGCAAACTCGGATCCTTCATCTGCAACCGCCTCCACCACCTGTGGGGCAGCCTTTTGTGAGCTCTTTGCGGTGCTCTTCTTCTGTCTCTTTGCTGGGGGCATGATGGCGGATATTGGGCGACGAGTTCGTCGCTGCGTCGCGTTGCTGTTGAGCTGGACGCGCCAGGCAACGTTAGGAAATTTTGTACATAGGCTGGGGCAGCGCGGAAAGCTTCAGCCTTGCGTCACTAGTGGACCCATCCCGCGCGCGCTAAGAAGCTCGGGCCAGAACCGGCGACCCCTGCCCGCCAAGCAATTGACTTGAGCTGGGCTGAGCACACTGGCACATCAGAACGAATTCCATTGTTGCGACCTGCAGTTGACGATCTTTAACCTCATCACTACCTCGACAAAGACAACCCCAGACTCTCGTTAATTGACGTTCGTGCCGCATTACGACGTTTTCAGACCAGACAGACTCTCAGCTTCTCTGCTCAGTACAACAATCTGTCGAATATCGAAGCAGCGAATCTCCAAGACCAGCCGCGCTGCCGCGGCGCAGTCACCTCCGCGCCTTTCCCCCTCCTCTACTACTCAACAATCAGCACAAGATGCCTTCGCTCGAAGTGGACGACTACGGCGTGACACCAGTCACTACGGTCGTCACTTTCTTCGAGGAATCTCTGGCTGCCGCGAGCACAATCAAACCGACGTCTGCGATCGATCCTCCCCTGGAAGAAGCCGACCTCGAAGGTGTTCTTGCACGGCTGCCCACAACGTCCCATACCAGTGATTCACAAGACGTCGCAGCGTCACGCCAGGAACGACACCATAGATTTGCCGTCATTGAAACCGCGGCCCGCGGCATTCTCAGCAACCTTATCGTGTGTGGCCCGTTCACTTTGCTGCGCAAGACTCGGGTCAACTGACCTTCTTCAGGCCCAGGTACCCATCGACTCAGATGACTTCGTCAAAATATGGAACCTGTTCGATATACTCCAGTGCCTTTCCGATCGTGGCCAATGCGACCCAGCTCTGCTCGTATGGCTACTCGAAGATCTCCTCGACAGCCAGACCATTCCAGGATGTCGCAAGATTTTCGACTACCTCGAGTCGCGAAGGCAACGTATCATATCGAAAAATTTCAACGAAAAGAAACTCATCATCTTGAGAAGCTGTAATGAGCTGCTGCGCCGACTTTCACGAGCTGAAGACACGTCTTTCTCGGGCCGCGTCTTCATTTTCCTCTTCCAAAGCTTCCCCCTTGGCGACAAGAGCTCGGTCAACCTCAGGGGCGAGTACCATACTCAAAATGTCACAATCTACGATCAAGATGCTTCAAAGCCCGATGCCGCTGAGGACAAGATGGAGGTCGACTCAGAGGCAACCCCCGCTAAAGACGGGGAGCGACCGGGACCTGGCAAGGCCGTGTCTTTCAGCGACAAGAAAGAAGGAGCACTTGACAAGCCGCTAGATGCCGATGCACTGTACCCGGTGTTTTGGTCCCTGCAAGAGAGTTTCAATCAACCCAAGAAGCTCTTTTCGCCCGCGCACTTTAGCCAGTTCAAGACCTCGCTACAGGCTTCCATGGCGGCATTCAAAGCGAGACCGGTACAGCAAGAGCCGAAATCTTCGAGGCAGGCAGAGGATAGCAAGCGGGGGCTGAAGAGGAAAAGGAGCTCTGAGGTCGACGCGATTGTCGACACTTTTAATCCGAAGTACTTGACAAGCCGTGATCTGTTCGAGCTAGAGGTAAGAACTCTGGAGAGCCACCACCACCACTCTCTTGCTGACGTGCAACGCAGATTGGCGACTTGTCATTGAGGAGATATGTCCTCTTTCAAGCACTCATCATCATGGACTTCTTGCTGTCGCTATCTCCGAAAGCTAAGGAGGAGTTGTCATCGATACCGCAAGTCAATAAGTCTGTGGCTTACTTGGATCAAACTCTCAGCGAAGAGGATATCAAATGGGCTACAGCAATGAAGTCGGACATCTCGAAGTATCTGCTGAGCACGACGCCTGATGGCCCCTTCTTCCTGAGGCTTGTCGAAACGGTGCTCATCCGAGATAAGAACTGGGTCAGGTGGAAGATTGAAAATTGCCCACCAATCGAGCTCCCGGCCGTCACGCCTCAGGAATGGGTTGAGACCATGAGGACTGCGAAGCAGCAGACGACAAACAAGAGGATACGAAGGGAGGCCATGGGTTCGCTGTCGCTCGAGTTTTTGAACGATGAGCAGGACGCAAACGCGGTGGAGAAGCTGAAGGACCCAGAGAGGTACCAGCTTCCGGAGCTCGGGAGCTTCAAGCGGAAGATCCAGGAGGACGACCTCGAGATCGAGATGCCGCTTTCCAATGACTCAAAGGCTGCCGCCATCGAAGGCAAAGCGAGCAAGACCTGGAGGGCCCTGCGGATTGCGAGCAGATCGAAATTGGCGGTGTTCGACCAGATCGATTCCTACGAGGACATCAATGTTCTCTTTGAGGAGAAAAAGCCCGAGGGGGAATCGAGGGAGGATGAGGAGGGAGAGCAGGCGCATGAAAATGGGGACGCTGGAGACCCTGGGGACGTTGACCAGGCTATGGATGAAGTGAAAGAGCAGGAATCCGAACTTGTCCAGGGAAATGGCAACAGCGAAGCCGCGGTTGTGTCTGTGGAAGCGGTGGCGGGGCAAGCTGGATCAAATCTTCACACTTAGTTGATTCTCTTACATGATACCTGGTAAATGAGAACTATGAGGGTCCAACACAGATAAGCCAACACAATGTGCAAAGTCTTCCGCCTACTCATCCTGATAAAAGTTGCGTCCACGTCAACAGCGCAGCCTGTCCTCATACTACACTCGATTTTGTAGTGTCTGCAGAGACATGCCGAAATGTTTGGGTCATTTGCAGTATGTCACCCAATGTGTCTATCCTCACTTGGAGGACTGCGGGCTGAGGACCTGTTGTGCTGTGCTGCGAATTATGCTCGCCATGATTGTCTTAATGACGAGCATCTCACAGGCAACGGGAGACGATTGTGATCCTCCCCTTCTCTTCTCTTTGTGTACAACTTGTCAGGCCCTCTTTCTGTCAGGTTACCCACCACCTCAAATTCTACCGTGTGCACGAGCCATCTTGTATTGCAAGCGTCTACGGCTCTAGCAACCAAGTATTCAATTTCATTTTTTACATGTACCGTTTCGATATATGAGCATACCATCTTTCAGCTCTAATGGGGCCCAGTAGGCCATGTTGTGTTGATTTATAAAACTTGTGGCAGTCCAGATGACTGCTTGAATCTATTTGAGATTGAATAGATGGATATACACACGACTTGGTATCACAAAGAGAAGTACAAGAAAATGTTTACGAAGTGGAAAAACAGATACCCATTCAACCGCCTCGAGGGGTAATGCCCTCACATGACACAACAAAAGCGCTCTAGAGGCTGTCTGGTCTCAATGTTAGCACAGTGTACCCGGGAATTGCATTCTGAGGAACACTGCTCACGAAGCCAAAACTCACGGTTCACTCCAATTGATGATCCACCGACAACAAATCTTCATCCGTTCACGCACTGTAGTCGTGTCCAGAAGTGCAAGCTTCTGCTCCTCGGCGATCGGGAAGATGCACGCGAACCACCATGGGAACACGGCCGGGTCACTGGGGCATTCGCCGAACACCGCCAGGATGCGGGAGTTGAGCCACCTGGGATTTGTGGCGGCCATTTGTGTTATGGAACGGCCAGCGAATCTCATGAGAGCCTTCGTCTTCATCCAGTTGATATCGTCGTTCGAAGGCGCCTCGGGCTCAGGGTCTCTTGCTAGTGGTTTCATCCTAAAGTCCGCAGCCTCGCGCATCTCTTCCTCGTAGAGACTGACGTCAGAAAAGTCCTCCACCTCAGCAATTGCATATCCGTCGCTGTGTATGCCTTGACGCTTGACTCGAAAACGGGATACACCCTTTGTCTCTAGCAAGCTTCGTCCGTCGGAGAGGAAGGTGGCAGCTTCGATTCGTAGGTGGGTGCCGATCGTTGCGTTCCGGTCGAACAGCATGCCGAACTGTTTGCCTCCACGTCCGCTTGCCCAGGTCCTAACGATCATTGCTCGGTATCTTTGCTCGAAGACATGCAAGAAAGTCGGCATGCCTGGAAAGGATACAGCGCACACGAACAGTGGGACGTCCAGGCCTGTGTTGTCAATGACGGGATATGGTGACTCCCCGCGGACGATGGGCTTTCTCTGTTCAAGCTCATCGGACCAAAAATGCGTCGTCAAGCGCAGGAGAAACCCATTTGGGGGGAACAGACGACTGTCTAGATATGGCAAAGCGATGTCACCGCGACACGCCGGACAGTGCGGGCCGATTTGCGGCTGTTCGAGCGCCCTTTGGATGCAATGCCGGCAGAATGTGTGTCCACAGGGCGTGGTCCAAGGTTCGTACAGGAGCTGGTAACAGATCCCACAGTCCATCTGGCTGCGCAGGAGCTGATCCAACTTGCGAATATCCAGAACGACGTCATCGTCTTCAGCTATAGGTGTTTGGGTCTCCTCGGTGTCTGTGATGCGCCCAAGGCTGAGCATTTCGAAGGCTTCTACCAGTTGTGTCGACCTGGTTGATCCTGAAAGGACCAGCTTGGTGGTGTAGAGAACATCGGCCGTGAGTCTATCAGACCAGCACCCCTCCATGGTATGGCCATCTGGACAGCACGGACAACTGAACTCGTGCCGCCGTTGTGCCGTACCGGGCCATAATGTGTCATCGATACCGAGTCTGGTCTCGAGTGGGGGTAAACAGGCCCTGCATATGCAGTTCCCGCAAGGTAGTTCGATAGGATCGTCTAACAGGCGCTTGCACTTGGGGCACTGGAATACCCGTGCGGTGGCCCAGAGACCTTTCAGCTCGGCCTCAGACGCCAGCGAGGATTGTTCGTCGTCGTCTTCGTCTTGAGTCGGTAACGGGGCATCAAGAGACGCTTGTTGCAGTGCCGTGAGAGCCTCGGACTGCCCCGGTGTAGTCATAAGGACGGGGTTGTTGAACAGTTGTGCAGCCTGGCCGGCCTTGAGGGGGGTCAGCAAAGACAACAGGCTGAGAGGGCCAGGCGTCCTTTACCAGGTGTGTTTGGATCCACGCCTTGCGGGCGAGTACAGGCAGCGGAATTTCGCAGGCAGGCGGGGCGAAAAGAGTCTGGTTTGGGGCGAGACGTGTCGCTGGGATGTTGTGTATCTCTAGAAACGAGTAAATTCGGAGTGGTTGGTCGAAGGGCCTCTTCAGTTCCCATAATGGAGCAGTTGGCCTCTTGTGTGCTGTGATGTCAAATTGGCGTCGTCATTTCAAAAGCAGGAGTCTAATGAGCGAGAGTGAGAGTGAGAATCATGTCGGAAGACTCTCTCCCCCTCTCCGTCTATGTTTCTCTGTTGATCCTTTTGGCGGCGACCAGGATCGTGTTGAGCTTGGAAGTGACGAAGCAGGCTTGTTGTACAGGTATGACGGGAGTCGAGCAAGGTGTGCGCGGGTGGCAGGGAGGGGCAACAACGAGGCAGAGGCAGAGGCAGGCGGGCTAGATGGTCATAAGGAGAGAAGCCATCGCGTTGTTTGTTCCGGCTGTGCGTGTCAATGACTGGTGGTGGCGTGTGGCAGGATCATTCTACGGGCGGGAGACAGAATATCAGGGTCCGCATGTGGGATCCAGGGAACGGGGTCGGAAGACGGAGACGGGTGCTAGGGCAGATGCAATCATCATCGATGCAGCAGTTTATGTTGGTGTACGAGGAGGTCCGCAGGCTGGAGACGGGGCAGGACGCCGCAGGTGGGCAGGATTGGGTGGTGCGAAGGGGGGCAGCCGACGTCACACACGCCAACTGACAGCTTGGATACCCACAGGGGGCGGAGGTACATGCAGATACTTGCCCACTTTGCCCGTCCAGGACACAGAAGACAAAGGGCGCCCCCTGCCGGACTGCCTGCCAGCACTTTTCCGGGGGTCCGGACAGGGACAGTTTGCCGGGCCCTGGAAGGCCTGGAAGGTGCAAGAGGGTACCTGCCTACCGACCTAGGTAGGTACCTACGCTGCTAGATCGACCCTGTAAGTCCTGCCCGTCTCGTGTCGTCGCGCCAGACCAGCGCAATTCCCGTTTGTTATTACTGCCATGGACGAATCGCCACTTTGTACTTGTTTGTTTAGACGGAGTCATGCGAGGGCCCAGCCAGGGCAGACAGTACGCAGCTGAATCTTTGTTCCACATTGTCGTGGAGCCAGCTGGCCGGGTGGGCTGCGAAGTCTATCCAGTCGTCCATGATTCATCAGATTGGCGTTGGCATCTGTCCCGAGCGATTGGATCCGGCCGTTGCTGGCCTGTTAACCCGCGGACCTCATTCGAGGGTTGAAGCGTTGAGGCTCGAGACCTGCTGCACGAACCATCGACACTGTTCCAGTCCAAGTCCTTCCCTTGTACCAGTCTGCCAGGTCCATCTCTCGTGGGCAGCACTATCTCGGAACACCCGTGTCCAGACCATCTTTTGTTACCAGTCCGCGAAACTGCCAGACTGCCAGAGCCTCAGCTCAGCGTTCGGGGCGCCAATCCGATTATGGTAACGCGGACCCGGAGGTCGCATTGGCATCGAGATCAGGGTCCAGAAGGCTTCGGCCGACTGCCTCGAGCTGCCACTTCTCGCAGGACGGGATACCTCGAGGTACACCCGCTGGCAGTCCCGCCCCGTCCCTCGCACTCGCATATCGCCCACTAGTGCTGCTCTAGCACGCTCCCTACTGCCCGTATATTTCGAGCTCTCGCGCCTGTGGACTCTGCGAGGCGGCCGTTGCGGCGACAGCGCCATTGGGGTCATCCCTGCCGAATCCTGATCTCTGCCGCTGTCAACGATCCTCAGCCCACGCCCCCTCCCGCCTGATCGAGCTCGATCGACCGATTTGATTGGCAACCGTCCATTTTCGGTCACATGACCACCCTCATCGACACTCCTGTGTCTCTCTGTCCCTCTCACACCACCATTGGATCATCTAGTGCATATGGGCAGATACTCATCACTTGCTCACCTGCTTGCCGACTGAGGCGATTGATCGTCATGACCCGACCGGATGGGTCACGACTGTATCAAGCTCACAGCACAGTGGCACGAGGAGGGACGACAAACATGGCAAAGAACGCCCCGGCATCCTGTCTGTGCATGCGCCCTGCTGCCCCACACACGGTGCCGTACCTGACAGGTTCTGCCCTGCGCTGCGACTCTGCATCTCAGATGTCGTGTCCTTGACCCGACAAGTGGATAGCTCCAGCCAGCCCAGCCCAGGCTCTGCATGACGACGGCCGGGTTCAGCCCGCATACGGGGCGTTTCTCAACCGGGTGTGTGCGCTACTGACGTACGGAGCAGAGGCCACCACCTCGCAACCTCGGAAGGGAAACAGGCTAATCAATGCGAGCTTTCCGCCGCCATGGTTCATGCTCTCTGCGATAGCTGTGTTTCGGCGCCACTCCCCAAGGGCTCTCCAACAACTCTCTGACAGCCCACGGATCAGCACACGACAGCCCGCAGGGTTTCCAAGCGTTGCCCCACTGCCTGCCGCACACTCTCGACATGCTCCGTCATCAAACTACTGTATTGGTCTCCCAGGTTCCCATTGCTCCCATTGCTCCCGTGCTCTAAGCTGCCTGTTTGATTACCTATCAGGCTTCTTAGGCATAGTCTGCCCGCTCCTCCCTGCTCCGGTTGACAAGTTTGACAGTCCGGCCCGCCTGGCCATTGTGTGTACACTTCCGCTGGCAGCGCTGGCTGGTGTAATGAGGAACGCATACTCATTCTGGTGACCTCGTCACACGCTTCACCAGGACACAATTCACTCTAGATCTGGCCCGGTCAGTTCTCTAAAAGAGCCCACCTCACTGTGCTTGTTTTAATTTTCAAAGCGCAGCTCCGTGAGGTCTATCTGCCGGAAGTCGCACGTTTAACATTGGGTATACAAACACATGTGCATCTGCGTTCCTTGGATCAATGACACTTCGGGCAGATAGTTACTCATTCTTAAGAATGTTCACCCGTCGTTGTCAGGGCCAGCATGGGGCCTGGCCGCTGAGATGCCGGCCGGATTAGACGCCAACCTCCAGGTTAAAAGTGGCTCTTCAGGACGTATTGTAGACCTTCAAATTAAATTTTGGGTAACCCAGGCTTGACGCGGCTGGTTGTTGGGCTTTCAACCAGCGCAGACATATGTGTGGGTAGCCTGAAGTAGCCTGAATAAAACGACCAGTACAGTTTGATAGATGTTATCTCGGTCAACTTAGATCGCAGCACATTCTCCGATGGGATGGACTGACTAGTTGGGGGTGGGGGGTTCATGGCTCGCAGTTTCTGTACATCTGGAAACAGTTCTTGCTTTAATGCCACCTGCTATCGTAGCATGTGTCATACCGCTATCAAACTATATAACAATGGCAAAGTACAGTGCAGAGCAAGCGGTAGAGCCTTTAAAGCTCCAGAAAGCGCATGCTGTACTAACCGGCCGGAATAACCATTCCTTGCTAGGCTGTAGCCGCCAACGCATAGTCTCGTAGCTGTTCAGCGCTCGGGTCGCAGTCCACTTTATGGGAAAGGCGAGTTCAGGGAGTTGAAGTAAGTGGGCTCTACGTTTTTGTTGGTCAAGAAGTGAACAGAGAAGTGAACAGGCTTAAGGTTGGAGCAGTCTGCTAGGCTTCCTACACATTTATCAAAACCTTCCAGCAGTTCCAGCGGCGTGTATGCCGAACCCAGACGATCACTCTTACACTGAGCTCAAGTCTGAGAAATTCGTGCGCTCGCTCATTTTTTGGAAGGACAATGTAGGACAAATTAGCGCCCTTATTATCACCATCTCGTCCCTTTCTAGATGTTAGGATATTTCCACCGGCCAAGCTTAGAGAGAGCTATGACGGAAAGGAGAAGAGAAAAGCATTTCACGATTCGATTCTAACAATTTTCAAGCATCTCCGACTGTCGTCTTTCATAATAATTTGGCTAATCGGAGTCAATTCGCACAAGATGTTTGGATTCACATTGTGCTATGCAATTACTGTTGAAGGCAAAAGCGACGCCGCCAATGCGGCACAATTACACTCCCTTAAGTACTTCCACAATTACACCTCAGTGGTGGGAGCACTGGACTGCGAGACTCTATTGTTTATGCACTAAACAGATTATGAATTATATTGACTAGGCACAGTTAGAAGGGGTCAACGTAACAGCAAGTGCATTTCAGGAAATATTTCACGGGGTTGTAAAAATTACAATTCCCTCTTGTTGTAACGACGAAAACGCTCGACTCTCCTTCAAGCCTCACTTCATCTGCACCCCTTTCAAGAACTACTCAAAACGAACTTTGGATGACGTTAGAGCCGAACTGAAAACTTTTCTAAGTGTGTCTGTCTCACTGCAAGTAGACAAGGCGGGATCTGTGATGTCCATGACACGGCCGGAACCGCAAAAAATTCAAGGCTTCAGGGCCACACATGACTCAACCAGGATACTACGGCTAAGAAATTACGCGTCTGTCGGTCCTATCCTTATTACGGATGCATGACATTCTCATCGAGCCCCACGAGCTCCCACTTACAGAGACGAATACAAGTACAGCCACATCGGGGACATACCTCACCTTTCCGGTTTCCTGTATCAGAAACCCGATTCCAAGTGTTGACCGTTGCCCAACTCGCTATATTTACAGAACAATGGAGATTGGTCCTTTGCATTTTAGCACCGCATGAATCATGATACAGGCATTTCCGATGCACCCGTTGAGTGAAGACCACTATGATGTGTAGGAGTTCTTTACTCTGCGCGGATGCCATTGTCACAGACGTTCAAATTTTTCCAACATTCTTCACTTCAATGATCCCGGTCGAGGACCTTTCTATCGTACTTATTTTTCCATGTTCCCAGGTGTCGGCTCTGTAGATGGTGCGCATCAACCCCCAAAGAATTTGACCGAAGTAAAGACAATTCCGACACGGCCCCGTACATAGCGTGGGGGTGGTTCTCACCGGTTTCCAAATGGACAATGTTTCCACTTACACGAAAGGGGTTGTGTACAGTATAGGCCCCTCTACCCGTCTCCTGCCTGTGCTGCCGATACCCACTTCTACCACGGAAATGTCCAACGAATATTGTTCGGGAGAAGTTTTCTGTGGGCCGCGCCCCATCGTGAGGCTCCTCCCCGAGTGGCATCCTAGATAAGCCGCTGCGATGTTCTGTTTATATAGTAGATCTGCAAGGGGACTAGCTGTTTAATAGGAAGGCAGAACGCCTCTCACACAAGGGTACCCGAAGGTTCCACCGCCACAATCCGTGGCCGTGTACTTCACATTACTTTCCTGAACCAGACAAAACATGTTTATTGATCAGCAATGGGTTCACTGTGGGGACACGAGTGCGTGCTTTCGTTCCTGGTCCAGGAGCTTGGGAGTCTGTATATAAGTACTGTGTCAAGGCGAGTGTGAGGTGACGAGGTTGGTTTCGAACCACCACGGCACATCAGACATTCTTTACCTGGCCAAAAACCACACGTTCATTCCCTTAGATTTGTATATTGCAAAAGACCAGACTGTCGTTCTGCTCTGTTTAATCCAAGGCCTAGACACATCCAGCAGTAATTATGAAGTTCAATGCCTTTGCCGCAGCCGGTCCCCTGGCCACCGGTGTCCTGGCGCAACCCAAGGCCCTGCCTCGCAGCGAGGTCGCCAGACGCGGCACAATGTCCAAGGGGTGCGAGGCCAACGCGGCCAACTTCAACAAGAAGCGCTACGACCAGCGCATCTCCAAGAGACACGCCGAGGCCAAGCGGGCCGAGAACGCGACCTACACGATCACGACCGAGGCGCCTTACTACGACGTGATCCAGAACGACACCTGAGTCCTCGAGCCCGAGGTGACCTGGGGCCCGTACGTGTACCCGAACTCGCAGACCCTGAGGCAGGTGTTGCACGCACATCCCTAACCCTGGTTTGCAACCACTTTCTGAAATGCTTAAATAGCCAAATTTCTTTTATTTCCTCCTTTCAAACTACTCTTAAGAAATAAACGCTTTTATAATTATACTTTTAAACCCCTTACGATACTTATAGCCTTCCATAGTTATAAGCCCAGTTTGCATAAAACAATCTTTCCTTTCTATAAGCTATAAATAAGTTATGCAAAGCGCATCTTAATTATATTCATTTTATATTATTTATTTCCTTTTATTTTTAAGCATATATTTATATAATAACTATAAATACTTTTTTAAACCTTATTAATTAAATAATTTATTTAAATACCTATTCCTTTTTTATTTAATTTACTATATTATAATCTTATTATTAAATTAAAAAATGCTAAGAATTTATAAACCCTAATGCATTAAACGCAACCCTTATTAAGCAATTAAATATAATCTTAAAATTAAATTCTTAATTTATATAATATAAAAAAAAAAGAAATATTTAAAAGGCTTTATATAATAAGTATTAAGAGCATTTAAATAATAATAAGCTTTTAAAAGATAAAATAACATTTACTTTATTCTCTCCCTTATTTTTTAGCGAATTAAAAAAAGAATATAATTAATATCTTTAATAATAAGTTGCCTTAGCTCCTAATAAAGCAATTAAATTTAACGAAAAATCAAAAATTTAAAAATAAATATAAAAAATAATATTTAACTTAATTCTTTCTGTTGGTTGGGTTAATGTACGTTGGTTAATAGCAGACTGATTGTATTTAAATTGGCTATATAAAAGGAAGGAGGGTTGCGGCCATAGGCTGCAAAACCTCCCTCTGGCTATAAACTATCTTAGTGTTACGGTTTGGGCTTTGCCCATTGTGATTAGTCAGTGGGCTTTAGCCCTATAAGAATAGGCTTTAGCGTGGGTATAAACGGGGAGTAAATCTTCTCCTTTACACTTTAAATATAAACCTTATTTAAACACCTTACGATAAATAATCCAAGGTTAACCCATAATATATATTTAAAGTCTTCTTGCATTATAAACCTATAATGCAACTATATAAAACCTAATATAGCAAGACTTAAAAAGAATAATAGCAGCTTATTAAGCCCTTCTTTATTTAAAGGAACTCTTATCTTAAAAATACTTAGCAACTTAGCTAATAAAAATAAGGGCTAAGTTTATAATAAATAAAAAGGCAATTAATGCTAAAGGGGCTTAATTCTTTTATATATTTAATTAACTAAGAACTTTCCGTAATTACTTTTTACTTTACATTAATTTTATAAAAAACATTTAAGGAGCAACTAAAGAGCTTCTTAGAAAAGGTTTGTTTTGCGTTTAGGGACCCTTTTAAGCAAAGGTATGCTAAGCTTAGCTTAATTGCATTATAATAGCATTATAAAAAGAGAATGGCAGAATTTTTTACTTATTTTAATTAATTAGCTTATATAGCAAAGGTTTAAAGTTAGCTAAATAAATATAAAATATTATTAATAATTAATAGCTTAACCTTTATAATAAAAGCTTAGCTTAATTATAAGGAGTAGTTAAATATATTTAAGGCCTTTTACTTTATCTTATAGCAATATAAGGGCGTTTTTAACGCTATAATAAAGAAAGATAATACTTAATCTTAAAATAGCAAAGTAATAAATATTTTATATATAATTAACTTAGCTATTATAAGCATAATTACCTTAATTATTATAAGAAAATAAGGATATAGCTTTTATTAATTAAGGCTAATAAGGGGAAGGAATTTATTTAAGGGGGCATAAAATTTTTTTTATAGGGTAAGGCTTAAAAGCAATGCTAGCTTAACGCTAACTTAAACTTAAAGCAGATTAGCTATGTATTAACTAATTTAACTCTATAAAAATGCTTAAAATTTAAGAAATTCTTGCTAATAAAGCAAATTGCTTATAATTAAGCGTTAATTAATTATAAATTATATAATAAATTTATAATTTTAAGGTTTTAAGTAAAAAAGCTTATATAAAAGGCTTATATTAAAGGATTATAAAAATGTCATTAGCTTAATTACTAGCTTATACTTAAATAATTATTTTTTATTAACTTACTTTAATTAATATATTAAATTATAAGGGTTAAGGCATATTAATTATAAATAATAAGCTAAGCTTTTAATATAATTAAAAAGCGCTAAGGTATAATTAAATAGCTAAGTAAAAAGCAATATTTAATTTATAATTAAATCATAATGTTCTTTATTTTTTATTATATAGCTACCCTTTAAGGCTTGCCATAAGAACCTAGAAAAGAAGGATATATTATAATTTAAACTTTGCTTATTATAATTAGTTAATGGGCTTTAGCCTTATAAGAATAAGCTTTAATGCAAGTATAAATAAGGAGTGAACCTTTTTCTTTACACTTTAAATATAAACCCCATTTAAACACCTTACGGCAGACGACCCAAGGCTAGCCCATAACACTTAAGGTGGTTACATGCTGCCGCATATAACCCTTGCCTGCCAGTGCTTTAATGCTAATTACTTATAATGCCTATTGCCTATAATGCCTATCATACCCAGTATTGCTATCCCCTTATAATACATTTATAACCATATTAACAATCTTTAATTAAATAATTAATGTATATTTTTAAAAAATATATAAGAAAAAGAAGTTAAATTAAACTTAAAACCGCTAAGTTTAAATTTATTAATTAATTAGTTTAATTAAAGGTATGCACTTATTTAATTATGTTAAATATTTATAAAAAGCAAGCATATAAAAGGGTTTAAATTATTATTAAGGGGTTAAAAGTTAATTGTTTTATTAAAGTGCGTAATTAATAAATAAAGGTTGTTTTAATAATTATATATAGCAAATTATCTTAATTGCATTAATTAGCAAAGTATAAATTATTGCTTTTATTATATTAATATTTTATTATAATGCATTTTATAAACTTATGCTTTTACTGCTTATAGCGCTTAAGTTAAATAAGGATTAAACCAAACCCTTAAACTAATAACATTATTATTTAATTTTTAACTTATAATATGCCTTAATTTAATTTAATTTAAGCTTAACTATGCTTAATCTCCATAATTAAATAAAGATTAATTAATTATAGAAAAAGGATGGGTAAAATAAGTTATAAGGAGTTGATAAATAAGGTATTTAAATAAAGGAAAGAAGTTAAATATTAAGAGATTATTTAATGTTAATTAAGTTAGTAAATAAAAATATATATAAAACTAATATATAAATATTAAATTATGAAATTTAATTAAGAACGCTTATTAAATATAAGCTAGCAACTTAAGTACCCATAAGATAATAATAACCCTTATTACTTAAACCCTTAATATATAAGCATTATTATAAAAATCTTAGCTATAAGGTTTGCCCTTAAAAGGGAAATAATTTTAAATATAAGCTATATTATATCGTTCCTTAAGGTAATTTGTAATTAATTAATAAAAGAAAGATTTAAACTTTTGCTAATTTTATATATTTTTATTAAATAAAAGCAAAGATTAAGTTGCTTTAATAGTCTTTTCTTTGCAGCCTTATTTATAATTAACTTAACTTATTAACTTTTATTAACTCTTATTTAAATATTTTCCTTAATAATAAGCAATGTATTAAGCCTTAATATACTTTTTCTTCTTATCTAAGTAAATAACTATTCTTAATTAATATATCCTTATACCTTAATTATAATTTTATTAATACTTACAAGCTATTTAAGAGTTTTATTTAATATACTCTTTATAAAGGCATTTATTAAATTACAGTTATTAGCAATTTATTAAATCTTAAAGATTTTATGTTTTTTATATAATTATTAAAATATTATTAAGTTAATTATAAGGCGTTTTTCTTTAATTATGCTAAGCTTAATTAAATATTTATATAAAAAGTATAAATTTATATAAACCATAAAAGGAATAATATTAATGCTAAGATAAGTAATGATTTAATATAAAGTAATTACTAAAACAATACCTATATTAAATCCATAAACTATATTATAAATCTTGAAAGCTAAAATGCTTTTAATAACTCTCTTGCACTTAATAAAGAATTAATAAATAATATTGCTATAAATATTTAATTTTATAAAGCTATTACCTTAAGTTTTATTAATAAAAGTAATAATAAAGCTTATTTAAAAGCTAAAATCTTAATTATTAATAAATAAATTATTAATAAAGATAAACAATTTAGCTATAATTAAGTTAAATAGCATATATTATATATTATATTTAAGATAATTAGCTTATTATTAAAGCTTTTTATTAAGCTAAGCATAATCTTCTTTGCTTAAATTAATAATTTAAGCAACTATAAATAAGTTAAATGTAGCTTTTAATTAATAAATAAAAGTTAAGTAAGCATTATAAGCTTATTATTTAATATATTATTATCCTTAATTAAGAAAAATAGTTTAAATAAGGGTAATCTTTATACTTTAGCCCTTTTAATGTATATTAATAATATTATCCTTTATAATAATAATCTTTATGTCATTAAAATTAAGCGCTATTTTAAAAGTAAGTATTATCTTTAGCTTATATTAAATATCTACCTTTTTAATCTTCTTTTCCTTTATTATTAAAAATGCTAAAGTAATAATAAAGAAAATATTATTTATTTATATAATTATAATGCTAAAATTATTTATATTACTATTTAAAATAAAGAAGTATAAGTTATAAATAAAGATAACCATGCTTAATTCCTTATAATAATGTTTATAATATATTATTTATTAATATATATTAAACTTAGCAATGCTATATAAAGATTTAATAATATGCATAATAATATTAAGAAAATACTTATTATAAATCTTTAATAATAACCTTATAAATATTATATATTTAAGCTTTAACTTTAATTATAAATAGGTTTAAGTAATATTTTAAAACTTAATATATATTTTTTATTAAAAAAGGGATAATGCTAAAGTAATTAAAAGTTATTAGCTTAATTGCTAAATAATAAGGGATTAAATAAGAATTTCTTTCTTACTATAATTATTATAATTAACTATTATAAGGCATAACTTCTTATAAGGCTTTTTAATTTTACTTTTAATTTTATATATTATTTAAAACTTAAAGAGTTATATGCCATTATATATCTTTTTATTATAAAGTATAAACTTAAAAA